CCCAAAACCTGTTCCTCCTTAATCTCATCATTTCCTGCCGCTTGTCCTGCTGCTTGCCTCTTAACCGGCTGTGCCATCGCCGCCTCTTTCTGGGCGACTTCCTCTACCCATCGCTTGTCCCTGAGTAGCATATGACTGGGTGAATCAAATCTAAATCTTGAAATAATTCTTTCAAAATAACCATACATTTTAATTTTTTTATGATAAGCATACATTTCCTTAATCTTTTATGATAAGCTTGGACTTTACCCTATAAAGCAAAATTGCGGGGTAAAAAATTGTGAGGGTAAAATTGCGGGGTAAAATAATCAAAATTTCAATTCGCAATTCTTGATGCTTTATTAAAAATTTATACATCAATCTTCTACATCTTATATATTATATATAAACAATAGATATATGCAGACTTTCATTATTATGGCTTTTTTTATTCATTTTATAACATTCCTATAACCATCACTCCCAATAATATTATTTTTACTATCTCTGGAACTCTCATTTTCATTCCTTCATTCTGTTTCGCTTTTCCCTCTTTCTCTTCCTCTTTTTGTGTTTCTGTTTCTTTACTTGAATCACTCGTACATCTCGTAGGTTTGCATTTTCGCATCGACGTCAATGTCACCGTAGATGTCACTGTAGATGTACTTGTCATCGTACTCGTATGCAACGATGTACTCGTCATCCATATATCTGTTGTTTGAGGAAATGCACATTGTTCTGTTACTTTCCCTCCATGTATTGACTTTGTAGCTGTTGTAGTCGTTGTCGTAGTCGTTGTTGTAGTCGTTGTTGTAGTCGTTGTTGTAGCCGCTGTAATCATTGTTGTAGTCATTATCTCTCTCATTATTAATGACACCGTACGATATGGTGTAACTTTTAATCCTTCTATTCCTTCACACAACTTATCTATTTCTGTACAGACCGCATCACACTTCGGGCAATCCTTTCTAAACCCGCACTCTCCTTTCAAACCTTTACATTTCTCTTTCAATCCTAAATACAATTCCAATGCTTTTGCCGTTTCATCAAATGCCTTCTTTTCTGCTTCTGATACTTCTCCACTTACAAATGTTCTTCGAACAAGTATAACATTACTCGTGTTTGCCCCTCCACTTGGTGCTGATCCTCCTGGCACTGCTGGTGCTGGTGCTCCTCCTGGTGGTGCCGCTGGTTCAGTTGCACTGGTATTCTGCACCTTTGATCCTGCATCTTGTCCATCTTTCCCAAGTCTTGATAATAGTAACTTAACTTCCTCCGAAAATTTTTCTGATTCCTGTTTCACTTTTTCGTATTCATCTTTCTTCTTCTTTAATTCATCTTTCTCTTTACCCAGTTCACTTTCTAAGGTTGGACATTTTTCTTTTACTTTTTCAACCAACTTTTTGCAAACTTTTTCCTCAACATCCTTATCTTTATCAGTATTACAAAAACTATTGAATTTCTGATTCCCTGAATTTTTCCGCTCACTACAATGCTTTCCCAATGCTTTTTTACATTCATCATCTTTGCCTAAACTACCTTTCAATTCATGCGTCAACTCATCCTCCAATTTCAACTTTTCAAAGAATGGTCTGCAATTCTCTTTCAGTTGTAAACAGACTCCTTTTTCATTCCCATTGTCTCCTTTTTTCAACTTATCTGGGCAATTTTCCATAAGTTCATCACAATATGGATCCCATAATATGCAGATTTCTTCAACCAATGTTTCATTCCCATTTTTACTTTTATTTAGAATATCATGTTTTTCTATGTTGTTTTTAAAAGCATTACAATGGTTTTCAACTTCTGAAACCATAAATTTACATGTCTCTTCTGGTAAAGCACATGAAACACCAAATGCATTAGTTCCTCTTTTAAACAATCTATCACATTTTTCCTTCAAAGCTTTCATACAATTTTGAATATTCGTTAACGAATCACTTTTATCTTTTAAAAAATCATATTTTAGTTCTTTTGTAACTTCCAAATATTTACAACGCTTTTTTAATGTAACACACTTTACATTATTTGAACCTAAATCCTTTAAAATACCTTCACATTCCTTTTTCAATTCAACACAGTCCTCTTCTTTAGGAAAATCCCGTGCTTGATCCAAAGCTTGTTCTAAGTCTTTCGATAGAGTAAAAATAATTTCTTCAAGTCTAAGACATATTTCTTTTGGTCGAAGGCATATTAAAAAGTTCTTAATATTACTATTTGCAAGTGCTACACATTTCTCCATTACTATTTTTTGACATATTTTAAGCTTTTCATCTTTCGATTTTAAATTGTATTGTTCTTCGACCAATTTACTTTCAATTAACTTAATAAATGATTGTTCTTGTAGCTTTTTACTATTTGCTTGATTTACATTTTTACATCCTTCAAAAAACCTGTTTTTGCATGTACCCGCAATATAAAAACAGTTTGTATTAAAATCTGAAAATTCTCTGCTACTAAATGATGTTGAAAGCCTATCCCGAGGGATTTCATTCCCGAATATATCATCTTGAAAATGTGTAGAAAATCCAGCTAGATAAAGCGTCATTTTAAGCTTTCTACATTTATATGTTATTTCTGATGCATCTTTGCATCTTTTCTCTATGTTATCTTGACATAATTCTTTAAGTTCAGGACTCAGAAATTTAAAAAAATCACAGCTTTTGTTGAATACATTCTTGCATTTACTTTCTGAAAAACCTGGGTGTATGTTAGACATATAGATTAAGATGTTGTCCAGTGTTGTTTCCAAATTTTCAATATATATTCCTTTATCTTTCATTTTTTTATAAAAATCTTCCAGTTCAATCTTTAACAACGTTTTTTCTGGCTTAATTGGATTATAATCTTTTCCTGGAAGCTTATATGTAATATTCTTTTTCTCGCATAACACCTTCAATTCATTACACTTTTTTTCACATTTATTTTTGAGAAAATAACAGCTTTTGAGTTTTTCGTAACATTGTTCTTGCAATTCGTTATCATTAAGGTTAATATTTAAAGAATTGCATGAATAATTAATATATTTATTTAATTCTTTAAAAGATCTTTCAATTTGAAAACATCCAAAGATGAAATTAATGCCTTGTTGAATCAATATTGGACATATTTCTTTCATTTTTTCTTTAAAATCATCATAATTAGCAATACTATCACCGACTACATGAAAAATAACTTCATGCATCAGTTTTAAATGCTCAGTTCTTTGATAATAATCTCCTAAAAAATAACAATATTCTAAAATATTTTTATTTAAATCAGATAAAAACAAACATTTTAGAAATGTTTTATCGATATTTATATTATCTACATATCTTTGTGATTGTATATAAAGGTCATCAGAAAGTTGGTCTAGATTTTTTTGAATATTTGGTTTTAGGTCTTTGCATTTTTGTCCTTTATCATTACTATTACAAATTTCCTTAATATTAGTATCCACTTTATTTAATTCTGGATCTATATCTTTTAATTCTTCACAATATTCCTCAAGTTTCGCTTTGCATTTGTTTTCATCATTATAATCTTTTTTTAAAATAAAAGTATAAATATCTTCTTTAATAATAAAATCTTTAAACGACGGATTTACTGCATTTTTCTGAGAGCTTCTAATACTTAAGTCTACGTTTTGATTTCCATATATAAGAGCTAAAAATAATTAAAAATGAAAATAATCAAAAATATAATTACCAATTAAATTTAATATTGCTATCAGTATAATTTTATTAATCATAGAAAAAAAGTATCTTCTATAGCTTTTTTCCCCTAAATATATAATATAAATATTCGCAATATGCTTTTAACTGAAATTCGTGAAATTTAATGCTTATTTTAAATGGTTATCAAAAAGATACAAAATTTTACGATTTTGATAAACCCTAAAAAAATATAGGAGAAACCGTTAAAAATAAAAATCATTACAACTCTTGATTATAAATTTTAAATTTTTATTTTTCTTATTTTTTTCTATATTCTTTCTCATTTTATTCAATAATCTTTTATAAAATAATATATATATACATTTTGTTTTATTTATTAACTTTGAATTTTTTTACAATTCATTCATATTTTTATACCTTTTTTAATACTATAATTATCATTCTTAAATTCAACGTTTTTCTTATTTTTGACATTTCTTCATTTGAATAACTAATTTTTAAATCTTTTTTAATTACTACATTGTTTTCAGTATTTGTTTATAATCAAACCCTTTTTTGATCTTCACTTTTAATCAAAAAATGCTTCGCTAATAATCTTTGGTATGCACCTCTGATTTCATTCTATATATTTTCCTGTCCATTTTTATTTATACTACTTAAATTTTTCCAAAAAGTTTATCTCGTGGTTCATCTATGACCAATAATCATTGTATTTTGCAGGGCCTATACCAAAATGCAGCACAATTGCGCAAAAAAACGTAAAAGTGCAGTCTTGACAATTACATAAATCAAACAAAAATAGAAAAATAATATCCAGTTACAAGGATAAATGTTAGACAAAGGAGAAATGTTGACTGCGAACTGCAACTTTATCACGGTGTAATAAAAATTAACGAAAAGTTTAAGACTCTCATTAACCCTAATCCCTTTCAAAAACTCAACTCGTATATCTTAGAAAATGTTCTCATAAATCAATTTCTTTTAGATGTGTATATTAATTATATCCAATAAAACAGGAACAAATAAATCATTACTAGATACTTCTATATATTTGCTATTCTTACAAAAGATTTTCACAATTTAAACAATTATCCATACTCCTAATATCATCCCTATAATTGCACAAATCAACCCTGCCTTCTGAAATCCATCTACACGAACACCGTGACCTTTTTCGGCTGGAGTCAAAGATCCTTCAGGTGAGAATGTCACCGTCACTGTTTCTGTAATTGAACAAAGAGATTCAGTATCTTGATCTTCGGTATTCGGCTCCTCATGCGTAGGCTCTGGCTCTTCAGACACTTCTTCATCAGATGTTGGCTCAGCAGGTTCAGGCTCTTCAGTAGGTTCAGGCTCTTCAGTAGTCTCTGGCTCAAGTGTTGATTCTTCTAGTGTTGTTTTTGTAGGCCTACCCAAACAACATGTTTTTGTCTTTATTAATGTTCTTATATAAGTATGTGTATACTGTGCTGTTTCTGTTACCACTACTGTTGATACAGTAAGTACAGTATGAGTCTTAGTAAAATCTGCTTCAACGGGTACTTCTGTAAAGGTAGAACTATCACTAAATTTTGAGCAGCTCTCTTGAAGTTTTTTGCATGATTTTGATAAAATGTCCTTGCAATGTTCTTTTAAATTATTACATTTTTCAATTTCTCTTTCGCAAATTTCTTTAGTAAAAGTAGTAATTGAATCTAAATAAGTTTTTTCAGATCCACACATTTCCTTTAAATACTTTAATAAAGTATTACATGGGTTTTTTTCGGGACATAAAGAACGTGAATCACCTGCACTAGCATCTGCATTCAGATTGTTTTTAGAAAGAGAGCAAACCATTGCCGATAACTGTGCGCATTGTTCCTTAGTAAAGCCTGGTTTAAGTCCAGCTAGAAATGCTCGTCCCACAATATCGTCCTGTTTTAAATTTTTTACAAGTCGCTCCTTATGATACCTTTCAAGTACTCTGCGGGAACTTTCTTCTAGTTCAGATGCTGAACCCATTAACTCATAATATAAACCAGATGAAAATTCATTGTCATGATCATTCTGTAATTCATCTTTTAAAGTGGAATCATGCTTAAATTCTAAAAAAAATTTAAAAAAAAAAAAAAAAGTACCTAAAGCACGTGTATTTTTTGAAAAGACAGATGCTATAACAGTAAAAGTGATAAGAAAAAATATTTTCATCTATTAAATGATATAAAAAGAATAAAACTTGCTATTTTTATAAAGGGTGTCTTTTTGACATCCAAAAATCGTGAATTTGAATGTTCCGATCTGAAAAATTGAAATATAAAAATCATAATAAATATATAAATAAAAAATATATAAATAAATATATAATAAATAAATGCAAATAAACATAATAACCCGTTTTTTGTCTTTGTATTTACTATTATTACTATTTCTAATAAATATATTATTTTTCATAAATTTATTTAAAATTTTTATATATGATAAGATATAAATTTTTTTTGTACTCTTAAAAGAATTATAAATTTATCAAATTTTTAATATCCTAAATATATTTCTTGGAGTTGTTTTATTCAACTTTTTCTTTATTTTATAGAGGGTTGTAATTTTATATATTGTATTTTAAACAATTTTATCAATAATATTTTTGCTGATATTACCATTTATACATATCATTAAAATTGTTTAAAAAATTTTTTAATTCTTAAAAGATTTTTCTTTTAAAGTTTTTTTAAACAGATTTCAGGTTTTGAATTTCTTTGTTGCTTATATATATATTCTTAAATGTTTTACCATATAAAAATTATTTTAAATTGTCTATCTTTTATACTAATATTTGCAAAAATGTATTTAAAGTTTATTTATTTGCATATTCAAAATTCTTTCTAATATAGTTCATATATGTTTAAAAATGATTTTGCATTATTAACGCTTCTTTCTAAAAAGACATTAATTACATGATACGAAAAATGGTATAAATATTTTAAAATGTTTATTTAAAAGTCTAGGGTAATTTTCAAAAATGCGTAAAAAACCAAATATCAGGAACAACCATTTTATTTATTTTATATTCAATAGTAAAAATACAGTTTTAAAAAGTTTAAAAAAAACAAAAAAATCTTAATATAATTTAATTAAGCATTAATCAAAGTAATATTAACTATAATTAATAATTGGAAAAGACAATATACTCTAGGTCTGAAATCTTTTAAGAATTTGATTTAAGTTTATATTTAGAGAACAATTCATTAATTTTTCTAACTTACAAATATGATCTTGAATATTTGCACATTGCTTTATATATCATTGTTTTTATTTCAATAAATTAGATTATTTTAAGGCTGCTGTAATTATTAGTGAAATATTTAGAAGTAAATAAAACAGTGAGATTATTGAAAATTTTAATACATTTGAAAATATTGGAAACATTTATATTAACTGTTAAAGATTTAGAAAAATGTATGCTTAAGGGATGAATAAAAAAGTAACCATTATTGATTTATCATAACATTTAAGATAAAATTTTGTTAAAAATCTTATTATTCTGTGAACATCTCGTTAACTGAGTTGAAGTAAAACACGATATTAAAATATTAATATGCACTTTAAATAACTAGAAACTTTGACCATTTTTTCATTATTAAAAGCAAAATAATCAATTTTAATAACATGAATTTCTTGTGTGAAATATTTAAGCTATGATGGAAGAATTTTTAAAAGTGTAGAATTTTAATATATATAGGTTATATGAAATGTTTTTTCAGAGTAAATTATATTTATAAAATTTAAAATACTTAAGTAATTATATTAATAATTATATTCTAGATATTTATATAAATATATCTATATTTGAATTAAAAATAATTTCAAAATTTTCGTTAATTCTTTATAAAAATGTTAATTTTTTGATATATTTTTTTTAAAAAAAATAATTTAACAAATTTAATATCAAAGCATTCGGAAATCTATTTTTTAAAAAATATAAAAATTATAAATTTTAATTTAAGGAAAAAATTTAATATTTGGAAATATTTATATAATTGTATATGCAATACTTTTTTTTAAATTGTTACATCTTTAGACATGGGAAAATATAGGGAAAAAAATAATACTATGCAAAAAGCAGTATCTAATAATATTTTTAAACTTGATAAAGATATTGGTCAGCATATTTTAAAGGCAAATATTTACATAATTTTTTCATTCATACTAGATTCTAATATTTCAAGAACCCTTTAGTTATACAAGGAATTGTTGATAAGGTCATTGTTAATATTAATATATAGTCTAAAGATTAAGTAATATAGGCAGATCTAAAGCCTTCTGATATTGTACTTGAAGTAGGGTCTGGAACTGGGAATCTTACTATCAGGATTTTACAAAAGGCAAAAAAGGTTATAGCCGTTGAAATGGATCCACGTATGAGTATGGAACTTATTAAACGTGTACAGACAATGTATAATTTATCATTATATTGCCTTTATTGACATTTTTTTTTAAAGATCTGAACAAAAACGTTTGGAAATGATTCTTGGAGACGTTATTAAAATTGATCTTCCATATTTTGATGTCTGTATATCTAATACTCCATATCAAGTAGATTCTATTATTATTATTATTAATGTTATTAATATTGTATAGATTTCTAGTCCTCTTGTTTTTAAACTACTCAGGCAAAATCCTCCACCTCGATTAGCTATACTAATGTTTCAACGAGAATTTGCAATGAGACTTCTTGCTAAACCTGGTGATTCTTTTTATTGTCGTTTGAGTGTTAATGTGCAAATGTGGGCCAAAGTTACGCACGTAATGAAAGTGGGAAAAAATAACTTTAAACCTCCTCCTCAAGTAGAAAGCAATGTTATCAAGATAGAGCCAAAAGTTCCACCTCCGCCAATTAGTTTTGAGGAATGGGATAGGTCTGTAACATTATAAGTTATCCATATTAACTAATATTTTAAGCCTTCTTCGGATATGTTTTATTCGAAAAAATAAGGTACCTAATTTTTTTAATAATGAATTTTCTAAATTATTAGACTATTTCATCTGGATTCAAAACATCTTCTGTACTTAATATGTGCGAGAAAAATTATAAGATATGGTGTTCTCAAAATAATATAACTATGGATAATATTTCTATAAAAGATAAAATTGAAAAAGTATTAAATTCTATAAATTTTACTAATAAACGAGCTCGAAAATGTAACGAAAGTGATTTTTTAAAGTAGGTATATTTTAGGTTTTTTTTAAAACTAATGTCAGATTATTGTATGCATTTAACAAAGAAGGAATTCATTTTGCTTAATTATTTATATTAATAATTAATATGTTTTTTTATTTTCTATAATGAGGATAAAATGGTATTTTATAAAATTATCTATATATATATATATATGGATAATAAATTTATATTATGACACTAAAGAAATATAAAGATTTATAATTGATAATTGTAAATAAAATTAATAGATCATAAAAAATAAGTAAATGTTTTTATTATTTTTAATTAGAATATATAAATTGGATTTAGGTTAATTTTTGAATCATTTAATAAATGTATTATAAAATTATAATAGAATTTTAAATAGAAAATATTATGGAATATATAATTAATAATCTATCCAAAACAGTAAATATATATTTAAGCCGATTAACTTAGATTATAATAATTATATAAAAAAAGTAATGTTTTCTAATATCTATAAAAAAAACATTTTTCTATATATTCTATAAATATTTTTTTATTTAATATAGATTTTATTATTTTACAATAATTAGAATATTTTAATTTATATATTATTTTTTTAGTGAGAAAAACGGACCTTCGTGGTCCATCTGGTCAATGTAGGATTTTTCCGTAAATCGATGGTTCAAAAATACTCACTATTAAATAGTTGAAACGATACAGAGAAGATTAGCATGGCCCCTGCACAAGGATGACACTGCTTCCAAAGAGAGGAACCCATTTTTTTATTTTAATCTTCATTTTATATGAAATGATTTTTATGAATTTAATTTAAATTTTATACACTCAAAATGTAATGGAAATAATGTTTTCCTCTTGATTATTGTAAAGTTTTTCTATTTTTAAATAAATTTATCTATAATCACAAAAAAAGCAGTTATAAACAATATTTTTTTTCTAATATGAATATCATTTTACTAGTGTTATAGTTTATATTATTAATTCAAGGTTGGTATATATAAAAAAATATGGCTGAAATAAAACTTAAATTTATAAAAATATTCCAAAATATTTTCAAGATTGTTATTTTTTAAAAATTAAATCTTTAAATATAATATATATATATATATATTGATACTTGTTATATATTATTAACGTCTTTTTTGACTATATATATAAATTTCTTTAAATGAAATTTGCTTGACATGTTAAAATCTATTTTGAAATTTAAACAATTGCCTTGAATATTCGCATATTTTTTTTGAAAGAAAAAATCATAATATATAAAATATAATTTATTATTTTTTTTTTGAATATACAAATCTCTTTTATAGATAGATAATAAAATAGTCTAACAATTCTTATAAAGAAAATTATTAATTATTTAAAAGAAAATAATAAAAATAATGATTTAAATAATATGCGAATTAATATAAAACAAAAAATTTTTTAAAAACTTGAATAATTTAAAAATCAATATTGAAAAAAAATAAACGATAATTATGATTTAAAAAATTATTTTTTTTAAAAAGGATTCTGAATGAAATATATAAATTTAAGTAAAATTTCTAAAAAAATACATTTTTTTATTACAAGAGAATATGTCTATTCGTAGAGATTTCCTTACTGCACAAGCACCAGAGAATTATGTTGCTGGTCTTGGAAGAGGTGCAACAGGATTTACTACAAGATCTGATCTTGGACCTGCTCGTGAAGGACCATCAGAGGATGCAATCAAGTAAGTTTTCTTAAGTATTTTATTAGTAACTGTTTTTTTTGATGCAATTTGTTTACATTTTCACAGAGCAGCTTTAGCAAGGCGAGCAGCAGCTCAACATCCCTTTAGATTTTCTAGTTTTCAGGATTCTAGTGATATAAAGGATGACGAAGATGATGATCAATACCAGGATCCTGAAAATGAATATTGTCTTTTTGCTGGAGCTCCTTATGATGCTGACGATGAAGAAGCAGATCGTATATGGAGTGAAGTAGACCAAAAAATGGCTCAAAGAAGGAAATCTCGTAGGTAAAACTCCAAAAATACTTGTTTATTTAAATTTATAATATATAAAGGGAAGCTAAAGAGCGTGAAGAAGCAGAACGTCTTATGGAAAGGCCAAAAGTTCAGGATCAATTTGCAGATGTCATACAAGGATTAAGTACAATAACAGATGATGAGTGGCTAAATATTCCTAATGTTGGGGATTTAACTGGCAAAAAAAGAAAAAAAATTAATCCGAGAGAAAGATTTTATACAATTCCAGATTCTCTTATCTCTCGCGCGAGTCAGATAGAACAACTAGATACTAGTATTGATGTTACAGAAACAGATACCGATTTTAATGATGGGAAAATGACAAATTTTGCAGAAATTGGCGCCGCGAGAGATAAAGTTCTCGGACTGAAATTAGATCAGGTAATCATATATATAATCATTCTTTATTAATATTTACTATAAGATATCATCTGATTCTGTTACTGGGCAGTCTACTGTTGATCCACAGGGATACTTAACATCAATAAACTCTATGGCTTTAAAAAGTAATGCCGAATTAGGGTATTAATATATTTTATTTTTAAAAAACTACTTAATATTTTAGAGATATCAAGAGAGCTCGTTCTTTAATGCAATCTCTGATAAAGACAAATCCAAATTCTGCTGCAGGTAATTAATAGTATTTTTGCGTTCATTTTTATTATTAATATCTTAGGATGGATGTCTGCTGCTCGTGTGGAAATTGTAGCTGGAAAATTACAGCAGGCAAGAAATATTATTGCTAAAGGTTGTGAAAATTGTCCTACAAATGAAGATATTTGGATTGAAGCTGTCGGTCTTAATGTATATCGTATTTATTACTTGAAAATTATTTACTATTATTAGAACGTTCAGACAGGAAAAATAATTATAGCAGAAGCTGTACGACATATTCCAAATTCTGTAAGACTATGGCTTCAAGCTATAAATTTAGAAACAGATATTGAGTCAAAAAAAAGAGTTATCCGAAAGGGTTATATTTTTTTATTTATAGGAATATTTATTAATTTTTTTATAGCTATTGATATTATACCGTATTCTGTTAAGCTTTGGAAAGAGGCAGTAAATCTGGAAGAAGATCCTGGAAATGCTAAAATTTTGCTTGCAAGAGCCACTGAACTTATTCCTTTATCGACTGAATTATGGCTTGCTCTTGCACGTTTAGAAACATATCAGAATGCTAAGAAAATCTTAAATAAAGCGCAAAATACTATTAAAACAAGCTATGAAATCTGGATTGCTGCCGCTCGTTTAGAAGAACAACAAGGAAATGATCCAGATAAGGTTATAGCAAATGCATGTCGTCGCCTTCAGCAAAATGGCGGAATGTTAACAAGAGAACAATGGCTAGCAGAAGCAGAAAAATCCGAAAAAGATGGTGGTATTAAGACTGCACAAGCTATTATTAAAGCAATTTTGGGTCAAGACTTAGATGAAGAAAGTAAAGAATCAACATGGATTAATGATGCACAAAATGCACTTTCTCATGAATGTTTTGAATGTGCGCGTGCAATATATGCGTATGCATTAAAAGTATTTCCGAAAAATGAATCGATATGGAGAAAAGCTATTTCTATTGAGAAATCATATGGAAATGTCGAGTCAGTACATGCTATTTTAGAACAAGCTTTAGAAGAATGCCCGCAAGCAGAAGTAATTTGGTTAACATATGCAAAAGAAAAAAAAAAAATGGGTGATATACAAGGAGCTCGTGACGTTCTTGAAAGATCATTTTTGCATAATCCTAATTCCGAAGAGATCTGGTTAGCGGCCGTAAAATTAGAATATATTAACGATGAAAATGATAGGGCTAGAGCATTGTTAAAAGTTGCGAGACAAGAAGCTAATACAGAACGTGTCTGGGTAAAGTCAATTACATTTGAACGTCAATTTAATAATATGGATGTTGCTCTTTCTCTTGTAAATGAAGCATTAACGTTATTTCCAAATTATAGTAAATTTTGGATGATGAAAGGGCAAATATATGAAGATTTGGGTGAAGTTCTAAAAGCTAGAGAAACATATCAAATGGGAACAAAATCTGTTCCAAAATCTGTTCCTCTTTGGATTCTTCTCTCGAGGTTGGAAGAAAATACGGGAAGGATTGTTATTGCTCGAGGCATACTAGATCGTGCTCGATTTTTATGCCCTCAAACACCTGAACTTTGGGTTGAATCTATAAAATTAGAACTGAGAACAAATAACATAAATCAAGCAAAATCCAATATTGCTAAAGCTCTTCAAGAGTGTCCAACAAGCGGGCTTGTATGGTCAGAAGCAGTATGGATAGAATCTAGATCTCAAAGAAAAACTAGATGTGCAGATGCTTTAAGAAAATGTGAAGATGATCCTTATATACTTACTACTGTAGCAAGAATGATGTGGAACGAACGGAAGATAGCTAAAGCTAAAATATGGTTTCAAAGAGCTATTAAATCTAATCCTAATGTTGGCGATACATGGGCGTGGTACTACAAATTTGCATTGCAGCATGAATCTATAGAAGCGCAGCAATCTCTTGTTTCAGAATGCGTAGCTGCAGAGCCATCACATGGAGTGGTTTGGCCTACCGTTTCAAAAAATATACGAAATTCTAAATTTACCATAGAAGAAATATTGAAAAATGTTGCAGAAAAAATTTCTTAACCATTTTAATTTTTTTATAAATTTACCTTAAAAGATATATAAATATCTCTTTTGTAATTTAGGTGAAGATATATTTACATAATTTTTATTCATTTTAAAAATAAACTTGATTTTATCATCGTTTTATTTTCTATCTCATTAAAAAAATCAATGCCATTTATAGGGATATGTGGTGATATTTGTTCTGGTAAATAATATGGAAATTATTCGTATTTTATAATTATTTTAGGAAAACAGACTATTGCCAATTATCTAGTAGAAAAAATGAATTTTTCTATTTTAAAATTGCAAAATAAAAATAATGATAGCTTCAAATTAAGTAGTTTCAGTCCTTTATCTAATAACTCTAAGTGCCTATGTAAAGAAGAAGGAAAGACATTTGAGAATGCAATTCAAATGCTTAATTATGTGACTAGTCATTGGAGAGAAAGATTTGTAACTATAGATATTTTTACTGAAGAAGTATTAAATATATTTACTAAAAGGCCTTTTTTCTTATTTATCAGTGTAAGCTCTCCAATAATGCTTAGGTGGGACCGCTATAAGAAATGGTATGTTTTATTATAAGGAATTAAACCTATATTTTAATTAATATTAAGCTATAAATATCGGAATTCACATTTACTTACTTTGGAACAATTCATTCAGCAATCAGATGATTTCTTTTTCAATTCAGAGCGTGGAATAGTTCATTTATTTAATAAGGCTCAAATAAAAATTATAAATAATTATAATTCTATACCTGAGTTTTATAAAGTTCTTCATCGCATTGATTTAATTAATGAAAATCGGTTTCGTCCTTCTTGGGATTCATATTTCATGTATTTAGCATCTTTAGCAGCTCTTAGAAGTAATTGTATGAAGAGGAGAGTTGGCTGTGTTCTTGTCCGAAATAAACGGGTTATAAGTACAGGGTATAATGGGACACCTAGAGGATTTATCAATTGTAATCAGGGCGGATGTAAAAGGTGTAATGAAGACGGAGGAAGTGGGCAAGATCTTGAGACATGTTTATGTCTTCATGCTGAAGAAAATGCATTACTAGAGGCAGGAAAGGAAAGAATAGCCAATGATTCTGTGCTTTATTGTAATACGTATTATGTTTTTTAATATAACAAACAATTGCTAATTTCTAAAAGTTGTCCATGTTTAACATGTTCGATTAAAATAACGCAACTGGGAGTATTTTTCTTATTAGATCTGTTATTATTTTGACTGCTTTCAGGTTCGTGAGGTGATATTTAATTGTTCTTATTCAATGGATAATCAATCATCAAAAATATTTTCTCAGTCTGGAGTTATTTTACGTCAGCATGTAATAAATTTGATTTTTTGAAAAAAAACTAATTATATAGATTGTATCTCAAGAAATAACGTTTTTTTAAATATTATAATAAATGATATTAACTTATTTAAAATATCTTGAAAAAATTTATCATAATTTGTTAGAATTAATATAGATGATTTTATAAATTGTTTAATTAAAAATTTTCTAAGTATTTAAAAAACTGTTCTTTCAAAACAGAAATATATAATTATATTAAAATGTTTTGTTTATAAAAAAATGAAATGTTTAAATTATAAAAGATTATATTTCATAATATATTCTACTACAAAAAATTATAAATAGTGAACTGTTCGCATAAAAGTATTCTTTAACAATTATTAGTATTTAAACTAAGTTTAAATGCAATTTTATTATACATACTTATTGAAAAAGAAAAATATAAAACTAGATACAATGTTATGAAATTTAAAATAACAATTTTTCTATGAATAATGTTTTTTAGAGAAAAAATTTATAAAAACATCAATTTTTTTAATCTTTATATAATTAATTTTTATAATTTTATTTTTTTTAACAAAATTATTATTTAATATATACAATAAGTTAAAGCGTTATATAAAAATCCATTTTTATATATAAATTTGAGGATAATTTAATATGTTTTTTTATTTTAATAACTATAATCTATATATTTTAAATATTAATGTTTAAAATTATATTCCTAAATATTTTCGAATGTTAAAAATTATTATATAGAATAAAAAGTCTTTTTTAGGTTTTTTTTCAACAAAAATTATTTCTTTTTATAAGTAAATCATATACAACCCTATTAAATGATACAAACTTAAATTTATTTTTATAATTACCATTAAATATAGTACATAAAAGTCACAAAATGTCACGGGTTGATATAGACCCATTGTTAAAAAAATTGCAAATAGCATTAAAAACTAAGTGGACGCAATATCAAATAATAGTAACCGATTTTATTAGTGGAAAAATGAATAGAGAGGAATTTGATCAACAAATTAATTTGATTCTTGAAAAAAAATATTGTTGACTACTTCTAGTTTATTGAAAAATCTCTAATTTATACAATAGTTCGTCTTCATAATGAAATATTACTCACGATTTATACTAATGCTATGTGTGATCCTCCTGAAAAATCATGTATTTTTGGGTGGACTAAGAAAAGCAAAGAATATCAACGGATAAGAGTTAATGATCAAAGAAAAGAGCTTAAAAGTGAAATAATGAGCCTTCATTATCGTGATAGATTGCGAATTAAATCTATTAAAAAAGCAAAAATGGTAATTGAGAGAATATAATACATTCTAATATTTTTTAGGATTCCCTAGGAAGGTCGTTAATCTCATCTAATACGTTGTTTGAAAGTAGAATAGCAAAACTTCCTAAAATGCCGCTTTGTAAAGATAAAATATTTACAGGTGAAGCCTTAATAAATAGATGTAGAAATTAATTCAATACAGCAGATTATGCAAGTGACATTCAAAGAGGATACCATGTTCCTTTAAGCTGTGATTCCATGGAAATACCTGATATTGATAGTTTGCGTGAAAGAAGTTTAGCAATTGCTTTAGAAAGTGGACTAATTGGAGGACTAAAAGAAGGCGTTCCTGAAATTATTCTTGCTGGACTTGAAGTATACCTATTTATTTATAGATTAAAACTTATTATTATAGTATCATCTAAAAAATGTTTTGGCTATAGTCATTGCAAAAGTTAGATTTCAGAATTTTAGGAGATCCACTCATACTGAAAACTTAAATAATTTTATTTTATTCAATCCAAATAAGCCTAAGAGGAAACAAGAAATAAAAAAGTATTCATCATTAACTATACAAGAACTTGGATTGGCTTTTCAATTGGCACCTTTTTCCTTAGTTGAAACACCTCCTCCTATTACTAGAATATGGGCTACAACATTAACAAATAATGCAACATATCAAGATAATAAAGTAGAAGAAACTATATTAAATGTAATAAAAGAAAATCCTAGATGTAAAAAAAGATTTGAATTAGCATTAGTTTTAGATGAGCTACTTGCTGGAGTGTAATCATTTTGCAACTTAAAATTTAAATATTTAATATTTAAATATTGTAATAAATACACAAATATGTTATCAATCTAGACAGCTTAATATTATGGAACATATAAAAAGATACAATATATAATATTCAATCACTAATGATTATAACGAATAAATATCTAGATATTTATAACCATCTATAGATAAATATATTATAGATATATTTCTCTATAAGTTTATATAAAAACAAAAAATCATAATTAAAAAGAATCATAATAACTAAATTTAGATTAATATTAAATTTTTAATAAAATGGAATTTTATGAACCAGTAATTTAAATGGATAGTTTCTATTTTTCATTCGAAAAATATGTAATAAAAAACTAAAAATAACGAATTGGAATATAATCAATAAGATAATTAAAGCTGTTTGTTTTCTTTTATTAGCAATCTTGGGCGTAAAAACTGTTAATAATATTACAGTAAACATTAATATTAGATCTATTCGAAAATTAATAAATAAGTCAAATAAAAAAAATCTTCACATGTTACGACAATAATATGAGATTCTATACCATATTGTGCATGAGAACTTCTTAAAATATAGGAAGGAGAATTATCGTCCTGACCATTAAATGGAGATTTTCTAATTTTAACAAGCATATACCCAGAATTAAAAATTAAAATGCAAGCCTATAGAAACTATTAATATATTTAAAAAAAAGCAACCAATCTGACCAAACTAAAAATTAGCCATAATTCTTTCCTACTCATAATATAAAATATAAAAGAATGTGTTATTTTAAAAAAAAGTAGAGACAAAAATGCAATAAAACTATAGAAAACTATTTTTCCATAATTTAAAAATTGAACAATATGTATTGGTTCATTGATTTTTTGAGAAATAGCTTGAGCTAGCCATTCAGAAGAAATATCTCTAAATTTAATAAATAATATAAATAAACTAATTTATTAAAATACCCGTCCCTAATATTCAGCATAAGAGGTTTACTGTTTTTTAATGCAGCAGGTCCTACAGTCGCTGGATATACTATGATCGTAGGAATCTTAGTTAATTGCAACTACATAACAATTTAATATAAGAAATATAATTACTGATGATATTACTTGTGCAAATATGTTTGCATTTTCTAAATACTCGAGAACTCCAAAAAATAATGTTTTAGATTTAGGATGTGTTTTATGTCTTGATTTTGCAATAAGTCTAAAACTTGGATAAAGTTTTCTACAGATAAAATCAACAATAACAATCTAAAAATAAAAAAAATAATTACTTGCATACATAACAGTTATATTCTATGCTATTTGTTGTAAACATAACAACAATAGAATAGTTTCTTGGTTTTGTAAGAATAGAATAAATACTTGTACCATCTAATTGAATTATTCCATTATTTGATTCTGCTCTTTTTAAAAAGTCTAGAACAAGATCTTGTGTTGAAAAAACATATGAAAGAAAGGCTAATATTAGGTATAGTTTTTGCAAATTTATTCTCATTTTAATCTAAATGCCCAAAAAAAAATAAAATTTCTAGTTAACGATATATAATATTAAAAAATTAATAAACTTGTTAATTTCTATTTATTTTAGAATCTAGAAATAACTATTATTCAAGTCATATTTCTATTATAATAAATAGATTTTATTAAGAAGAACAGATCTTAAAGCATGATTATTAAAATGAATGTATTTATTTTTGTAATATTACGATTTATGTATTATCTATGTTTTTAAAATATATTTATTTTTTTAATTTTTATCAAGTATTATAAAATCTTGAAACATATTTGATTCTTTTTAAATAAAACAAAGTTGAGTTAAATAATTTTAATTTTTTTTTAAAAAAAATATATAATATAAATTTAGATTTAATATTTGATTTTAATATATAATTTATATTAAGACAACACATTAAATAAATTCAATTTTCATCTTTTAAATATGTTATAAAAGGAAAAACTTATGATTTTTTTTTGAACTATAGATTAAAAACTTTATTATACCTTGGTTTTTGATATATTTCATAATTTTTTTAACTTATTTAAAAACATTAAATATAATGAATAACAGAAAAATTTTATGTCAAATTTGCAATAACCAATATGGAAAATATATATGTCCTCGTTGCAATCAGCGATATTGCTCTTTGATATGTTATCGAAGTCAGGTTTTTCATTTAAGGTTTATAAAACTTATAATTTTTATATGATAGATACATTTGAGATGTTCTGAATTTTTTTATAAAGATAATGTAGAACAAGAAATAAAAAACAGGAAAATAACAAAAAAAGAAAAAACTGAAGTGTTGCATTTTCTTTCTAAATATTCATATAACGAAGATTTTAAAAATTTTAAATTTTTAGATGATAATAAAAAATTATCTGAAAAAATAGAAAAAAGTACTTTAAAAAACAGAATGAAAGATATAGATGTAGGTGAATTCTCTAGAATTTATATTTATGGGGAATCTGATTTATTTTATAATATAGAAAATGCATCTTTTGAGGAAATATGGGAACGGCTTGAATCAAATGAAAGAGAAGAATTTGTACATTTAGCAATGGCTTATAACAATGATGTCAGATAAATATAATGGTTTTGAACTAGATGTTTTTAAAAATAATTTTTGTTTTCTGTATAACATATAAATCAATTCTATAATTTATAATTCTTAATACAAATGATTCAATATTGTGAATCTTTTGCATTTTATTATGCATGTCATTTAAGATAGAGGATTAAATATAGAAGGAGAGTAACATTTTTATTATAAAGTATCTTATAAGATTCATAAATAATAAATTTGTTTCTTAATATATAAAATATATTAATCAATTATAAAATTGAAGAAAAAAAACATATTTGTTGATTTAAACTAGACTAAATTATAATAAAAAAAAATAAATCTTATTAAAACTGTAGACATGTAATATTCTGAATTATTTTAATAGTTGAAACAAAAGTATAATATAGATAGATAACATCTATAGATCAAGACTCTCTATTTAAAGAATTTCAGTGTCATATTTATAAGAGTAATGTAAATAGAAAGAGTTGACGTAAAAAAAATATAAATAATTAATATAAAACGTGTTAATTAAATAGTATAGATTTAAACCAAAGTATGATTTATATTTGAAGTAAATCAAAATCATCGAGCTTAATTTGTTAATATTTGCTAAAACCAGCAATAATATACATACTTTATCATTATATTTTGCAATATTCCTTTTAATTTTACTTGAATCTACCCAAGTTATAAAATCTTCCATGTTCCTAGTGACAAAAAAAGCTGGATCAGTGATAACCTTATAATGCATTAACATTTTTCTAACTCTAAAAAAAAATACCTCAGGACCTATACGAACATGACCATGTTCAACATATTTAACTGCAGTAGAAACAGTCTCGCACATTTTTAGTCTACACATAACAATAGGAAGTCTTCTACGACAAAATGCAGATACTGTAAGTTTATTTTCTACATCAGAAAGTTTTGATGTACTAGTTAAAAGGCCCATATCAAAAAGCTTTTCCAGCAACATTTTCTTATAAAGATCACCGAAAGAATCCTTTAGATCAAGTAAAGATAACTTGTATGCTATTTTTTTCAATAGTCCGACAAGCTGATTATATCTAAATTCCCGACCTTAAATATTTTTATAAATCTATTTCTCTGTCAAAGCTTACTTAAAATAATCTTCTCTTTTTTGAATATGATATCGTCTTATAACATTTACATCTCTGTGATTATTATCATCTTTTTTGTAGTTTAAAAAATCATGCTTTTTAAGCAGTTTTTTTTCATGATATTTTAGTTTCCTCAACATATTTTACTGTTATTTCCCAATATTTTTAAAAATTAGATTTTATTTAAAGATTTGTAACAATATTTTCTATAAAGATATTAATCGAATTTTTAAAAGCCGTTTCTAAAAATCTTTGGATTTGTATTTATTTGATAACAAATTGCTAAAAAAATCGAGTTGATTTTTAAATATGAAATTTTTATTTAAAAAACAGAAATTATTTAAAATTTTGATAATTAACTATTTTTTAAAGTTTTATATGCAAAAATTTCAAAAAAAAAGTCTTAAAAATGAAACTATTAAAATATTCGATATTTTTTAATTATTTTAATATACATATTTATATGTTAATAACAATTTACATAAGTTTTTAATTTCATTTAAATAAAATGGTTTATTATTATTATTTAGTTATAAGAAATACTTTTATGTTTTATTTATTTTTAAAGGGACTTTAAGATTGATATTGAATAGAAAAAACATTTTATTTACGAATTATTTTTAGGATTTAATATTATTTAAGAAATATAGGCTAACAATTAGTTTTCTTTTTAAATATTAACAAATATATTAAAATGTAATTTAAATTAAATAAATTTTATTTAATTATTAATATATTTTATGGTATTATCTATTAAATGAAATTTATAATTAATCAAAATACATTATTTAGAATACTGCAGTAAAAAAGATATTTATGGCTACTAGCACTATAAATTTTATGTTTTTCAATATTTTGTTTTCATAATTTAACTAATTTAGATATTGTAAATTAATTTTTTGTTTAGAATAATTTTAAAATCATTTTTAAAAGTATCAATTAATATTTTATTTTTTCATATATTATTAAAAATTTATATGTATGTATTTGTTTAGATTTTTTCTAGAAATTTTGTATATAAATATTTTGAAATAATGTTTTCAATAAAAATTATATATATATTTGAAAACTTGATCATTATTTAATAGATCTTTGATTTTTACAAAATAAAAAGGCAATTAATTTTTATTAGTGTTGATATTTGTTCCTAGTAAATATTTAAATATGGGTTAAGATTTTTTAATATTTTTAACGTTTAATTTAAATCTATTAACATTTTTTCAAAAATTTATTAAAACTTTTGTTAAAACTAAAATATAATTTTCTTTAAAAATTATTTTTTAAGTATAAATTCAAAACATTATGTATTTTAAATAAGTCATTATTATAGTTAATTTTACAAATAATATATATCAATATTTTAAACAATAAATTCAAAATGTATTAAAGTATCGGAAAAATCCTTTATTTTAAATGAACATTTTTAAAAACTATTATCTATGTATATTAATATTTTTAAGATAATATTATAATATTTTTTACAAGTATATTTTAAAAATATTCAAGACCTTTGAACATTTCGATTTTAATATGATAGATGAACATGTATTACACTAACTCAAAATCATTATTAATCAATATAGAAACAATCTATATTAATCTATATTTAAAGTTAAAGTCATGTTTCTTTGCATTTACTAAAACTTTTTTTTTTCCAACATATTTAAAACAATTAATTACACAATAGGAAAATCAATACTTTACTTTAAAGAAGATTTGATTTACAAAATTTTAACACCAAGAATTAATATCTCTTAGTTTATTAATATTTTATCGAGGCTGAAATGTTCTAATTGAAAAAAATAGTTGAATTTGTTGATGAAAAAGTTGTAATTTAAAAATATATTTGACAATAAAATATTAATAAATCTAATTTCAACAAATAAATAACAAAAAAAATACATAAAGAATCTAAACATAGATTTTTTAAAATAAAACAGAAAAATATTTCAGAAAAGACAATGCAGTGCACTTTTTGAAATAAAGGATCATTGGTAAATTCAATCGCACGATTTCGTTTCCAATATATGTTAATAAAGATTGTGTTAAGGCATATTTAGAAAATGAGTTATTATGTATTGTGATTCTTAAATTAGTTGCTTCTATTTAAAGAATAACAATTGATTAGATTTGCATAGAAAATATTTTTTTTGTAATTCAAATGCTAATTGCAATTTTTATGATTTAAAAAAATAAATTTTTATCTAGAATTTTTAATTAAATTTCTTTTTATTATTTTTGATAGAATTTGCATCTAAATTTAGTAAGTATTTTAAACATCTAAATACCTATATACATGTTTTCCATTAAAAAAGAGTTAATTCTAATTTTGATTTAACTTTTTTTATTTCTTCAAGACATTTAAAATACGGATCAATGTCTTCAATAACTAATACAACAAATAGTCATTTCCAATTGTGCTTCTTTGATGAATTATTATTCTTTTATTTATAATATATTTAGCTAAAAAATGCTTAAATAAACACTCAATTTTTCAAAATATTTTCAAATAACCAATGTTTTAAATTTATCTCTTATTTACTTATTAAAGATACAAAAATCTTAAATAAGAACTAGGGTTTATATTAAGGATTAGGTTTAAAAAGATAATCAACGTCAACGAAACCAGCTGTTAAAAAGTTTTAAGAACATACTAAAAAGATTTCCTAAAATCTTTAATAATTAGGAATATTAGAATATGGTAGGTCATATGTAGAAGATATAAAATAGGTTTTTTTTACTAACATACTTTGATAGGGAGTTGATAAAGTAAGCCGTTCTATAAAGAAAAAGAGTAGAACGGCACCTAAATCGGAGAATATTTATATTAAATTACTAGTTAGACTGTACAGGTTTCTAGCACGTATGCGCCTCCTTTATATTAAAAAATAAATTTATGGTTTTGTAAGGTCGTACAGGGTCATCATTTAACCGGACGATACTTAAGCGTTTATTTCAATCTCGTGTAAACCGTCCTCCGCTTTCGATATCTAGGATTATTCGAGCGCTGAAAGGCATAGAATGCACTGATTCCAAAATTGTGGTAGTTGTTGGAACAGTTACAGATGATAATCGTACGTTGGAAATCCCTAAATTATCAATTGCTGCACTGCGAGTTACAGCATCTGCGCGTGCCCGTATTCTTAAGAGCGGTGGCGAAATTTTAACTTTAGATCAGCTGGCTATTCGTGTGCCTTTAGGGAACAATGTTATTTTGTTAAGAGGAAAAAAGAATACTAGAGAAGCGGTTAAACATTTTGGAATGGGTCCTCATAAGGTTTATTTCATTTATTTTATTTTTAAATGTTTATCAATACTAAATTATATAGCATAAGAAACCTTATGTTAGAAGTAAAGGAAGGAAATTCGAAAGAGCTCGTGGACGTCGTCGAAGCCGAGGTTTTAAAGTTTAAAAATTCAAGGTCTGAATAGAAATTTAATATTATACAAGATTTAAACTATTTTTTTGTTATAAAACCTCTTAGTAAATATAATTTTATTTTTTTAATTTATATTTTTATAACTTCGTAACGAAATCTTTACGAAGCATGACTTGTTCACATCTTCTGCAAATTCATACTCCAGATGCAATACAAAATATTTATAGCAGAGAATGCACACAATGCTTTGATTCTTGGGATAATTTATTAGGTATTGATGTATGTCTTTTTTGTTTTAATGCAGGATGCTTGGACAAGCAAAGGCATCATGCACTAACTCATTTCGAACGAACACAGCATCCACTTGTTGTGAATATTAGAAGGATAACAAAAAATATGGATGTAATGTTATAAAGAATTTACAGAAAGAATTAAAATTGATGTATAAATAGCAAAGAAACAAATCTTTACAGAAACAAAGAAAATTGGTTATTGAAGAAAAGATTGAAGCATATGATATTCAAACATGTGTTAAGTGCTATTCATGCAAGATTTCAGATATATGTGATGAATCTGGTCATGTATTTCTTATTTTCTTCAGTGTAAACGATAATAGTAACTTTTTCAAAGTTAAAAAATGTTATTGATTCTATCTTATCATCGCCTTCATCTATACAGAAAAATGAAATGAAATCATGGGAACAGGAAATAACATGTTGTGAACATGCATTTTCTTTGTTTCAAGATGAACGAGTCAATGATTATCGACTTTTTTCATCATGCATCCAATGCGATTTAAAAGAAAATTTATGGTTATGCTTACAATGTGGAAATGTTGGTTGTGGGCGTCGTCAAAACATTGGAATTGAAGGAAATGGGCATGCGTTGTTGCATTTTGAAAAAACCTCGCATCCTATAAGCGTTAAACTTGGAACAATTACACCAGAAGGAACAGTAGACATATACTGTTATCTTTGTAATGATGAAGTCCTTGATCCAGACCTTCCGGCCCACTTAAAGCATTGGGGGATAGATATTAATGAACATGAGAAAGTAGAAAAAAATTTAATCGAGCTTCAACTTGAGCAAAATATGAAATGGGATTTTGTTTCTTTTGATAGTAATAGCAAAAATGAAAAATTATTATCTGGTCCTGGGCTTGTAGGTCTTAAAAATTTTGGAAATACATGTTATCTTTCATCTGTTTTGCAAGTAATATTTTCTTTTAAGGTATTTCAGGAACGGTACTTATAATATTATATGTCATTTTTCATTAGTTAATTATATAGATATATGTCATCTTTTCAAGAACATCCACTACATTGCAAGTTTTCATCTCCATCTTTATGTCTTGAATGTCAATTAAATAAAATAGCAGATGGACTTATATCTGGACGTTATTCTACTTCTACAGAAAATATGAATTCTTTAGAAAGAATAAGATATGAAAATGCAATAACACCCTCTATGTTTAAGATGCTTGTAGGGAAAGATCATCCTGAATTTTCTACTATGAAACAACAAGATTCCTTTGAATTTTTACTTCATCTTTCAAAATTAATATCTCAAAAAAGCCGTGCATCTAATTTATATGATCCTACTACAGTCTTTCGTTTTCGTATTGAGCAACGATTACAATGTCTTTCATGTAAGTGTGTAAGATATAGTTCACACGATCAAGATAACATTTCTCTTTCTTTTCCTACAAAAAACGATTCTGATGATGAAAGTATTCTTAAAGAAATTACTCTGGAAGAGTGTCTTGATTTATATACTAGTGATGAAAGTATCGTATATTTCTGCAAAAGTTGTGGAGAAAAAGGAAATGCTAATCGACGAAACCTATTTTCAACTTTCCCTGAAATTTTTGTTATTAATATTCAGCGTTTCGAATTAGTAAATTGGGTTCCTAGAAAACTGGGTATTTATTTGTTTCTAATATTTATATTATTTATAAAAAATAGATGTATCTATTATTTTTCCTGAAGATAAAATTAATTTAGATAAATATTTATTTGAAGGAATTCCATCTAATGAAAATGTACTCTTTGATGATCAAAAAAACTCTTTATCTAATGAGCCGTTAATTAATATGGAATATTGTAAACAGTTGCATAGCATGGGATTTACATGGGCACAATCTAAAAAAGCACTTATAGAGACAGAAAATTCAGGAGTAGAAGCAGCAATGTTATGGATTCTATCTAATAGGGATTCCTTAAATGATGACAATACTTTTGAGTCAGTCTTTCCTAAAATAGATGACAAACAAATAAAAATTTTAGAAGACATGGGCTTTACATCCTCTCAAGCAAGAAAAGCATTAAAAGAAACTGTATGCATCTATTTTTTTCATATTTTTCTGATCGTTTTAAGGATTCAAATACAGAACGTGCAATAGAATGGTTATTTTCACATCCAGATGATAATATTAATGATTTTGAAATAAATAAAAATGGTATGACAGGCCTCAATAAACTTCCAGCAACATACAAATGTCAAGCGATTATTTGTCATAAAGGTGGAAGTGTTCATGCGGGACATTATGTAGCTTTCATTAAAAAACATATTTTTGATAAAGAAGAATGGATTTTGTTTAATGATGAGAAAGTAAGCCAAGTCAATGATATTAATGAAGCGCACAAAACTTCATATATATATTTTTTCCAAAGAATTTAAGACATTTTTAATTATTATTTCATAAATATTTATTATAATCTGCGTTGTCTCTTATGGGATTTTTAAATTTGATGTTATGAACATATAATTTAGTTGAACTCAAAAGCTTTAAGTTAAGTTATTATTATTATAGATATATATAATGTTCTATTAAAATTCAAATGTCAAATCTTAAGATTGATTTTTTAATATATGTATGAAAAATATTTTAACTGAAAATCTAAATTATCAGTTTAGGATATTATTAAGTCATAAGATTTATAAAAAGTCATAAAAATTGTTTATAATTTTGAAGATTAGGTGTTTAATTAAATTTTTAAAAATAATATGATATATAAAACTTTTTAAAAAGTATAAATTTATATATTTCAAATATTTTAAAAAAAATCTTAACAAATAATTATTAATATAATATTAACTAAAATATAACATTTTTAGTATTCTGAAAACAAATACAATCATTTAATCCTATTTTTTAAACAAAATAAGCCTTTTTTGTATTTTTGATATTAAATATGATATTTAAAGATTCGTGTTCTGAAAAAATAGAAAATCCAAAGTAAAAATTATTTAAACATAATATCTATTTTATTGATTTATTGCTTTATAATATTAAATAAGGGAGTTTGGATTTTGTTTTAGAAATTAAAAATTTAAAAAAAATCAAAACTATTTAAACAACAAATGACAAATATTAAAAAAATAGCAATTGTTGGAGGTATAATAAAAAAAAATCAATAAAGCGTTTTTGATAGTATAATCTCTTAGGAGGACCCGTTGGTGCTCTTTCGGCTCTTTTTTTTGGAAAGGATGGATGGGAAGTAGAATTATATGAGCGAAGATGTGGTAAAACCCTTTTTTTATATTAAATAAATATTTTATTTTTTAAAAGATATAAGAAATTCAGTAAATGACAGCCTTTCTGTTCGAAAATCTATAAATCTTGCGTTATCAGAACGAGGAATTGAATCTTTACGCCATATTGGCCTTGATAAAGTTATTTTGGAAAATACTATCCCTATGTATGGAAGGATGATTCACAGTACAGAAGGGAAACAAATGAGTCGAAGATATGATGTATATGGAAGAGTATTTTTCTTTTTTTTTTTTTTTTATTAATTTTATAGTATATTAACTCTATTGATCGTAAATGGCTTACAGCAAAATTACTTGATGAGGCTGAAAAACTTTCTAATGTTAAATTATTTTTTGACTGTAAAGTTGTGGATTGTGATTTTGATACAGGAACAGTTTGGTTTAGAAGAAAGTATGTTATTATTATTATTCTAAAGGAAATTTACTTTTTAAAATAGCCATGATGTAAATAATTTAATTAAAACTAATGTAGACCTTATTATTGGATGCGATGGAGTTTATTCCACTGTTAGGCAATCTTTAGAAAAGAAAATAATGTAGGGGTTTGTTTTTTTAATCAACAAATAAGTTAATTCGTTTATAGGGTTGATTTTGAAAAAAAATATATTGATAGGTAATTTTTCTACAGAAAAGTGTATTTGACATAGTTCTCACATGGATTTAAAAGTATGTGGTGTGAATTTAGTATACCAGCTCTTATCAAAGATGAGGCAATGCATTATGCTATTGAACCCAATTATCTTCATATATGGCCACGTAAAACATTCATGTTTATTGCGCTTCCAAATACAGTAAGATTTTAAAACTTTGTAAACTTTCTAATAATTAGAACAAAACTTTTACTTGTACACTATTTATGCCTAAAACTATGTTTGAGAAAATAGAAACAGAATATGATCTTCTAGAATTATTTAGCCAAAATTTTCCTGATCTTATAAATCTTATAGGTCATAATGAGCTTGTAAAGCAATTTTTTATGAATCCTAAATCCCCTCTTCTAACAATAAAGGTTAGGTATCTATTTTAAGTTAAATATTGAACTAATGCTTTATCAGTGTAAACCTCATTTCTATAAGTCAAAATGCGTTATTATTGGCGATGCATCACATTGTATGGTTCCATTTTATGGACAAGGAATGAATTGTGGCTTTGAAGATGTTAGATTGCTTTATCAACTTATAAATTTGAATTCTACAAACCTAGAAAAAGCTTTGATAAATTATTCAAGCACAAGATATGTCGATGTTGTTGCTATGTGTGACTTGGCACTGCATAATTGGGAAGATATGAGATCATCTATCTCTCAAGGATATGCAATAAAAAAAATCATTGAAGATTTCTTATATTTACGATTTCCACTTCTTGGAATTGTTCCTTTATATACAATGATTAGTTTTTCTAATATTCGCTATTCTCTAGCACTTGAAAAATGGAAAAGGCAAAGGAAAATATTAGATTTTTTAATATATACGGGCGGAATTGGAACATTCGGGGGTATAATGTATCTTGTTACACGAATTATTTTTAAAGGCATGAAGTTTCTAGCTAATTAAATTATAAGCAGCATATTCATGTTTTTTAATAAATACTATATTGTACAATAAGATTAATAATAATGATTTCATTAATTTTCTACATTGATTATTATGTGTCTCTTTTTTCCTAACTTTAAAATAAGAAATTTCTTTCCAATAAGCCAATCTTCTGTGACATGTGTCAATGGATTAGTTATTTTTTCTTTATTATTACACACTCCGCCATTCTGTATTAATTTATTTATTTTTGCTAAAATTTATTAATTTTTATTAATATATATGTATTTAAAACCACATTTACTTGAAATAACTTTACTTTCTCTAATTATTTGAGATATTGTCATTCCAATAACTTTTTTTTTACTTAAAGTAATAATATCTTGTTTATCCGACAATACCTTAAAAATATGAGAAATTTCCAATTCTTTATCTTTTTCTTGATTTGAAAATAACAATTTCGCAACAGTTCTAGATTTTTCCATTTCCTCTTGTCCATGAATTAGCATAACAATCTCTTCTGCAAGTTTATGCTGCGCATAGCGTTTCTCTGGGTTATTAGAATGTTGTTTTATAATTTCATAAATAACATCTAAAGGAAGAAGTGTGAAAAATTTTAAATATTTTTCAACAATTTCATCTGAAGATTGTATAAAATACTATATATTAGATAATATAATATAATAAAACATAAGATACTTGATAAAGTTCATAAGGGCTAAACATATCAGGATTAAGCCAAATAGCATTTCCCGAACTCTTCCCAATTTTCTCTCCATTTTTCTTAAGTAATAGAGGCACAATCATCCCATATGGTTCTTTTCTAAATATTAATGAATCTGTTTGGTTTTCCTGAGGATTCATTTTATTAATAAGTTCTATTCCTGAAACAATATTTCCCCATTGATCGCTACCTCCTATTTGTAGCGAAACATTATGATGTTTATTCAAATACCAGAAATCATACGCTTGAAGCAACTGATAAGTAAATTCGCTATAATTAATCCCTCGATCTGATTCAAGTCGATTTTTCACGCTAATGATATATTAAACAGTATAACTAGTTATTTTCTTGAATACCTATCTCTTGAAAGCATTCTTTTCAATCGAATATTCGATCCAACTATTTTTAAAAAGTCAAAAAGTGAAAGCTGATTATACCATGTTAAATTATTAATAATATAATATTTTCCAATTTTTGAAGAGTCATATCCTCGCTTAAGTGCATATGCTGTCCCGTTTTTAAAAAATTTATCGAGCTGATTCTCAATTTTTAAACAATTATCAGTTATACATTCTAAACTCATATTTTTTCTTTCTTTCATTTTACCAGATGGATCTCCAATACGTGATGTTCCGCCACCAACCTTATAATAAAATTCATTATTAATATTACATCTTAAATATTTCTTCCTACTATTCCGTAACAAAAATGCCCTTTTAAATAAAAATGAAGAAGAGGCAGTAATACGACTAGATGTCCAATATGAAGCGATGCTCCTGTAGGATCCACACCCATATATACTGAAATATTGTTAGAATCTATTTCATCCTTTAATTTCGAACTATTCTTATTCGTTTAATTTATATTCTTCGCTAATGAATATATATTATACCTTGATATCATTTGTATAAGTCCACGAGCCTTTAATTCATCAATAAGAGGTGCTTTTTTTTCCATGTTTTTTGAAATAATATGAGAAGACCTTATAAGAAAGCTTCCTATATATTTTTTATAGTTTATCATTAAGAATTTCTTGAGTTTTATTGTTTTTTCTATAATGATAGAGCCCTTTATAGCGCCGCTGACGTTCAAAAAAAGTATACGGTTAGAACGTATAGAAAAAAAAGTAAATGAAAAGGGAATGAATAATGAAGGGGTTTTTATTAAAAAAGAAGAGTCTATAAAAGGAGATATTGATATAGATTATGAAGGTTATGAAGATGACTCAGGAGATTTAGATATGTCAAGAATGAGAAGTAAAGTATGGCTTGTTAAAGTTCCAAAATTTCTTTTGGATAGATGGGAGCTAATTAAGGAGGATGGAGTTGATCTTGGTGTTATCCGTATTGAGAAGTAGGTGTTTTTCTATTTAAAAGTAATAAATATTAATGAAATTATTAGTAACAAATTGGATAATGTAAATTAATAGTAAATTTTAAAAAAAAACTAATATTGAAGATTAAGCTCATAATACCTAATATTGAGGGGAATAAGGATTTACCTTTGGAATATAATGTGTTTGTGATGAATCGACATACACGTAATACGTATGTTTTTGCAGAAAAAGATTTGAAATCAGTGCAAAATACATCAGATCAGACATTTTTATCGGAAAGATATTCTGAAAAATATCATAATCCGTGTAAATCTTTACAAAGTGTGTATATTGTATATTTCAAATAATTTTTTAATTTTTTTAAAAAGAGCATATTGCACTTGTTGGGACAATTGCTCATGAATGTAATATATCACCTATTATTAATGAACAGTATCGGAAAGTTATGCAGACACGATCCAGGATTGCTTCTCAGCCTAAACGGAAAATACAAATGCTTAATAATTATAATGCTCTTACAGGGAATTTTATGACTTTAGGAATACCTGAAACAAATACGCTTCGATTTAGCAATTTCATTGTAATTCCTTTATTATTTGAAAGACTAATTATTTATATTCTTCTTAGAAAAATACCAAAAAAAATTCTCAAGATCAAAAAGCATCTCGATTGCCACGTAATGAACTTCTTGATATATTATTCAAATGTTTTGATGATTACGACTATTATTCAATGAAGACTTTGAAAGAAATTACGAAACAACCTGAAGTTCTAATATTTTTTAAATTTATTTTTCTTACTTTAATAGACATATCTTAAAGAGGTTCTGGAATCAATAGCGGTATTACTTAAAAAAGGACCGTATATTATGAAATGGACACTTAAAACTGAGTTTAAAAATAAAAACCATATGGCTATAAATGAAATAAAACAATCTAACCCTAATAAATCCACATCTACTTTACATAATTCTTATTTGACTCATGAAGGCGTTAGCAATAATGAGGGAACAGATAGTAATGATAAAATAATGCAAGATGCTTTATGAATTATATATTAGGTTCTTGATTAAAATACAAATTATTTTGTATATATGTTTTTTTTTGTTTTCAAAATTAGATTCTTATTTTTATTTTTAATAGATATTTTTAAAAACTCTAAATTTTCTGTAATTTTTTAATCATTTTAATTTTTGTATCTTTTAATCTCACCAAAAAATAAATTATTAAGAATAAAATGGAAAATGATAATGATTATCTAGAAAATTCATGTCGAACAGATTCTGTATCAAAGAAGGAGACAAAAGGACCTCAAAATTCTATTTTTCCTAAGACAGTAATGTCAAATGACCCTTATATTCGGTTAAAATATCTTCAACGACATTTAGAAATGTTAGAATTGCAAGAAACATTTATTAAAAATGATCAAAAAAGTCTTAAAAGAGAACTTGTTCGTGCACAGGAAGAAGTAAAGCGAATTCAAAGCGTACCTCTTGTTATTGGACAGTTTTTGGAAGCTATTGATGAAAATACAGGTATCTTTTTATATATTATTTTAAAAAAGTATATTAAAAGTATAATTAGCGATTGTTGGATCTACAACAGGATCGAATTATATTGTTCGTATTCTCTCAACACTTGATCGAGAACTTCTTCGTCCTTTTTCTAGTGTTGCTTTGCATAGGCACAGTAGTGCTCTTGTTGATATTTTACCTCCAGAAGCAGATAGCAGTATTGCTATGCTTCGTCCGGATGAGAGGCCAGATGTTACTTATCAAGATGTTGGAGGACTTGATATGCAAAAACAAGAAATTAAAGAAGCAGTTGAACTTCCTTTGACCCAAGCTGATCTTTACAAACAAATTGGTATATATACGTTTAATATTATTTCAATCTAGGTGATATGCTCTCTAGGTATTGATCCCCCGAGGGGTGTTTTACTATATGGGCCTCCTGGAACTGGTAAAACTATGCTTGTTAAGGCAGTTGCAAATTCTACTACTGCAAGTTTTATACGGGTCGTTGGAAGTGAATTTGTTCAAAAATATCTTGGAGAAGGACCTCGAATGGTACGTGATGTCTTTAGACTAGCTAGAGAAAATGCGCCTTCAATTATTTTCATTGATGAGATTGATGCTATTGCCACAAAACGATTTGATGCACAAACTGGTATTATTATTATAGATAAATATTATATGTTAACTTATAATTTTCAGGTGCTGATCGTGAAGTTCAGCGTATTCTCCTTGAATTATTAAATCAGATGGATGGTTTTGATCAAGGATCTAATGTTAAAGTATATAATATATATACTTAGTTATATATTATGAAGCGATTTTTAGGTTATTATGGCTACCAATAGGGCAGATACTTTGGATCCAGCGCTACTTCGGCCTGGACGTTTGGATAGAAAAATTGAATTTCCAAAAACTGATAGGTTTATTTTATAAAATTTATAATAATACATATTAATGTTTTTTAAGACGTCAGAAACGACTTATATATAACACGATTGCCTCAAAAATGTCCCTTTCTCCTGAAGTTGATCTTGATAGTTTTATTCTTCGGTAAAATAAATCCTTATATTAAATTTTTCTAATTATTAAAAGTCCTGATATAACATCTGGTGCCCAAATTGCTGCTGTTATGCAAGAAGCAGGCTTGGTCGCAATTCGTAAAAGTCGTTATCTTGTTATTCATTCAGGTCTTTATCTTATTTAATTTTTAATTCTAATCTTTTCTTAGATATAGAAGAAGCATATCGATCTCAAATTCAAGAAGCTGATTCTGAAAAATTTACTTTTTATACCTAAGTTTCAAAAATACTTGTATATACATTCAATATTTATGTTTTATATAATTTAATCTTGTTTCATTTCACTATAACATTTTAGAAAATAATAATCATTCATTCTTTATAATCTTTAAAAAAAAAACCTAATCGTCTTTTTTGTTTATTAGTTTTTAAACGTATTTGGGCATATAGGCTTAGATTTTTTATTTATTTAAACTTCTGTATTTTTTATTTTTTTCTGGTTTTGAATATTTTCATCAATTGATTTTAAAATGTCTATTGTCAATATATTGTCTATTGATATATTGAATAATCCAGCTCCTTTTCTATCACCTTATGAGTTTGAAATTACGTTTGAATGTTTAGAATCTCTAAAAAATGGTAGGTACATTACATTTTTTATTTTTAGTTCATAAACAAATTAGATTTAGAATGGAAATTAACTTATGTTGGTTCAGCAACTTCTACATTACATGATCAAGAACTTGATAGCCTTTTAGTTGGACCTATACCCATTGGAATTAATAAATTTTTGTTTCAAGCAGATCCACCTACGGCAGAACTTATTCCTAAGAAAGATATTCTTGGTGTTACTGTTATATTACTCACATGTGCTTATGATAGTCGAGAATTTGTAAGAGTTGGATATTATGTTAATAATGAGCTTCCAGGAGTATTATTGAGAGACGATGGTACTCCAGATGTCGAAAAATGGACAGTAGAAGATGTTCAACGTAATATTCTTGCAGAAAAACCTCGTGTAACTAGATTCAATATACGGTGGGATGGAGAGGGAGGTGAAGAAATGCCTCCTGTACAAGATGATGTAGAAGAAGACGAAGAAATAGTAGATTTTGATTTATTTTTTTTTAAAAGTCTAATTTTAATTTAGTATAGTATGGAAGAACAATTTGAAGATTTTCTTGAAGAAACTGAATACGATGAGGAAGCAATTGAAATAGATTTGGAAGGAGAAGAAACTAGTGAATCCAATAACTCCTAAAAGATTAAAATACAAAAGATAAAGAACATATTTATATTAAAAAAACAGAACATCAAAACTAGATTTATAAAGCTCTATAAATCTCAAAAATAATATAAGCAAGAATCTTTGTATAATAAAACAAATGAATATGAAAATGAATGTATATAAATATTTCCCTTATATATTGAGATAAAATTAATTAGATCAATATCTAACTTTTTCAGTTTGCATAAGAACATCCGAAAACTCTTCATAAGGAGTTGCTGTATAAGGAATTTCTTTCCATAAATTAGGTGTCAAAAAACTATAAGTATTCCCAATAGCTATAAACGTAGCTTTAACAAAATTTCCAAGAGTTCGCGTAGCTCCACGAGATGATGTATAACAATCCTGAATACCAGCAAATTGAAGAAGGCGTTTAGGAGTAGGTGCAGCAACAATACCTGTTCCTCGAGGTGCAGGAACAAGACGGCACATCGATGAACTACATTTTCCACTCACTTTTACACAAACAGTATGAGGATCTCCTAAAGAAGATCCCCAATATCCTCGACGAACTGGAATTACTGATAATTTGGCAAGAATAATTGCCCCACGTATAGCAATAGCCACTTCCTTAGAACATTTTACACCAAGACCTACATGCCCATTTGAATCTCCAACTACAACAAATGCTTTAAATCGAGTCCTCTGTCCTGCACATGTTTGCTTTTGAACTGGCATAATTTTTAATACTTCATCCTTCAATTTAGGCAAAAACCAATCAACAATCTGATATTCCTTGATAGGAAGAGAATAAAGATAAATTTCCTCGATTGAACGAATTTTTCCTGCTTTAACAAGTCTTCCAAGTTTTGTTACTGGAACCCAAGTATCTTCCTTCTCCTCCTTATGGCCCCTTCCTCGTCCTTTGCCACGACCAAATCCTGTCCTCTCCGTTGCTGGAGCCATCTTTTATCAAAAAACTTAATTCGATTTTAAAAGGCTTTTAAAAAAATCTCGAGCTTGTGAAAGTTAAAAAGGGCAGTCACAATAATGTAAATAATATAAAAATAAAGAAAATGATGTATATTATATACAAATAATAACAATGAAAAGGCGTTAATCAGATCTAATAATCTGTATGAATTTTTTTGAGGCAACTTCCTTAGTTGCAGATTTTTTTTTCGAAGCGATCAAAGCCTTAAAGATTAGAAAAAAAAATATAAAAAATAAATCATAATACCCTTTTTAAAGAAACCTTAGCATATGGATTAAGACGAAGCAAAATACGACGGTTTCTAAGGGGATTTTTCTTTTGAGAGATTTTACGTCGTGTTTGTCGGGGTCCTTTAGGTTGAAGAACCATTTGAATTTCGCTTGAATTAATAATACGAGTGATATCGGGTTGAGTAACGATATTAGATGGCAACATATAATTTTTCTTGAGAATAGCAGGCTCTTGTGTTGTACCATATAATGAATCGAGTAATTCAAAAGCGGATTGTGTCCATATAATGAATCGACCAATATGGCCACCTGGAGCCAATTGAAGAAGATTCAATGCACGAACATTAACAAGTTCTACGCCAGGAACATTTCGAAAAGCCTTAACAATACCCTTGTCTTTTTCATAAACAATAAGAGGACCACGTCTCTGACGATATCGACGGTTTCTCATTTTGCCCTTTCCTGCTCGAAGTTTGCGTGAATTAATCACTTTAACAACATCTGGGTATGCTTTAAGAGAATTTAAAACACGAATTGCTTCACGTGTTTTATCAAGAGACTCTATTTCCCCCGAAACTACTAATGGTATCTCAGGAACCATCTCAATACGATGACCTCGTGCTGTTACTAATGAAGGAATAGCTGATGCTGCCAATGCGGAAACAATTGCAAAACGCTTTTGATTAAGATTGACTTTAACATGCCATTTTCTCCATATCTTTGTTGGTGCAAACATATGTCCTCCTCTACACATATTACCATATCTTTATATATCTGTTAGAATTTTTTTTTCAATCCAAAAATAAACATACGCTGCCTGACCTGCCCTATGAGTACCTCCTCCTGAAACACGAGGAATACGTGAAACTGCTCGTCCAGTTCCCCATGATTCGGCCGACGTCTGATGACCTGCTAAAGCACTTACTGCATAAGGCTGTCGTCGATTCTTAGAAACTGCTGTATGAACCATTTGTATAAGATCTGGCCGTATAGGCGCCTCCAAAACACTTGGAAAACAAACAGTAGATCCTGTTTGAACACCTAATTCACTATAAATATTGATTTGAGGACGACTTATGCTCATCTCGTTTTTTTAATCTCCTGTTCTTCGGCTTTTTAAGATTTATAAAAGTAGTCACAGAACTATAAAAATAAATAGATAAATAATATCAAGGAATCTTAAGATTTTCCTAAACTACTTATCAATATTTATTTTTTTTTATTATTTTATTAGATTTATTTAAATTTAAATAAAAATCTTAAATTTTTTATTTTACTAAAAAATTTTAACGGTTTCTAATAAGAAAAACTAAAAAAATTAACTTTTTTTTATTGTATAATTAAAAATTAGGAAAATGGGGTAAGTTATTTAATTTTTCTTAAGAAGAAAATAACAGGACTTATTAGTGCCTATAAATATGTTGAAGGTATGTTTATGAATAAGATTTTAGGAATAATAAAATAATTTTTTAATAAAAATATTTAATTTTTTTTAAAATGACTAATATATTTAGAATTATACAAACATAAACAGTCGGATATTCTTAGATTTCTTTTAAGATTACGTTGCTGGTAGTTTTATTTTATTTTTAAGATTTAAAATATAATGAATAAAGGGAATATCGTCAATTAAATGTTATTCATCGAGCATCTCGTCCATCCAGGCCAGATAAAGCACGTCGACTTGGCTATAAGGCTAAACAGGGATATGTGATTTATCGTATTCGTGTTCGTCGTGGAGGGCGTAAACGACCAGTTCCCAAAGGGGCAACCTATGGAAAACCTACTAATATGGGTGTAAATCAACTTAAATATCAGAAGAGTTTAAGAGTGACTGCAGAGGAACGTGTTGGTAGAAGATGCTCAAATTTGAGGGTTCTAAATAGTTATTGGGTTAATCAGGATTCTACTTATAAGGTTTGAAGGGTTGAAATGGGAATTAGGTTTTAATTAGGTAGTATTACGAGGTTATTCTTGTTGATCCTCATCATAAAGCTATTCGTCGGGATCCTCGTATTAATTGGATTGTAAATGCAGTTCATAAACATCGGGAAGCTCGTGGTCTTACAGCAATTGGAAGGAAATCTAGAGGGGTTTCAGGTAAAGGACATTTATATAACAAAAGTTCATGTGGAAGGAGAAAAATATGGTATAGTACTCTTATTATTTGTTTTTATTTTTAACAATTTTATAGGAAAAGGCACAATACATTATCTCTTCGTAGATATCGTTAAAATTCTAGTTTTATTTACATTTTATATCTAATAAATATTTGAGTTGAATATTATTTTATAGTTTTTTCCTCGATTTTAAAAAAAGCTTAAATAATGTTTCAGTCAAAAAACATGTTCATATATCATTATTTATAACATAACATTAATATGTCTATATTCTTTTAAAACATTAAGCGCATTAGAGAATCTAGTAAGATCAAATGTAATTAGAAGTTTTTTAATAGTTCTAAAAATGTATTTTGACAATGATTAAAATCGAGATAAATTAAATTATCATTAAATAAATTAAAATCTGTTATCCTGAAAAATTATTCAATTAATGATTACCTAATAATAAAAATAAATACCCCTTTTACACAATTTAAAGCAATGTGTCCTTGTTTTTTTGCTATTATTGTATCTACAATCCAATACTGTAGTATATTCATTCTAAAAGTATAAACATTAGTTTATTTCAATAAAGAGAGACAATGATAACATTAAAGGAATAAACTATTTTTTATAAGTTTAATGATAAAAAATGTTGAATAACATACAAACATAGTAAAAAATATTTGTAATTTTTCTTCACTACTAGTCCAAGAAAGTAACCAATTCGCAGTATTATCTAACATAGGTATCCTAAGAATCGGATAGACTGAAATTTTCATACATATAAGACCAAAAATATATATGAACCTATGAAATATATTACTTCAAATGTGTTATTATCAAATTACAAACAATTGTTTCCACCACCAAGTAATTCGAGGAGGATCTCCATCATAATCACCTGATTTAGTTCCAATGCAACCCATAGATTTGCAAATTCTTCCGATAAATCCAAGAACTATCCAAAGGATAGGAACTCCTATTGTTGTATCAATCTAGGTTTGATTATAGAATCTCACAAATTCATATATATCTTTACCATAATATTCAGAAGATACCTTATATAATGAATAAATTCAATATTCTAAAAAACAATATTCATATTACCATATGCATGGATTAGAAAAGCCATGTTCTTGATTAAATCCAATAATATCAGAAATCAAAATATTTAAAATATGAATTACTCCTGCACCAATAATTTGTTTTGAAACATCAAAAAACCTTTATATATCATTAGAAATGCTTAAAAATAGAAGAAAATATATTATTCTTATAATCTATATCTTCAACAATTTACCATATTCTAAAAGATCTCCGAGGATATTCCCAATGTCGTTTAATTAAAAGTGAAAAAAGTACAAAAGCCCCTAAAATTTCTTGAACGAAAAGTGAGAATGGACTTAATATTCTGCAGTCTAATATCTCTTTTTGCACATTTTTCATTTTATATGGATTTGTTTTTGAAAAAGTTTTTAAATAAGTGGATATCGAAATTTAAGCAATTAACGAAAAATATGTAGTATTAAAATATGAATTATATATAATTTGATCCATAATATTATAGTAATTTTTTCTCAAAAGCTATTTCTAATAAATATATTCATTTAAAAAAAATTAAAAATCAATAAATATGATTTATAAATATTATTTTTTACTATCAATGTACATTTGATTAGATTTCTTATTATTATTGTTAGTATTCTATATTTGTGAAATTAGTTTTTTTTATGATAAGAAAATACCTTAAAATCTTTATTAGAATCAAAAAGCTGATCACGATCTATTGATAATCCAACAGATATTAAAAGTACTATGAGAGTAATTGCCTAAAATATTATATCATTTAATTTTTTTGGGATTTAAGGATAATTAATCTATATATTACCTGGGCATACATTCTAGCTTGAACCAATTTTTGAGTTTTAGTAAGATATTTATCTTTCCAAAGAAATGACATAGATCCAATCATTCCCAATACCCAAGACCCCCCTATAATTTTCCATTTGTTTTCTAAACACCATTTAAAGAGGATACTTTGTATGTTGGAATTTTCGATAGATTTAACAGGATTGAAGGGACCATATTTACTTTCCTGGTACTTTTTTGATGCATTATCTGAAGATATTACAAGTGCAGTCTGAAATATATTAGAAAGTTTGTAAATAGCTTAGATTGAATAATTACTGTTGCTATACTAGAAATAAAAAAAGACTAATCATATAATCATTAGCTTTAAGAAAAACCATTTTTCAAAACTAAAACTTTTATTGGAAGTGTTAATTGTCTGAATTTGCTCCTAAAATTGATTATTATTTATTTTAATAAAAAACAAAAGTAAATATACCATTTTTGATTTAAAATAAAAGCACAGGGGATTGAAATAGCTAATGCTATTATACCAGACTTAATACCAGAATTTATTACTATACGGTAATGTTCTAATTGATGCAAATATTATTATTTTATTTATAATTCAAATTAACCTTCTTCTTCTTCTTTAGAAAAAATTTTCTAAGAATTATTAGCAATACAATATAGTCAATAAAATATAAGTACCATAATGTAGCATGGAATATACTGGTATTATTAATAATATTTTATTTAATCTTTTTTTTTGAGGGATAATAAATCCTTTTAAATTCTTTAAATTATAGAAGTTTTAAAAATTTAATGGTCGAGAAAACAAATATTTTTATTTAATATATACAAATTATTGTTTTAATTCTCTATATATTACTTTTTTTTAGTTTTTCTTTAAAATATTAAAAATTAAGTTTGAAATAATTTAAATAAAATTTTAAAGACAAATTAATATTATATTTAATATTATTGCATTCTTTATAGAATTAGATTAGTATATCTTCAAAAAACAGATGAATTTATGTTTTATTGAACATATTCATAAAGACTTTAATATATATTGATATTTTTATAATTACAGATAACTTTTAAAAACTAATTAATTTCTATGTTAAAATAGGAAAATTAAAAAAAATATACATTTAATTTTAAAATTTAATATATAAAAATTAACTGTAATATAAATTTAATAAATATATAAATAATCTCTTAAACATATAAATTTTATAAATATAATAACTTCACAACTAAAGCACATATTCTACAGTGATATAGCAAAATTAAAAAATATAAAATTCATACTAATATTAAATAATCATATTTTTATTTAAAAAAACATTTAAATTATCAATATCATTTATAATAACATATAACTATGATAAACGCACTATAATTCATGCAACTAAAACAAAAATAACCATATATTGTCTCATTTACTCCTTCAATTAAATTCCATTTTTACAAATCTATTTAAAACAATTATATAGAAACTACTATATAAAATACATGAAACATTTGCTATTATATATAACATTTTAAATTTAAACAATATTAATTAAATTTAAAAAATATCAATTATATAACATATTTAAAAAAATATAATAATATATATATATACATATAATTTAAAACGTTAATTTTATAATTGCTTTTTTTTTTAACGAAAATATATAAAAGGATGAATTATCACCGATAATTCTCCCAAAAACCATTTTTCTCTAAAAATCGTGATAAATTTAGAAAATGTATTAAAATTAGCATATTTTCCATAAAATTTAGAAAAGTATTAAATTTATAAAAGGAATAATATACAAGGTTTTAGAACATTTGTTAATTAGTATTTTTTCAGTTCTATTAACATCAATCTTACATCATTTACACGTGTATTTTTTTCATTTGAAAAGCACTTAAAGTGTTAGGAGCACTTGACAGGTGAAATAAAAACACTTAAATAGAATTTTTTTATCGATTTTCGAGCGTGTTTTTTTTTTGTTTTGGTACTTTTTGTCTCCAATATAAATTATTTGTATTTATACAGTGATTTCCAGGGTTGGAGTTAAATGTCCAATAGTATATATTTCAAATTTAAATCGCAAAAGGAACCTGGCCGTATTTCCTTTGATGGAACAACTGGGCTTTCTGTATTTGATGTAAAACGTGAAATTATCCTACAGAATAAGCTGGGTTCTGGAACAGAGTTTGATTTAGCTATATATAATTCTAATAATGAGGGTATATTCTTTACAAGAATTAAGAATCTCCGTTAATGGCGATTTATAGAATATGATGATGATACTACTATTATTCCTCGGTCAACCTCTGTTACAGTACGCCGTTTGCCTCCCTCTAAACCGGGTAAAGGTACCGCTGCTCGTTATGTCTCTGGAAATGCTTCTATTGGTTCATATGCTCGAACAGATATTTTTCCCAAAAAGCCAACAGAATTGAAAACAAAGCCCATGCCTTCACTTAATACAGCCACTCCTCAAGGGAAAGAAGATGCAGAAGATGCAGCAATTCAGGCTATGTTTGCTGCTAGTAATGAGCAATGGCGAGAAACACAAGATAAATTAGCTACTGCTACTCCGATATTCCGGCCAAATAATAAAAAATTAATACCTACAAATGTACCGGATCGGCCTCCGCCTGCTGGTTATATTTGTTATAGATGTGGAGAAAAAGGTATAAACCAATTTATTTATTTATTTCCTTATTTTTTAGGTCATTGGATTCAATTATGTCCTACATTATCTGATCCAAGTTTTGATGGTAAATTAAGAGTTAAACGTACAACTGGTATTCCAAAATCCTTTTTAAAGACAGTGGAAAAAACATATAATGACAATTCTGGAAGTTTTATGGTAAATGCAGACGGAGAACATGTCATTGCTCAACCTGATAAGTATTTATCGCATTATCCTTTTTTACATAATTAATAAATATAAGTGCATCATGGGAGAACTATAAGTCTAGAACTAAGATTTTTACAGCATCAAATATTTATTCTTTTAAGCCAGATGATTTAACATTAGAATGTACTTTATGTCATAAATTAATGAAAAACCCAAGCACAATTCCTTGTTGTCAAGAAGAGTATTGTGAAGAGTGTATTCAAACTACTTTATTAGAAGCAGATTTTGTTTGTCCTAAATGTGGAACAAAAGATATTCTTTTAGATACTATTCAAATAAATAATGATAAAAAAGAAAGAATTGAGGAATACATTAATAACAAAATGCGAAATGAAAATATTTCTGTAAATAAAAAAGTATTTTGTCAAATTATTTTATTCTTGTTTAACTATTTTGGTTAGTCATCTTTAACTACCAGTAATATTGATTCCTCCCAAGTTTCACAATTAAATATAAAATCCAAAAAAAGACCATTTTCTGATGATGGTAATTCAGCTTCCCAAACACATCCAAAACAAAACGGTCAAGCAATGGACAAAAATCAGCCACTTAATCCTCATTCAATACAGCCCGATCTTTCATCACAGATAAATGGAAATTTCATGTCTTTTTTCCCAGATCCTTTTATGTTAAATCCTTATATGATGTCTATGAATTCTATAATGACACCAAGTATATGCGGATTACCTCAATATGGCAACTATGAATGTTATCCCTTAGATATATCGAAATATGGGTATTTTCCAAATCAACAAAAAGTATTTAGCAAGGAAGAAGATAGTCCTTATACGCGGATACCACTTAATGATCGTAATACTCATCGTCAAAAAAGAATAAGACAGGCTGATTTCAGGGAATTGGCCTGAATGAATTATTATTTATGTATATAGATGATTTAATGATTTTGGTTTATTAGGCTTTGGTCCTAGTTATATGCATTATTTTTAGATATAAGCATTATATTGGTCTCAGAAAAATATTGTTCTAATGTTAAAGATTTATCGACAATTCTACAAATCTAAAATCCAAAGTCAGGAGCTCCAAATATCACTAATTTCAGTATAATCTGACATACTAATATAAATTATACAAAAATTTAAGTATTTATATTAAATATGAATATTTCAAAAAAATATATAGTCAAAATTATTCGATTATTAAAGCACTATTATTACGTTTTAAAATAATTATATCATATTTAATATGAATTAATAATTTCTGCAAGCAATTTACATTCATATGCCCAATTAATTGGTGATACACCCATTACTTGATATCTTACACGAACAGCACCATTATATGAATCCTGTTTAGCACGAACTCTAAATACGTAGCTTTTGCAATTTGCTTCGTGAAATATATTCAATGCAGATTGTTCATTTTCTTCCTAAGTAAAATAAATAAATAAATAAATTTAATAAACTTTTTACTTTTATTTGAACAATATCATCTGCCGATTTCCCTATAATTTGACGACTAACATCATCAAAACAATTAAGCCAAATTTGACCAGTATGATCATTAACTGAAATGGTCATAATATAGCTATTAAAATTAATAAAATGCAATTTACTTTTTGTACTAACCGATATTGAGGTTTTAAAAAACTCTTATCGCATCTTTCGCATCTCCATCTACCCTCATTATCCTCAATAACCTTTTTATTACATCCCTCAATAGGACATGCTGGATAAAAAATATTTTCCTGTTTAAAAAAAACTATAGTAGCCTTCACAGAAAAATAATCAGGCTGTTCAGTCATCCCAAGTTGTTCATCTTTAATCTGAGCTATAGTTTTTCTTTCCTCTTTACGAATAGTAGTAATAGTTGGTTGATGAGTTATAAATGTTTCTTCTTTACCCTGTTTATCATACCATTTTTTCAAAAAATACGCTTCCTCAATTTGAGGATCAGCAATTATCATACCACTATTTAGCATTGACAATGATCGTCCATTAAAATCGCTAACTTTTAGTCCTTTAAAAGCGACTATAGTTTCTTGTGGTATATTAAAGTCTTGAGCATGTTTTCCCCAAAGTGTTAGACGAACTGAATAATTCGAATTATCAACCAAGAAAACATCCCTTTTTGAATACTAAAAAAATTATTAGCATTGTTCGTTTTATAATCATGAAAATAACAAGTTTTTGAGTAGTTTTAGAAGTAATTTCAACACTTTCATGAATATCATTCAAAATTCCAATAACATCTATATAATTAAAAATTGAAAATAAAGATAATAAACTAACCAATGATAGAGTCCTTTTCTACGCTATCGAGATCCTTTAAAGAGACAAAGTTAAATTTGACATGAGGAACGGAAGATTGATCAGGACACTAACAATAAAATTACCAAAAAAAAAATTAAAACATCTTTTCTAACCCTTTCAACTTCTGTATCTTTTTCAAAAGTAAGTTCGTACTCATTTTGTACATTTGAAAACTGCTTTTTAGCTATATTTACTCGACATTTTGAAACAAAGTAAACCTTTAATAGTTAGGAGAATTATGTATATTATAAATAAATAATTACTTGGCCTTCTTGCAATACATCATATAACATATCTACTTGATCATTGAAGGCAGTAGCACGAATTTCACCACTTTCATCCATAAATATACATGAAAAAAGTTTTCCTTCACCCTTTTGATTATGCCAATGCTTTATTTCAGATTTATTAGTGACACGCGCTTTGATAGTCCATCTATAAAAATAAATATTATTTTCATAAAAATTATATTTATATACTTATTTTGATAAGGTGATAAACTCTCAATAGGATATATAGTTGTAGAGGAAACTGATGATATATGATTCCTAAAATCTTAAATAATTTATAAATAATAAAAAGATAATATACATTTTTCCTTTTTGGCCATGAAATGTAGGCTCCAATGGCTTATTCCCATAAAACGATGTTTGATTAATTACAGGAATTTCCTGCTTATGATCTTCCTCTTTATCAGCTGTTGTTGAAGATGCTTCCAAGCTAGCAGGAGTTCCAATCTTTGGAAGAACCCCATATTGCTCCAATACATCAAGATTTATAATAATAATAATTCTAAAAATTAAAAATAAAAAAATAGATATATAAAAAATAATATACTTTCTCTCTTTCATCATATTTACTGAGAATTGTATTAATTGAACAATTGTTCCTTTTTGAAGCTTTCCGGAAACTACAAGCTCATTTTTTTGAGACGCTAACATGGATTGTACATAATGAATAGAATCTGACAATACAATTCGATATCTTTCAACTCCATTACTAACTGATGTCAATTTTCTTACTTGAAGAACTTGAAAAATAGGTGTTTGAAGTGCTCCTGGCTGAGAATTCCTAATTAAATAATTAAAATTTTATAATCCAGAAAACATTTCAAAACAAAATAGGCTTTAAAGATCCAATAGAAATAGGCTCTGTCATAATTGAAGAATAAATTTCACAAATTCCTTATGATTTTTAAATCTTTAATTCTATAATAATTAATAAAATGTCAAAAATTAAAAAATTTACAATTAAAAAGCAGTACTTTAAGGGAAAACTAAGAAATCCGGATGTATATGTTTTAAGTTAAGCGTATATTTTAATATTAGTTAATATTAAAAAAATTTCCGAAGTAAACGGGATATTAAAAACTAAGGCAGATTATATCAAGATATTAAGGCGTTTATAATTATTTAAAAACATATAAGAAATATTCAAAAATTTAAATACCTTAAAATTGAAAATTGTGTATTAAAAATGATTGTAAATATAAAGGTAAAAATTAAGATAGGTAAAAATAAAAAGATAATAGATATTTAAATTATATATTCTAATAAAACAAACATATATAATGATAAAATGCATTTATAATAATCTAAGGATGCACATTAATAGCCAGATCAATATGTATTAAGTATCATATTGGTGAAAAAAATGATTGAGAATATTTCAAAAAGTCCTTTATAGCCAAGTGAAATTTATGCTCTAATATGATTCCCATATTACAAATTAATTAATATTATTATAGTAAAAGAATATCAAATAGAAGAACCATTCCCAAGATTTGCACGGCTCGGATTTTGAAAATGAAATTAAGCAATGCTTCATAATATCAATTTACTCCAAAAAGCAAAATTAAAGACAAAGGAAAGATTAAGCAGGAAGATAACATCAAATAAAATCAACTCATTATCCTAATATTTAAAAATATTTTTTAATATAAGTTTGGTAAGTTTACCTAAACTATATTTCTCTTGGTTAGTTTCGATCTCAGAAGAGTCGATTTGGATATTTTCCCAAAATATTCATAAGTTTCATAATATGGATCAAATCAGTGAAAAAATTTAGAGAAAAATCTTAATGCCCATTTGTTGCATCGAAACTTGCTAGAAATTGAAAGTAACTAACTTAAAGTACATATAAGAACTTAGGTAAGATGAGAAATATTAGTTATATTTGAAGCCTTCGCTTTTTCTAAAGACCATGCAATTAATATAAATAAACCCATGCATGCAAGAAGAAGGAAAAGACAAAAAGAAATCCATATAATTTTATTAAAAGACATATAGTAGTTTTGCCAGTTATAGTAACAATTGTGATATCGATCATCAGTGAAGCATCCAACATCTTTATAAAGAAGAGGAATTCTTTCATGAGGATAAAACTCTTCATGTGTTGTGTAAAATGGACCCGTGTTTTTATCTATAAAGTGACGACGAAATGTTGTATTATAATATTTTAATTTTTGATGTTTATAATGAGGAGAAGATGGACAGGATGTCGTACGTGACCCAATTCTATGAGGGGAACGCAACCCTGTTTCTACTTTTTCCAAAGTACGTAAAAATGGAAATCCAGCAGTTCTTCCAGGAGACCGAGATAAATCTTTTTTTAAAAAAGTTAATTCTTTCTTTTTAAAATATAAGAGCATATTATATACCGGAAAACATTATAAACGGATCTTTATGATCAGGATCTGATGACCAAGAATGATTAACAAATTTCATACTATGTTTTCCTGAAAGACAACCTTTTCCATCAACATTTCGAGAATGTGAAACAATCGATGAAATAGATGAGGCCCTAGACAATTGGTGAGGAGAACGTGTATTCGTTTCATAAACAAATGTCTCGTCTGAATCAGAATCAATATTTTCATCAATAGCCGATGCTATTTTAGCTGCAAATATTTCAGATTTAGACGCAACTATTATTCCATCAACATAAAATACCAACAACTCCTTCAATCGATTCATTTACCATTTATCAGTCTAGATCGTTTTTTCTTCGCTCTTGTTCCCTTCACTGTTTCCAATCCTTTACGCAATTTTGGTGCTAAACCACTTGATGAAACTTGAACCGTCTCCGTTTCAACTGTCATTTTAAATGTTCCTCCTCTCAATCCTTCATTTACTCCATCTTTCTGGCCTTCTTTTGCTCCATTTTCTCCTAACATTTGTACCGTAATTAACCCTTCTTTTGAACACATCTTATAATTAACCCTTAAGTTTTCAATAACTCTCTAAAAACGCCAGAAATATTAAAATATCCCAAAAACAAGGTATCTTAAGGTATTTCAAGGGGGGTTTTGAGCGCCAAACCCCCCCAATTTTCTAACAAAGTTTTTTCTTGACGTGTCGAGGTTTCAACCAACCCTTAGAAATACCAACGCCTAAGATGGTAATCCTAAACCAACCCTAATAAATATTTACCTAGACCTAACAAAGAAGTCTCTAAACCTCATTTTAAAGACCTAGCCCTTAATATATACCAATCCTTGAAAAGAAAACCCTAAACATTACAGGTCAAAACCCTGTTCGGCACCAGTCAACCTCATACAAACTCTGTCATAAATATCAAGAAGACTTTGAGAAAATCTTTAATATGGAAAACCATACAAACCCTAAGAAATATAGCGAATTGTCCTTATCAAATGGGGGAATTCTATCGCTTGAATCAATTATTGGACTTCAAGTAAAAGTTCGTACAATATTAAATGAAACAGAGACAGGAGAAAGTAAGATTTGTAAAAAAAAATAAAGAAAAAGAATAAAGAAATATAGTTTATGCATACGATGCGATTACGAATACGTTAGTATTACAGAAAAAGCTTAAAACATCATTACCATATTCAAGAACATGGGATTTTAGTATTTTAAAGATTTCATGTTTAAAAGAAATTCAAGTTATTGGGGAAACAAAAGAAAAAATAGATACAGAAAATGAAGAAGTTAAAAAAAGAAACTTATTTGTTGATTCTCAGCCATCTATTGTACCTGTTTCATTAGAAGTTTTATCTATTAGAGAACAAATATCTAGAAAAGAACATCAAGCGGCGATTGCACGAAAAGGAATTGGAGTTACTCAAGAAGCGCAAAATTTATTTAATTCTTTAAGTCGAACGTAAAAATTATATATTAAAATTATTTAATTTAATATATTTAGTCTTCCATGCCGATGGGAAAAACAATCAATTATTGTACTTGATGATGTTTATATTGATCCTCCATATACAGTTGAAGCATGCTGGACAGCTTCGAAAGACTCTAAAGGTTATTTAAGAGTTTGCAAAGTGGTATTTTTTATTTATTTAAAAAGAACTTTTTTAATTTTTATAGTTAGAAGGAGAACGTCAAAGACTTGATTCAACACACCGAGGAGGCTAAGTGAACCTTTTTTTATTATATATTTAAATTTTATAAAAACATATTTATGGAACTTTTTTTTTATCTTTACAACATTTTACAGATACAGAGACGCATTTTTATCAAGAAAAACATTTTCTTTTCATTTTTACTTCTTTGCATTTTTTCTAGAAATTCGAGTTAGGAAGATTAAACTATACTTTAAATCTTTTAGAAATTAAAATATATAGAAATAGATAATCTTATTAATATATTATAATAATATTTAATTTAAAGACAATATACTAGATTAAATAAATAATAATAAAATTTTAATAAAATAAGAAAAACAAAAACATTATTATTGAGTAAAGAATAGATAAGGTACATTTAAATATGCAATAATAAAATACATTATAATTTATAAAACACCCAGAATAAAGTATCGAAATAAAAAGATTTTAAGTCTGAACCATGATCCATTTATCAAAAAAATAGAAACAAAAATATTATACTAATTATAAGCAGTATTCAATTTTTATCAAACTATTATTTCTAGTGGATCTAATATTTTATCATGCCCAAAATCTGTTTCATTTAGGATTCTTTTTATAAAGCTGTTACTGTTTCGGAGATATTATTAGTTTGTATAGACATTCCATTAGTCGTCTGTTGTGAATCTAAAAATTATTTCAATAAAAAAAACATAAAAAAATTACCATCATTCTTTAATGTAGAAGCCGATAATTCGACTGTATTATCCACGGGAGATGGAACGTTCTGAATAGGTAATTCGGCTTTATTATCTTGTTTTACAGCTTCAAAAGGACATTGCGGAGAAGGACGACTGCACGAACGGGTTCGACTATATGAACGACTTCGACAACGCGAACGGGTTCGAGTACGAGAACGAGTTCGACTATGACTTCGAGTATGACTTCGAGTGCGGCTTCGAGTACGACTTCGAGTATGGCGACGGCCACGAGCACGACTACGACTCCGACTATAATGGCTACATCGATGACGACGATGATGATTATAACGACTTCGACTACGTGAACGACTCCGACTATCACTATAACTACGGCTATATGAACGATGTCGTCTTCTAGAACTACTACGTCCTCGTCGATGTGATGTATATGTACGTTCATCAAATCGCCATGAAGCAGACGGTGATTTTTTAGCCCACTTTATAACTCTTTATTTCATAACCTAATATATTTTATTATTATAAAAACCTCAATGCTTAGAGTATCCCGTCCCATACGAAGTCCATGTAAATCATGGTATGCCTCATCTGCATCCCTCGAATCTTCGTATTCAACAAATGCAAATCTTAATTATTATAAAAAACCCCTAACAATCAAAAAAAACTTACGGTCGTGCACCAACCTTCCTAGGAACAGGAATATCACACCGAACCAGCCTTCCAAACCTTATTTCATTAGTTTTAGCATCTCTTTTAATAAACTATCTCTTTACTTTTCAAATTTATAGGCTAAATCTTTTGCACGAATATCGCTCGAAAACCCTGTTACATATAATGTTTGTCTTCGAGTCATTGATGTGTTTCATAAGACAATAATATAACAGATTTTGATCAGTTTATGACATAAAAAGATCTTTAATTTAAATTTTATTTTTTTTAACTTTTTTTGCTGTTGAAAAAAGTTTTCGGGTAATAAAAAAGTTTAAGATCGAACGTCTAAAGATATATTAAGGCGAGTTTTTTTAATAAAAAAGAAGAAATTGATTTTTCAGGGCGAAGAAGTGAGTAGAATAAGCATAAATTGAATATATTAATGCTTTTTTTTCAAAAAAAAAAGAGTGAAAATTGGATGAGAAATTAATGAAATACTTTTGAAAAATAAAAGAGTTAAAATTAAGAGAAAAAGAAGAAAAAAATGTGTTTTTTTAAAAGAAGCAAGGGAAATTGAAAAGATTTTATGTAAGAAAAAAAATTAATTTTTATGGTTAACGATATAATTATTAAAAATAAGAGATGGAAAGATTACTTGAAGATATTTTAACGTCTAAAGAAGAACAACAAGTTATAGCATTACGTACACTTAAGAATCAAATAATCGGGTATTCTGAAAGAAAGAAATATTTTATAGAACATCAAATATTAAGTATTTTAATTCATATTTTGTCGTCGCCAGAAACATTAGAAGAATCACAAATTCAGGCGATTTTTATTCTTACATCATTAGCACAAGGTTAAATTTGATGAGATATTAATTTTTTTGTTAATAATATAGTTGGTTATAGTTTTACGTCTCGTATATGTCAAGCAGGAACATTGCATCATCTTTTTATGATATTTATAACAAAAACTTCATCGCCTATATTAATTACAGCATCGCTTAAGGCGCTGGCAACTATTTTAGCATCAGCATCTATTGCAGTAACAATTCCAGAACCAGCAATTCATCATTTTGTTAAAATATTAGCAAAATGTTGTAATCAGTCATCAACGCCTTCTGAATATTTTCAAGCATCTCTTGTAGCATCTATTATATCAGCATGTGGTAAAGTGCCTTCTCAACAAAATCAACTTGCACAATCAGGAATTCTTGATATATTAATTGAAATTGTTTCTCTTTTTCAAGATCGCTCAAATCAAAAACCCCAACAACATTTTTATCGTACAAAACTTCTTGATGCTGTGCTTCATGCACTGTCATCTCTTACTCATAATCATGATGCACATGCTTCGCAAGTCGCTGCATCATATAGATCATCTACTTCTAATAATCCTAATGATGTTTATCCTATGATTACGAATTTGCTAAAACTTGCTAAAGATCCATGTATTTCTATTCAACTAGGTGCTTCTGGTTGTCTTGCGAACATGTACAGAAGTGGTGCTATTCCCAAAAAATATTCTACTGATTTAGAACTTATTGTTATTCCAATTCTAATTAGACTACTTGATGAATCGTACAAAGTCAAAGAGCACTCGCTTCTTATTTTAGGTATAGATATGTATTATTAATTCTTTAGTTTAATTTGTTTAGCGTATTTGGTTACAGATAGTGATGAAATGCAGGGAGCAGCTTGTGATGCAGATGTCATAAGGAAGTTGGCCAATATTCTTCATCATGTAAATAATAATCCATCTCCGGAAATGGATAATACGAATGATAAAATTATCGAAGTAGAATTTATTTATATATTTTTATATATCTAATTTAATCTTATACAGGCAGTCTTACTGGCTATTGCTGCACTAACATTATTTAAAGATGATTATAGGAAACAAGTAATCAATGCAAAAATTGTTCCTCATATTGTTTCAGCTTTATCCCATCAATCTGCTGAAGTACGCGTAGCTGCCTGTCAATGTACAAGAAGTTTATCTCGGAGTGTTTGTATTCTCAGAAGTAATTTAGTAGATGCAGGAATTACTGATCCTCTATTCGTATTATTAACTGACGAAAATCTGAAAGTCAAAACAGCTGCATGTGCTGCTGTTTGTAATTTAGTTTTAGATTTTTCCCCAATGCGTTCGGTTAGTTTTTACTAGTATTAATATTAAATCAACTTATTTTTTTCTAAGGCTATTTTGGAAAAGGGTGCACTTAAAATCATGTGTGAACATGCTAAAAACGAAAATTCAGCTTTGAGATTAAATGCAGTGTGGGCGTTAAAACATATTGTTTATGCTGCGGAGACAAGTGTCAAAAAAAATGTTTTAGAAGAGTTAGGCTATAACGTACTTACAGAGTATACATCCTTATTTATCATAAAATTAGAAATAACAAAGCAAGATTATGCAATGATCCTGAAGTTAGTGTTCAAGAACAAGCATTAGATGTTATTAGGAATGTTATTTGTGGTCAGCAAGAGGTAATTGGTTTTTCTATAATTATTGTTTTTAATTTATTTAGAACATTGATATATTATTAAATAATATTGGAGTTTCAAAAATTTTATCTATTATAAAAAAAAAGCTTTCTTCAGACTTTACTGAAATCATAACTGCTGTAATTTAATATCTTTACTCTCAAAAAATGACATAGATAGGCAATATATATATGTGTACATATTGCTTCAGGTAATGATGCGCATAGAAATATTATTATAGAACAAAATGAAATTTTACAATCAATTCTGAAGCATATAACACATGCCAATTTCGAAGTGCGTCTAGGATGTTTATGGGTCTTAATAAATCTCACTTGGGCAGATGACAATTCTGATCAGATAAGTAATTCATAGACATTGATCCTAGTAAAACTTATATAACTAAGCCCTAAAACAGCAACGAAATCAAATTTTAAAAAATATAGGCTTTTTAGAAAAATTGAAACTTATGCAAAATGATTCTTCTTCTGATATTCGCGAACGAGTCAAAACTGCATTGGTATATATCTATTTTATTTTTGATTTAAATCTTATTTTTTAGTCTCAACTCGAATAAAAAATCATATTTTTATATTATTTATTTACAGATTTAAATCATTTATTATCATATTAATAAAATACACCTTTTTTCCTTTTCATATAACTAGATTCTCTAGTTAATATTATCTTCATACTCTATCTTATCTTTTTACTAATAGTTAATATTGTAAACAATCTTATATTTAATTTTTACTTCTTAAATAATAATTTAAAGACTATTCAAATAATTGTTATAAACAGTTAAAGATCTTCAGATTTATATAAAAGGGCTTAAAAATAGTTTAAAATTCTATATAAAACTATAAATACGGTATCGTCTTCAAGTTTACATATAAAAATTTATATATATTTTTTGGATAAAAAAACGTTAAATAAGCGTAAAACCTGCGTAAAACACTGAAAATCCTTATATATTGTTAAAATAAACGAGTTATTATATTATTTTTTCTGATTTTTTGGAATATCAAAATCAACATGTTTTATTCTGAAACAATTCTTTCAAAAAAAGCAATTAATCTTAACTATTTATTTGTTATCCTTATTAATAATACGTCAGGGGCCTTTGGCAAAGATTTGGCTTGCTGCCCATTGGGAAAAAAAGCTTTCAAAATCTCAATTTTTACAAACAAGTATTAAACAATCAGTTAATGCAATTGTCAATCAAGAACAAATCCCTATAGCACTTAGGTTAAGCGGGCAGTTGTTGTTAGGAGTAGTAAAAATTTATTCTCGAAAAGCACATTATCTTTTAGAAGATTGTAATGAAGCCTTAATGAAGATCAAAATGGTAAACATGATGTTAATAATTATAAATTATTAATATTATAAGACTTTTAAATCAGGAAATGTAGATCTTTCTAGAAATAACACGAATGTTACACTTCAATCAGCACAATTAGTGTTACCAGAAATGATTACAGAATTTGATCTTTTAGTACCTGAACCTATTTTTAACATAATGTATTATTTTATATGTACAGAATTTATATTTAATCAATATAGGGATGTTGATTTGAATATGGATAGTCTTAACTTCTCTCATGTTTCAAAAAAGCAAGATATTACGCTTATATCAGCATTTGAACCATCTATTGAAGTTGGTCGAGGGAATTTACTAGATTTGCAGAATGATCCTCTTATCCAAGTTAACGAAAACAATGAAATTGATTTGGATCTTGGAATTGGGAACAATGATTTGCAAAACGATGTTTCTATTGAAGTTGGTAGAGACGCTGCTCCAGAACCGCGTTTCAGTCAAGAATTCAGTAATATTATTGCATCTGAGAAAAATATGAATTCAAGAATTTCTGAAATGGATTTAGATATGGTTGAAAACGAAAATTATGCGGAATTTAATGACATACATAATTCTTTTGAACCTATAACAGAATCTTCTATTCATCAAATAGAAACTATGAATCGGGATGAAAGATTAATATCAGAAGATAGAGAAGCATCAGTAGAGAGTGGAAATGATATGTTAAGAGGTGAAATGTTAGAATTCGAAGAATTGAAAGCAGGGACACCAGAAGCTAGAAATAAACTAACTCAATTAAAAAGTCAACGATCACAGCATAAAGCTATTGAAGATCCCGTTATTGAAATATCTTCAAAAGTCTTTTCTTCTCAATTGCGGAATACATCGCTTATTACCAAACAACACAAACTACTTTCTTCTGATTCTACTTCTTTGAAATTAATTCAGCTTCAAATGTCTGGAAAATTTGCAGCGCATATATTCCAGCCTTCAAACATTCACCCGTCAATTGTACGCTTACTTAATCCTGGTTCTGTTCATTCTACACAATTTAATTCATTTAAACGAAAACGTATAGAAGATATAAATCAAAATAACAATGAATTAACAAATGCATCTAAATATGCTAAACTAGATTCATTCAATACTAAAAAATTCGATTTAAATACTGATTTAACCAATAATAACATTGAAGATTTTGAATTGGGAAATGAAAGCACCCTATTTCCCACTAATGACGATTTAAATTTTATTTGCGATGATCCAGAGCCTAACTTTGAAGGTTTTATAATCTTTTGTTTTTAATATTTTTCCTAATTTATAGCTTCTAAATTATCTCCAAACAATCTTACTCTTAAACAAAATGAAGAGACAAAATTAATAGATGAAGAAATGCTTGAAATAAATCCTTATCACAATCCTTTAAACCTAATTACTGTCTTAAGAAATAGGTTTGATACAAAAGAAAATAGGCCCCAAAATATCGTCAGTTTTAAAAGTCTTATAAAAAATGTATATTTTATTCAGTTTATATTCACTCATTAACATTTCTAGGCGACGCGTGTAAATGCTTCAAAAGCATTTTTTGAAATTTTGGTTTTGGCTACCAAAAATGTTATAAATCTTGAACAAAAGAGAAGTTATGAAGATATTCAAATTAACCCATCTGATAATCTTTATGATAACAACATAGAAACTTTCTTTAAAAATCAATCAAATATTGAAATTTATAACAATACCACTATGATCGAGTCTTTAGAATAATTTACCTCTATAATATTTCTACTTATTTTTGATACTTGGGTTTCTTAGTTTTGAATTACACTAAATACAGAACAGCTTTCATATATATATTCTTTACTTTTTATTTCTTTTGGATGATAGAATATTTATTAATTAAAATTACTAGCCTTACTTTTTCCAATTTAATTATTTTACTACAGTATCAATATTTTTCTAATCTTTGTTTTACATTATCCAACATATATACTATTTAAAGACTTTTTCTTTATTTTCATTGATTTATTCATCAATGAATAATATGTGTTTTGTAATTATTACTATATTCTAAAATTACATTAAGTTATTTTATTTTATACAATTATACGACTCAATTTTATCAATAAATACAATGAAAAATATACATGTAAATCCTTATAAAGATATCTTTATTCATATTAAAATTTTCTAAGTATATGATATAAATATATGTTGTCAAAGACAACGTCGAGTCCGAGGGTTTAGAGCAGCATCAACTTAAAATTTTAGAGAATCATGGAAAATGTCTAAACGAGAGGCGGAAAAGCAGATTACAAAGAACGATTCAATATTTTCAGGAAATACTGAGCAGGAAGTAGTAGATCTTGCAAAACAAGCATCAAAAGAGGTGCTTTTAAAGAGAAAGTATGTATTTTTTTTATGTAAGATAAAAGCATGAAAACAATGATAATACATAAGAAAGATAGATTAGAGGATGGTATTATACGTGGTATGAGTAAATATAAAGCTATTTTTTAAAGGGATAAATTTTAAGAGGGTTAAAAATATGAGATAAATGTGAAGAAAAATTTGATTCATAAAAAGTGTTTTATAAGTTAATTAATACATTAAACAATGTTTCTAACCATATTTTTTTCAAGAATTGCAGTTCCTCAGTCACTTAAAAAACGATATTCAGAGCAAATATCGACACATTCAAGTCCATTTGCTAATTTACAGGAACCAAATGGAAAGCAATTATCTACATCATGTTCTACTCAATTTCCGACGTCTACATTTTCATTTGTTCCACCTTTTCAACAAGAAAAAAAGGAAAAAACATCAGTAGAATCTTTAGAATCATTATCGAATCCACCATCATTACTTAAAAATGATATAAAAAATGAATATGATTTGTTTTTGCATCGAAGATCTGTAAATTACTTTTTTCAAAAAGCAATTGATGCATCAATTACTGAAGATCCGTTTGGTGATCTTAGCATAGCATGTCAAGAATATATTGATTATCGAAAACAAATTGATAAATCAACTGAACTTAGTGATTACATACAATCGGATACTAAGAAAGATACAGCTGTATCAAAAGGTTTGTTAAAAGGTGTTTCTATACAACAATTTTTTACATTTGTAGAACAAACTAATAAATCATCCGACGATTCTTTTATATCTCCTAAAGGTGCCTTTGATTGTAAAAATAAAGAAAACAAAAATAGTTTATTCTCATTTTTAAAAAAACCTGAGGAAAAAATGGATGAAAATATACAAGTAAAAATGCATACAGTTGATTCAAATAAATTACCATCATCTACCTTTGGGATACATATGAAAAACGACGATGAAAATATTCAATCAGCATTTGGCTCGCCTGCAGCTAAAAATAAAAGTATTTCTGAAACAAACTTTGCGATTGAGAATACAAACAATCTTTCTAAAACTTCCCAAGAAAAGCAAGAAAATCAGTCAAATACAAAACATTCATTAAATTCAGAAACAAAAACTGTATCTACATCATTCATTACCAATACACCTAATACGCCCACCTTTTCTTTTCCTGTTGTTTCTCAAACAAATGATTCAGCAACTAATAAAAAGATTACATCAATTTCGGAAAATTTATCTGTACCTAAAATAAGCAAGCTAGAAAAAAGCACTTTTTCATTCGAAGTTAAAAAACCAGATATTGAGATGAGCAATAAATCCTCCAATGAAACTCATAACAAGAATTTGTTTAGTTTTACTCCGATAACAAAGACGGAAACAAATACTCCGAATAATGCGAATTCTACACCTATTTTTAATTTCGGATTATCAGTTCCATCAAAAGATATTAGTTCTGACTTTTCTTGGACTCCAAATAAAGGGATTAAATTTGCAACATCTCCATCTAACAATAATGACAATAATGATAATAATAACAATAATAATAATACTGCAGATAAGACTCCAAAATTTCAATTTTTAAATCCTTTATCAACAGGAAAATTTGTCAATGAGAATATATCTCAACATAAACCTAATGAAAGCGTCGGATTTGAATTTGGAAGCAAAACAAATCCTGGCTTTTCTTTTGGACAGATTTCCACTTTTAATCCTACATTTACAAATTTTGAACAGAAAAATGTTTCAACTACCGAAACAGCAGAAGATGACGTATTTCCTCAAGAGCCTCGGACAAATGACGATTTAATTGCAGCTAAGGGTGAAGGAGAAGAGAACGAAGACACTATATTTACCACAAAAGCAAAAATATATAAGTACTTTGTTAAAGAAAATAGATTTTCAGATCTTGGAATAGGTATATTAAAACTCAATATAGATAAAGATACATCAAAAGCGCGAGTTTTAGCACGATTAGAAGGAAGTGGGAAAGTTATTATTAATATTGGTTTACAAAAAGATTTTCAATATTTGATTACAGGCAAAAAGAGTGTTAAAATCCCGGCAGTATCAAGTGAAGGAACAGGTATTGATACATATTTGGTTCGTGTAAGAGACGAAGAGATATCAAAAGAACTTACAGATTTACTTGAATCTAAAAAATTAGGAAAACAATAGTTTATACATATAATTTCTGTATCATTTAATCTAATGTCTTACATTATTAATAAATCTTTATTTTTATTAATTTCTCACATTAAAAAGATCAATCTTATTTTTTAAAAAATAATTACCAATTTATATTAACAAATATATTTCTTATAAAATATAAATATGAATTTATACTTTTATATCCACATCTTAAGAAAATTTCAAAAAATTCTTGTTATTTTCTGATAAATCTATTAAAATAAAAAAATTATTTAATTTCTTTTTAATTGCATTAATAAACTTTATATTAAATATCATAATTAAAGTCTTAATATATTTATTTATAAATAAAATAGCATTTTTTAGTTTATTCTAAGTTATCAAGAGTTAATAGATCGAAAATACATAAAAACTTTAGCTTAATAGTATTATAAAAACAAAATTATATTATTTCTTGATTTTTTTAAATTTTTTAGAATTTTTATCTAGCTTTAAATTATTTAAATGCTCATCTTTTGCTAACTGTTTCAATTCATTTGATTTAGCAGATAATTCAGCATCGTCAGATTCTTTTCCATACAACCATCTCAAAAGCTCAATCTCCTGTTTCCATACTTTCGAATCATCATTTGTTGGCGTTTCTAATATAAGAGGGATGCCTTGCATTCTTTTATCATTTATAATCAATCTAAAAGCTTCAAGTCCTATATATCCGCGTCTTGTATCAATCAATACATATTCTTTTATTTTTATAAATTTACCCTATATTAGCATGAAGATCTCTTCTAGATCCAAGCGGAGTTTTTGAATCATTTAAATGAACACCAACAAGATATTGGAATCCGATTTTGTTTTCAAATTGATTCATAACATTATTGTACGAATCTTTATTTCTTATGTCATATCCTGAAGCAAAAAGATGACAAGTATCAAGACAAATCCCAATTCTGGATTTATCTAGTGAAAATTTAAAAACTATATTATAATAGATATTATACACAAAATTACCTTCAACTTTGCTCAAAATAGTAGATAATTCCTCAAAGTTAGTCCCAAGAGTATTTCCTTGACCAGCCTATTATTATTTAAATTTATATTTATGATTTAAATCCACAATTTAATACCATGTTTTCAATAACAAGCATTACATCACTAACATCTTTATGTGCTTTATTAATACAATAAACCAAATTATTTATTCCATTTGTTCTGCTAGAAGTTCCACATGACCCAGGACTATAATAATTAATTAAAATAATTATAATTAAGAAATTACTGAAAATTAATTTTTCCTATTCCTAGCTGTTGACAACGTTTTAGATCGTCTATTAAATTTTCATATGATTTATCTCTTTTTTCCTTATCTGCACTAGCAAGATTTACAAGATAAGATCCATGTGGAAGAATATGTCTATATCAATATAAAAAAATAAAAAATATATAAATAATTATACTTTTTAGGATTAAACCCATGATTATTACAAAGTTTTCGAAATTCTTGAATATTATAAGGTTTTAAACAAGGTGACATCCATTTCCTTTGAGATTTTAAAAATAGTGCAAATGCATTTCCACTAGATTTTTTATTAATTATTTATAAAAATAAATAAAAAAATACTTTATGTTAATACTATTAAGAATAGAATTTTCAATCCCTTTTGCTGCTGAAACATGTGCTCCAATAAAAAGCTCAAAATTTTGTATTTTAGAAAATGTAACCATAGATTTATTAGATGATACACCTTCTTTTATTTCCGTATCTTTATTATCAACCTCCTGATCTTCTAAAACATTAAAAGACCTTTTTTCCGGTAATTGAGTTGCTGATTTCACAAGTTCTAATTTACCAGGAATCTTATTCATTTATCCATTTCACGTTTTTTATAAAAAATTAAGAAAAAAACTCCCAACGTCAAAAAATATTTTCTTTCTCATGGATTTAAATCTAGATACTTTTTTTGATCTACAAGATCCCTCTTCTGATCAAAATGATAGAAAAAACGATCTCTTACAATTAATGAAAAGCTGGATTTCTGAACGAACCGCTCCTGAAATTTTACCTTGTCAAACAACTCTTTTAGAAAGAATGATGGAACGTATTCAACGTCAGATAAGTTTTCGGATTAAGATTTAAAACCTTTTATTAAATTAATTCTGCAGACTGAATTAATCGAATTAAAAATAGGTCAAGATATTAAAACCAATTTTCGAATGATTTTGATTCAGACTGAAATAGAGAGAATTAAATATATTATTCGTTCGTATTTGCAGACAAGAATATATAAAGTAATTAAGATATTAATGATAAAGAAAAAATATTAATATTAATAGTTAGATAAATATGCAATTTATATATTACAAACACCGGAATCTTTAGCATGTCTTTCTTCTATAGAAATAGAATATTTAAAGAAGTAATAAAAAATAAATAGAAGAATATATTATTAATGATTATTTATAGACATCAAGAAATTTTAATGAATTATTATACATCAGCAGTTTTAAAGTATCTTCCAAAAAAATTACAAAGATTGGATGATACACAGGGAGGAATTTCTATGAGTATTTTTTATTAATAAGAGATTTAAAAGATGAATCTAACGAAATTAGTTGAAAAACCAGACTTAGAAACAGCGGTTTTTTGTAGAGTGATTAATACAGTAGAACAAGATATTCCTATTAGTAAGAATGAAACAATTACGCTTAATAAAGGAAATATTTATCTTCTTAAATATAAAGTTATACGATCTTTTTTACGTACAGGAGATGTTGAATTAATCTAAAAAAAAGGAAATAGTACAGCAATTTTCCTTAAAGGGTTATATTTATGTCAATTATTTCTATATAAATGGATTTTATAAAGTTTAAGATAATTTCATGAGTTAAGATTTGAAATATATATATTTTTCATTAAATACCTGATAAATGAAAGCTCTTTAAAAAAAAGACATTTTATATAATTTAAAGGAAAAGAGTTGTTTGTGATACAATAAGTATTTCAATTGTATTATTAATTTATACTTTTTAATTTGGAAAAAACTAGAAAATTATAAAGATAAAAATTAAAAAAAAAGGAATTCATACATTGAAAAAACAAGGTACGAACATTCTATTATCTAACTCGTTAGTTTCTTAGTTTATTCAATAAATAATAGATATTTTTATTATTTTTAAGCTATTTATAAATTTTAATGGTTTTTCTAGAAATAAACATAAAGTGCTTATTTTTGAAAAATATATTTACAGGTTTGTGGATTATTACATATAAAATCATTTTTATAGGTCTTTAGTATTCTTATACTTTCCCTTACCCTTAAGACCTACGAAATAATAAATTTTTAAAAAATAAGAATTCTAGAGAATTAACAGTGAAGAATTAAAGAATTGAAGTATTAACTTAATAAACATATTCTTTAATTTGAACTACCTTAAATATTAAGAAAAAACCTATGAAAGTTTCTGGACGGCTAGGTATATCAAAAAAATGGGATCATTGTGAGCTCTGTACAGCTGAAACAGCACCAAAAGACAATGAAATTACTTGGATTCAATGTACCCCATGTAGTCGTTGGTATCATGTCAAATGTATAGGAGAACTTTATTGTATTGATGCAATTAAAGATTATCATTGTCGTTTTTGTGAACCAGTTTATGGAATTTCAACATGTAATATTAAGGGTTGAGGAGTTTCTCTATATTCTGATATGGATTAGATCATCCTCAGAGAAGAAGATCATCAAGGCCTCGTTCTTTTGTAGATTATATCTCTTTAGATCAAGGAGATGTTGCTATGTCAGATCAACATGCCTATACAGTAATGATAGAAAATAAGACATTTAGTAAAGACACTTTTAAAAGAATAAGAGGCTCGGAGTTAACGAAAGAATGGGCGGAAAATGAGGGATTTAATGAACCAGTTTTAATTCCAACAGGATGGGATTATGACGGACTAGAAATGCAAATTCCAAAAGATTTGACGGTTCAAAAGGTTTTACAGATTTTGGGACCACATGAAAAAATAGAAGTGATTGGTTTTTTTTTGAAATTATGTAAAATAAAATTAATATATGTAGATGTACCTTTACAAAAAGAAATATCTGGTTGGTCACTAGGAAAATGGGTAGAGTATTATGAAAAACCTCCGGAGAAACGTGAAAGAATAAGGAATGTTATAAGTTTAGAAATTAGTTTTTCAAAATTGTCTGAATACATTGTTCGACCAAAGTTTGTAAGGTATTAATAGGTTTCATATAAAAGTTATAAAAATATATTTATGCGCTACTTAGAGATCTTGATTTTGCTGATCGTATGTGGCCTAAAGATTTGAAAGAAAAGGGTGTGTTTCCAAAAGTACAATTATACTGGTTTATACATTAAAATCAAAACATAATGACATATTAATATTTATAGTCTTATGTCTGTTAAAAATTCCTTTACAGATTTTCATATTGATTTTGGAGGGACCTCAGTATTTTACCATATCATTAAAGGTTCGAAAACATTTCTTTTTATTGCTCCAACTCAAATAAATCTTAAAAAATATGAAAATTGGTGTCTTAGTTCAGATCAAAGTAAAATATTTCTTGGAGACCAGGTAAAAGATTGTATAAAAGTTGATTTGAAGGAAGGAGATACAATGTAATTATTTGTATTTATAAGAAGAAAATAATGCATTTAGGTTAATTCCTTCGGGATGGATTCATGCAGTTCATACACCGTCTGATTCACTTGTTTTAGGAGGGAACTTTTTAACTCATCTTCATATTGAAATGCAGTTATCAATAGCTGATCTTGAGCGGCGCACTAAAGTACCACAAAAATTTAAATATCCGTTTTTTGAAAAACTTCTTTGGTTTTCTACGTTACACTATTTATCTATACCCCTTGAGCATACTGAGAATTTTGATCATTATTTACATCATAAGAAAATTTCAAATATAGATGAGCAATCAAAAAATAGAAAAATACATGAAAAGGAATTAGCAGGTTGTGAAATGCTAGCTAAATATTTATTTATACATGCTCAAATGGCAAAAGGGCTAGCACCAATTACAGCAAATGGAGAGAAACTAAACATGCCAACACAGAGACAACTTCGTGCTATAAAACTAGAATTACCTTTTCAATTTTTTTCAGGGGATTTCGTAGAATTAGCAAAAGCGTTTGGAAGATGGACCTACTATAGGAAAAAATTAAGTTATGCAGAATTTCCAAAATGGTGTTTACCCGGTCCTCTTGCATCTTTTGATTTAATATCTAATAATATTCCTAAACAAAAAAAAAATAGCAAAATTGCATCTAAGAAGAAAAAAAATACTGTTTGTCAATTTGATACTACTTTAAATATTCAAGCAAATAATAAACGAAAGAATGATTCAAATTATGAAGGGATTTTAAAACAGAATCCTTCGAAAATATTAAATCATAATCTTTCCTTACATTCATCAAGACCAATATATTTTGTAAAATTTGAAGATAACAAAAAAACAATTAAAATAGAAGATAACAAAAAAGCAATTAAAATAGAAGATACCCAAATATCTAACTTAATTTCTCCTGAATTCAAAGTAGATGAACAAAAAAATATCTCACAATCAAAATTGGCATCATATAATATTTTTTCTGACAATACAGTAGATAATGCTACTAAACAAGCAATAAAAGCAGCTATGTTTGGGCTAAGACACAATGAAACAGGGCAAACTATTCCAGAAATAACATCTATAAACAATTTTAACTAAAAGATACATGTATGCTATTAATATTTACACACATTTTTATAAACATATTTAAAATCGCCTAACATTAAAAGCATAATTTAGACTACTATATTACAAATATAAAGAGAAACTAAGACAATTTTTATGTATAGTTATACTGTTAAAAATATTGTAAAACTAGTCACTTTGGCATTTATTTCAAATATAACTAATTGAGTTTATTAAAATCAGAAATATTTATTATCCTACATCGCCAAATAATATTAAAAAACAGGCTGATATGTCTATATAAAATATAAAATATAATAATAAATTTTAATTTAAACCTGATATATTCAAGCCAGGCATACTATTTTATCGAAATAAGAAACCTGTAGAATATCTCAGTAGTCTATTGATTTCTTAGAGTTACTATCATAGAAATACTAACAATCACACCAATTAAACTTGATACACCAACAATTACCCCAAGAATACTTGCAATAAATTTATATCTTTTTATATCTTGTTCCATTGTGAAGGGTGTATAAGGAAGATAGCAATCTAAGCAATGAAATCCATATAAAACCCATAAAGGGGGAAATATAAAACCAATAAGTAATATAATATAATGCGTATAATAAAGCTCTTTCAAAGGAAAAGATAAAGAAATAATTGACGATGATGTAAGATACTTATCCGGAGATAAATGAGGCACTTCGTACTGTGGAATAGTAAAAGGTCTTCGAATAGCCTCTGTAAAAGGACTCAAACTAGGTGAATTGGACTTTAAATCCCCACCTTGAACAGGAGTAGCCAATGATCTTATAGCTGATCTTCTAGGAAAGGAAAAATTTGCTGTTGTTCTCTCTGAATTAACAATTGACGAAAACGTTTTTTCCAATCCCGATGTTTTTTGTGAATTTTGCATTTCCGGAGGAAAAAGAAAATATGTATGACGACTTTCTTTAGAACATTTACTACCTGATTCCGAACTGAATTTAGATTCCGGTCCTCTCTCTAAATCTATTTTTTTCGAAGCCGCTGGCTCTGTCATATTATTATATCCATTTCTCCATAAAAATGGCTGTGAAAGCTTAACAACAGGAACCCAGATCTTTTCTGAAAGCTTATCTGGGTTCTCCCTCAAATGATAATGTTCAACCTGTATGTTTGGATTTACAACAGGCGTAGGTAAAATAGCTGCTGACATTTCCAATACTTAATTTAACCTTAATATATACCAGAAATTTTTCCAAAAACCAATTCAACTATAATAATAGAAATATATTCATAAATAAATAAATATTTATAAGTAAAATGACCTATAATCCCTGATAAAACATGATATTTCTTGCATTTTTTTAAAAAAAAAATATCGTCTTATAAATTTTCGATCTATCGTTAAAATCAAAATATAAACACTGTTGCTATAGTAACCAATTAAGGTAAGAAAAGTATCAAGAAATTTATAAAAAAAGTTGGAGAAAAATGTCCATCTTTCCATAAAATATAGTTGAAATATCTAGTTAAAAATTATCGGGAATATTGGGAAAATCATCAAGAGAATTTATTTGATTATTGTAAAATGTATGTTGACTTGAAAGAGAAGATTGAACGGCCAAATACATATCATTAAGATCAGATGAACAATTTAAATTAGATAGTTTAGTTATTAATATCGATATGTCTTTTGCTTGTTTGAGTAAAGTTTCTTTTTGAATTTGTTTATCATAAACTGTATTAATAAAATTAACAACTCTCTGTGAGTTGTAATCAGTAATAATAGCATTTAATTTTCCATTTTGAATCTTAAAAAAATAATTAATAGTTAGATAATTAGGATGAATTAGACCAACCATATTTGAAATAAATTTTTCAGTCAAATTGTAAGAATCTTGTGAATCTAAAAGAATATCATCCCAAGGACCAATTTTTCTATTAATATCAATAATAGAAATAGATGTGTAAATTTCTTTAAATCTATATATTTCATGGTAGGAAAGTGAATTAATTGCATACTTTATAAGCTTATTATTTTTATCCTAGACTGTTTAATTTATAATTACTAAATTTAGGGCAAAATTATAAACCTCAATAAAAACAGATCTATACTTAAGATATATATCCTTTATTTCTTGATGATCTTGACGTTCATAAGCTTGAGAAAATTCATTATATACTTTTCCGAAAACTTTATATGTTTTTGTAGCAATAGAATCAGTAATATAAGGAATTGGTTCCATCTAAAGAATTTTATCAATATAAAAAAATGTATTTCAAAAAATTGTATACTTTTCCATTTACAATAAGACTTAATATAACAAATTTTTTATATGCATTAACCTGAATAACTGATGTATTACGTGTAGGTGCAGATATAATCTTTAATTTATTAAATCTATGAATAAAAACAAAAGCTAACAAACAATCCTTAGAAACTGTAATGCCCTGTCAAAAAGTTTTAATTTGATATATAAAAGTGCACCGTAAAAATGATATAACAAATGATCAATATAAGTAATTCCATTCTAAAAAATGTAAAAAACTCATAATATTTAAAGGAAAAATACATTCTTATCAAAAATCTCTACATCTATATCCAAAATAAACCGAGCTTTTTCATATGCTTTTGTAATAAAACATTGTTTGACAAAAATAGTACGAACAGGTGTTAATGAAATTGCAAAATCTGGATATCTTTCAAGCGTTGATTTCAAAACGTCTATAACAAGAAATGACTAAAATAAATTTATTAAAAAAATGTATAAATTTATATTATTCACCTCATCAATAGTATTTGCATTATCGCAAATCCATTTCAAAATCTTCTTAACTAATAAATATTAAAAAAATATAAATAATATAAACCTACATTCATCAGGAGTTAAAGTAGATACTAAAGAAATATTAAAAACATTTAAAAATGTGACACAATCCTCCCATATTGATTCTAATTTTGATATTTGTACTCTTGCAAGTCTATTTAATATCTTAGATAGATACATAGACAAAAAATCCTTATATACAGAATATAAAGGTATCCAATACTATAGGTTTCAGGATCTAAAACTTTTAAAGGATCCTGAGGTTCTAATCTAACCAAAATATCAATTGATAAGCTCTTAAGATAAGGTATAAGAATATTTTGAATTTCCTCAACGTTAATAAACTTTTTAATTGCTGAAACAAACTCATGTTTGTCATAATTCATTAGAATCTAAATTACAGTGTTAAACACACAAAAAACCCTTTTAAATTAACTAACTATAAAGTGTAGATATTAAAAACCCTAAAATTTTAATAATAAAAAGTTTTATATCAAGATTTAATATTTAATATTTAAATTATTTAAAGCTGAATTTCGTATATGATTAAAAGTTTATAAAGATATTTAATATATCAGTATATAAACAGTGTTATATAAATTACTAGAAAAGTCTTTAAAGAAAATTAGTTTAAATAATTTTTTATAAGAAATATATAATTATGTATAAGTTAATGTATAAAAATATATCAAAGTTTAATTATATTTAAATTTATAAAGAAATTTAATGAAAAGTCTTAATAGAAACTTTCAGGTTTGAAATAAAGTGAGGATCATCTTTTCAGCGGTGATAGAATCATGTGCATTGCCCCATGTATTACATCCTAAAAGAAGTGCCCAAATATCACGAACACCGCAAACATCATCACCTACTTCTAGACCAATTTCATCAAGAACAAACATTCCTACTTCAGTAGTTTGAATATAAGAAAGGCCTTGGCATAAAACCTGATTGTAAACAGCTGTTTCACCAGATAAACGAACGCTTTCAACAGAATAAGTTTTTTCTAAATCAAGAATAAATTTTGAATTTGAACAATAAGAAAATGGGCGAGATTCGTATGATCCAGATATACCATAACTAATCACATGCGATAAAACAAATCTTTTTGCTAAGGAAAACCGTAAAGGATCTTTTATACTTTTATGAATGCCGTGAGGATATAAACTAGAATCTCCATGGAAAAAAATACGGTCAAACAATTCAGAGGGAAATGATTCATTAATAATTGTAGAAATATATTTTTTCCAATCAAAACGCAAGTCTTTCCATGTAATATTTTCCATATTGATTACAGAACGAAAGCCCGAAGAAAAATCCCAACCAATTGCTTCACTAATTTCTATTATTAAAAATTAAAAACACTTTATAATTACCCGGATTGACCAGAAATATACCATGCCTTGTTACCAGAACATTCAATTCTCCAAATGTCGCTATTCCCAATCCTTTTCGCATCAATAATTATATTATCATGCATTTGACTAAAAAATATAGGCCAAGATTCCCAAGACTCTCCACTCATTAATCTTAAAATAAAATGAGAGATCCAAAAACGAAGAGAAACTTCCCATTGACCTCTTTCATCAGGATCAGATAATAAACCGTAGCAAATGCCGAAAAACCATAATTCCTTTTGAGAAGTTGGAAAATTATATGAAAATGTTTGTCCATATATCCTAAATAATCTTTCTATCCAGCTTTTCTTAAAAAGTTCCAGAACATGTTGTTTTTCTTTTTGTCTATGAATATACCATAAACGAAAAGTCTGTATAGTAGGATCAAGAGAAGATATCCATGTTTCAGTACGTTTTCCAGGGAATTCCAATAATATAAGGTGATACCATGCAAATTTAACAGAAAAATTCCAAAGTTTGGAAACAAGTGCTAAAGTACAAAGAAACCCGTACCTCTCAGAAGACGGTAAAGAAAAAGCAAGGCGAGCAAATATGGGGGAATATATATTTATTTTACCACGAAGAGCAAGCGGAGGAGGTTTCCCAATACTTAGAGCTAAAATATCAGAATCATGAACTGTGTGCATTATTTGTTGAGTCAAGACAGATTCCTGAGTATCTTTAACAATAGCATCCATTTTCTTAATAAATTTTATTTTAACTTTTTTTAATTTTTTAGAAATAACTGGTTTAACATATGGCGTATCATATCTATTTATTTTATCAATTATAGACGTCTTTGACAAGAATTTAGAATCAGTATTCGTCTTTTTTTTAAAATCTTTAGGAACATTTTCTAACTTTTCTTTCACTAAAGTTATTTTTGAAGCTCTATGAATATTTTCTATCTCTAAAGTTGTATTATTTGCCACATCTTCATTTTTTTAGATTTAAATGAATAATATTAAAACAATTTGCTTTACCTAATTGTTCTTTTTCAACCTTTAAAGATTCTTTTACAGGTTTTACTGATTCTATGTCCTCTTCATTAGAATTTTCAGCCTTTTTAGCTTTTATTCTCTTTTTTTATTAGCAAAACTGGAGAATTGATCGTACAGTTTTATTTAATATATAAAATCCAATAAATTACCTTTATTAATGCTGCCTTTTTTCCCTTAATAGGAAGACATAAAGCTCGGCACATGTTCTAATTTTATACTATCAAATACCATACTTCTTGTTACAATATACTCACCTTTAACTCACTTAATGTGATATTATCATATTCTTCTTTCATCATTTTTAAAATAGAAAGATATTTAGAAATAATTTATATTTTTCTAAAAAACAACCCGTTAACTAATCCAATATATCACAAATAACATAAAAGGAAAAACCAGTTTTTTAGAAAAATATTATATTTAATTTTCTGCATCTTTGAAACACCCCTATTTGAAAGATCTCATATTTAATTTGCTGTTTCCAAAAATAATACAATATTTACGCAGAAAATAAACAAAATACTCATTAACAATTGTATCTCATATATAAATACTTCATAAATTAAAATCTGTAACCCTCAAAATCTGCTCAATCCTCTTAACATAATTTATATATATTATAAATGTATATCCGTGTTATCCTTTTATTAACATTTTAAGTAATCTTTTCCTTCATTTTGAGAAAAGAAACTATAAATATGCCTTTGGTGTTATTAAAGTACCTTTATACAGACTAATTCTATATTTTTTCTCATTTAATCTCATTTATCTCGAGTAAAAGTCTCATAAAACCTTTAAAAACATTCCTAAAATATTAAAATGTGTTAATACCCTCTATATATCTAAAAATATAAATTTACTAGATTATATACCTGCTATATGCGTATAATCTATCTTTTTCTACGCCGCCGCTCTCAATAAAAAGATTTAATAAAAAAAAATCATACTGTTAAGACTCTCTAAATTTTTGAAATATATCATCAGACGGGAAATTTTAGTTCCATCCTATTTATATTTTCTTTTTTTTAACTAGCTTTTATCTTTAATAAATTTTAATATGCTATTTTCATTTTTGTTTAAGAAAAAAGTACCAGATCAATATGAAGTCTCATCTAAACAGGCCAAAATGACAGATCAAACGGGTTCAGTAACATATAATGAGGTTTTGACAGATAATTATACCAATGTTGAAAAGAAAGAGGATCTAGCGAAATTTAATCAACAGGGTAATCAAGCGCATACATGTCAGTATTTGATATCCATATGTGCATAGATACTTTAGTTGCTGAAATAAATGAAGAAAGGCAAAATTCAGTGACAGAAATTGACGCACGCACTATAAAGCATATATATAGGTAAATTAAACCATATATGAATGTTCAATTTACTATATTTATCAAGGAGGCTGGATTTTTGTATGATTCCGTGTCTCTGGTTACTCTATTTTTTTGCATTTTCAGCTAAATCTATTATTAGTGTATCACTTACTATGAATTTTTCACAAGGAGATTCTCTTCAACAACTTATTAATCTTTCCTCACGTGAAGTGAGTATAGGTCTTTCTCTTTTTTATATAGGCTATGTTGTTTTTGAAGTTCCTAGTAATTTGATTAGTAAAGATAACCTGGTTAATATATTATTCAACCAGTTAATATTTTATTAGTAATATATATTACACCACGATTTTGGTTATCTGAAACAGTAATATTTATTGGAATTACTTGTATTTTACATATTTATATTACAAATTCGTCTGGATTTTATATATTTCGATTTTTATTAGGGATGATAGAAGCTGGAATATGGCCTGGAATGGCTTATTATCTAACATTATATTATCCTTCACACATGATACAAAAGCGTATTTTATGGTATTTTACTGCAGCACAGATATCAACTATGTCAGTTGGTTTTTTCAGTATAGGGCTTCAAAAAATGAATGGGATCGCTAACCTTCAAGGATATAAATGGTATAATTACCTCATTTTATTTTTTTCTACTTTTAAAAATTAAATAAGGATGTTTTTAATCTATGGAATTTTTTCAATAATAGCTGGTATCATTACTATATGGTTATTACCACCACTATTAACGGAAACACCTATCACTAAAGAAGAACTGCAATCTTCATCACCAATTGTAAAAATATATAAAAAAATTAAAAAAACTACACTAACACCTTTTTTTTGCACCACATGAAAAAGAATTTCTTTTGTCTAGATTATCTATAAAAGAACCATGGTCTTTTAGTAAATTCATGTTTGTATTTATTAATCCGAAAATATGGCTTTTAATTATTATGTATTTTGGATCTATTGGAGTTGGTGTTGCTATTCAGATTTATGGAAGTGTTATTATTCAATCTATTGACAGTAATATATCAGATCTTAAAATTAGTTTATTATATGGAATTATTTGGATTGTAATATTTTTTCATGAACATTAGATTCAAATTGATAGAAAATAGGCTAATCTAACTGGTGCTATAGCTATAATAAATATTTCTAACTATTATAAATCTCGAATTATATCCTTTATCTTTTGTTGTATCACTGTTATTATCGGTATGCTTATTTTAACATTTTCATCGAATACATGGATTCAGTACATAGGACTGTTAACCAGTGCATTTGGAATAGGCCCTAGTGTTCCCATCTGTATGGCATGGTGTATGAATTATTTTTAAAACTAGAAAAATATTAAAAATAATATAGGTGCTCATATTTTCACATCACAATCAAATATAAATATTGCCGCATCATCAGCCCTTCTTTCTGGTTTAGGAAATATGGGATCTATTTTTACAACATATACACTGTATAAAGGAATGCGTGGAAAAGATGCATTTAAAAAAAGTAATTTAGTTATCTGTGCTATGATGTGTACAAGTATTTTAGCCTGTTTAGCCGAAAAAATGTTACTTAAATATTGTGAAAAGTCATCGAAAAGAAGTCATGCAAAAATACATTCAATTGTTAATCAATAATTTTTTTGGAAATAAAATAAAATTTAAATTTGTACACATGTAGCATCAATCTAATCATGTACATTAATATATTATTTTAAAAAGTAGCTAAAATGACCTGTTTTATCCAAGGAAGAATCAATTTTATTTTATTCCTATATGTAGGTCCATTCGTTTTTTGTAAAGGATTCCCTTCTAGATAAATTGTAACCAACTTTTTCATACTTTTACACTCTTTTTCAATGTTTTCAAAATCAGATAATTGATTGTAACTTGCCCACAGTTCCTGCAGTTCTGTATTTTGATTAATATATTCCAATTTTTCAATTTTATTATTTGAAATATCCAAAACTCGAAGCCGTTTAAGAACATGAAGTCCTTCAATCGATACGATTCCATTATGAGAAACATATAGTTCTTCTAATACATCACCTAATGCTTCCAAACCGTTAAGTGATGTCAATCGATTTGATTGTAAACTAAGAATACGAAGATTTTGAAGTGTTTTTAAACCCTAATATCATTTACATTTCTTGAGTTAATTATCACTATTTATACCTTAAGTTCAGTAATTTTATTTTTACCAAGCCATAATTCTTCCAAATGAACCAGATTTTCAAGATTCTCAATTGTCTAAACAAATATCTTAATCAATATCTTAAAACTTTTTTTAACACTACTCGTATACGATTTGCGCCCAATTCAAGGTTAACTAGTGTCTCTAATTTATCTAAACCTGTAATTTTTGATATTTTATTTTGTACAAAGTACAAATTTTTAAGCTTATTACATTCTTCAAGATGTTGAATATGTTTAACACAGTTAAAACTCAAGTCCAGAGTCTGCAACTCTGGGAATACAACATATTCTGGAATATATGAAATATTATTATCGTAAAGATCCAATTCTACCAAATTTATCGGAAGATTTGAAGGATGAGGAAACGTATCAATTTGATTTTGTCTTAAACATAGTATCTGATTAAATATTAAAAAATTCTATAAAAAATTAATCAAATACTTTAAGTTTAATAAATCGTTCAAGATGAAGAGAAACAATTTCTTTTAATTTTAAATGAATCAAATCAAGTGACTAATATTTTTTACTAAAAAATACATTAATAATTATTATATACCTCAATATCATTTGGATAATCATCCAAGTTCCATCCATCTCCTTGTATTTCTTCCTCTTCGTTTGCCATAAGTTTATAAAAATATAATAAAACAAATAAAAAAAATCTATTATTTTTCAAATAAAACTAACGTTTATCATTTGAATAAGAGATATTTTAAAAAAATTAGTGTAAAAGCTTGATAAAAAAATCTTAAAATAAATATTTAATAAAAGTATAAAAATTATAAATTTGAATAAAAAATAAATTCCAAACTTTAACTAATCATGAATTATATTGTTAAAAAAATGGATTATTTATGAGGAAAAAAATAAAGAAAATTGAATATTTGTAAAATAGATTTCTTTTAATAAGTATGTAGTATCTACCCCTATAAATAAAGGATAAATAAAATAAAAAATAATTAATAGAAATATAATAAATGTATATATTTTTAAAGTAAAATCTGTAAAAAATTTATAAAAATACTTTAAAATGTTTATAAAAAATATAGTATTGAAATTTAATATTAATATTGAATATTTTAATTCATTCAGCTTCAAAAAAGTCTAAATTTACATTAAAAAAATAAAAGAAATTATTTATTAAAGAGATATTTTTTAATAGTTTTTTTATATTTCTCTAGTATTTTCTTTAAACATTATCGTACTAACAGATACAGAAAGTATAAGGAAAAAGCTTATAAAAGTCTTAAAAAGATTAAAAATCCATTTTAAATTCCAAGAAATATTTAGAATAAATAGAAAACTATAAAATACTTTTTTTTTAAAAAAAAAAGCATAAATTTACATGCAATTATCATGACAGAGTCTCAAGACGAAGAACCACCAATTCTCCAAAAAAATTCCTCCAAGAAGCATGTCTACAGAGTCTATTGAACAGTTTTCTAGAGGATTAACATATAAGGAGAAAAAAAAGAAATCAAGATTGAGATTTAGTAGAAATAGATTGTCACGGATGTTTCTACACTTATTTGTGTGTTGTGTTGTACCATCTGAGCATTTTTTGGATATAGAAAAACAAGGGAATAAAAAGAATAAGGAAGTGAATACATTGGATTTAGAATTGGAAGAAGAGAATGACACGAAAAATGCATTTTTAGAAAATCAATTAGATATATCTAAAGTTTTAACGAATAGAAATTCAATCAGTATAGATGAAGAAAAAATGGATATTTTATTAGGGAACTATGGAACTCGAGAGGCGGAAATTAATTATTCAATTAAAAAACCACTATTTCTTGATACATCAGATAATGCAGATCTATCTCATTCAATAACAGATTCACTTGGACCTAGTGTTCATTCAGTAAGCCAAAATATCAAAAATTGAGTTCTTAATTGACATAAAATATAAGAAATGGCTTTTAGGCCCTGTTCTTGAAGCAGATAAGGGGAAAAAGTGTCTTGTTTTAGATTTGGACGAAACACTTGTTCATTCTTCATTTAAAGTATGAATTTAAAATTAGTATTTCAACCTTTTACTAAAAAAAAGGTTATTCATCAGGCAGATTTTATTATCCCTGTAAAAATCGACTCTACATATCACAATGTTTATGTCATTAAACGTCCTGGTGTAGATTCTTTTATGAAGCGAATGGGAGAACTTTTTGAAATTGTAGTTTTCACAGCATCTCTTTCTAAAGTATGATTATCCAAAGACAAACAATGACAACTAATTATCTAAAGTATGCAGACCCTGTATTAGATATGCTTGATATCCATCACGTTGTTAAACATCGATTATTTCGAGAATCATGTTTTAATCACCAAGGGAATTACGTTAAGGTATGATTATATCTTTTTAAATATAAATATATATACAAACTTCTATTGAAAGAATTTGTCACAACTTGGACGTGAGTTAAAAAATGTTTTAATTATTGACAATTCTCCTGCAAGTTATGTATTTCATCCGACACATGCAGTACCTATTTCTAGTTGGTAAGTTCGCATATTTCCAATTCTTATATTATTTACAATAGTATAGGTTTAATGACTCACATGATACTGAATTACTTGATTTAATACCTTTTTTAGAAGATCTGACAACTGTACCTGATGTAACAACAGTTCTTGACTTAGGTTTACATGAATCTTAATTATTTTTTCAAAAAAAAGAAAATGCTGGATACATCATGTTAATCTTGCTCGACCATATATCTATTTTTATCTACGCTTTAGATTTTTTTCAATTATCAGCATATGTATCATAAAGAGCAAATCAACTTCAAATTTCATCCTGAAAAAAATAGAAAATAAAGACAATTCTATCTATTCAAATTTAAATTTCATTGTCATTTCATTTATTTAAAACAAGAAGAAAGACTACGTATATTGAGACTTTCTTATACTAGATAAGTCACGTGACATCATTAACCTAGTAAGATGATTTTCATAGTTAAACGAGAATCTCATTTAAATCATGGTAAGTTATAATTAATTAATTATTACTCAGCATAGTCGAAAAGACATAAGATAGGGAATAACGCATCTAAAATAACTCGACTTAGAATATATAGAAAACTACTCTATATATTCGAAAATATTTTTTTTTTTAATTTTAACTCATTTCAATTTTTAATAGAAATAAATGAGTTACTTCGATTTTTAAGAAAAATATTCCATTATCTTTTCTTTTCGACATTGATTGATTACATTTTTTTTCCCTACAAACTAATTAAATTATAGTCTTCTTCACCTGCTCCATCTAATATGTTTCAAAATGTTAAAGTTCAAGTACGGTAGGACTAAACATATATTAATTTAAGGCCTATTTTCACATATATAGCCACCGTATGTCTCAAGGACATTCATCTCAGCGTCCAAATAGTACTCGAGCAGCTGGTGCAGGTGGTTCAAGCTCAACAATGCTTCGATTATATACTGATGATACTCCTGGATTAGCTATGTAAGTTTTTCTAACAATATAGACGTTTTTTTAATAATAAAAGTGATCCTGTTCTTGTTTTGGTGCTTAGTTTAGGATTTATTGGTAGCGTTTTTGCACTTCATATTCTTGCAAAAATTATGCAAAAATTTTCAGTTTAGAATCAATTAAACATCATAAACCATTCCTGCATCTTAATCTTCAATATTTTTTCTACATTTTAATCTCAAATTTCAATAATTTTAACCCTCAAATTTAGACCTAACCCCATACTGCTACCATATAGATTAACCTATAACCTTATATGTAAAATCTAATATTTTATTAAATCTAAAATAACCTTAGAAAAATCCAAAATAACTCCAAATAACATTCATATTTACCATAATTTCATAATATTTCTAATTTTTTCTATTACTCTATATTAACTTATCCTTTTGTTGCCCTGGAAACCTAGAAAATAAACAAACATTATTTTCAAAAAAATATCGATACTTTTTTTAAGAAATTTAAAGCTATTTAAGCTTATTTTATTGAGTATTTATTGTTAATTTAGACGCTGGACGTCGTTTATTTTTATTTAATTTGTGCTGGACACTTTTTTGATTTTTTTTTTGATTTTTTTTTGATTTTTTTATGGAAAAATGCTTTCAACACCTATGAAACATTTAGACAAGAATCCTATTTGCAGTACACCAACATCAGGTTTAAAAGGTCAGAAATCTCCTTTAACTCCTCGCCAGACAGCAGCGATTATTTCTCATTTACATTCAGTGAAACGAGTTTATTCGCCTAAATCATCTATCTATCGTCAAACACCTCTTCGACTTGATGTTGTTACATCGGATTGGACACTTGTTGGGACAGGGCCATCTTCTAGCCCTCAGAAGACTACAAAAAGGGCGTCTTTTCGGCTACAATGTGATCGTTTTATTCCTCAACGTACCAATCAACCATCTAGTGCAACCTCGAAAATAATTTATCCTGTTATTGAAAGTAAAACAGGTGCACAGGATACTTATAATGGGACATCTAATCCTTCTGAAACTATAGCATATACAGCTTCAGTTGCAGAAGCATGTGGTCTTGCATTAAATACACGCATTCTTGCTTTTAAACCAAGTGCACCTGAAACTAGTCGACCAATTGACCTTCGTTCACAATATAATCGGCCTCTTAAACCTGCTGCATTATCATCTCAGTTTCGTCGACGTATTGTTACTGCTCCTGAACGTGTTTTGGATGCGCCCGGGTTGATTGATGATTATTATCTTAATTTACTTGACTGGAGTAATCTTAATAAAGTTGCCATTGGTCTTGAAAGAAATGTTTATGTATGGGATGCGGATAGTGGCTCTGTTTCGTGTTTAATGGAGGCCAAACAAAACACATATGTTTCTGGTATAAAATGGTCTGCTGATGGATGTTACATATCAATCGGATTGGGTGATGGAGATGTACAAATATGGGACATTGAAACGTCCTCTAAAATGAGAACTATGTCTGGACATGAAGCGCGTGTTGGTGTTTTAGCTTGGGATAAGCATATTTTAAGCAGTGGATGCCGAGATGGTAGTATTTGGAATCATGATGTAAGAATTGCACAGCATAAGGTTAGTGAATGGAAAGGCCACGGATCAGAAGTATGTGGTCTTGAATGGAGATATGATGGATCTCAACTTGCAAGCGGAGGAAACGATAATCTAGTAAATATTTGGGACTCTAGATCATCTGTTCCGAAATTTACGAAAACTAACCATATTGCAGCTGTTAAAGTAAGTTGTAATAGAATTGTAAGCATTTAATCATATTATTAGGCTTTATCATGGTGTCCATGGCAATTGAATCTTTTATGTACAGGTGGTGGATCTCAAGATCGTATTATTCACTTTTGGAATGCAACAACTGGAGCTAGAACACATTCAGTTGATACGGGGTCACAAGTTACATCTGTTCGATGGTCACCTGTGTATCGTGAACTTGTTTCTTCGCATGGATTTCCGGATAATCATTTATCTATTTGGCAATTTCCATCTTTGACTAAAGCAATCGATATTCCTGCGCATGAAAGTCGAGTGCTGCATAGTTGTCTGAATCCAGATGGTCAGGTACTTGCAACAGCTGCAAGTGATGAAAACCTTAAATTTTGGAGGGTGTTTGAAAGTACAAAAAAAGTTTCGATAGATCAAATGGCTGGTCTTTCTGGAAATAAAAGTGGTTTACAAGAGATGACAAAAACAATGACAATTAGATGATATTAAGGCTTGCAAAGGTTTGCACTGTTTCAAACACTTCTCGAAGTTTTGCTTTTAATCAAATCAATAGTGCAACCACTAATAAGCACATAATTCTAAATTAATGAATCTAAAGATGTTATGTCTTTAAATAAGAAAGTTGAAACAGAACATTAAGACGAAATGTATACTTTGCATCCTTATTCCAATATAATTAGCATTTACTTCGTTGTTTTCGTAAATTATCTTAAATAATCTGTTGTGTAATTTTTTTTATACAGGCTCTAGTAAAATTTGTTTTGGGGCCCTATTTCACGATTATTTCAGCCTATTAATTTATTCTAGTAACAATAATCAGAGTATTAGCTGTTCTTCTATTGCTCATTCTAGATAGAATCACATCAATAAAATCCATTTGATCTAGACTTTGCATTTATGCCTATTTTTTACATAGAAAGGCTTTTATAAAATTCATTATATACGCCTTCTATATCAAAAAGCATTTGCCGGCTCTGTTTTTCTGTGATTTCTTCTGATGCCGACATATTATTAAGTAAAATCAACCAATGTAGAATTATTCCACGCCCTTCAAACGTTTCATGAGTTACTGCATTTAAAGATACCATAAGTTCAGATAAAAGAGGATGTAATTGATCCTTTGCTGTATATTTTAGCCGCAAAGCATCCATAAATGTTATAAAATTCTGACATTACTAAATTTTATTAAATAAAAAACATGTTATTCAAACCTGAACTGCTTCTGCAACCTGTTTAGCAGATACTCCGGATTCTGGGAGAGATGATGTCTTAGTAACATGTTCTATTGTTACAGGAACACCAACATTTAGACGATATATTGCATGAAAACAAGAAATCTAAAAAAATCTTAGAAAAAACATATAAACCCCATAAAAAAAAATTTCAAACAAATCAAGCATTAAACATTTGATATAATAGAATTACTTATATATTTATATAATCTTCTTAAATTGACATATATATCTCCATATAAAACTTCATTTATCATATATATATCAAATATATTTAACATAATCTTAATATTTCCCCTTCATCTCTTATACTTGTATTTATTTTATTTAATTTTATAATCTCATACCTCATACACAGCACAGAATGTTTCTAACGATTCAAACGCATTTGCAACTGAAGGTGACTTAAGAATTGTTTTATATTGTGCTAACAATCGTAAACATGTTGGTGTATATCTATAATATTAAACAATTTCTAAGCTTTAGAATTTTAACTTACTCATCAGATGAAATAATATCCCGTAAATATGCTTTCTCAAGAAACTCCAGTGTTCGTATAATGGAATAGATATCAGATAATGATTCCCAAACGTTTCTTTCAGCAGATGTTTCATATAAGCAAACCTTCTAGAACAAATCAATTAGATGAATTAAAAAATCAAAAATTTACCTCTAAAGTGTTCATCGTAAAAATACATAGTGCATATATTACGCATACAAGACGCATATAATACGCATATATTTAGCATATAAAACAATAATGAATTGTTTATCATATTAAAAGTATATTATTGAATTATTTTAGCATAAAAACTTATATGAAAGAGTACAAAGCATAGAGTTTATAGCAAAGGTTTATAAGCGGTTAAAAATCAAAAGAAATCAGGAAAATATAGAAAAGATTCATATAAGATATATTTTTAGGAACAGAAGGCTAATATAAGATATATACTTGGTATATAAAAGTTGATATATACAATTTAATGTAAAGTATATGAGTAGTATAGGTCAAGGGATTTGCATATATACCTATGTTTTTTGGATATATAATCTAAAGGATTTTTTGATATTTATAGATATATATTTATTGAAATATTTATAAATATGAAATCCTATTTTATTTTTCAAAAAGATATGAAATCTAGTTATAAATTACAAAAAGAAAGCTTTATGAGCGGTCATACAGGACAATCTATGACGGAGATTTTTTTGCATATGTCAATTATCGTAGTAAGTGTCTAATTATATATTTTATGTCTAGAAATCAATAAGTTTATGCATGTTTTTTCAGCAGCTCTTAGATCTCGAGGTACTAATGAAACTTATGGAATTTCCACATTTTTAATTGAATTTGGGATTTATTATATGATTCCTTTGCTCTTTGTTACGATTTTCTCATCACATTTGTTTTTTTTAGCATTAATACTATTGATTCCTATACCTTTTTTATGGCGTTGTCCTAAAGCCTTCAAAAGAGAAGAAAATCTAACTAAAAAAGAGAAAAGAAGGCCTAAAAATCCTTTAAATAAGAATAATATTGTTAATAATGGTGAATTAAAATCATATATTACAATTCATCGTGCAGCGGTTATGTTAATTACATGTCTATCAATCCTTGCAGTAGATTTTAGAATATTTCCGCGAAGATTTGCAAAGGTAGAGACATGGGGAATTTCATTGGTGTGATTTTTTTGAAAATTTGTCTTTTTTTGGTTTAATATTATATAGATGGATCTTGGAGTAGGATTTTTTGTTTTTTCATCTGGTGTTGTAGCAATTAAGAGTATAAAAAAGAATTATTCAAAGGAAACTGTTTCTTTTTTTAAAAAGCTAATTTTATGTTTCAAACAATCGTATATGTTTTTTGTTATTGGCTTCATTAGAATATTGATTACTAAAGCAACCAATTATCCTGTATGTATTTTATTATATTGTTAAAAGTAATGTTTATGGACCTAGGAACATGTTACTGAGTATGGTGTTCATTGGAATTTTTTCTTCACATTAGGATTTCTTTCTTTATCTCTCGTTTTTTTTACAATTTTTGTGTCAATATTTAAAGTCATATCTTGTTATTATAGCATTGTTGTCAATCTGTAATGAATTGTTGACACGAACGCAGCATATTCTTACATATGTTTTAAATGCTCCGAGAACTAATTTAATTTCTGCGAATAAAGAAGGTTTATTTTCATTTATAGGTTTTTTTAAATTAAATAATTTATAAAGAATTAATTTAAAAAGGCTATTTAACTATATATTTATCTGGGATACATATTGGTGAACATATATTTTATAGATGTTTAGCCTCAAGAAAAGATAAATCAATAATTATTTATCAATATAAGACGATGTTAAAGATGTTTTTGTATTCTATTTTTTATTTTATTGTATATTTCTATTTTCTTTTTTTCGGAAAATATCCTATGTCAAGAAGATTGGTAGGCAAATTTTTCAAAAAGGAATCATGTTTATCCTTTTAGGTTAATTTACCTTACGTGTCTTTAGTATCAGCATGTGGTTGTGGTGCTATAGGGTGTAATATGCTTATCGAATTTATTTTTTATGGATTATCAGCAGAATACACGGATACAGTACCATTATTGCTTCATTCTGTCAATAAACACGGGTTAATTGTCTTTTTGGCAGTAGGTTTTTTCTTTTCTAATCCATTTTTCTAAATACAATGATAGGCAAATATAATAACAGGATTAGTAAATTCATTAATAAATACACTTGAAGTTAGTAATATAGTCGGATTTCTAATTATGGTCGTTTATGGTATAATTATTTCAGGACTTGCTCTTATAGCAGAATTTAAAAATTGGCCATCAAAATTTTAAATATAATTTTATACAATCTATATAACAATAGTCAACCAACTTGGAAAAACCAGTTCTCTTTCTATAATTTTCCTAAATTGTTCTAATAAAAATGTTTCAATTTTCCCAACATTTTTAAGTATTTGTTTACTTTTATCTCCTATTTCTGATTCAATTTTGATGTTTTTTAATAATTTCTCTTTTTGTTCTTCATCAATAAAACAAAAATGAAAACGTTTATTAATGTAAGCTAAAATTGCGATTGCTTCAAATGATAGTCCTGTTAGTGTAATTTTGACGGGAAGAGTAATAAACATCGTTGAATGGTAATTTAAATGTAATTCTGCTGTAATTTCTATTCTTATATCTCCTTCATATGCAATTCGAAACCTTATTTGAAAATCTTCATTAAAATTCGTATTTTGAGATCCCTTATTATTTTTAACTTCTATAAGATTGTTTTTAGTTTGAGTCATAACCGGTAACAAATTTGAAGAGGATGTTATTTGAATATTTTGATTAATTGGTGGAAGAATTTCTTCATTTTTACATGGTAGTTGATAATGACTATTTAATAAATGAGTTCCAACCCAATGAGGTGTAGATAATCCTGATACAGAGACAATATTTCCCGATGAACCAGAAAACGTTGACTGAAAAAAAGGAAGACAATTTGTACCAATATTTGATTTTAACGATTTATATGATGTAATAGGGAAATTATGTGTTAATAAATTTGTAAGATCATGCATCTGAAATTGAGAAAATCCTGCTTCAGCATATGGAGGTGGTTGTGAAGTAGTAGATGCAACATCTGAATTATCAATAGAAAAATCTGTATCTTGTTCATCTTTCTCGTCCTCTTTTAAGTCTTGACAGTGTTTTACTATTTCCTCCCCTAATTCATTATGATTTGTATCCGTATCTTGGTAAAAATGTGGATATGGATCTTCTATATTTTCAATATCAACTACTGGAGCAATACTTCCAAAATCGAAGGATTCAACATTAATATTTCTCAAATAAGACGGAAGAAAGATTTTTTCAAATTGTTGATTAAGAAAATTTTTCATTTTAAGAGCAAATTCTTCATCTAATTTTGACCAGTCAAACTCCATTTATAACGCAAAAAAAAGACAATATTCAATTCCAAATATATTTTTAGATCAATTTAAAGGTTTTTTGACTTTAAATAACTGTTTAATTTTTACTTTTCTTTTAAAAAACTAATATTTTCCATTTTTCCCCCTAAATATGTATTTTAATGCCTTTTTTTGAGAAAAAAAAATAACCCTTCCTTTAAGTAAAAGTAAAAGAATCTATTTAAAAACAAAAAAGTACAAAAAAAATTCCTTAAATATTATTTTTCAAGAAAATTTTCTCCAAAATATATTTTGTCTTATTTTCGCCCTATTTACTCAAAAAAAATGGGAAAAAAAAGTGAAATCCCTATAATATATCCTTAAGAGTCTTATATTCTTTATGAATATTTGTGTTTTCCCTTTTTTTTAAGTAAAAATAATGATTTTTTTCAAAAAAAAAGGTGGTTAACCGTTAAAAAAAAAATCGTTATTTCTAATAATATTTTTAGCAATTAAAAGCTTATTTTTTACTCAAAAAAGTTCATTATTATGGACAAAACATTTACTGGAATCTTGTATTCCATAAATAAAGCAATATTTCAAAGAAATGGCCTATTTTTGGGCGATTTATTGTCAATCAAAAAAGATCCTAAAAGTCTCCAAGAATTAGTATTTTCAGGGGAATCAATTGACCCAAAGCAAGAGATTATGCGTATATTATTTGATAAATCATGGGTAGATGTTGCTTTTTGCTTTTGGAAGACCTCTTTAGCCTTAGGAAAAGACCAAGATATAGTTAAAGCAACAAATGAGCAACTTGTATTGGTTCAGTAGGGATTTTTCCTAGTTAAAAGATAGATATTAAATTTTAGAGCTGTTTTGAAAGGGTTAATGTCATGGGAAGCTTGGGTTCTTCCAGTTCTTTTTGCAGTTTGTCGAGATCTTGAGATTTTAGCATGCAAGGTAGTTTGCAGTATAAAGTATGATTAGTGGATTGTTTCACTGGTTTTATTAGGCAGATTCTTTATTGAAATTAAGGAATGAAAAAGCGGAGAAATCAGAAGAAGCAGCAAGAATGATTAATAAGGCTTTTACTATTTGTATTACAGATAGGTATGAAACTTGAAAAAAAAAGTATGATCTTACTATTTAGAGAAGCAATTGAAATATCTCGGAAATGGGGAACATATTATATTATTGGAATTCTTTTTAAAATTTATTTTAAGGTATTTTATAGAAAATAAATAATTTATATGTTAAAAATATTAATAGATCAATAAATTTTCACTCTCAAAGAATATTTTGAGAGCTATTGAAGTATCAGAAATGCCTCCTCTTGAGTGTTTTCCTAAGTCTCATGTGGTTACATATAAATATTATCTTGGTGTATCTGCATTTTTAAATGAGGAATATGCAGTGGTATTTTTATTTATCTATCTAATAACTTTTAAAATTGTAATTTTTTAGGCAGAAGCGGAACTAATGGCATCATTAGAACTTTGTGAAAGAAAGTCAGCTAAAAATTTAAAGTATTATATTTTTTTCTATAAAAAAAATATTCTGAAGGAGTATAGGTTGATACTTACTTATCTTATTCCAACTCTTCTATTGACCTCGCAGAAAATGCCATCTAAAGCCTTATTATCAAAGTTTTTATACTTAAAAGATTTTTATGAACCTTTTATAGAGTATATTCGTAAAGGCAATTTAAAAGGATATGATCAATTACTGATAGAAAGAGAAAAAGAACTTATGAATAAAAGAATATATTTAGCCATTGAAAGGATTCGTGATATGTGTATGAGGAATCTTTTTCGTCGTGTGTATGATTTATATATAATTTGAGTAGCTAATATTTATTTTATTTCAGATTTATTTTGAATCAAAGATCTACAAAAATACCAGTTAATCAATTTCATATTGCTTTAAAATATACTGGATTGGATATCGAAATTGCAGAAACAGAATGTTTTTTGGCTAATATGATATATAAAGTGGGAATATTTATGTTTTTCTTTTTTACATTAACTTTTTTCAGGGATTTATAAAAGGTTATATACATCAAGAACGGCAAATGATTATTTTATCTATTAAAGACCCTTTCCCCAAAACAGTAAAATTATCTAACTTGTTAATTTGAATAATCATCAAAATCATTTATATCTATATAGTTTTTTGATGCGCTAGATAATTGCCTGATATAGATTTTGTTTCTGTTACTCTGCTTCAACTTTTTTTAGTCTTTGTCTTATTTTTCTTTGTTGACAAACATATTTTCCTAGAGGGGTTTTATTCCAATCATAATCTTCTAAAAAGGCATTCATTTTATCTATGTTTTCCGCTAAAAATTCTATAGAATTCCTTTGAGAATTGATAAATTCTGAATTCTCTTTAAGTTTTTCTATAAAAATCGATAATAGCTTATTTAATTTGGAATTTTTTGATTGTTTAATGTACCGTTTTATCTGAATTATTATGGGCATTGCCATTTCTGGAAACGATATTGATTTACATTGTAATGAATAGATTTCTTGCAATAATTCAATTATTTGTTCAATTAATCCATCTTGATAAACTTTCCCTTTAAGATAGGATTGTGGTACGCGTATACATAACTCAAAATCAATAGGTTTTGCAGTAGAGAGATTTGGTTTATTCTTTATTTCCTTAGATTCTAAAACTTCAAAAATATAGGGCGCCAAAGGAATATAAACTTTTGTATAATAAGAAATGCGAATTAAACTTCGAATAAGATGAAACTTCAAAGGAAAGAATTGAACTAAAGATACAAATTTAATTGTTCCTAGGGTTACTTGAACCAACGGATAAATTAGATCTCGCATTACTAATGTATGTGTGTTTTTTTCAATTTTATTACAATAGTTAGATAGAACAAGAGACCAAAAATCAATGGAATGTACATATTTCCAACTATAAACCTCTTTATAAGACTCCTATATTGTCTAAGACAAGTAATAAAGAAAATGAAACTTGCCTTATCATGTTTAATAATTGCATTACGTAAATAGATAGCTAACTGGCGAATACATTTAAAGGAAACTTGATATGAAATGACTTGGTCAACACCAAAAAGTTTTGATGCAAAATTTTTCATAGAACAAATAAAAGGTAATGTAATGGTATTTGTATGGGATGATTGCTGAATAAGCGCCGTATAAAATGTCTATTTAGACTAATGTTAAATAAGAATGATATAAAATGTATATACTTTAAGGCCATATTCTATATAATTTTTATCATTTGTAGAAAATGTTTTTTCGATTATAGAATATATAGAATTTCTGATTTGATCATGAGACTGTGTACTCCATAGATTTGCTAAAAGTTTTATCAAATTTTTCATGAACTTTCTATGTGTAAGAGCACATGGTATAAGTTTTTCTGCCCCTTCTAGTATTAAATGTAATGTATTTGAATCAGTTAAATCATGTAAGAGACGTAACATATTTGAAAATTGAGTTCTAAAAATAAATGATAACTCTTTTTCTTTTTTTTCGTCCCGACTCTTTCTAAAAATATTAAGAAATGCTAATATATTAATTAAACATACTCTTTCTTATGCATAGAAATTTTTGATTGAAAATAATCATATAAAATAGAAGGAACCTGTTTAAATGCTAAGATAATAAGTGCATTAAAAACTATACATTCTAAGTATAAAAGTGAAGAATTAATAAGAATAAATACCCTCTGAATCACTTATAAGTGAATTTGTCGAAAAAACCGTTTTTTCGTTAAATTGAATTGCTGTATGAACTGCTACGACCACTTTTTTTAGAACTTTTACCGATTTTTCTTCAACAAGACTCTTCTCCCACTTATTTAGAACAGATAATGTCAGCGTTTTTCGATCTATATCATCTTTTTTATTGTCATCCTCTATTTTCTTTGTATCTGATATATCAGAATCTTCAAACGCAAGCAATTCCGCTTCTTCTTCTTTAAGATACTTATAAAATTCTGGATCTTCTTCTTTTAAAGCTTCAAGTTGTGCTTTATGATCATCATTGCCGTTTAATGATACATTATCATTTTCATTTTCTTCAGATATGAATTCTGAAAGACTATCTGAAACTTCCTTCGAAAAACAATCAACTAATTCATTTTCTTCTGGTTCTATTATTTCATTTTCTTTAATATTAACTCCAATATCTTTGTTTTTGCTGGGCCTATATTTGTTTCTTATCTTTTTAATTGCGCGTCTTCGTTCAAGGACTTTTTGAAGCCGTTTTTTTTTCGAATTTTTTTGTAGATTTTGAGGTCTTTGCCATATTCTTTAAAAATATGTATATTTCCTATAAAAAAGAGGTGTTTTGTTCATTTCTTTTAGATAAATATTTGAACTTAAATTTTGATAAATTTTTATACGTTGATCATAACGTCTTATAAATTTAAAAATTAAAAAAATTAAGAAATAGAAATAAAAGTTGATAAAATGGATTCAGAAATAGAACAATTGAATTCCCCTTATAAAAAGGAGTTGATTGATACTAATAATGATACTAAGGTTGCATTAGATAAGGAAACAGGATCTAAAAGATTATATAGTGAAATTGAAGATAAAGTAAGGCCTTATATTTGAGTGTAAATTGCTCTAGAAAACAATCTAATGATTTAGGATAACTTGGATGATAAGAAAAGTCCAGTCTTATCAAAAAAAGCATGCTTTTCTATGAAAAAATTGAAACAGCCATTTCGATCACCTTTAAAAGTTAACAGTAGTGTTGCTACTAAGTCATTAGAAGTAAAAAAGAATTATGATGTTCCTAAAACTATTGAAAATTCTTTTATTGTTGAAGGAAATGAAAACGTTGAACCTATCAGTACATCACATGGCAGCGAAAGCGCTACATTAATATCAAAAGCATCAGTTAAAAAAACAGCCTTTAGATCGCCTTTAGTCTCTAGTAAGAATATAACGGATCCGAATATAAGTGCTTTATATAAAAGGAAATTGGAACTTGAACGAAAAATATGGGAAGTTGATGAACATATTAAGACGATAGAAACAGCTAAAATGTATGAGAATAAGGTGTGGTTATAGATGCATTCTTTATTTTTTTATCTTAGTAATTAAAGGATGATTCTAAGCTGGAACGATTGGTTGATAAATGGCGTTTAGCAGCGCAACAAGCAGCTACACAGCTTTTTGCTATCGTTTCAGAAAAAATTGAATCAGTAGGAGGTATAAGTGCATGGTATAGACAATTCGAAGAATCGAAAAGTATACTATCTGAGTGGGATCCACCTCCAAAACCTGAAATAGAAGATACAGATTATGATAGAGAAGATTCACGGAATATTGAAGAAGCACCACAACCTGAAGTATTTACGATGGCAATCATGCTTCAAAAGCTAAACATACCTCCTGAACTAATTGGATGGGATGCTGAGTCTGAAACTTGGGTATAATGCTAAATAAAAATTATATTTTTGAAAAGCGAATGATTTTAAAATATAGAAAATGAAATGTGAAACATTTTTTTAATTACATGTTATATACGATATTAAATTAATTGCATGGATGTTTGTTTAGATATTACTGCTTAAATAATACTTTGGCAATTGTATGTTATCTGGTATGAAGGTTCTGTGTATTTAAGTTTCGTCTAAGTCCAATATGTAATCTTGCTTGTCGATAATAAATCTTAATTATGTTAGCCATGCAAAGAATATGTTTATGAATTACCATAAATGTTATTAATAAACATAAAATTAGAATAACGATTGTTTCAAAAAAGTCATCTTTGTTTTCATAAAAATCTTGATTATCATAATCTAGTTCCAATGCATCATCATTTTCTTCAACATCATTTATTTTTAACGAGTTTAATACTCTTTTAATAAAATTTTTAAGTCTATTAATAATATTAATATTTTCTTTCTCTTCTGTAATGTTATTTAAATTTTAAGATATTAATACAACAAACCTTGCTTAGAAGTATTTGTTGTAGTTCCATTTAGGATAGATTTATAAAAGCTTCTTATTCGAAGTTTAATTAAAGAAAGTGTTATTGGTAACCAAGCTTCTGAGCTAGTAGAAAGTGCATTGTCATAATGTCGTTTTGCTAAATGGAAGTCTTGCTGTATACCAATACCATTCTCATACATCCATCCCAGATTCCAAATAGCAAGAGCAGACATTCCAGTATCAGCAGCTGACATAAAACATTTAATGGCTTTAGAAGAATCTGCCTTTGTTCCTATGCCTTCCAAATAATAATCACCAATTCTAACCATCGCATCAATATTGTTCTGTTTCGCTGCACGTGTATAATAAATCAGAGAAAGTTGATCTGACATTGGGAAATATTTTTTTTGATTACGAGAAGAAAAAGATTTTTCTAAACTAGCTTAATATAGTAATATTAAAGGAAATTAATGCAAACCTTTATCAAGAAGCCATCCAACGTTAGACTGCCCTGCTTCATAGCCTTGCTCAGCGGCAATTAAAGTGTCAATAAGTGTCATATATATATTATTATTTTCATATGCTCTTTCAGCTTCATCAAGTGTTGAATAAATCAACCCAATTCTTTCAGAAACATATTTATAATACTAAAATAAATGAATATATAACCAATCGTATTAATTAGAATTACCGTAACAGTTCTTTGACATGATGATTCCTTTGAAAGTTCATTATAACTCATTGTTGCTAAATAATATGCGGCTTCAACAGGATTTTTGTCCCATGCTAATTCAAAAAGTATACTTGCCTTTGTATAATCTTTCTGTGCCAAATATATTTTGGCAAGATTAACTTTAGCAGCAGAAAGTCCTTGATCTGAAGCAGCTTTGAAAAGTTCTGCAGCTTTTTGTATATCTATATTAGTATCGCCATATCCTTTTAAGTATATCATTCCCATTCCATTTTGACATGCTGCATCCCCGATATTTATACCACGTTGAAACCAAATTTTAGCAATTCGAAAATTTTGTGCAACACCCTCTCCCCTAAAATACATCAAACCTAAATATCTTGCTGTTTCTGCTGCTCCTAGTCCATATTTCTCGTCATAAGGCTCTCCATTCTTTTTCCAATATAATCTTGCAATTTTTTTAAAATAACTAAATGATTTTTTAAAATCTCTGTCCATGCTAGAGGTTCCAAGATAAAAAAGTTTACCAAGAAGCAACTGTGCTTCAATATCGCCCTTTTCTGCTATATAGGAATAATAATCTATATAATTATCCATTTCTTTCTTTTCAATTCTTAAGATCTTTCCAATCAACTTTTTTCTTTTTTTATAATCTGGGCCACTTGAAACAACACTAGCACCTTCGCCATATATACCACCTTCATCATCTGCAAATTTTCGAGGTATACGAGGAAGTAAAATGCCTCCAGGTGGTCCTGAATCAAAATGATACATTACTTTATCAGCAACCTTTTTATAATATTCGGCTGCTATTTGACATGATTGCGGTGTTCCGATACCCATATAATGTCTATATCCAAGGATCATTTCTGCCCTAATATCTCCCTGAGAAGCTGCAAACATAAAATACAACATAGCTTTGGCTTGATTTCGAGGAACTTGTTCAACCATGCCTACAGCATAAAAAAGTCCCAAATTGAATTGTGCAGTCGCATTTCCTGTTCGAAGAGCAAGCTCTTTATAAAATAAAAATGCCTTATATAAATCTAACGGATGGCTATAGTTTCCATACTTTTAATAATTAAATATTCGTCTTTTGATTTTAAAAAACTTACAAAATGCATATCTGCTAATAAATATAAAGCATCATTATGACCAAGAGCTGCTGCTTTTTTGAGCATTGAAGATACTTTAGAAACCTTATTTCTCGAAAAATTATATTCTGATGAGCACTCTTGCTGGTGTGTTAGTTGGATTATAATAAATTTAGATATAATATATTTGAAAGTATTAAAGAGTCGTAAAAGTCCTTTTTGAGACCAAGAATAATTTGGTAATATTTTATACGACACATTTTTCAGAATTTCAAGAGATTCTGCATATAGATCATTCGCTAAACTCATTAATCATACAAACTTTAGTTTAATAAATTTACCATTGATATCTTGCACTGCAAAATCAAGCACAATATCTAATTCCAATGCATTCCTCAATTCTTCTGTATGATTCATACGTTTTTCTGGATTCTTTCCTTTTTCTTGATGATTTGTCTCTGTATTACTTTGTACTAAAAATATACCTAATATTTATAAAAACTCAATATAAAAAAATCACAATTTACTTCGAAAAAAAAACAAAATAACCATAAAAAATAACTTATTTAAACCCATTTCAAAAAGAAATATATTTTTATTTCATCAGTTTTTTGATCTTTTTTTCTTATATTTTATCTCACCCGGGTCAACGATCTTAATTTTTAAGAGATCACGTGCCAAAGATAAAATACAATAAGTATTAGAATTTGTATTTATATTTATTTATAGAATCAATCATATAGTTTTATCTATTAAAAATAAGATTTTTTGTATTTTTTTAAAAATATGAAAATTTACCTTTTTCGTTGGTGGTGTTTGTTGAAGTGTTTCATATCGATTTGCGCGTATTTCACCATTTTCAGAACCAGTATAAATTATTTGCATCTGTGTTGCTAATTTTTAGTTTTTTTCATTTTTATTTGTATAATATTTAAATGTACCTGTTGATCGAAAACAAGAGATCGAGCAATAGAATCATCATGACCTTGTAAAAGTATTTGTTCGTCTTTATTAATAGTCGCATCTTGATGAAATTCGAATAGACGAATTTTTCCACTTATTTTTGTTAATTAATATTTAATTAGTATATTTTAAGATATACGTATGACTACCACAACAAATATAAGCAGTATTTTTTGTAATATTTAGTATTATATCAATGACGTAATTGCAATTGAGTTTAGATCGTAAGTCTCCTAATGAAATATATGTAGAATCTATTATATTATCTGTATTATTTCTTGAAATGTCATTTATATTATAGAGGGAAAGTGTTTCCATATGACTTAAGCCTAAAACTTTATTTGGGCCAAGAAAATCTGCTCTATGTATAGAAGATTGATTGTTAAAGACGTTTATAATGGCGTCATCTTCGATGGAAAATCGTGTATCAAAAATATTGATTAAACCATCACATCCACCAGCACACAAACGATGAGACTGGATTGAATCAAATCGTACCTTGAAAATAAGAAAAATTAAAAAGATAAGATATATAATTACGTCTGTAATATCGTCATTTTGAGATTCTTTATATGAAAAAAGAAGCGATTGTTTCCGTTGATCCCTATGAAATTGAATTATTTTATTGGATTTAATAAATACTGTTATACCACAAAAAAAGATAAGCATCTGAACCTAATAACGCACTTCCTGCAGCAATCATTGTTTTTTCAATGTTTTCAGAAATACATAGAAGTGGCATTTTTTTTGCTAAAACATTCAATGATAGTTTATAAATATTAATTTTAAAACCAGGTTTAAATTGTCCACAAAGAGCTAAAGTTCGAGTATCCCATATTTTTGCTGTGCCCTCTTCTCCGCATGTCAAGATAGAATGATTTCCTGATATTTTCATATCCGAAATATGATCATGAACTTCATGAATCACTTTATATGTTTTAAGTGTTTCTCGATCCCATAAACGAAGTGTATTGTCTGAAGCAGCAGAAACAAGAATATTGTCTGCTATTCCTAGGTTATAAACATAAATTGAATCATCTGGATATTTTGCAATATAAAAAGGATGAAATTCTTTCATTTTTTGATACTTTCTTGTTTCTTGATATATTAGCTTTTATCTCACATTTTCCCCGGAATTTACCGGGGTCCAAGAAGTGTACCTGACGACCTAAAAATATTAGTATTATTAAATTAAAAAAAGATTAGTTAGCAATTAATACATGGAATCTTGACAATTTTTCTATAAAAATGGCGAATTCTAAATATGAATATGTTAGAAATTTTGAAAAACATGATAAGCTTCTCCCCAATACATGGATAGTGATACGATTAGATGGGAATGGATTTCATAAATTCTCTAATAAACATAACTTTGAGAAACCAAATGATATTCGTGCACTTAATCTTATGAATGATGCGGCAACAAGCGTTTTTCTGAAATTTCCAGATATTATTTTAGCATATGGAAATAGTGATGAATATAGTTTTGTCTTTCGAAAAACTACTCAATTGTATGACCGCCGAGAAAGGTTTCAATAGGTTTATTAATAAATGAAGCATATTAACAGCGTTTCAGTAAACTTATCACTTCTATTGTATCTTTTTTTACTTCAAATTATGTATTTTTATGGCCTAATTATTTTTTCGATACTGTTTTAAGATATCCTCCATCTTTTGATGCTCGTATTATCCTTTATCCATCTACACAAAATCTTAGAGATTATCTAAGTTGGAGACAAGTAGATTGTCATATTAATAATCTTTATAATACTACTTTTTGGGCATTAGTTCAAAAAGGTAAATTATCAACAACTGATGCTGAAAAAATGTTAATAGTATCTTTTTGATACTCTTTTAAAGCACTTTTCTTATATATTATAGGGAACTTTATCTAAAGATAAGCATGAACTACTTTTTAGTCGTTTTGGTATAAACTATAATAATGAATACGAAATCTTTAAAAAAGGCACTCTTCTTCTAAGAAAAGATACTGAAAACCCATCTGATAAAGTAAATGTATATCATGTAGACATCATTAGCGATACATTTTGGAATCAACATCCATTATTATTAAATTGATTTATTTATATATATTTATCTTATTTATGTATATTCCTCTTATTTCTTAGTCATTGTTTGTATAAAACTAAGATATATCTATAAAATATCATGATTTTGATCTCTTCTTATGGTCACGTGACATGATTTTAATTGATCGACAAAACGTTTAATAACAGAATATTCAAAGCATGTCAGAAGAAACGTCAAGAGAACAAAAACGTATTCCACGAGACGCACGAATTGTTCATCTTATTCTTGCATCGCTAGGTGTTGAAGCATATCAGCAGAATGTCCCTCTTCAACTGCTTACTTTTGCACATCGTAAATTCTAATAATATTTTTTAGATATAATTGTATAACTCACTATAATTTAACAGGTTATACACATCAAGTTCTTCAGGATGCTTTAGTATATTCGGATTATGCGCGGCCAGATGGGGTAACAGGATTGACAGTAGAAGACATTAGGTTGGCAATTGCATCTCAAGTGAATAATTCATTTCGAGGGCCACCTCCTAAAGAATTTCTTCTTGAATTGGCATCCGAACGTAATAGAAAGCCCCTTCCGCCTATTTATCCTACGTATAATCTTCGTCTTCCACCTAAAAAGTTCTTTTTTTGAGGAAAATCTATATATTTGCTAATTCTATCAGATATCTTTTAACAGCGCCAAATTGGGATTTCGATATTCCGAAATCTAAAAAGGATGATATATGATATAATTTCGATTCTATTTAGTCTTTTTTTAATATTGTTTCAGTTTTTTTAAAAAAAATTGTCAAAAGTTAACTTTTTAATTTAGATATTTAAATCACTTAACATTTTAACAGATTCGACTTGATAAATCAATATAATTCTCTATTCTGCTCTTTCGGTTGATTTATATATTTTCTACCTTTATATAAAATCTGCTCAAAAACTATCTTCGATTATAAAAAAAAAATCTACTAAGTCCTTGTATTAAAAAAAATATTAAATAAAAGGTTAAATGGATGAATTACATGAAGATTTTATAATATTTTCAGAATAGTTTATTTATAGTTTTTTTGGAGCGAAAAAAATTCCAATTTTTGAACTTCATTTTTATACAAATAATTTTTAAATTGTTAGAAATATATTAGTTTTGACAGATGGGAACACTAAAGCATTCACTTCAACGCCGTAATCATAAAGAACGTTCTCAGCCAGTCGAACGTGAAAAATGGGGTCTTTTAGAAAAACCAAAAGATTATCGTTTAAGGTAATGTAATTATTATTAGAAAATACTGGTTAATATCAATAGAGCCCGAGACTATCAGTCAAAACAGCATAGGCTTAAACGGCTTCGAGAAAAAGCAGCTGAAAAAAATCCAGAGTATGTTTATTAATAAGTTTATTTAGAATTGTAAAAATTAATTTTATTATTTTTCAGTGAATTTTACTTTGGAATGATGAAAGAGAAAACAAAAGATGGAATTGTTATTGTCGATAGAGGAAATCCTGTATTAACAGAAGAAACAGTACGATTATTAAAAACACAAGATGCTGGATATATTAGAATGATGTTAAATATTGAAAATAAGGTACGTTCTGGCGAGTTTTTTATTATATAATTGTACTTTTAGTTTTGCTTTTGTTTTGATTACTTTTTGATATTTTTATATATTAACGTTTAAAAGAAAGTTAAGAAACTTGAGCAATACGTTTATACAAATAATCAAGAAACTACTAATTGCAATGCAAAGCATTATTGTTTCGTTGACGAAACAAGTAAGTTATTTATTTGCTTAGTAAAATTATTGAAGGGAAAATAAAGATTTAGAAAGCCAAGAAAAAAAGTATCAAAAGCAAAAAAAAATAGATTATACAGGTCAAGTACAAGAAAAGCTTTCAGAAGAACCTTTTGTCCATGATGATTCAGTTGAAACATATTCTAATCTAGTAAATGAGGATCAAGCTATTCAAATATCTAAAGTTACACTTTCAGTTGATCCTAAGCTGATACGTGAACTAACGCTACGAAAAAACCGAATAGAGAAATTATCTATCTTGACAAGACAAATTAATCTTCAAAGAAATCTACAGACTAAAGGTGAAAGGAAAAAAATAGGTACAACGAGTGATGGTATTCCTATTTATAGATGGAAACTTGAAAGAAAACGATAATATTCAAGAATTAAAGAATCAACAATTTAATCTGCAAACCGATATGTATTCTGTATATGCTATCTATATCTATATTCTTAGGGCTTAGAAATAAAGTAAAATAACTTCTTGTGGTGTAGTTTCCCTAATAAATGTTAATAACTAATTTACGTATAAAAAATATGTACTTGGGACAGTAAGGACATTTGAACTTATTAGATGGATTGTCCTTAGAAAGCCGTTCAATTGATTTTTTTGATATAACATGCCCACCTAATAAAATATTAAAAACTTAATTATTTATAGAAACATACAAGGAATCATGAGTGGTGGATTTGATTCGGTTGTTTGTTCTTTACTGACAGGACAAGTAAAAACACTATGGAATCGATATTTGCTTGGTAAAGGAACTTCTACTGGAAGCTCATTTTCGCTTGTCCATTCGGTCTTTTTCTCTTTCATAATTGATGACATTTTCAATAATGTTGGTATTGCTAAAGAGCCCACAATGGAAACTGTTTGCAATGGTGAATCTGGTAAAAGACCAACTAAAGAACAATATTCACGATTAAAAGATGTTTGTATTGAAGTCCAAAGATGTTCATGTGTATATATTTGATTATATGGAGAAAGTGATATATTTGAGGCATAACAAAATAGACACATAAGCTTTTTAATCTCTATAAAGTCAATGATTAGCTTAAGAAATTCCTTTTCCTCTTGTTATTTGAACCTTGCAAATGCTTATATGCAAATAGTGGGAAATGTGTTTTAGCATATTCAATAGCAACTTGTATGCGATTTGGATCAGATCGTGTTAAAATTGAAATAAATTGAAGTTTATGAAGGTCAAATTCAAGATTACTGCTACGTTGTTCAAGTTGCTCTCGTTTTGAATAAGCCCATCTTTTATATTTTTAGAAATAAAAATGTAATAAGTAGTCTTACTTTATTGCTGCGTCAAATTCTTGATTCTTAAGTGCATGAAGGATCTGATAGAGATGTCCAAAAGCGTGAAGTAGGTTTTCAGGTATATCAAGACATGTTTCCTATAATATTCTATAAGCCAAATTCAAAGGAAAATGTTAAATGTTGAAAGCGCTAAAATATTAATAATTTTTGATAACTTTCAAATATTATTTAGAAATGTGTGTGTTTTCTTAAATATTTTATACTAATATGTAGTCAATAAGGCTAGATAGTTTTAAATAGACATTTTAAATGTTTAATCATTTTGAATAAGTAGTAATAAATCTGATTTTTCTGGTTTGTAAATAAGATTCATTAGTTAAGTCGACAAATATATCAATATTTTAAATTAAACTATAATAATAGCATTATATTTCCGAATTTGTAGAATAAATATTCAATATCTGACTATCCAATAATATTTTATAACATCAATTTGAACACTAATAATAGTATAAAAATAATTTTGAAAGGAAATTAAAAAAGTATTTTATATTTTAATATTTAAAAATACTCGTTTTTAAATAATTCCTAGCGCATTCTTTAATACATTTCTTTTATTTGTTTTACCTTGGTAAATGTTTGTACTAGAGAAAATTCTGCACGACGAATCCAATGAAGAGCAATCAAACGATGTAATTCTTCTACATTTCCTGGAATTTTTTCATGTATACCTATAGATGATAAATCTGTCTTAAATTGCTATATCTTTTATTTAATATAGATATTCATTCATTTTTTTCTTTCAAACCTTATCTAATATTTTTCCATACCTATTAAGACTTGTATAAATTTCTTTTTGCCCATTTATTAATTGTGTTACTCCTTTACGAAGCTGTTCTTTTATTAATTTCAATGTTTCTTCTTGGTTTTCTATATTTTATTTATATTTTTTCACTCCTTTTAGCGCTTACCTGATGTACCATCACTTAACTTTTTAATACCTTCTTGAATATCATTTTCAATTATTTGTAGAGTATTAAATACAGATGATGCAATATATTTTGCTTGTAAAAATGTAAATTCTTTAAAAATCCCTTCCATTTTAAAAAAAAATAAATAAAATCTTATTTAATTAAAACAATTTCCTCTTAATAAACTAATTTTCTGATTTTCTCAATGTTTCTGTACGAATAACTGTTCCAATAGCCATAAAAAATCTACAACAATTTTGTCATAAATAACATTAATTCATGTTCAAATTCTACCCAAATGTTGCTGCGCTTGAAATCATAGACGTACTTAGAGTTCGAATAATCCCTTGACGTCCTGAACCGTAACGTAAAAGATGAAGAGTTCCCTAATGAGAGAGAAAATATCAATATAAAGTAAAAATATATAAAAAAATATACGAAAACTAATCCGGCCTTATATATATATAAAGTTAGAAAAAAATTATAAAAACATATAAAAAAAATACACAAAGACCGACGGAAGAACCCATTAAAGCACCTGTTTTAACTGTTTAATATTTCAGTAAAAAATAAAGAAAAAAAAGAAGGTTAAAAAACGTTTTTCAAATGTAGAAGCCATGAATTGACGAAATTTGTTTTTTTAGGGCAGGATTTGTAATAAAGATTTTTTAAAAAAAAAATAATTGGATGTTTTTTTATGATTTTATATGAAGTTTATTCAAATTTATATATTGGATGGTATTTAAGATAAAAAATAAAATATATTGAATGATTTTTTTATATTAAATTTTAGTTTTAAGGGATTTTTACATGAAATTAAGGAAAAAACGCATAAGATTACACATCTTATTGGGTTAATATCATTTAATAATGTAAAAATATTTCTTTTTTTGAAAAAAGAAGTTAATTAAAAATAGAGGACAAAATTATTAGGATATAGATCTTTATTTTTTGAAATTAATGATGAATCTGATGAAAATATCATTCAGTATTTCCCGGAAAGTATTAGATTTATTGAAGAATGTTTTAATATGGATTCAAAAAATAAAATGTTGATTTTTTGGTATTTTTTTTCAATATTTGATTTTAAAAAATCAATTTGTTTTAAGTCAAGCAGGAATTTCACGTTCTACGACTATTGTAGGGGCTTATTTAATGCAAAGATTGAAGATATCAAAAGAAGAAGCTATTTTATATATAAAAAAGGTTCATCCAGATGCAGAACCTAATCCAGGTTTTATGGAACAATTGCAGTTATTTCATGATTGTAATTATGTCTTAAATCAAGAAATGAAGTTGTATAGACAATGGTTACTTAAGCATAAGATTTATTCATCATTACGTATGATATATATATATATTGAAAAAAAATAATCGGGCCAAATAGAAGATAAAAAAGTACCTGAGATTTCTTTATATTCACAAGATGAATCAATACAAAATGGTCAAATACATCTTCGATGTAAAAAATGCAGGTAAAATTACATGTATATGTTATATATTAAATTTTAATAAAAATGATTTAGGCTTGTTTTAGCTAATTCAAATTATATTATTGATCATCAACCACAGCAATCATTTATTCAATGTACTCATTTTTTTTTGGAGCCACTAGCATGGATGAAAAATGAATTAGATAATGGAAATATAGAAGGGAAATTAAACTGTCCTAAATGTAGTTCAAGAATAGGGAAATATGCATGGCAAGGCATGAGTTGTAGTTGTAAAAAATGGGTTACACCGGCTTTAAGTATACAAAAAAGTAAAATTGATGTAATAAAAAAGGAATTAACAAAATAATTTTATAGTATTTATGGTAAAACTCGTATATTAATCTTGATATACTTTAGAAAAATTATAAAAAGGTTTCCTTTCTATAATTTATGATATGCAAATTATATTAATTATAATTTTTAAATAAATAAATTTAAGTTCATTAATAAATTTCAATTTCATATGAAGTGTTTTAAACATTTAACAATTAGTAATAAAACGAATTAGTTTTACAATTCTTATTATTACAAAATTTATTTAAAAATACGTAGAACTTAGTTGTTCATCATTGCTTCTTCTAATATTCCTAATTGAGCTGAAATTTGTTTGTTTTTCATTTGTTCTACGCCTAATTGCTTTTCTCTTCTTTTAACACGGTCTTTTTCTAGTTTCCACATTTCCAATATATAAGAATTTTGTTTTTTTAATTTTTCATTTTCCAACTTGATTTCTTCAAATTCTTTTAGTGTTTTGTTAAGTTCAGAATCTTTTGTTTTCAAATAAATATTTGATTCTATTTGAACAAAATCTACAAGATTTCGTAACTTTTTTATAATATTATTATCTACATTATTGTCAAAGTCTTCTTTTTTTTCTTTAAGTGCTTTCTTTAGTTCATTAATATATTTCTTGAGAGATTCATTTTCTTGCTGTAAAATAATTCGTTGTGGTGTCCATGGTTTCTTTAAAGTTCCACTTTCAGAATATATTTTTTTTGATGGTAATATTTTTGCTGTAGAAAATTGAACACATGGAGCATTCTGTATACTTTTAACTCCTTCTGAAATATTAAAAAGATTATCATCATTTATATTTTTTTTCAATTGAAGGGGTTTTCTTGGAGAACTTGATTTTGATCTTTTATAGTCTTTTTTTATACCAGATGACAAGAATGTTCTTAAAGAAATATGAAAATTATCCAGCTAATTATAATTAGTTCTTAGATATTTTTTAAACAGCGATTCTAACATGTTCATGTGTTTTAATAGGTGTTTCTATATTATGAAATCCTGTGTTATCTAAAACTTAATAAAAAATACAACGAATTCTTACATACCCTTCTCTTTTATATATAAATAACCTTCTAAATATTAAAAATCATAGAAAATACCTGAATATGTTATTTTTTTCAAATCATGAATAATATGGTCTGTATCTTTACAATTCTCCAATTCCAAAGCTTTGTTTATTTTTTTAGAATTTAAATTTTCTAAACTATCTGTTTAATATTACTAAATCTTTGTATTATTTTTCTTATATTCTATCTTTCCTTCATTTAAAATAGGTGTAGTTATATCTTTTAAATCGTCAATAATAGATACATCATTAATAGAATTTTTATTAATTTCCAAATCTTTATTTAAAGGAGTGATGTCTTCAAGAGTGTTTTCACTTAACCCTAATGAAAATCTCATAATTTTAAGGAATTTTTGAAAAAAGTTGATGATATAAATCTCAAGTTACTGTAGCAACGCAAAATCAAAACAATAGTAAAATAGAATTAAGAGAAATATATAAAATAGAATATGCCGGCTATTTTCTGATGAAAATTATTTATATTTATTTGGTTTTTTATTATTAAGATTTTTTTTATGATTTTTGTATAGAATTGTTGGTTGAGTTTTATATATATTTATGATTTTCTATAAAATAAAATGATGAATGTATGTTTAAAGCAATGTTATTTATAAATATTTCATAATTTTTTTCTAGAAAATTATTTTATTTTTATAAGTATTAAAATTTAAAATATAAATTGATAGAGATCAAATATTAAAATGAAATTTTTACAAGGGCTTATTATTATCTAAATACAAATCAGCTTGCTATTGTTAGAAGACTTATATTTTTGCTGAATATGTTCTTTGTATATAGATATTCTTTTAAATATGTTGATAATCATTATTTATAAAAATTACTTGAATTTTAATCCTTTAAATTTAAATAACAATCTTAAATGATAATTTTTTCAAAAATAAAATTAAAAAACAATAAAAGTATATATATAAACTATAATACAAAATTTAAAAGTTGGATACTAATTTTAAAATTTCCCATTTATAAATTATTTATTTAAAATATAGAAGAACCTTTTAAAGAAGGAATGAAGAAACGAAAATTATTTGATAATTTATCATCAATTATTTAAAAAGTTTTTAAAATTATTGTTATTTTATAGAAATTAATACATATTTTTTTGTCACTCTTAAAATAGTGATAAGAATTCCTTAGATAAATATAGAACACTTTATATTTTTAAATATTACCAATTTAAATGAATTTCTAAGATTTTTTCTAAAAATAAAAATTAAAAATACAGATTTACAAAAATACAATATTTAACACTTTAATAAAAAACATTTAGGAAAATAAGGTTTCAAATGTTAATATATATATAAATATATAAATCCTTTAATTACATTTAAAGAATAAAGAAAAATAGATTCTATTATAAAAGTTAAAAATTACTACTATATATAAAATTTTCAATATTACCAAGTTTACTAATAAATTGAAATTTTATATACACAAATTCAATAAAAAACAAAATCTAAATAAATTAAAATATACTAAAAAAATCACATTCTTAAATTTTTGATGCAATAAATAATAACTTTATTAAATCATTTATTTTTTTTAAATGACTTTAATCTATTAATATAAAAGCCTAATAAAACATAAAAACATATGAACTTGTCAAATAAAATGTTTTAATAGCCATCATAAATCCTTTTATCCGCATAATTCTGAAATTAAATACTATGTTAAATTTTTATATAACAAATAAATACACCGATTTTTTTATTTTACTTAGATGGTACCCAACCTTCATTTAACATTGCCTCTAATTTTACGACTTGACTCATTGACGTTGCATTTCGTATAGCATCTTGAATACGTTTTCTTTCATCATCAGTTAATTTAAAGTTATCTTTTCCTTCATCCGTTGATTCATGAATATCAAATGCATGAGACTTAACCCCTAAGATAGATTCTGCTAATGCAGTAGGCTCAGATATAGATACACCAAAAAGCACTTTTGCTGCCTCCCGTTCCTAAAAAATAGTAAATATATAGATATACTCTATTTAAATAAAAAAAATAAACCATACATATTGACGAACTCTGGAAAAATCAAGAACACGAAGACTTGAACATATCCAAACTACCCATAATCGATAATTCTCTTTTCGTGAAACAGGATTATCCATAAGACTCAAAAACGTAAGCTTTCTGAGACCAGAAAGACATCTAATATCAGAAAGTTCAGATATAGAATTCGAGGTTAAAATAAGTGTCCTTAAATTTGGAACAGTTGACGACAACTGAGATGAAATAGAGGAAATTCTATTACGAGATAAAAGAAGCGTTCGAATTCTAATCAACTTCGGAAAATTTCCAAGAAATCGTATATCATTATCTGTAAAATCAATAGCATCATTTTGATCCTAAATCCCTTGTATGAGTTTCTAAATATAAAATCTAATTTTTCAAACTTTGGTAACACCTAAATTCTCAATTGCTGGGATCTTATGACCTAAAATAAAGCAATAAACATAAATACCTAGAGAAATATAGCCCAAAATACCCCGTAAATCCAGTTCTCTTTCTTTTGCTGGGTTAATATAAGATGGAGCATTATTTAAAAGATCAATATTAAGTCGCATTAGAAAATGAATTAAAATAAATCTCCCAAACAATTTAAGACGGAGCCCTTCTAATAAGATTCCCTAAGAAATAACAAAATATACGGCAAATTCAACCTAATATGTTGATTTTTTTAAAGAATTAATTTTTCGAAATAATTTTATATTAAGGTTTCCACCCTAATAAAAAATTAATATCAAAATCTGATAAGATCTTTTTTATATAGGCCATAATTTGCATATCCTCTATATGAAATTATATAATTATCCATAAACATTAATAGTACCAGAACGATCAACAGAAATAATCATTTTGTAAGGATCATCAATAAAAGCAATGTCTTGAATTAAATCAATATGATTCTTTAAAAAACAATTTTGTTGTTGAATAAGTGCAGAACGAGATATCTTCGAAAAAGATTTAAGTGAAACAGGTTCGTCGGCTGAAAATACAGAAATAGGTTGCTCAGTATTAAGAACTAAAGTTGAAGTAAGATTAGTTGTTGTATAAATTGGCATTTTTTCTCCTGGTTCCAATCCACTTATAATAAAACCTTTTTCTGTTTCATTAGAATCAAGATTCCAAAATCTTATTTTTTGATCAGTTCCAGAAAAAATAATAAAACCATGATTTATAATATTAGACGTAATACCATGAGACATTCCAGAAATACCAACTATCATTGCACATACTCCTCTATTATCTCCTGATATTTTATTATCAAAACTTAAATTATTAATATTTTCAATATATTTTCTAAGGATTTTTTCTGAACTCTCGCTATCAATTTCCCATAGTTCATAACCTTTACCAGTATCTTTTCCTTTTACAACCCTATATATTTCGCGACACTGTGCTTTTTCTATATCCCAAACAGTGACTTCATGCTGACTATTTCCTCCAGCTATGCATACCCATTTTCCATGACCTTTTGTAGGATGTAATAAAAGTCGATGAATCTTAGAAGCACCATGCAAACCCCATGATTTCAATCTAATTTGAAATCTTAAGTCCCATAAATCTAGAATACCATGTGTACCAGCAAGTAATAACCATGTTTTCTGTTGATCTATACAAAAACACGTAGGCATCCCATGTTGAGGAGGATTTAATAAATTATATAACTCTTTCATAGTACGTATATCCAATGCAATTACTCGTGACATGTTTGTTGCTATCATTAAAATAGATTCATGATCTTGAAATTAAAAAAAATGAGATTGAAAAAATTATATACTACCTGTTTCAAAATGTTCCATCCAAACAGCATATTCATCTTTCCCTATTTCATATTTTCGAAGAATTTTAATACGTCTATATTTCGGGAATGGACCAATATTAGTTATACATTCAACCTTTATAATATGGAGACTCCCATCATTAGCTCCACTAGCTATACAGTGCGTATTAGATATAAAACAAAGAGATATAATTCTTGAAAACATTGAATGCTGATAAGTTAATCGAGATCTATTAGTAACGTTTTTTTTAAGACGACTAATATCCCATATTTTTACAGTACCATCATCCGAACCAGTAGCAAAAAATACATTATCAGCAGAAACAATTACACGATTAATTCCTTTAGAATGTTCAGAAAAATGAGCAATTAAAGTTCCCACAGGCCGCCATAGAGTATTTATAGATAGCTTTCCAGAATTTTTTTTAATATTTATTTTTTGTGAAGAAACAATAGAATCAAAGTCTTTTATTTCTTCAGAGGAATTATCAACAAATATTTTGTTTAGAAAATTAAAAATATCTTTGTCATTTTCATCTAAATATTCATTAACAATTGCTTGTTATTAAACAAATATATACCAGAAGAATAAACAGACTTGGAAAATAAAGATAAGTCTAAATCAATTTCACCATCTGAGGCATCCTTTGCAATATTTGATGTTAAATATCTATTTAAAAAGCTCTCTAGAATTCCTAGTACATTTTCTGTATTAGTTGAAGTTTCTGGAACAGTCTTATTTAATAAAACGGTTTTCGTATATATCAAATTTGAATTATGCTGCTTATTATCTAAGCATGATTCATCATTTTTAGATGAAAAAATTCTATTTTCCTCTGATTCGGAAATTCTTGAATCCAAAAAAGGTTTTATATTAATTAAATTATTAGAAACTTCTTTAGTATCAGAAGAACTTTCGCAAAAACCAATCTCTACTTGTTTGTCATCAGTACTGAAACTTCTTTCTTCATGAAAGCTTGAATTAGTAGTAACCAAATCAATATTTGAATTGTCTGAGATAACATGTGGTATTAGTTCTTCATTTGAAAAAATAACAGATAAATTATTCTTAGAAAATGATGGTGTTAGAGCATCTTCAGATTGCTTATCGGTAAACTTATTAAAATCCTCCGATTTGTCTTCAAAAGCAAGGGTATTTGTTAATTGTGAAATTTTAATTTTTGATTTTGAAGATAAATTATCAGAAAAAACAATTTTAGGATGAATATCCAACGTTTTAAGGGAAACAAAACCATCCTGAGTTTCAACAATAGAACTATTATCATGTCGTCGATAGCTTTATAACGTTATTATATGAGATACCAACTATATCTTACTACCTTGAAGATAAATGGGCTACTTTCCATATATATTCTTTAAGTAAATTTAATTTCCATTCATCAGAAATAGTCATTCCAAGATCTCTTAACTTTATTATCCATTCTTCATCACTAATATTATTAACACTATTTAAAAATAAAAAGAAAAATTCACTCTTTTGATATATTCATTCTTTCATGAGAATACATAGTTTTTTCAATCTCATCTTCAGATAAAGGAACACACTTTGCTGAGGGAAAAAGAATCTGAATATCATTTTCATCAACATATTGTGTCGAAACAAACAATTCCTTAGATTTTGCAGATTTCCAGAATAAACTTTTTTCATTTCTCGCAGCCCAAGCAATAGCAGTATCAAATACAAATCTAGGAATCTTTTATATAATCAATAAATAAATGATTTACAAGAATAATATAACCTGAGTATGTAGATTTTCTAACAATGCTGTTTCAGTAATATTAATAATATCGCAGCGCAAAAACGGTCTTAATAAAGAATATAATATACAATGAATATCAACCTTTTCCAACCACTTTATACTTGCAACGATGAATTTTATACTTTCTATATTTTAAATTAAAAAAACTCTTATAAATTAAAAGTTTTACCAGTTCTAATCCAGACATTTGGATGAAGAGTATATTTTAATAAAGTTACAAGAAGATCCCATATTCTAGGTTTTTGAAATAAACCTAATTCCATAATACTAGTAAGAGATGATATAACTTTTTCAACTACAAATTCTTCTATATCTAATATAAAATTAAATAAATCCAAACATAATGTAAAACCATTAATACCAATTAAAGCTTGTATTATTAAAGGCATTATATATTCCTCTAAGCTCTGGCTCCCAACATATAAAGCAATACTGGCAATATGTTCAAAAAAAGAATATCTTAACATCCAGTCTTTATCATTTAAATAAGTTATTAAGTGACTCAAAATTGCATCACCAATGTTTTGTTTGTAAAAAAATTTCAAAAGAGATGCAATAGAGCCCATTAAAGCACGTCTAACATCAGAATTCGTGTCGGTAAGCAAAATCATAACATGTTGCTTAAATGCATCTTGTAAATCATTTAAACTACTATCATACGTCATTGCCATACTAGAAGTACTTCCATTAAATCTTTCTATATCATTACCAGCAAATTCTAAAATGCCATCTAAGCGAAATGCTTCAGCTATATTTAAAAATCGCTGAGCTGTATTCACAATGCTAGATATACATGATGCATACAGTATTCTAACACATGACTTAGGATCAGTAACTAAAGGATTCAACATTGGTAATATATATTCCAAAAATACATGTATATTAATAGGTGTTATTATAATTATAGAAGCAAGCTAAATAATATTAAAAAATAAAAATTTATAAAAATAAACTTACCAATTTCGTTATTGTATATAAAGAAGACATTCTAACTGACGGAACATCATCATTAAGAAGAACAGCAAGATACGGTAAGCAAAGATCATGTTTAGTTTCATCTGTTATTCTATAGCTAAATATCAAAAGTATATGACAAGCAATTATGCGTGATATTGGTTTAAGAAGATTTCTTATTGACGACATAATAAGAGATAAAAAAATCAAAACACCATTATCAGATGAAACAGGTTTAGCTAAAGGAATAGAATGTTCATAAACTTCAAATTGTGTAATAGAATTTCCATACAAATTCTTCGAAAAAGAGACTTTTTTGACATTTTCATAATCTTCAAAGCCAAGAGAATACGCAATTTTATCGAGATCATGATAAATACGTTCAATATAATCGTCCATATAAAACATTTTTTTCTTGAATTCAACATGTTCTTTTTGTGAATGTTGCATAATTGAATTAATGTACTGATAAAGAAATGTAAAAAAATAATCAGGAAAAACACTGTTTCTCCATTTTTCAAGATATTCTTGTGCAGACAATCGCTTTTCTGGATCCAAATTGATCATATGACAAATAAGAGATTTAATCTCGAGGTCCTCAATTTTGTTTAAGAGTGTAGATATTGGGTTATATCTACCTTGCTTATATTTTAATAACTGAGAAAGAGTAAATAAAGGTATTCCTTCAAGAAAAAGTTCTGCAATCACACATCCAAGACTAAAAATATCCATTTTATCAGTCAATTCACCATGACGCAACTCACTTGAACAAAGAAAGCGCTCAGGTGCAATATAACAGACACGTCTTGATGAACTATCATAAAAATAAGAAAAATCAGCAGGATTATCTTCAGGCAAAAAATTAGGCTTAAAAAACGAAAAATCAACCAAATAGACCCAATTCCATGAAGTTACCATAACATTTTCAATTTTAATATCTCCATGATAAACCTATAAATTTAAATATATATATACATATAATATTATCATACTCCTTTAGAATGACAATCTCTTAATCCAGATAAAAGTTGAAATACAATCCATTTTTTCTCTATCATTTGAAGAAAAGGTCTAGTGCTTTTTTCTATATTAGAATTATTTTAGATATAAAAAGCACAAATACCTAATTCTATCATACAAACTACTAAAAAAAAACTCTCTTACAAGATATCCTGCTTTTTCTGTTTCAAAAACACGCCTATATGGAATAGCATTAGGAATATTCAATAATTTCTCACGAACAGCTAAAGGTTTGTTAAAACTAAATAATTAAAATATATAAATCTATACATTCGACTTGCTCAATATAACTTTTCAGAGTATACGACGATGATGGTTTTACAAACAATTTTACAACAACAGGCCCTTCCAGATGCTGACAACGAACAGTTTTCATAAACCGAGCGGAAGATAAACTTTTGATATAAGATTTTTAGTTTTTTTTTCAAAAATTTAAAACACCTTTTTCTATATTGAATATCTGAAAGCTCTGATATGTATGAATCAATACTTAATGGAGCACCAAAAATATGGAAAGAAGATAAATTTGCTCCCATCTTAGTTTATAATATTATTTATTTTCAGCTTTTTAAAATCTTAAAAAATCTTTATTTCATAAAAATTAATATTATAAAAAATTAAAAAATACAATCTATCTTCAATATTTAAATATCCTTTAGATCAACAATAGAATACTTACTATAAAATTCCAATCATTATTTAAAGAAATAAAATATCAATTTTTTATTGGATATCAATCTTATCAATAATTCCGAATGTTTTATACATATAAAATTGTCAATATAAAATATATGAGGGAATATTATAAAGATCTTAAAGAATTTTAAAGCTATATCCTATAAAAACATTTCTTTCTTTTTATAAAATATAATATATATTTTTTAATTATATATTATGTATGATGAATTAAATTATATAATTTATTCAAAATATATTATTTATTTTATTCCCATTCAATTGTAGCAGGTGGCTAAGATAGTTAATAAAAGAATATGATTGATGAAAAGAAACCTTTGTAGATATATCATAAACAATACGATTTATTCCTTTAACCTCATTAATTATTCTTGCACTAACATGTTTAAGAAACTTTATATCAAAATCATAAACATCAACAGTCATGAAATCGGCAGTAGTTACTGCTCTAAGAACAGCAACTTGTTCATATGTTCTATAAAACATTAACGAAATAACATTATATCTTTAAAATTTTATAACCGTTTATCTCCCATTACTCCTACTGTTTTTACAGGTAATAAAGTTACAAATGCTTGACTAATTTTCCCATATATCCCCGCTTTTTTAATTTCTTCAATAAAAATAAAATCCGCTTGGCGTAGAATTTCTATTTGTTTACGAGTAATTTCACCAAGAATTCTTATAGAAAGTCCAGGCCCAGGAAAAGGATGCCTCCAAATGAGATCATCAGGTAATCCAAGGAGTTTGCCTAATTCTCGAACTTCATCTTATTCATTAGAAACAAATATTCAATATCTTTATCTATTTTACCTTTAAAAAGTTCTCTTAAAGGTTCAATTAGATCAAAAGGCATATTTTTTAATAAACCACCAACATTCTATTATCCATTAAAAACATGAAGTATTATAGGTATAGTTTTACATGATGTGTTTTAATAATTTGGCTTGGTCCTTTAAAACTGACACTTTCAATAACATCTGGATATAAAGTTCCTTGGACTAGATATCTTATTTTATTTTCAATTTTAGCATTAATTTTTTTAGTTTCGTCCTTAAATACATAAATAAACGTATTTCCAACTATTCTTCTTTTATCTTCAGGATCTTTTACACCTTTAAGATTATTTAAAAATTGATTAGAAGCATCTACTACAGAAAGATTAATTCCAAGATGCTTGTTTAGAGTTTCGACAATCTCAGAACATTCATTTAATCTCATAAACCCATTGTCAACAAAAACTCCGTGAAATCGATCACCAATAGCCTCTTTCATAATCTTAGCAGCTACAGAAGAATCCAATCCACCACTAACTGCTCCAATCACATGATCTTCATCACCTACACGTTGTTTAATTTCTTCGATCTTCTTATCTAAAAAAGACTCAATAGTCCAATTCTGAGAACATTTACATATTTTAACTGAAAAGTTTTTCAATATTTCAATACCACAATTCGTGTGTGTAACTTCAGGATGAAATTGTAATCCAAAAATATTCTTACTTTCATGCGCAATTGCTGCATAAGGCGAATTATTTGTCTCTGCTATAGAAAAAAATCCATCAGGAAGACATGATAGAGCATCTCCATGTGACATCCATACTTCTTGAGTCGCTTCTATTCCATCAAAAAGCAAGTTTTGAGCTTTTTCCAAAATTCTTAAAATTGCATGTCCATATTCACGTTTTTCAATACCAACAACACTTTTCCCATTCCTCCATGCTATTTCTTGAAGACCATAACAAATTCCCAGTATAGGAATACCTAATTCAAAAATTTCTGGATCTACATGAGGTGCATCTTCTGCATAAACAGAATATGGTGATCCAGAGAAAACGATCCCTTTAGGCCTCCATTTCAAATCCTTAATATTCAAGCTACATGAAAATAATTCTGAATGAATATTTAACTCTCTAAATCTTCTAATAATCAAATGACTATACTGAGATCTACAAATATTAACTTCTATATCAAAAACTAATAACTATTACCCAAAATCTAGGACTAATATCATATCAAAATCCATAAAATTACAGTTTTTATTTAAAATATGGCCTGCTTGATCATTATTATATGCTATTCCTTCTAATATATTTTTTTTTTTAATTTGACGTTGATGCAAACGTTACGATTTTATAGAGGAAAAGTATATCTAAGAATAAGAGAAATATAAAAGTTATAAAGGGCCTTTAAGCAAAGAAACATACTGAAATATCTATGGATTACTTATATATCTCCTTTTGAAAAAAAAAATTAATGATTGAAACAAATAAAAGAGTATAAGATCTAATAATAATTCTTTAACAACAAAGATCAGTATATTTTAAAAAAATTAGAGAAAAAAAAAGATAAAACTTAATAATTTAAGGATTAAATTGTTATTTTGAAGAAAAATTTATACCCTAGAGCGAAAATTTGAAAAAAATAGATTAAAATGATTAAAGATATGGCATATTTTAAAAAATCAAGCTTTTATCAATATATGATTCCTTATATATCTATAAAAAAATACCTAATGAATGTTCTGTATCAAAGTGAATCGGATTTTTGTATTTTTAGACTTCCTGACGAGCTTCTTTATGATATTCCGGAAGCAAAACAGTATTTGTATTCACTTTTTCAAGGATTTTTAGTTGCTTTTGATGAAAAAAATAATCTGGCTGAGTATGAAATAGATCAAAGTGAAAATCATGGATCAACAATCAAGAATGAATTAGAAAATCTAAGTATAAATTCTAGAATTTTGAAGATTAATTTTTTAAATTATCATAGCTGAACAAAAAGAGAAAAATTTGACTCTAACTGAATTAAAAAAGAAAAAGGATAACATTCTAAATAACATAAATATTATAAATATCAAAAAAGTATAATTGTTTTCTTAAAAAAATAAAACTAAATATATAAGGCTCTTATGTCCTCAAAAATAAAAGAAATTGATGAAAAAATCAGTATTTTAAATAAAACGAAATATGATTTACTTAATAAACTTCAAAAATTAAGACGAAAAGAGGCAGAAACAATAAATACATGTAATTTTTTTTATCTCTTAATCTAATTAATTGTCAATAGTATGGGATACAGAAACTAAAATTATGGACCTTATTGAACTGAAAACTTCAAGAACAATAGAAAACATGAATGACACAGAAATACCTGAAACAGATGATCTCAACAATTCAGAATTTATGTCAAAAAGTATTTACGATAAATTAAATAGTCCCAAAATTGATTCAAAAGCAATTCGTATCTCTTTCTTTTTTATTTTTTTTTTTAATTCTTTTTAGAGAAGGATTCTATGTGTATACTTCATGAGCAATTTAAACCAGGATCAAATATCAAGGTTATTTTATATAATTATTTTTAATATCCAATATAACAGATATTTTAGAGTTGGAAATCACATACAGAAACTATAACAGCAATAGATTTCGACACACCTTTCGGAATGATGGTTACAGCTTCTTTGGATGATACAGTAAAAATATGGAATCTTTTAAATGGAGAATATCAAGGCTTATTAGAAGGTCATAATGGTAAAAAAATAAATATAAAATATTTTTAGTAATTTATAGCATCTGTAAAATGCTTACAATTAGAAAACAATATTGTTGCTACCGGTTCTATGGATGCATCAATAAAATTATGGAATTTACAACATATAGAATCTTATCAAGCTGTTCAATCTTTTGAAACATTTAATTATCTTAATGCGAAAAAAGAAGAAAACAATATACATTTATTACCTTTTGATACGAAAAAAGTTACAAATGATCTTAATATAGCTACTTTAGAGTCTCATATGGATGAAATCACTGCTTTACATTTTATTGGAAATGTGCTTGTTTCTGGTTCTAGCGACAAAACTTTAAAACAATGGGACCTTGAAACAGGAAAATGTGTGCAAACTCTAGATATCCTTTGGGCTACGGCTCAATGTAATAATTATTTGTCATCATCTTTAGATAACTTTAAATCAAAATTATCTTTTAAAGAAAAGGGATATGATTTTGTTGGTGCTATTCAATGTTTTGATGCAGCTTTAGCTAGTGGAACAGCAGACGGAATAGTACGATTATGGGACCTTCGTAGTGGTTTAATTATAAAAACACTTTTTGGTCATACTGCTCCTATTACATGTCTTCAATTCGATAAACATCATCTTATTACTGGTAGCATAGATCGAAGTATTAGGGTATAAAATTTTCTTAAAATTATATCTTTTAACCATCAATAGATATGGGACCTAAGAATTGGCTCATTATACGATGCATTTGCATATAATGATTCAGTAACATCTTTACACTTTGATAGTAGAAGGATTGTCGTTTCTGCAAATGAACCTATTATTAGAATATATGATCGAATTGAAAGAAAACATTGGAATTGTGGTATGTTGACTGGTTCTAATGAACCAGGAAATATTGTAAAAAGGGTTTGTCATAAAGAAGGATATTTAATTTCTGGCCGACAAAATGGAACCATTGATATTTATACCTGTTAATAAATATTTTAACAAAAGAGTCACTTTTATCTAAAAATCAAAACGAAACAATCCTTTCAATACTAATTCCTATATAATATTACAAAGTTTTGCATAATTGTAGCTATAAATCTACAATTATTAAATAATTATCGATTTTAATTCATTAATAGCTTCTTTCAACTTATCTCTTGAAATCATCATTATTTCACCGTAATGTTGTATATCAATATCTCGATTATGAGACACAATATCCGAGTTTCTACATTGAGAATATTTATATCTTACAGAGTATAATGATTTTTCTTTAAATAATTCATCTTCTTGATGAAAATAAAACATTTTTCCCTTTTTCTATTTCATTAACTATTTTATTATAAATAAAATAACCTACCTGATCCCTTGTTTGTCTCTTTTTCAAATCATCTTGATCTACCATTCGTTGATAACTTCTCGATAAGATTATATAATAACTAAAATCATATGGTTCTTTCTATACCCTTATTAACATGATTCCATAAATATAAAAAACTAAACATCTTCCAATGCCCATTCAATCTCCTCAAAAAGCATTTCATACATAGGCGGAACAATTTGTGTTGGCATATTAATAAGACGTTCTGATAAAATTAAACCCATATTAGTGCCCAATTCTTCAAAAGAAACACAAAAAAAATCATAAAACTCCTTATTTAAAGATATCTTAGACATAATATATAATCTCATCTTCTTTATACAGTCTTTTTCATAATAATGATTCAAATTCACAACACTCAAAAAAGCAAGAGGATCTCCCTCAATCCCATCCATTTTTACAGTCGAGCCAACAAGCGTTTGACTTGCAACTAATTCTGATAACTCAAATATATTCAGACAATCTGAATCTGGCCCTATTAATTGTCTTAACAGATTTCTCAATGTATAAACATCGCTTAAACGCGGGTTAAAAAACTCAAAATCTACATCTAAAACTGAATCATTATCCTTGTCTGATCCACAGGAGTCTTTTTCATATGAACTGGAAGAAGTTTCCTGAGATTTTCTAGTCTTTTTTTTCATTTTTCGAATTTTTCAAGATTTTATGAGATCTCGAAAGGTCATATATATTTAAGAAGCAGTATTTTTTTTTAGAGAAGGGTAAAAGTAGAGATATTTCAATGAAAAACAAAGGAACCACTTTCTCTACGAAATAAAGCCTTTTTGAACGGAGAAAAAAGGTTAAAAACAAAAGAAATGAAGTCAAAAGAATGTTCAATATGTTTAAATGGTATTTCAAAGTACCGCTGCCCAAAATGTGAGATTAAAATATGTTCTATGAGTTGTTCACGTCAACACAAAATGATAAAGTCATGTTCTGGAATGTTTAATCCAGCATCTTTTTTAAATAAAAAAGAATTGTTAACTATTCAAAGTTTGGACCGAGATTACAACTTTTTATCAAATATTGAATCTTGTTTGGATAGATGTGTTAGAAATAGAATGAATTTGCCGTCTAAAAACTATGCTTTACGGCTTAAAAAAACTATTGAAAGAAATGGAATTCATTATTTTATATCTCCCCGGGGAATGAGCAGAGCATCTCAAAATAAGACATTCTGGGATCAAAAGTAGATTATTTTTCCTAGTAAGAATTTGCTTAACTTTTTTTTTTAGAAAAAAGAAGCTTTTTTGGACGATAGAGTGGATTTATATAAAAAATGGATCAAAAATATCAAAAATTGAACATAAGTACTTTATTTTATTTCCTTTAGCAATCATTTACAATGTTAATAGAATCCCATCTGATGAAGATATTATGAAAGCATATAAAAATTTTATTCATAAAAGAAATATTAAAGAATTACTTGATATAGATGATCAAATAGTGGAATTTATGATAAAAAAAGCTAACTCTCCAGTAACAATATTCCTGTTTATTGACATAAATGATCATTATAGGCAAATAATCCTATTTTTGAAACAATAGATAAAAATAAGCCTTTATTAGAAAGTTTTAAAGGAATGACTATTCTAGAATTTCCTACTATTTATATTACAATTAATGAAGATAAAAATGTAACTTCAATGATTCAAGAGGAAGTAAAAGAAAAAATACAGATTGAAAAGAAAGTAGATTTTAAAATAAATGCTAAACAAAATGGAATTGTTGATTATGATAGTGAAGAGTAGGGCATTAACTTATATTATCCAACAAAAATAGATTCTATTTTTTATTTTTTAAATATAGAAAAACTAAAATATGAAATATTTTAAAAAAGAATTTAAATAAAATAGTACTAATAAATTTATTTCAAATAATATATACAATCCCTCAATACCTATGAGTTATTTTATTCTCTATTTGTAATCTATTATTCATGATTAATTTCTTAATGTAAATATCAAAATGCTATTTAAAAGTTAATTATTCAAATAAAAAATTAAGATAATCATTTAGTAAAAAAATAATCCATAGAAATTGACATAAATATCGTATAATAAAAAGCTGGATATAATACAAATAAAATATTAAAAAAAAATCCGCTTTTAAATAAAATTAAAACATTTTTACCTTGCAAAAATACAAATATCAAAATATAGTAAAAATATTATAATAATCTCAAAAAGAGTCAGAATTGAGATGTGAAATTATAACAAATAATAACAATATCTATTGACAAGCAGGGCTTTCTTCCTCCTTATTTAAAGTTTCATCGCAATAATTAAAAATGGAATCATTAGATTCGCCCTCATGAATTAATGTCACTAAATAATTAGACTTTAATAAGCCCAAGGAAATCATACTTGAACTAAAAGAATCAAAAGGGTCAATAGATGCCCCTGAATTAGAAGGTAACCATGTTTCTAATGGGAACTCAATAGTAGAAGTTGCTTTAATATTTTGAGAAGAATCTATATCAATACTTAAACTCTCCTTAATATCTCGAAAATCTTGATTTTCAAGATTTTTTGTAAGTGCAGGTATTATAGGAGGACGTGTATGACGCAATAATGCCCATTGAGTATTTCGAAAAAAAGGGTGAAGCTTTATATCTGAGGCACCTGCCTTAGATCCAAGACGACGATTTTCATCTTTAATTAGAAGTTTTCGAATAAAGGATTTGCATGAACTATAAAGTTTAATCTTGAACAACTAATTAACTCTAAAGATACCTTGAAATTTGTTGATAACTAATCTCTGGAAATACAACATCATTTTTTAGAATATTTGTAAAAGTAATATTCCTATTTTTTCCTTTAAAAGGAGTAACTCCAAACTAATTATTCCATGTTAGAAATATAAAAAAAAGTTCAAAAAAAGCATACAAGCATTTCAAATGTTAAAATACCTAATGTCCACCAATCGACAGCACTTGTATGTCCACATCCCTTAATAACTTCAGGAGCAATATATTCTTCTGTTCCAACAAATGAATTAGTTCGAAAATCTGCAATACAAGACCTTGTATCAATTGCAGGGAATGAACCAGAGACACTTTTTGATACAATCATAGTAGGAGCACCTCCTGGAGCAGATTGTTTAGAAAGATCAAAATCAGACAACATTATATGCCCTGAATGATGCAAAAGAATATCTATTAATAACAATCAATAAAAACTTTAAAAGAAATTAACATACTCTCAGGTTTTAAATCTCGATAAATAAACCCCATTAAATGCAAATATTCCAAAGCAGCAGTCACCTCTGCTGCATAAAACCGAGACGCATCTTCAGATAAGCACTTTCCTGGACGCATTTGTAATGCTAAAAAAATTAAAACACAAATTAAAAAAAAAAGAATCTAACCTCTAAAAAATTCTCCGCCCATACAGTATTCCATGCAGAAATAAAGATTTTTATCAGATTGGAAAGAATGGTAAAGTGTAACAATAAAAGGATGATTACTAGTTGCTAGAATTTCTTGCTCGGTAAGCACACGTTTAATTTTATTCCTTTTAATCATCTCTTTCTTATTTAAAACTTCAAAATAAGTCGGAAAGCCCCAAGTTCAAAATCAAAACTTACCTTTCATTGCATATAATCTTCTTGTCTTCTTTTCTCGAACAAGATATACTTTTCCAACATCCCCTTTCCCAAGTAATTTAATCTTATCAAAACTAGATGGCCCTACTTCTACACTGCAGATTTTGATAGAATTACTAGAGTATGTTCTTAGAAAATTATTTTGTTTTTTCAACTTTCCAGAACTCGGAACATTCAAATAGTATTTTTTCGAAGATTTATCCGCAGAATCTATAGTATGAATTTCAGAAGTAGATGATTTCCGATTAATCTGAGGAAAAGCTTTTATATTATCATTCTTTTCCAACGTCACAGATATTTCCGGTGGTGATGTTTTCGATTTTTGAGCCTTTAACTTACGAAAATTAAATCTTCCATAGGACATTGGATTGATTTTTTGAAAAAATTGAACCATATTTTCATCTTTAATAAAATATGATTTCGACACTGTATTTTTTATCGTGCCATCTCGTTTTACTGAAAAACAAAGAACTTGTTTCTTATCTTTTGTATACGTATTTTTACGTTCAGAAAGATATCCATATTCTCCAAAATTTCCGTCTCTTTTATGATTCTTTTCAATAAAAAGTACATTGTGCTCCGTGCTTTTGTCAGTAATACTGCAATTTGTATTACGATTATTATGATTAAATTTAAAAAAACATTTTAATTTTTGTGGAAACTTAGGATGTACCAGATTATTCACCAATGAATTTTCTTCACCTCTAAGCCTCTTATGAACAAATATAGATCTTAATACATTTCTTTGACACTTGTGTTGAATTGTAGATGTTTTTTCTAATTCCATATTTCCTTTTTGCCCTTTAAAATAATAAAATGATAAATAGACCTTTTTAACCGGGAAAAAAAAAAAGAAAATATATGTATGTTAATGTATTCTTAAATATTTGAAACTTGTTTCATTTCTTGACTTATTTCCTATGTTTTATTAAAATTTTATTCTTAATTTTCATGTCTGTTACGATTTTGATAAAACCCACGGATTCATCAGATCTGGATGTAATAAACACATCAGAGGATAAAGAGATATATAATATATATAAATATGATATTATAGCCAATAAAATATAAATGAAAAAGAATATGACATTTTGTTTAATTCTTATATATTTTTCTTATTTTTTTTTTTAAAAAAAAATTTAAATATGATATAAAATAATTAAAAATAATAAAATATATATAAAATGATTAGATGCGTATAAGTAGTAAAGGAGATTGCTTTGAATGATATCTGAAAAGGTGATAGGCCCAGCAAAGAAGTATGTATTGGAGATATGTAAAAAAATATAAAATGAAAATAAAAAAATTATGATTAGTTCTGTAAAAAGTAAATAATATATCTTAAAAATATGATAGTGATTAATGGATTAATATAAATTGACCCCAGTAAAATATTATATGTATAACAATTAAGATTTATTAACTGCTTCTTGTAATTTAGCATTTTCTATTTCTAACTTTAATTTTCTAATTTCAATATCTCTGAGACGCATAACATCTTTAATTCGAATCTGTTTTTTATTTTCATAAGTTTCACGAATAAAAGAATCAATGTTGAAAGGTTCTGAGGATAAATTTTTAAGGAGAGAATAAACAGAAGCTGGAGAAGTGCAGGCCAATATTTGTTTCTCTTTGTTCTTAATGATTGCAATTGAAACTCTGAATAAATATACGTTTCCTTCAATAAATAAAAGATCAAAAACACGAAAAAGAACCTCCGGTGAAAGACAATCAGTAAATACAGTTAAAAACCAATTAAATGTAACAGCTTCTAAATCTACAGATAATTTCTTAAAATGATTATGTATTCGTGGACATAATTCGGAAACATATCGTGTTAAAACTCTTTGATCAGCACGAGATGCAAGCAAATCAGGCGTAAAATAATATGGAGGCAAAATATTTTCGACAATACTAACTAAGACATAAAAGGCATCTTCTTCTGTTGCATGTGTCAAAAGTAACATAGCTGCTATGACGTTCACTAAAAACTTTAATAATAAATAAGTAATAAATATCTACTTACTTCCCTGACAGTAACCTATCTGAGTATTATGTCTACTAAATGCAAGCAAAACATTTTTAAGTTTAGGTACGCCAGGCCCTTTCCCTCCAAAAAAAACATTATTTGGCATAGTTCTGTAAACGTCCATATCGATTTGCACTACAACTAAAGGATCAATATCTTTTCCTAATGTAAGTAAATCATTATAATATCCAGGTTGATGAAGTTGATATGCTCCACTACATTCTCCCCAAATCTAACTAATTTAAATAACTATGAATTATTCTTTAAAACCGACCTTAGGACGATAAATTATTGGTATACCACCAATTACCAAATTTCTAAATTCCTTCCAACGTTGCTTTCCAACCTTTCCTGCTATTCCTAACTCAGAGATTCCGATCAATTCAGAACCTTCATAACCATGAAAATTAGGATTTATATCGCGCTTTTTCTCATTTTGAACTTTACGTAAAAAAGAATCCCATAATTCCTGTTTTGTTTTATTATCTCCACATATATCCAACTGTGAACGTAATAAAAATTTTGCTGCAAAACTCTTAGATTTTTTATCCAAATCCAATGTTATGAATCCTTGTGCAATAGAATTATCATTATTTAAAGTAGTCAATGTTGCTGATGATATTGCATTGTGATTTAACGGGATATTTTCCATATTCATTATTTTATGTAAACTGCTAGTTGGTGTTGTAAGAGAATCATTTTTTAAAGAAGAAATATCTGATAATTTAAATTCGTCATTTCTTTTATTTTTAGAAAAGTCTATATGCTCTAAATAATCAAAGTTTTCAGATTGATTACAATTATTTTTGTTATTCGCTTCTAAAGGCTAAATAAAAATCAATAAATAATAATAATAAAATATAACAAATACTTCAGCTAATTTAGAATCGAAATTTTTTATTTTCGATGAAAAATTATATATAAAGCCAAATCTATCAGCCAATGGTTTTTCATCGACTCCATAATATTCATTCCATGATGGCAATAATGTAGGAGGTTGACGCTCTGGAGGCACAATTGTATCCATTTCGAGAGGCCTAGGAACAGAATTAGAAAATAGATGAGATCGAGATGTAGTAGCAAAGGTAGGAGTAGCTGTTTCCCTAATTATTGGAGAAGAATGAGTATCAGACTGATCAGATTGTGATGTATTTTGATCATGTGAACAAGTATCAGATGTTAATTTATTTAAAGAACTTTTAGAATAATATCCTGTTTTCGATTTCAATTTAGTTATTTTCTCATATAAACAATTAACACTAAATGTTTTAGAATTTGTATGATCAATATTTAACTCTTTGAAATATTTAGACAATATTGTACCCAGATTCAAACTAGTTATTTTTAATTTTGATTTAGATATATAATCTTGTATTAAATGTTGATGATAATCCAAAACCAAGGGAAAAACAAGACGCCATGCAAATTCTACAACCATTGAAGATATTTTTTTTTTATAAAGAAAACTTCTACTAGAATTTTGATAAAGTAATACGTAGCAAGCAGCCATGCTTATAGACTTAAAATGAGTTGTATGGGGATATCGTGGAAAACGAGTCTTTTCTTTAAAATATGAACCAAATCTTGGCATTTTCAAAAAAGATTCGAAAGAACCCAAAGAATCAAATAACGCCATCCTAGGAATTATTTTGTTAAATGAAGAAGAATAAGATTGAGGTTTAGAATTAATATGTACTTCTTTAGAATTTGTGAGACCTTTAAAATAAAATTTATCAATTAAAGACAAAGGATAATTATTTCCACATTTCATAATGTTGAAAGCATCTTCATCGTAATCATCCGGAAAAATATGTTTAGATTTCTTTTGATCATTTGTGTCTATATTTTTTCGTAATTTTCCAGCTCCCATTGTTTTAAATAAATAACTGGAGACTTTATTATACACAGGAAGACGTATCTTCCTACGTTTAGATGCATCATCATCTAAAATTAGATCGTTCAGTTTTCCATTATAAGATTTCATGTAATTTGTATCAGAAACCATATGATCCCCATTATTCATAAATAAAAATTCTCGTGTCTTTTCAAAAGACTCATATAGGAGCTTATCTATATCTAAATAACTCATACCTACATTTAAAAGAATTTTTTTTAAAACAATTTCACAATTCTTCAATTGTCTCTGATTTTTTATCATTTCAAGATCTTTTAATGCCAAATCCCGTGAAAGTAAACGTATAAAATTAATTGCTCCATATCTATCAATCAACTTTTTAAGAAAATCATCATCTTCTAAATATATATTCTCAGGAATCAAGCCAAATTCTTCATTAAACGAAGAGACTTGAAATGTATGATTAGAAGTAAATCCAGAATACAAGTCATTTATAGATTTAATCCCTTCCTTTTCAAATCGAATATCTGATGATGTCTTAGATCCTTGAAAAGAATGTCTTTTAAGACTTTTTTCTTGGATTTTTTCAAAGATATTTAACTTTTTTAAAGTTTGCCTAAAAAAGTCAATAATATTCAAAAATTTTAAAACTTTTTCTACAAAGAATCCTGCCTATCATTAGAAGCTGAAACTAATGGATGCTCTCCTTGAAGAACTTGCGGCACTTTATGAATACAGGATTCCTTCATTTTAGATATGTTTAAATTAATAAAAATTTAAACCAAGTATTAAATGAGATAAAAAGTAAAAAAATCATAGAAATTTAAATTAATGATTAAAACAATTAAACATATAGTTCTAATAGTTTTTGAGAATATTTAAATTATATTTCTTTGCTTTAAGCAGTTCATGTTATCCCTTAATTCGATACTATTTTTTAAAAAATATAAATATAGAAAATATAAAGATAAAAAAGATGATAAAAAAATATAAAAAATCATATTTATAGCTTCTATTTGTTGTTTTTATGTAAAGTTCTAGTGTTTGTGCCATTTTTCCCCTGGAAAAATAAGATATAACTTTTTCTTTACTTCGTTTACCCATTATAGCACGTTGAGCATCAGTCATTTGAAATAAAACATTTCTTAAAACTTCTGCCCATTCAGTTTCATTAGGTTTTTTTAACCATCCAGTTACGCCATCATCAATTGTTTCTAAAGGACCCCCATTATTTTGAGCTAAAACAATAGTTTGATGAAACATAGCTTCAAGTGGTACAATTCCAAAATGTTCATAAGGAGGAGTATATAATAAAATTGTTGCATTTTGAAGAAGATAATTTTTTAAGTTCGTAGGTATTGAAAGTAGAAAAACAACATTATATCCAGAAAAATCTAAAGGAAATTTATATGGATGCATAAAAGTTTTGGATTTAAAAGAAAAATGATTACATAAATCAAGAAGCTCATTATGATATTGAACGTTTTCTTTAATCCTAGATTCATATCCACCTAATTAAATTGATAAGAAAGAAAAAATAAAAAAAAACATACCTGCAATAATTAAACAGCATTTATTAAAATTAGAGTCTTTTTTAAGATGGGAATAAGACTTCACTGCTAAATCAATATTTTTTTTTCTTTCAAATCTATTTATAGATAAAATAAAATATAGATGACTATTATATTTTAAAAAATCATTAAACATTTATTTGCATTCTACCTCTGAGTTATTAATGGAGATTTCTCTAAACTATTATCGTTTTCATAAATATTAATACTAGGATATAATATAGTAAGATTCTTAATATTCGAAAACGTTTTACGAACAACTGATGCTGTAAAATAACTATTCACAAGTATTTTATCCGCCATCAGTAATGTCAAATTTTCAATAAGATCAAAAGGAAAACGATAAATTCTTCTTAATATGTTATTTCTGCTTGCTAATAATTTATCTGGAAAATGACAATAAAATAGAATCTTTAAACACTTCCACCTTAATATAAGAAGACCAAAAGACAAAACATCCATAATAATAACATCATATGATTCTATTTTAAAAAATAAAACTAATGATAAATACAATTGTCGAAAAATAGCACATAAAATAGAAAATTTTCCAAAAATCTTAGAAGGAATCCTATCCCCATAAACTTTAACTGACAATAATCCTTATATAATCATTATATACTAAAACATACGAGATATAAACCTTTCTTAATCTCTTCAAAACAATGGTTTCTATTACAATGACTCGTATATATTACAACCTTATGCCCAAGATCCTGTAACCCAATTGCTGCATCTACTGTAAATCTCTCAGCTCCTCCTATTCCAAGGTCTGGATGGACAAAAGCAATTTTCATCTTGGTGGTTGTCTTGGTAACCATACGTCAACGTCTGATATTGTTAAGGAAAGCAAGAACGACAAAAAATTATAAATTTTATAAAAGATGGGAATAGACTATAAAAACAAAGATTCTTCTGTATTTAAAGAAATAGGAGCTCATGTTACAAATGTAGATCTTGATTTTAGCGAAGAAAGCGAGAAAAAAGACCCAACGGTTGAGGAAATAGAAAGTTTATGTGTACAATGTGAAGAACAGGTTATATAATATATTATCTCTTTAATTATTTGATTATAAATAACTAAAACTATATAAATAGGGAACAACAAAGTTATTACTTACTATTATTCCGTTTTTTAGGGAAATTATTCTTATGTAAGAGTTTTTTTAAATAAATTAAATTATCTAAAAAAAATATAAAAGTTCTTTTGAATGTCCTCATTGCGGGTTTAAAAACTCTGAAATACAATCAGCAGGTTCTATTCAGGAAAAAGGATCAGTGCATACTTTTGTTGTTGAGTCGAAAGAAGATCTTAACCGTAATATTATAAAATCAGAAACATCATCAATATTATTGGTAGAGCTTGATCTTGAAATACCTCCAGGAAAAGGTAGAATAAGTAATATTGAAGGGTTTTTAAAAAATGTTTATGAAGACTTATCATTAAATCAACCACTTCGTAAATATCAAGATCCTGATTTGTATGAAAAAATAGATCAATTTATGATACGTATTCATAATTTATTGGATGGACTGCATTTTCCTTTTAAAATTCAATTAGATGATCCGGCAGGAAATAGTTGGATTGAAATAGAACCGGGTGATCCACAATACAAATGGCAAAAAGTAGATTATGAAAGAACGTATGAACAAAATGTAAGATTAGGTTTATATAATTCCGAAGAAGTTCAAAATGAAGAAGATTTTCAGAAAAATGAAGTACATAAATTTTCTACAGCATGCCCTAATTGCATAAAGCCTTGTGATACAAATATGAAATTAGTCGATATTCCATATTTTAAGGAAGTAATTATTATGAGTACAGTTTGTGATAGTTGTGGATATAGAAGCAATGAAGTAAAGACGGGAGGAGAAATACCAGAAAATGGGAAAAAAATAACATTAAAAGTAGAAAATATAGATGATTTATCTCGAGACATTTTAAAAGTAAATTAAACTTCATATTTTTTATACTAACACAATTTAGAGTGAAACATGTGCTATAACAATTCCAGAATTAGACCTGGATCTTCATCCAGGAACTTTAGGTGGTAGATTTACTACATTAGAAGGTTGTTTTTATTATTTATATTAAAAATTAACATTTCAAAAGGATTACTTGCTCAAATTTATGATGAACTTTATGGAAGAATATATTCAAAAACAAATGATTCTATGGAACCAGAAAAACGTGAACGATGGGATATTTTTCTCGAACGTCTTCAAGACGCTAGGAATGGAAAAATAAAATTTACCATAATTTTAGATGATCCTGTAGCTGGCTCTTATCTTCAAAATTTGTATGCACCAGATCCAGATCCCAATATGACAATAGAAGAATATGAAAGAACATATGAACAAAATGAAGATCTGGGTCTTAATGATATGATTTTAAACCCAGAAACTTCAAACTAAAACAAATCGATTTCCAATAAAAGTTCTATTTAAAGTAATCAAATACAGATACAATATATGGAAAATAACACATTTCATTTTGAATAAAAAATAAATCATTACAAAATTCTCTGTAAATTGTAAAGATATTCTATTAAAAATATAATAAAGTCCATATTTAAACTTCATAAAATAAACTTTTGATATAAAAACTAATATTAAATAAGTCTTAAATATTTTTTTCTTAAATATTAACATAAATTTTAAATTATTTAATAAGAAATAAAATATAAAATTTATTTAATTTAATAAGTTCAATTTATTTCATTGCTTTATAGTTTACTATTCTATAACTTTTTTTTTTCGAAATTATTCGTATATCTTTTTTTAAAGCTATTTATAAACAATGTAATGGTTGCTTTAGGACTTTTTCTTTCAGCAATTCTCGAAAACATCACTTCATTAGAACCATTTGATCCTCAAAACCATTATTACACATTTAAAGTTCAATGTACTTCATGTAGAGAAATTGTCAGCAAGATTTTTTCATTGTTTTGAATTAAAATTTTTTATAGCATCCTAATTTAGTTAAAATATCACCAAGAGAGACAGTTAATATTCCAAATAGCCGAGGAAAAGCATCTCTTGTGTGGAAATGTAGATATTGTCAAGTATTCCCTTTAAATCAATGATTTTTTCTAACATCAATTTTATTATTTATAGAAAGAAAACTCTGCTAGTTAGTTTATTAATAAATAATATTTTTCATAAAAAATATAGATATTGAAGAAAAAGTATCTCAATATACATTCGAAATATCGCCTCAAGAATCACATATTCTTTCATTTGAATGTCGTGGCTGTGAATTTATAGAATTTTTTCCAGACGTCAGTATTTAAGGTTTAAATTTCTTATTATCTTATGATCTCTAGGGCGAATGGTGTTGCAAAGGCATTAAATCAGGTACATTGTTCCGTGGAATAAATTTAATTGAAGGCGAATGGTATGATTACGATGAAAATGTAAGTAAAAGAAACCATTAATGTTAATTAATATCCTTAGAGCCTAAATGAAGTATCTATTACAAATATTAAATGGGAAATAAAAAGGAGATAAATACATATACATATCTTTATAAATCATATATTTTCTATAAATCTATAGCATTTACCTTTTAAGATAGGAATGCAAAGATTCTATTTTTGCCTTTTTAGAAAGTCCAACACGATAATACAGCTTTGTTATAACGTTTTTTTGAGTAGATTCTTTTAATACCGATAAAGTTTCCATAGAAGTAGATGAATTTGTTATATCAGGTGTTTCAGCAAATGACATTGGTTTTTCATTATTAAATTTTGAGTAATCCTTTATTTTATTTTCAGAATTTAATAGATCCATATCTGCATTTTCTATATCTTTTTTTTTTATATCTTCTATTTTTGATAACAAATTTGATTCACAAGATCGTAATATTTTCGGACTTTTTTTAGCATTTAATTCAATATTTTTCTTAGGTTTCTTTAAGTTTTGAACTTTGTATTTAGACTTTTCTGAAATAATTAAATCGATTTCTGCAAAATTATCATTTGAGATCGAATCATAATTAGAAGGACTCAGCTCCCCTGCATTAAAACCCGAACAATGACAATCAAAATCTTCAGTTGGGAAAGATTTATTAAAATCTAAAGTATTTTCATCGGGAACTGTTTTAAATAATCGGTTTTCAAATTCACTATTTTTATCAAGCGGAGTATCATTTATAGTGGTCATATGATCCTCGTATGAATCAAGAGATGAATATCTCTTTATTTTTATGTTTTTATCTTCTTTTAAAACATCTTTTGCTGTTTTACTCCTCCTAAATTTCTTTGCTTTTGTTTCTTTAGACAATAAATGTTTTAAATTAAAATCAGACTCATTCTCTTTAGATAAAATTGATTTATTTTTATTAGTATCGCATTTATATTTGTTTTCATCCAAAGAATCTATATTGATGCATGCAGCAAGAGAAAGTAATTGAATTTCTGGTTTTTCCTGTTGATATAATTGAGACATTTGAACATCCTTATCAAAAACCCCCTCTTCTAAAGATAATATAGATTCTTTTTTTATATCTTTATCAATACCAATTTTATTTTGATTAGATTTTCCTAATAACTGTATTTCATCATCACTTTCATTTGTATTTATCATAGGATACATATCAGTTTCAGAATCCATATTTCTTGAATTATTTTCACTAAATGGAGATAATGATCTTTCAGAATCCTTATATTTTGCACCTTTTTTAGAAATACGTTCCTTATCACCATTTTTACAGTTCATAATTTTTAAAACAGAGTCATCACTAACAACAATAGATGAATTCTCATGCCTTGTAGTGGAAATAACATCTATGAGATCTGTTTCCACTTCATAAGACATATTTTTACTATTTAACCTATGTGAATAAACTAAGCCATATTTAATCAGAAATAAAGCAGAAAAAATGTACTTAATAATACCATTATCACAATGTATCGTCCCAAGACAAGAAGAATCTTCTTCTCCCTCTGAATCTGGAATATACGCGTTTTTCTTTTTAGAAAAGGTATCCATCATAAAAGATGCCAATTCCCATAAAACTAACAATATTTAAAAAACAAACCAATAGACATTAAATAGATGCATCCAATATGAAGAATAAGAATGCTATTATCCGAAAATTCATAGTAAAATTATGCTTTAATTAAGTTAACACTTTAATCAGTAAATATCAATTACGTAGTCTTACGAGAAAATATTCAAAATAAACTAATACTAAAAAAAGATGCATTATAATTATGAATACCAGTCATCCCAATTTTAATACGATTAGAATCATGTAAAGGTTCATTGTTCTGTGTATCTGAAGAAATTATATAAACTTCAGCTAACCACTCATACCAAACTTTTTTTGAATCAGTTTGACGCCAAAAATAAAGATCAACATGTGAACCAGAAGGAACATATAAAGGCGTCTAATTAAATTAATTTATTATTGTATATTTTTTAGGATTATACTTTTAAGGGAAAAAAAGCAGGAAACCTAGTAATGTTAAAATATTCGATAATTTAATAAGGATAAAGAGATACCATGATACCATATCTTTTAACTTTTCATCAATTATGTCTGGACGTGTAGATAATTTAATGTTATCATAAAGAACAGCTTCGAAATATCCAGCAAATCCATGCAACATACCTCTAGAAAATATATTAAATGTATTTTTAGATTTTCTTGTATTATGAAAATTGGAATTATCATCATAATAATTTGGATTAGGATGGGAAAATTTCCATAATTCTTGAAACTTATTTTCACTATCTTTAGCAAGATAATCTATCGAATGCAACCATATAGAATAAAACATTTCAAAAGCAGCATCGCTTTTCATTTGTAATATATTTCCATATATTTTTGGTGCCATAATTGGAGTAATATATGTGGTATATGAAGATGGAATAAAAATCCCACCTTTTGCTTTTTTTAACGATTAATAATATTACTTATATAAAGATAAAGTATACGATTTAGAAACTTTTGAACACCATCGAGGCATTCTGGACTAAGTTCATTATCTCCAAAACTTCCTAGTAGCTCACTAATAATAATATCAATTAAAACAGGTGGTTTCCATAATCGCATATCTATATGTATTAAATGTATATTATTATTCCATTCATATCTATTCCGATGCTCTAATCTTTTAAAATATTAAAATATTATAAATCAAAAGTTTAAAACATACGTTATAAAAGCATTTGGATTTTTTTCAATTGCGTAAATAATAATTTTTCGATCAGCAGATTCAGCAGCTTTTAAAGATCTTGATATAAGTGGCCCTCTTCCTGCACCAACAATTGCAATATATCTATTTTAAATATCAAACTTTTTAAAAAAAAAATTTAACAAACATTGGTTCATTTAATTTAGAACGATCCATAAGGGCTCGACGAATAGAAAGTTCATATTGATCATATTTTACAAGATCTTTTTCAAAAACTTCATAGGTTATACTTTCAAGGTTATCTGCCAATGGCTAAAATATATATTTTATAATCAAAATCGAAAATAAAAAATAGAGTATTACCTGAAGAGGAATTTGCAAATAATCTTGATATCCATTTGCAAACTTCTCAATTGTAGTAGTTGGATTTATATTCTCTAAATGTCTTAAATATTGATAATATACTGAAGAATTATTGCTCAAAGATATGTCATCTGAGATTTGTAGAAGAACATTAGGTTTAAACTAAATAAAATCAATCAATCAATCAACAATTATGGAAAATAATATACTTTAATAAGTTTAGTATAAAAAGTTTGATGAGCTTGAGGAAGAATCAGATTACCATCAGAATTCGATACAAAAATATTTGAATTAATAATTAAAAGACCAATAGGTTCAGCAAACCAACGTGTAATTGCTGTTAGCTCAGGAAGTTTATTTCCAATCTTAAAAGCTAAAAATAAATGTTAAAAATATGAAGAGAAATGAAGATAAAGAATTCTTTACCCAATAATAACCTATTATTGTACCCACATAATATACGAATTGTATTCCAAATATCCCACAATTCCAATGGATCAACTAAATCATCCATCGAAAAAAAAATATAAAAGTGTATATATGTGGAAAGAGAAAATAAATGATTGATCATACGAGCATATTGAGGAATCAATGTCTTTTGTGTAAATAGTGGTAAAACAAAATGCGAAATACCAATATAGGAAACATATTGAACCTCGTCATATAAAATCTGACAAAAAATAAATATATCCAGTAATTTTTATTTCTATCATACCTGAGTTGATTTCTTTAATATTTGTTCATCATATAAATCCAATTGAATATAAGATAAAGCAAAAGCCGATATATCTAAAATATCTTTTAAAATTATACATTAATATTTCTTTTTTTTTAAGAAAAAAGAAATATTTACCCTCCACATGAATATTAACATCTTTATCTGAAAGACCTATATATTTTTCAAAATAATCATTTTCCTGGGTCTTATTTAAGACATTAATTCCAATAAAATCATAACCATTTTCTAATGCTTCAAATTTCTGAAAAATTGATGAACATTCTAACCCTATTAATAACTTATTTTGTTGTATATTTGTCATTAAAATTCATTAAATAAATATAGCTTGATTTTAAAGACTTTTATAACAAAAAAATTATATTTAATAATATTTAAAAAAATCCTCAATTTATTTCTTCTGATTAATTGTTAAAGTGTAAAAAAACATAAAATCTTAATTTCATAAATATTTTAAAACTATTAAATTCATGATTTAAATCTTTAAAAAAAATATTTAAAAAAAAATAAAACTATCAAAAAGACTCTTTAAAAATATAATAGAAAATTCATTAAGAAATAAAGAGAATATCCATAAAATTTATATTTAACATTATTATTATTATACTATAGATATACATAAAAAAGTAATATATATATAGGAAATATGTAACATATTTATAATATATTAAAAGCTTCAATTCGTCCATTAATACATTTCAGCAATGTTTTTCTTTTGTTTTTTAAGTGAATAGATTTTTTCATAAAAAAGCCCTCGATCTATACTTTTATCAAAAAGAAATTGCAAGATATATATAAAAAGCAAATCTCCTCCGTTTCTTGGTCAAATTAGCAATATCTTTACATTGCTTTTGCCGGAATTTAACCCTAAGTGTTCAGTCGTGTTATCAATGGCTATTATATCAAGGCGTTAACCTGAACGGAGAAACAAAAAGCGTGCACGCTTTTAGATATCTGCGTGATAAATGAATGAAAAAAATATAAGATAGGATAGTAGCCACTCGGGTGACTTTGTGTTTCTTGATGTTTTGAATTGGCTTTTAACACTCGGCCTTTATATATAAATGAAGGCAAATAATAAGCAAAAAAGTAAAAAAAGGATATTTTACTTGGAAAAAGAAACAATTTATGTCATTTTCATTAAAGAAATACTCATTCATTATTTAATGGCAAATTGTTTTCTCAACCCAGTGTTTTAAACGTTTTGAGAATATAGTATTGAATATTTCATTACACGATAGGCTTACCTTTATTTTTTTTAAAGAAGCCAAAGACAACAAGCGGTTTTTTCGTGAAGTCCGTTTGTCCGTTGAATGGGAAACCATTTCTAAAACAAAGGTTCACTTGAGTTTTTGCTGAAACACACGAATATCTTGTATATTTAAAATATATTTATAAAAATAGAAGTCTTTTCTTGAACAAGAAGATGAATATAACGTTAAAAAGGATGAAATATTTTGCATCAACTATTTCTTTCAGCAGGACCACCTTTTTGGTGTTATCAAAGCTTCGTGCTTGTCTGTTTGAGGGTTAAATAGAATGCATAAAGATTCATAATTGACGTTTATTCATAATTTTTGTAAGGATAGATAAGCCTATATTTTTGGAGCTTTAAGACAAATATATAAAATGTTTGTCTTTTTTTATGGTTAAGCCCTTTTTTGCTTTCATTTACTTTTTTACAAAATACTATACTAATTATAAATTATTAGTTTTTCTAACGTATAATAGGGTATTTATATTTGGATATTTCTGCAATATTTTTATCTTTATTTTTAACTATTATCGTGAATTTTACTTATTTTTTCTAAAAAAACAAAAATGAATACACTATCTCTAGCTGAATTGCATCATCTTCGGAGGCTTTCTTATTCAGCATTGCCATTTTCTTTTGAATTATCATCATATTTTATGTCAGTCTTTTATGAAAATATTCGACATCATGGGATTTCTTTATCTGAAATTCATGATAAAACAGCCTGTTTATCATGTGGTATGATTTGGATACCAGGATGGACCTGTACAATACGTTTACGACGTAGTTCAGCAAAGCGTTATTGGCATCAAAAAAGGACGAAAATGGAGTATCCAAAGCTTAATTATTGGGTAGAATATAAATGTCAAAGATGTGATCGAATTACAAAATTTCAGCGAGAAAAATATGTTATAAAGAATAAAAGCACTAATATATTACTTGAGAGACCTTCAGAAACTTCGAAAGAGGCTCAAACACATTCGAGACGGAATGTAAATACTCGAAGAAGAAAAAAAATACGCCTAGGTGGATTGGAAGGAATTATCGATAGAATGGAAAAAGAGGAAATAAAGAAAATGGAAAAAGGATTGTCTTTAGAAGATTTCATGCTTTAAGTTTGATATATTTTATTATCAATACCCAGCATTTTACAAAAAGCCTCTGTTTGAGGATTATTATATAAAGGTGCTATATGGGATGTAAGTCTATGCTAAACATAAGAAATATTTTCATACGTGGATATGCTGAAAAGGCATTTCCTACAACGGGTGCGGTATGTTCGAAATGTTGAGGTATTTCTAGTCCATGTAACTGAACAATATGATCATAAACCCATTCTTTTTCTTTTTCTATTTCTCTAATTACAATTAATACGGAAAAATTACAGGAAAATGAACAAATAAATGAAGTTTCAAAATTATTAAATTTACCTTGCTAAATATGCATTATCCCAAGGGAGTGACGGTTGCTGATATTCGATTGAAAAATATGGGTGAAATACTCTACAAATAGCCAACCAATCTACATCATATGAGAGTATTGGCTTTTCATTGACCTCATGAGGCGTCGGAATATCAAGAATTTCCAGAAAATGCCGTCCTGGTAAACACTTATCAAGTGCTAAAAATCGTGTAATTTTATGAGATGCTTCAATTTTAGTAATAACTTTATCGTCTTCATCGTTTAAGTCTATTTCATCCGGATTTTCTTTAACCATTTCTACCATATTTTCCTTCCAATTTTCATATACATTATGTATCTTTATTGCTTCAAATTTTACATGCAAATGTGCTGAAAACCAATATGCTGGCTGCAATTCATTCATTAACCGTTCGTTAGCAGCAGATCCCAAACAATTATTCTGTATATCATTAAAAAAATACGGTTTTATCGATAATAATCTTTTTAAATCTCCATGTTTCTCAATTCCTCGTGGCCAATCGTGAGAAAGAAAAATATCAATAGGTTTTGTTCTCCCGGTATTTAATAACTTACACACCTCAAACTCTCGAACATGATATACACTTTTTAATGACTCCATATTATATGGGACTTTCTCAAAATGTCCTATAATCATTATTTTTTTTCAAAAAAAATACAATAATTAACCTTTCGTATAATTCTTTTCTTTATAAATACCCGATATACCTCCTACTCGTAATCCGCCTATATTAATAATATTTGCTGCTCCCATATAATATATATTCGGGCAGACCCATCCTCCATAATATCTATCCATTATTAAAAAGAAAAAAGCTACATATCATAGAAAATAACCCACAATTCCCATAAATAATTACTTGCTTCATGATTGCCTCCAACAAAAATCGTTAAAACTGGTGCTTTCTTTTCACCTGAATAATAAGATGAAAAATCTCCCAATTTTCGATATTTTTCTGGAACAGATAAGCATGCCAGGTCCGCCTCATTACGTACTGCCTTAAAATGCTTAAAAAAAACCAAATTTATCTATAAAAAATATATAAACCTGAAAATCTCCTGCAATTAATAATACATCAACCTGACTCTGTGTCTTTTCTTCTTGACGTTTTAGTTCCCTATAAATTGCATCAAGTTCACTATGACAGCATCCCTCAATAGCAATCTAAATCTGTAAAAATATAAAGTTAAATAACTAAGCTTACTTTCATCTACTTTTAAGTAGTCGTCAATACCCAGCGCGGCTCCAAACACGAAACGCGTTTTTATTCATCCTAATTTATTAACCGGCCAACATAAAAAAATAAGAGACTATATAAACAGGTAATTTAAGTGCAAATTCGCAGTTTTTAATAAAAATAATAGAAAAATAATAAGGATAGAAGTATTAGTGTTATACGTCTTTTTTTTTCTGAGAAAAATTGCCATAAAATGTATAGATTTCAAGAGAAACTTCATCCTCGACCAGATTTTGTAAAAAAATTAGTAGTAGTTGGAGATGGAGGGTGTGGAAAGACATGTTTACTTATTGTATATAGCCAAGGATCATTTCCAGAGGTTTTTTTCCAGATTTAATAGGGTTAAATTTGACAATTAGATTATAGAAATATGTTCCAACAGGTTAGAGAAAATTGTTTAAAAAAAAAGGTCAAAATAAGGCTAATAAGAATATAAAAGTTTTTGAGAATTATGTTACGAATGTTTATTATGGATCGAATAATAAAATTGTAGAATTAGCATTATGGGATACAGCAGGCCAAGAAGAATATGATCGACTTCGACCTTTAAGTTATCCAGAAAGTGATGTTATTTTGATATGCTTTGCAATTGATTATCCTTCGAGTTTAGAAAATGTTACGGATAAGGTTTTTAGTGTTTTTTTTCTTAAAAAAAAAAACTAATTTGGAATATTTAGTGGTATCCGGAAGTTACTCATTTTTGTCCAAATATACCGATTGTTTTGGTAGGATTAAAGTCAGATTTACGAAAAAATAGGAATGCAATTGGATTATTGAGATCGAAGGGTTTAAATCCAGTTACATATCAACAAGTTTTTTCAATTTTTTTATCTGTTATGTTCAATCACTATTAACCACTTAATAGGCTATCTCTGTCGCAGAAGAAATTAAATCACAATATTTAGAATGTTCTTCAAAGGAAAATGTAGGTGTTAAGGAAGTTTTTGATCTTGCTATTTCTTTAGCCATAAACAATAAACGATTTCGAAAATTACGTAAAGGCATGTGTCAAATCTTATAATTTCTTAAATATATTTTATATTTAAGAATCCTAATTGATATTTGGAATTTAAATATTCTTTTTTTTTTGGATAAATTTTATATACAAAAAAATAGGTCAAACATATTTATTATTTTCATACTAAACCTTCTCCATTTTGTTCTGTTTCTTGAGTTTCTTCTGGCATGGGATAGTGTTCTTTCGACAATACGTCATGAAACATTTTCCACAAAGTAGATACACTTTCAAATTCTTTTCCAACCTATTTTTTGGGTTTTATTTCTCAAAATTGAAAAAAAAAGACTCATACTGTTATAAAACTTTCAATATTTCTATTTAAAATGTTTAAATTTGTTATGATTTGCTCCATACTCTATTTATAAGCCTTTTACTACGGAAAAGTGTTAAAAAAACCTGTGCAACTTGTCCAATCAAAACGTCTCGCTGTTTTTCAAATATTGAACGACTGTTTATGCTAGAGCCATTTGTTTCTGTATTTATTGGGACATTTGAACTCATTTAATCTTGCCTTGTTAAAATCTAGCCTTTCAAGGTATCCCGCTGAGATCAATATCGACATTAAAAAATACAAAATTCAATAAATAAACTAGGAGATGGAATATTTATTATTAGCACATATAATTATATTTAAATGAAAGAATGGTATCCATTTATCTTTTGTTTTTTTTCATGAAATTTGACCTATTTTTAGAGTGTTACATTACATACAGATGTTGGAGATATTAAAATTGAAATTTTTTGTGAATTAGTGCCTCAGACAGCCTATGTAGATAATATATAGGATTTATTTATATGGGAATATTAATGAAAAGCAGAATTTTTTAGCACTTTGTGCTAGTGGATATTATAATGGCTGTTTAATTCATAGAAACATTAAAGGATTTATCGTTCAGGTAGATAAATATTAAAGAGCAAAAAAAAGGACAGAATGTAACTAGTATTTTAATGAATTTAGATGGGGGACCCTACAGGAACAGGAAAAGGTGGTACATCTATCTATGGAAAACATTTTGCAGATGAATTTCATTCTTTATTAAAAGTATAAAATATAAATATATTTTCTTTAAAACCGATTTTATTTTTAGCATAATGGAAGAGGAGTGGTATCTATGGCAAATTCTGGGCCAGATACTAATGGTAGTCAATTTTTTATAACATATACAAAACATCCACATTTAGATGGGAAATATACAGTTTTTGGAAGGTAAAATGTTATTTCTATTATATATTTATTCTTAAAATAGCAGAGTGATTGACGGTGTGGATACAACTCTTAATACTCTAGAAAAATTACAAGTTAATGAGAAATATAGACCGTTAAAAGAAGTGTATTTAAAAAATATTACAATTCATGCAAATCCACTTGCAAAGTAAAATGCTTAATATCATTTACAATATGTGAGAATAAGACTAGTATAATTTTATGATTTAGAATAATATGTTTGCATAACATCTACAACTTTTTTTCCTCGAGCCCTTGCAATATCTTCCGGTAAAACTTGAGTTTTTAATGCTTCAAGAGTTGCTTTAACTACATTCATTCCTGTACATGAACCTCTTACTTTTGCTGAGAGATCTTTTATGCCAATACAACGACATATTTCATGAATAAAATGATTTGCACGTATACCAAAACCTATATATATTAATTTATAATATTTGATTGTTGATTCTCAAATTTACCGCGTGGCCTAGACCTTAATTCTAATAACACTGCATGAAATTTATATCTCACATTTCCATAAATCGTTCGGTTTTCATACCGAGGTATATAATGCATATTTTTCATAGCCTGTAAACATGCTTTTTTTATTGCTGTACGCAATGCTTTAGATTTCCCTTCACCTAATCCTATCATTCCACTACCATTTCCTACTATTGCTAATGAATACATTGAAGATATTTTCCCTTTTCTTGTCTGATTTACAACTCTTCGTATTACAAGAGGCTTTTGTATAAGTTTTTTAATTTCCCATGGAGACATTCCTGTTATCATAGATAAATATTCTGGATCATTTTCTTTTAAAAAAATAGATTCAATCTTAGGTAAATATGGTGCTAGATCATATTCTTCTGAAGTATCTAAAGATGTTTCAGGTAAATTACTGGTTTTATTGTTTAAAAAATCTGACTCTTTATCTAAAAAAGGATCTTTAATAAGAAAATCTGTCACATATGGAATATGTAGTTGTGTTCTTCGAAGTTTCTGATTTTTTAACTCTGAATAATCATGTGATTTAATTACTGATAATATATTTTTATCCATATATTCTTTCTTTAAAGTAATGTTCTTATTTTTATTGATATTTAAACCAAAAAATGATGAAAAATAGCATTTTTTTATAGAACAAACATATTTAAAAGGTCCTAACCATAAAGATAGCCGAGACATATATATATTTGTAGGAAACATTTTTCATTTAACTTATATAATTCTTTTAAAATCTCATAAGAAACCCTAGAAAAAAATATATAAATAAAATAAACAGTTCTATATTATATTCCAAAATAATCAAAGGTTTCTTCCTATTAATTTATCTTAACCTTTGGATTTCTTCAGCCAGATATATAATTAAAAAAATATATTAATAAATATCTAAAGAAATCAATAAATGGAAAAATATTAAGAAATTTATATAGGAACTTTTACCTTTTTACTAATAAATAACATATTATCGAAGTATTTTCTTTAATAATATTTAGAAACAAATTAAAATATAAAGAATTTTTTAAGGATTTATTAAGAGAATTTATTTGTTAATTCCTTATATGGGGCTTATGTTTGAAGAATTAGAAGAAATCAGTAAAAGTATGAATTAAATTATATTGTGTTTAATAAGTATTGAGTATTTTTTAGATATTGAGAAGTCAATAGATTCAAGAAAAAAAGTGGATCTTCTTATTAGAAAATCAAAATTATATCTTAAATTGAAAAAAGTTGAAGAAGCAGTAAATATACTGCTTGAAGGCTTTTATATATCACCTGATAATGAAGAAATTAGAATTTTGCTAAATGAATTGAATAAAGAGTTTGAAGGAGTTTTAATATTCTCATTTGACTTTATTAAAGCAATTTTATTAAATAATTCAAGAAAATGTCAAGATCAAGAAATATTTAATTATTTTCTAGGACCTAATCAGGATTTACGAGTTAAAAAATTTATTGAAAATAAGGGAATTTTTGAATTGATGGAAGGATTTTCAAAATCCTTGTATATTTTACATTTTTATCTTGTTGGACGTCTTATTTTAATGCTTTGTTCTTTGTCAGACCTTATATGTGAATCTATGATTAATTATATAATTTCTAATGAGCCTGATATAATATTTCTATCAAAAGTTCCTGATACTATTATTCAAACAATATTTTTAGTTTTTTGCAAAAAAAGTTTATGGCCATCTACAAGAACATGGGAGTTTTCTTTGCAGAATTTTTTCAATAGCATTAGCAAGGAAATAAAAGAGTCGAAAAAAGAAAGACAGATAACATTACTGAAGGGCATTCATGATATTTTTTCTTTAGAAAATGAAGTTTTTCGAGTTTTCTGTAACTCTTCTTCTTTATATAGTATATTTATTCTATTTGGGAATAAAAATGATAAAGATATCAGGAAATTATCTTCCTTATTAACATTTAAATTGATTAAGCAAAAAAAAAATGTTTCAGAAAAATTTTTAGAAAATTTTATTTTTAATTTTATAATTGGATGTTTTAAAGAAGGCAGAAATGAAACACTAATTGGAGCATATTCAATACTTACATATCTTTTTACTATTGATTCATCAATGGCTGTTACGCTCTTTCTAAAAGATGGATTTTTAGAAGAAATATCTTCAGATATTAAAAATGATAATGAAGTGAATTTATTTCTCTTGGAAATGATTTCATCTTCCTGTATTAATATTGATTGTCGTAAAAAACTTTTAGAAATTTTTATGCCAGTTCTAAACGACTTAAAAAAGCAAAAAAACATCAAAATTTATTCATTATCTAAGATTATTATTATAAAACTAACATCTCAGACGAATAAAGAACAAAATATTAATAAAGAAGACATATTAAATCTTGCAAAAAATCTTGTTTTAATTATTTCTCAGGATTATAATGACACAAATATGTCATTCATTGAGGGTCTAGCTTATGTTTCTATGTTTTCTCATGTAAAAGAATATTTAGCTTCAGAAGAAAAGTTATTTATAGCAATTTCTGAAAGAGTTAAAAAAGAACCGAGTGACATTAATTTCATTTATCCAGCTTTCGTATCTATTAAAAATATTGTAAATTACAAATCCGAATTAACTGAAGAACAAAAACAAATAATTAAACTTAAAAGTATAGCGCAAGGATCTTCAGAGAACAGTGAAGACATTTTGGAATCTAACGAAAAAGTCACAGAACGTTGTTTTAAAATCATAAATTATCAAATGTCAATGACTCTTAATTTGGCTTTATCATGTCATTCAGATGCTATAAAAACTTTATGTTCAAAAATAATACTTTCATTTTCAATTGAGAAAAAACATCGTATTATTCTTGCAAAACAAGGTGTTATTCGAATTCTTTATAATATAATAAAAGACTATCAAACAAAAACATTATCAATTGAGGATTCTGAAAACAATTTTTTATATCCTGCTATAATTTCACTTGTAAAAATTCTTATTACTGTTAATCCGAATTTAATATTTGATCGATCAAGATTTCAGGTTGATGATCTCATAAAACCCATATATGAATGTTTAAAAATATCAGAAAATGATAATTCGATAGTTCAGTTTGAATGTCTTCTTGCACTTACTAATTTGGCTTCTATGAATATAGAAATTAGAGAAAAACTTGTATCTATTCTTTGGCCTATGATTGAATTATTGTGGCTTTCAAATAATGAATTGATTCAGAGATCAACGATTGAATTGATATGTAATTTAGTTGCATGTCCATCTGGTGTAGCTATATTTAAAAAAAATAAACAAAGAGTTCATATTTTATTGGCATTAGCAGATTCTCCAGATAAAAATACTCGCTCTGCTGCAGGAGGTGCTTTAGCCATTTTATCTGATGATTTATCTATTTGTAAAATAATATTGGAAAAAGAAAATGGAATTAAAATTATATTAGACATGATAAATGAAGATGTTGAAGATTTAATACACCGCGGATTAGTTTGTATAGCAAATATAATATATTCATTAGATTTTAAAGATAAGGTGTTATTTGAAAGACTAAATATTATAGAGGATTTATATAAAATCATAAAAAAAACTGAAAATAAGGAAATTATTGATTTATCTTATCAAATTATTGAAGAGTTACAAAAAAAAATCAAGTACATAAATTAATAAAATATCAAAATATTATAAAAATTTCATAATTTTAACTAATATCATAGAGAAAAATTATTTATTTAGGCTTATTCTGAAGAGTTAAAATCTTCATCTTCTATAATATCAATTGTTGGATTATGTTTTTTGTGATCATCTTTTTCGAATATTGTTAACTTAAGAATATTGATATTAATAACAAACAATTATTTTTTGACTTACATTTGTTATATCAGGTTCTTTAATTTCTCCAAAAAAAGATTCTAATTCATTTAATATTAATGGAAGTTCAATATTTTTAAGTTCTTCTTCTAAATTTATTGATGCTTTTTCCTTTGAAGATGAGGGAATAGATTTTATATTTTCATACAGCATTTTCCTTTCTTGAGCAAATTTTCTTAATTGTTCATCATAATCTAGTTTTTTTTTTTCTAATTTATTTCTATCTATATAAGATTAATTCAAGGATTTTAAAAGAAAAATACAGTCTCATTTTTTTATATTCCTCAAGATCATTCTGGGCTTTAGATTTCCATTTTTTATAATCATATAGATTTTTTTCTTTTAATTTTTGAGAAACAATATTGTCTAGGTCTTTTAACTGTTTCCATAAGGTTTCTACAAAAATAAATAACATATAGAAATTGTAACTTTTCACAACCTGCTTTGGAAAATGATCTTTCTATATCTTCTTGTACTTCATATAACTGATTTATTTCACTAAGAAACTTTTTTATGATACAAATTTCGGAAAATAACCTTTTTTTTATCATGTTTAGTGTATTAAGTTTTTCCTAGGCATAGAAATAAGAGTCATATGGTTGTTTTATGTATATTTTTACATTTATCTCTTCTATTTCTAGTACCTTTTCCAAAGAAAGTCTGATGCTAATTTTATATTAATCATTATTTTAAACAACAATATTTATACGTCTTTATAAGATGTTTCGTATGAGGAAGATTCTTAAGTTTTCTAGCTATTTTTAGTTTTTTCTTTTCATTTTCAAAATCTTTACTGTTCCCATATAGACATTTCTTCAAGAAATCTATCAAAAATAAATATATAAAAACAAAAAAATACAAGGAATTCGTTAGAATATACGATCTATCATCCTCTGTTGCTCCAAAATGTGTTATTTTTTGAATTAAATTTAAAAATATATTCATTTTAAAGATTTAAAAATATGATGTACTATGTAATTACTAGTTCAAAGTCAAAAATGCAATATACCATAAATATTATAAATACAATCTATTTATTTGACTCGTATTAAGGGATATTCTGGTAAAAAGAGAAAGAAAAAGATAAAAACAAGTTTAAAAAGCGACTAATTGATACTTGAAGAAAAAAATTATAAAAATACAAAGTATGAAGGAAGAAATACAGGAAATATTTGAAGAATCAGAATACAATACTTCTGGTGTTGGTATTTTACTTGGGAATATTTCAAAGAAAAATATACATTATCAATTAAAAACATATATAAATAATTTTATAGAAAAAATGAATGAAAAATATAAAATAGATGAAAAGATAGCATCTTTCAATATTCCATCACGATGGACTATTTATGGAAATATGCTATTATTTTCTTTTAATTCATTTTCATCTTCTCAATGGACTCTTTTTTTTTCAAAACTTGAAATATCAGATAAAACTCTTTTTTATAAAGGAATTTCAGAAATTTTTGGTGTTACACATCTTGCTCTAAATGGAAAAATTCCTCCTAATGATGAAATGAGGATTCCTGAAAAATTTGTGCCTTTGTATGGAGATTTTGGATTTAAAGTAAAAGGAAATCCAACAGAAAAGGATTTTAAAGAAGCATTTTGGGCTAGTACAAAACAAAATGGAATCTTTCAAGTTTGGTCTCCAATGTATACTATGTATTTTATCCTTCTTTTTTCTAATGTTAATTATTTAAGGTTTTCACGTGGAAATAGTATAAATATATATGTTGTTCCTTAATTATTTATTGATCTATACACAGTTAAAGAAAAGGCCAGAATTCTTATGTTGCCAGGTGTTAAAGATGCAATAATTGCTGATTTATATGCAGGAATTGGATATTTTGCATTTTTCTATCTTAAAGCAAAAGCAAAACATGTATTTTGTTGGGAAATAAATCCCTGGAGTGTGGAAGGACTATGTAGAGGCGCAAAATTGAACAATTTTAAGTACGAAAAAGTGAGTAATCTCGACAAAAATTATGAAAATAATCAATTGATTATATTTGAAAATAACAATATTTTAGCAAGTAAACAACTAGCAGGAAAAATAAAAAATATTCGGCATATTAACCTTGGTTTACTACCAAGTAGTGAAGATTCTTGGCTTACCTGCACAAAAATATTAGATAGTGAAGTAGGAGGTTGGATTCATGTTCATGCAGCTGTTTATAATAAAGAAATATATAATTGGACCAATAAATGTAAAGACAAATTTACCTCGTTATTCAAAAACAATTGGAAAATACAAATCCAACATGTAGAAAATGTCAAACAAATCTCTCCAAAAAAGTTACATATAGTAGTTGATTTATTATGTATTCCAAAAAATAAGATATCACCAATTATATAATGCATAAAAATATAAAGTCATTGAAAAATAAAAACATAGTATATTAGAAGATGTTTTTATTTTTTTAAGTATTTTTTTGGTATTATGATAATGTTTATATTTTTCATTGCCTATAAATGTTAATAAAAAACTTAATTTTATAAATTCATACATAAAAATTTCTTAATTTTTCTTCCAATATTTCTTTTTCCTTATATAAAATTTCATTGTGTTTTTTAAGATGTTCAATGTCTTCAAAATGTTTCCAATTATCATTTAAATTTCTATGATAAACTTCAATATGATGAATATTAAACTAAAATATTAATAAATAAAAGTATAAAAAATAATCTTACTTCTGTTTCAAAATCCTCATGATGTCCATCAAAGCCCAGATCTAACATTATATCTAATTTATTACAATTAAATGTTTATATATACCTGGCAACATATTTCCTTCATATATAAACTCTTTAAATTCGTCAAGAGTAACAATTCCATCTTCATTTTTATCAATATAAGACAAAAGCTTCTTTTCTAAATATATTTTTTCTTTTTCTGTTAAATCTTCATTATCCAAACCATATATTCGTCTAAAATCTTTTGCATTCCAATGTCCATTAAAATTAAAATCATGTAGATAAAAAAATGTGTCTTTTATTGTTATAAAATATCTTTTGACTTATTTCTTGTATATTTACCCAAATCATAGGATTCTGTATCATGTTCATTTTTCATATGATGATCCATCCAATTTTTACCATTTTCTAAAGCTGAAAAAGAGAATATAGGCATAAAAATAAATATGAAGACAATATTGTTCATATTTTTAAAGATTCTCAATGTTTTAATAGCCTTTTATGTTATTTATTTTTTATAAGGCTGATCGAAAGGTTACTATAAGGTTTATTTACTTAAATGTAAAAGGATGGATGGGTTTAAAACATTAAGAAATAATCATCCTTATGAAGGTATTTATGAAGGTAATGTTATTTTATTGTTTTCTTCTAGTTTAATTTTTTGATTCTTGAGGATATTAATAGATTTAGATGAAAAATCTAATCTTTTGGTGGTAATTCTTGATACAAATCCTTTTGGATGGGAGGAACTGTCAGAATATATATCTTTTGATAGTGCAATTAGGGAATTACTTGTATTTTTCAACGCACATCTTTCATTAAATCAAAGCAATGATCTTGCTGTTCTTGCGTCTCATATAGATTTTGTAGAATATTTATATCCTTCGGTTGAAGAATTGTCTGAAGAAAATAAAGAAATATCAGAGAATGAAGAAGAATCTAACAAAAGGCCTAATTTATACTGGCCTTTTTATTTTATGAATAAACAAATTAAAGAAAATTTGAAAAAATTAATTGATCGAAGTAATAAACAAGAAGATGGATATATAACATCTACGATGCTAGGAGGATCTTTATGTATGGCGCTGGCATATGTGAATCGTTTTATGCAAAATATTGAAGAAAATAAATTAAAAGCAAGAATTTTTATCATATCGGTGTCTAGTGATATTGCATTTCAATATATTCCTATTATGAATTGTACTTTTAGTGCTCAAAAAAAAGTATATAAAGAATATTTCTGAATGCTTATTTGATATATATAGAAAATTCCAATTGATGTATGTAAAATTGGAAAAGATTCAGTGTTTTTGCAACAAGCATCGGATGCTACTAAAGGTATTTATCTTCATCTTGATAAACCTAAAAGCCTTTTACAGTATTTAATGGTTCGGAATTTGTTGTGTTTTAAAAATATTTAATAATTTATATAGATGATTTTTCTTCCAGATCAAAAAGTTCGTCAACACCTTGTTTTACCTTTTCAACTTAATGTAGATTTCAGAGCAGCCTGTTTTTGTCACAAAAAAATTGTAGATATAGGATATGTTTGTTCTGTATGCTTATCAAGTTGAGTCTCAAATTTCAATTATATTTTTATTAATATTTGTAGTTTTTTGTATAAAATATCCAAAATGTTTAATATGTGATACTATATTTGACACAAATATGTCACAAAAAAATATTGAAAACCCTCCATCTAATACTTTTGAAACATATATCTAGTTTAAAATATTATACAAACGATCTAGAGTTTCCAGAATAAACGAATGAATTAGGTGATTTTTCATTTTCTGAAATTTCTGCTTTGGATTTAGTGTCGTTGGAAAACATATATCCAACACCCTTTCAATAGTAAATAAATTTAACAACAATATATGTAATAAACCATCGATGGTGTACAATGGGCAAAAAGAAAGTCTATTATATACGTATTTTCTAATGACTCAATTTTTACGACAACTAAACCAGCAAAAGGAGTATGTCCTCGAATTGTTCGTGACGCTTTATGTCATTAAAAATCAAATTATATAAACAGACAATAATCATTTACATAGAAAATCATTTTTGATGCAATTTTTTACTGATTTTAATAAATCTTCTCCCATAAGAATTCTTTCGCAGCATTTTTTTGCAAGGCTAGTGGAAATAATTTGTTCACCTGAACCTTATTTTGGTTTTTAACAGTTATAAAATTTATCAATTATGATACCTGAACATACTACCGCTACACCTGTTCCATTTTCATTCATTTCAACCCACGTTCCAGCTAATGGTATTGCTGCTAATCCAAGTCTTCCTGGATATTTCATAGCAATTCCTCCTGAACTTGATCCTGCTGCCAAAATACCATCCTTGTCTACCGCAATTACTCCTACTGTATCTGATACTGAATTAATATCTAAAGTCTTAGCTAATTCCAATTCTTTCGACCATTTTTCCCATAAAATACGAGATCTTGGAGAAATAAGTGTTTCTGGATCAACTTCTGTGATTCCATTTTGAATTGCCCATAATGTCGCTCCTTCTCCTACAAGAATACTATTATCTTTTAAAATTAAAAATAAATAAAAATAAAGCATCTTAACATTGGTTGTGTCCTATTTAAAGATAATACATCATCTTGTGTATCAATAAGTGCTTTTGCTACTGAGATTGGATGCTTTATTTCTATTAATATAATTAATATTAATAACCATAGATTTTCATGTCACGCTTTTAAGAGCACCAACTGCCGCTAATTTTCCTGAAAATCCATCCATAATAGAAGCATCACATTCAACTTCTCCATTCAATGTTAAATTAGAACCATACCCTGCATTTGTATATTTATTTCTTTCTAATAATTGCACAGCTTTTTCTACTGCTTCTATTGCTTTACCACCTTGACGAATCAATTTCATAGCTTCTTCACATGCTCTAAGCATATTATAAAAGACATTCTGATAATATAGATGTTAAATGACCTTTTGCATAGCTTTTTATAATGGTTTTCATGGGTCTTATTATGACATCCTGCTCCAATATGAGCAACTACAAAACCCATCATTTTTTTCAGGGAAAAAAAACGTATGGTCAAAATATAACGTCTAAAAATAGATTGTTTCTTAATATTTCAGAAAAAAAAACGCAATAAATAGGATAATTTGACTTTTTTAAAAAAAATACATTTTTTAAGAGTTAAAGATCGATAAAAACTATCAATTTTTATATTTTCTTAATTTTCTAGAAAAAAAGCCGTTTTTAAGATAGAATGATACCAAATCTTCCTGTAGTTATTATGGATAAGTATGTACTTGTTTTTTCCCCGAAAAAAACGGTTTTTTTTTGGCTTAAAATAACTATTTTTTAGTGGAACAGGATTAACAAAAATTGGGTAGTTTTTTGGCTCTAATAAAGACATATTTCTTAATATTTTTAACATAAAGCTTAGTCTTTCTGGAAATGATGTTCCTTCTTATGTTTTTCCTACAGTTATTACATCTTCACAGACACCAGGAACAGGATCAGGACGATCAGTCTCATTGTCAAAATCATCCTTTCTAGGATCTAGTTTATCTATAGGAAGTTCATTAAATAAACGCGGAGCAGAGGATTTGGATTTTTATATTGGTTATGAAGCGTTAGAACAAGCGAATGGCTTAGGATATAGTTTAAATTATCCTATTCGTCATGGAATAATTGAAACATGGGATCATATGGAACGATTTTGGCAGCAGAGTATTTTTAAATATCTAAAATGTGATCCAGAGGATCATTATTTTCTTTTAGTAGAATACTTTATAGATTTTTATTTATCTGATATCTATTCAGACAGAACCCCCACTTAATCCTCCCGAAAATAGAGAACATACGGCAGAAATTATGTTTGAATCTTTTAATTGTGCAGGACTTTATATTGCAGTGCAAGCTGTTCTTGCACTTGCTGCTTCTTGGACCTCTTCTAAAGTTCAAGATCGATCTCTTACAGGAACAGTAATTGATTCCGGAGATGGCGTAACACATGTAACTCCTGTTGTATGTATTTATCGAGTTTATTTGACATGCTTTCTTATAAACTAAAGGTGGATGGCTATGTAATTGGATCAGCGCTCAAGCATATTCCTATTGCTGGAAGAGATATTACATATTTTGTTCAATCTCTTTTGCGTGATAGGAATGAGTCAGACTCTTCTCTAAAGACTGCTGAAAGGATCAAAGAAGAATATTCATATGTATGTTCGGATATTATTAAAGAATTCAATAAATATGATAGAGAACCAGAAAGGTTTCAAAAATATTTTGTAGAAACAAGTTCAGATAAAAAAGTAGTAGTGGATGTTGGATATGAGAGATTTCTTGGCCCAGAAATTTTTTTTCATCCTGAAATTGCAACATCTGATTTTTTAACGCCTTTGCCTGAAGTTGTAGACAATGTAATTCAAGCATCTCCTATTGATGTCCGACGTGGTTTATATAAAGTAGATATTAAGGGTATTTTATTTTGTTTAATATTTATTAGAATATTGTTCTTTCAGGGGGATCAGCAATGTTTAAAGATTTCGGAAAAAGAATGCAAAGAGATATTAGACAAATTGTAGACAGGCGTATTCGGAAAGGAGAAGAGCGCTCAGGTGCAAAAAGTGGGGGATTAGAAGTTAATGTTATTTCACATAAAAAGCAAAAAAATGCAGTTTTTGTTGGTGCAAGTTTAATATCACAAGCTGTAAGTTTCTCTTTATTTAATAATTCTAATTCATTTTTAAAGCCTGAGTTTTTATCATATTGTTATACAAAAAAGGATTATGAAGAATATGGGCCTGGAATTGTAAGAAGATTTGCAATCTTTGAGTCCTTTTTATGAGTTTTATGCAATTATGTTACATATGCCAATTTTTATTCATTTATTCGATTCCTTGATTCTTTTATTAAAGATATCCTTCTTAAAATACTTTTTTTCCATTTTAAATATTCTGAATAATGTTTATCTCCATAAAAATCAATTTGAGGATGGATCTTATATAAGAATTAATTTTTTTATCACATTAATAAAATTTTACCATCATCCCTATCCCACTGACTGCTCGACATTGTGGTTTAGATTCTATAGCAGATTCTATTTCCATTGATTCATCAATTTTCTTTTCAAAAATAGAGTCTATCCACTTATATTTATCATTATCTTCTTTAACAAAGTCAATCCAATATTTCAATTCCTTTTGCTTCATATAATCTATACCCAATATAAATAAAATTTCTTCTTTTTCTTCATGATTTATATTTTTTTCCCCTCTCAAATAAAATAACATTATAATAAACATTCCTGCAACTAGTCCTTTTCTATCATAAACATGAGGGTATCGTTTGTGGCATATTTCTAATGCTTCTATAAAATAATTAATTTTTGACCGTATTTTCATCCTATCGCATAATTTATATATTGTTTCTTTTGATAAATTCTTTTCCCCTTCTTGTACATCTTCATATCTTTTCAAATATGGCGTTAATTCATGACGAAATTGTTCTAATAATCCTTCATATTGTTTTATAGGTAACGGTAATTTTTCCATAGATAACTTAGGAAGTGATAATTTTTTTGACAATCTAGCTCGTTCAACAATTCACGAGCATTTTTTATATTATCTTCATCATCACTTACCTTTCATGAGCAATATGTATACATAATCTTATACGTGCTGGTTCTTGCTTAGATTTTAAAGTAATTTCTTTTTGATATGACTGTCTAACTAATAAATCTACTTTTTTTAAAAACATATCTGGATAAGGTTTCTCAAGAGTTGGCATCATTTGATGTATAATTTCCTCAATATTTATCATCTTTTTCAATAACCCTCTTTTTTCTAAAAAAATGGTAGTTGACCGATAAAATATAAAAAATTTCAATTCAAAAATAATTTAGAGAATAAAGTTAAGAAATAGTTATCTATAAGAGATCCATTATATACTAATGTCTGGGGTTTGTTTTCATATAGCTTTATGTGTTTTTTTCCTGAATTAAAAGAGCTTAGTTTGTTCCAATTAATCCAAAACCTTTTTTGCAAGAATTAACAGGAAAATCGGTATTAGTAAAGCTTAAATGGGGCCAGGAATATAGAGGTTTTCTTCAGAGTGTTGACTCCTATATGAATATTCAGTTAGCAAATACAGAAGAATTTGTAGATGGGAAAAATACAGGTCAATTAGGTGAAGTTATGATTCGGTAAGATATCAAGATATAAGAAAAATAAGTTAAGATTTGTTAAAGATGCAATAATGTTCTTTGGATTACTGGTAATGTCGATTGTATTGATTTGAAAGAAGGTTAAACATATTTTTTGAATAACTTTAAAAATACTATGTAAATTGAATAATATTTAAAATTGTATCATGAGAATAAAGCCCTATTTTTTCATGTAATTTTTGTTTCATGAGATCCAAAAGCCCGAGTGCTTGACGTCGCATTAGGATATCTTGATCAGCAACTTGAATATAACGAACAGTTTTTAAAGTACTTCGTAATAAATTGCTTGGAATTGAGATTAGGTCATCAGTTCCTTCTAAGATGTTTGCAATCAATATGATTGCCGCTTTAAAATTAGTATATTATAAAATCAGAGCGTTTCAAAACCTCTTCTAAGTATAATATATTCATCTGTTTTTTCGAAATTTAAAATATCAAGAACAGATTTTAATGCTATAAAACACCATTTGTCCATTCCATAGAAGCTACATTTACATGCAATACCAAGTATACTAAGTGCAGATGAACGAATTCGTATATCATTTGTTGATGAAGTTGATATATCAAGCATGGTTCTTGAAATGGAGTCAGAAATTTTACCATGAATCATCTTTCCAATATTTTGTATTATTTTAAAAATAGCGTCACCTATTCGTATGCGTTCATCAAGTTTATACTTTAAAACATTTGCATATTCACTTAATAAATATTCAATTATATAATTACTGTGGTTATTTGATAAAGAAGTAAGACAATTTATTGCATTCAAATACACAAAACTGTCATTGTCCTTTATCAACCCAATTAATAAATTTAGTACTTCACTGACATCTACTATTGGATCTTTTGCCTCTATCATTTCTTTTAAAAGCGAAATCCCTTGTGCACGTACTGGAACAAGCTGATCAAATGTATATTGTATAGCTTTATTATATTTTCTTTTTGAATCTTCAATCTGAGAATTTTTATTTTGATCTGATATAATAGGAAAAATGAGATATGATTTGACCAAAATATTTAAATTTTGAGCACAACTTCTTAAAGAGTCTACAGAATTTTTCGACATATATGCTAATTGATGTTGAATAGTATCTAAAAGAGAAACTTCTTTTTCTGATAACTTAGGATTACTGGCTAAAATTATATTTAAAATATTTAAAGAAATCATAACAATACTAATGTCTTCATCTATAATCCTTAAATCTGTGTCATCTTTTACTATCTTATGAAGATTTTTAAGGAATGGTTGATCAATATCTTTAGAATTTCGCATACTTTGTGATAACTTATAATTCTTATTAAAATTAGATATAATTTCCATTAATATTTGGAAAATTTTCTCTGTATTTTTCGTTATTTCTGTAAGATAATTATTCTGTATTAACATTAATATCTTCAAATAATATAGTTCATTTAAAGGATCCTGATCTTCCTCTGAATTTTTATTTTTATTAAGCCAATAATTTAGCAATTTTAAAAATATATCTTCTATCAATTTTTGATCATTACGAAATTTGTCAATCAAGAGACTAAAATTTTCAATACGAGAATCAATATCTTCTATTGACAAAATTATATTTGAATTATTAATTTCAATTGAAATTCCACCTTGTTCTCCATTGGAAAAAGAAAAGTATGTATCACCTGTAGATAAAAAATTTTCTATTATTCTCCAAATAGACGTCAATTGACAAGATAGAAAAATATAACTTAGAAGTATAGAAATTATTCTATCTCTCCACATATATTTATGGGTTTTATGAGAAAAACATGATGCTGCCCAAAGAACGATAAAAATAGGAGAAATAACATTAACTATTATATTAGAATCAGATTGAAGACATATTCTTTCAATCCTTTTAATAGCGTTATCTATAGATTCATCATTTTGATTCTGTTTTGGAGTATGTAATAACTCAATAATTTTAGAAATAATATAATTTTGTGTCAATTCAGGATAATTCAATAGTAAAACCGATATAATTCTTCCTGATGTTTGATATAAATATGACTTTTCAAATGGATGATCGAGCATTGATAAAAGTTCTGGGGAAATTGATTTTATATATTCCTAATTTAATTAATGTTTATTCATTTGAAAATTAAAAAAAAAAAAAAAACCTCTTTTTCAATATCCTTAGGAATTAATGTAACCAAAGATACTACTTTATCAAGATCGTTAATCGTAATCTCATTTTCGTACAATGTTACTTTTATAAATTCTACAATTGCTGTAATACCGCCTGGTTTTCTTGTTACTTTTGACAATTCTTTACATATAACTTCTCTCATCCATCCAGGACATCTAGGATTGTTTAATCTGATTAAGGTAGATAACAAAATATTAAATGGTAAACTATTTTTTTTTAATATTTCAAAAAAATGGTTTATATTTAAATTACCTTTCTAAAAGAGAATAAAATTTTTTACTCCAAATTTTATCTTTATTTTTTGGAAAAAATCCAAGTTCTCCATAAATACTTAATGTATATAAAACACACTTTTCACTAATATTAAACGAATTTACAAAAACTTCATTCTTCATAATTATTTCAAAAGTATTAGCTGCCATAATCAAGAAATCCTTATCTTTTTCAAATAATTCCTCATCTTTAACTAATAACTTATTATTTATTGATTGATCTTTCAATATCTTATTAAAAACGATATTATGTTTCCATAAATCTAGACTCATGCCTATACCATTTGAACTACAAATTCTGAATATAAAAAATGCTGCATATTCAAAAAGACGCAAAATTGTCTTTCTATCTCTCAAACCAGTTGATATAATTTCGATTTCTTTTTTATTCATTTTTTTTAAAAGATTACTGACTTCAACAAGAAATATTAACAGTTTTTCCGCTTCATTAAACAATTCTATACTGTTTTGTTTCTTTTCATCCTCTATTAGCTCTATATTTTCTGAATTAACTGTCTTTTGATTTATCACATTCATACTATGGACTATTTTATCTAAAAAAAAGCCTATTTCAGTCAATTTTTTTTGAAAAATTTGATCCATTATTCCTGGAGGGCATATAAAAGATATTTATATCTAATCTTAGACTATTATCTTTTTTATTTAGGTTATTTTCGAGTGTAATACGTTGAATATTGTCTACGTTTAAGATTTTTTGACTTAATATAAGGAATGGAGGAAAAAAGAGTTAACAAAAGGCTGAAACAAGATGAAAAAAATCCTTATATTTCGAACTTAGAAAAGGATATGTCTCAATCAAAATCATGTATTAATTCTGGGAATTTTAATTTTTTATGGACAAGTTTTAAAAAACATAGAACAACAGCAGAACAAGCAGAAAAATTAGAGGTTTAGATAATTTTTTTTAGAAAAAAGGGTTAATATGGCTCTAGAATGGGCCTATAAATCCATTTAATGGTGCTTCATTTAGTGAAAAGTATTTTAATATATTAAAAAAGCGAAGACAACTTCCAGTTCACTCTCAACGGTTTGATATAGATGAATAAAGGAAGTTTTTGATGAGAAAATAGAGACGAATTTCTTAAAATGTTTCATTCTACAAAAATTCTTGTTTTTGTTGGAGAAACAGGATCTGGGAAGACGACACAGTAAAGTTTAGATGTTTTTTTAAGAAATTAATAATATTTTTATTAGAATCCCTCAATTTGTTTTATTTGATGATTTGCCACATTTGAGTATTCTTTTATGAGTTGAATTATATATGAAAGCTTAATTTTATGTTTTTTTTAGATGGGAAACAAGTGGCATGTACACAACCACGTAGAGTAGCAGCAATGTCAGTTGCAAAACGGGTTGCAGATGAAATGGATGTAGTTCTTGGTGAACAAGTTGGTTATAGTATCCGGTTCGAGGACTGTACAAGTTATAAAACTGTTTTGAAATATATGACAGATGGTATGTTACTTCGTGAAGCTATGAATGATCACCTTTTATCACGATATTCGTGTATAATTTTAGATGAGGCACATGAAAGAACATTATCGACGGATATATTAATGGGTTTAATGAAAGAAATGTCGAAAAAAAGACCAGATTTGAAAATTATTATTATGTCTGCAACATTAGATGCACAAAAATTTCAACACTATTTTTTTGATGCACCTCTTTTGGCCGTTCCTGGTCGCACTCATCCTGTAGAAGTCTATTATACGCAAGAACCTGAAAGAGATTATCTTGAAGCAGCTTTAAGAACAGTTTTACAAATTCATATAGAGGAAGATCCTGGAGATATATTACTTTTTCTTACAGGTGAAGAAGAAATCGAAGATGCCTGTCGAAAGCTTGCTATGGAGTCTGAAGAATTGAGTAGAGAAACCGAATTGGCGCCTATGAAAGTTTATCCTCTTTATGGAACACTTCCTCCTCAACAACAACAAAAAATTTTTGAACCAGCACCTTCACCTCGAAAAGAAGGAGGAAAACCAGGAAGAAAGGTTATAGTATCTACTAATATTGCTGAAACATCTTTGACTATTGATGGTATCGTTTATGTTGTTGATCCTGGTTTTAGCAAACAAAAAGTGTATAATCCAAGAATAAGAGTAGAATCATTACTTGTTAGCCCTATAAGTAAAGCTAGTGCTGATCAGAGGGCTGGAAGAGCAGGAAGAACCCGACCTGGGAAATGTTTTAGGCTTTATACAGAACAAGCTTATAAAAAAGAACTACAAGAGCAAACGTATCCTGAAATTCTACGTAGCAATTTAGGCAATACTGTTTTAGAACTCAAAAAATTAGGTATAGATGATTTGGTTCATTTTGATTTTATGGATCCACCTGCACCAGAAACAATGATGAGAGCTCTTGAGGAACTTAATTATCTTGCTTGTTTAAATGATAATGGCGATCTTACAGCCTTAGGAAGAATGGCTTCGGAATTTCCATTAGATCCTTCATTGGCAGTTATGCTTATTGGAAGTCCAGAGTTCTATTGTTCAAATGAAATTCTTTCATTAACAGCCCTTCTTTCTGTTCCAAATGTATTTACAAGGCCAAATACAGCAAAAAAACGAGCAGATGAAATGCGTCAGGTTTTTGCTCATCCTGACGGCGATCATTTAACTCTTTTAAATGTCTATCATGCATATAAAGGCGTCAATGGAGATGTAAATTGGTGTTATGAGCATTTTCTTTCACATCGATCTTTACAGAGTGCTGATAATATAAGAGCACAATTAAAACGCACTATGGAAAAAAATGATATTGATCTTGTTTCCACTCCATTTGGAGATAAAAAATATTATGATAATATTCGTCGAGCACTCGTGAGTGGTTTTTTTATGCAAGTAGCAAAAAAGTCCTCTTCTGATAAAAATTATTTAACCGTTAAGGATAATCAGCCCGTTGGATTACATCCTTCAACAGGTTTTAGTTTTTTTTTCTCTTCATAAAATATTTATCTTATATAGTATTAAATTATACACCTGAATGGGTTCTTTATAATGAGTATCTCCTAACCAATTCTATTTTAAGCACTCACATTTTAGATTTGTTTTAACTTCAAAAAATTATATTCGAACTGTAACATCAATTAAACCTGAATGGTATTTTTAAACTCTTTTTAATTTTATTTATTTTAACACGTAAAGGCTTTTGGAAATAGCCCCAATTTATTATGATATTGATGAATTTCCTTCTGGTGACATGAAAACTGCTTTACAAAGAGTTCAACAAAAACGTCTTAGAGCTGCTACAATTGCAAGACGTACTGTTCAATAATATATAAATTATTCTATTATTACATTGTTATTGTTTTAAATATCAACATTTCAAATAGAATTAATCAATCTTATACATTAATATTCAAATTTATTTCTACTGTCTTGTATATAAAAATATCGATTAATACAATTTTAAGAAATTTATTCAATATTATTGATGAGCTTTAAAAAGGATAAATCTTTCATAAATATAAGGGATATTTCTTCTTATTCATGATTATCTATGGATCTTTCATCAGTATATATTTTTTTAAATGATTATATAATATTAATTATATTTAGTGGCGTCAATTTAATTTTTTTAAGATAACAGAGATTACAAATTTATATCATAAAAAAGATGGTCAAGATGTATTGAAAGTATATTTCTGAGTAATATTTCTATTTTTAATTAGGATAGATTATTTCATCCTCTATTGTTACTTCAGGTAGAAAATATATCTATGCAGCAGATAATTTTGGATATATTCGGATTATTTCATCAGAATTTGATATTGTATACGAGTTTTCTGCCTATAAAAATGGACATGTTATTTTGCTACATTGTATTTCTGAGGCGCCTCTTTTAGTTACAATAGGAGTAATTTTTAGGAAAAATTAAATATAGTTTTTTAATTGTGTATTAAGGACGAAGAAAATAACTCTAATCCGATATTAAAGATATGGTCTCTTGAGTCTTTTGAAAGTAGTTTGAAAGCACCGAAATGCAAAACTACAATCAATATTAACAGTAATGCAAATCCATATCCTGTAGTTGTTAAAAAATTCATATATATATTAATAACAAATGACAGATTTCATGTTTTGCTGTATCTGAAAATGTCGGTCATATTGCTATAGGCTTTGCAAATGGTACTGTGTTACTTATTAAGGGTGATTTAGTAAGAGACCGAGGATCCATACAAAGAGTTATTTATAAGTCAGAGGAACCTGTTACCGGTCTTTATTTTAAAGAAAGTAAGAAAGAGATATCACTTTTTATTATTACAACGGGAAAAGTATTAAAATTGTTAATTAATGCAAAAATCCAATTAAAATCACCTGAAATTATTGATGCTGTAGGTGCATCTTTAGGATGTTCTACAATAAATCGTAAAAATAATGACTTGATTATTGTTCGAGATGATTCTATCTATATTTATAAATCTAATAACAAAAATATCTGTTATTCTTACAAATCTTCGAAATTCGGAGTACTGGTTAATCATGATTATGTTTTTGTATTTTTACTACCATGTGCTGCCTCTATAATTGCACCTAGTACGACAAATATTAGTCCTCGAAACATATTTGATATGTCTCAGCTTATAATTATTAATACTGAAAATAAATTTATTGCACATGTTTCAAATTTTCAATTTTTTTTAAAAACAATATTTATGGAATGGGGAGATGTATATATTTTTTCTCAGGATGAGCAAGTATTTATTATGTTTAGTAAAGTAGTTTTTTAATATCTAATAATAGGTATTTAGAGTACAAGAAAAGTCTATAACAGAAAAACTTGAAATACTTTTTCAAAAGCATTCATATCCATTAGCTATTGATTTGGCTTTAACCGGTGGCTATACCAGAGTAAAAGTTAATGATATTATAATTAAATATGGTGATTATCTTTATGATAATGGTGATTTTGATGGCTCTATGAAACAATATATCCTTTCTATTGACCAAATAAAGCCTTCAAATATAATTAAAAAAGTAAAGTACTACTTTTTTGTTAAAATATTTTTATTTATTTATTTAGTTTCTTAATTCTAAACATATAAATAATTTGATTAGTTTTTTAGAAGCTTTATACACAAAAAGATTATCAAACTCTGATCATATAATCCTTCTTTTAAATTGCTATGCAAAGCTTCATGATTCGGAAAAAATTAATGATTTTATCATGAAGGAAAATGTAGAATTCGATATTACGTCTGCTATAACTATTTTTCGTCAAGGAGGCTATTTTGACCAGGCTGCATATTTGGCAAATAAATATCAAGATTATGATACATATTTATCTATACAAATTGAAGATAAGAATGATTGTAAAAAATCTCTTGAATATATACTTGATCTTGAACCTGAATATGTATGTTATAATTTTATAAATATTATATTATTAATTTTTAGGTGTTCTTTTGTTTAAAAAAATACGGTAAAAAGCTTTTAACTGAAGTTCCTCTAGAAGTAGTATCATTGTGTATTGATCTTTTTTCGGGAACATATATTCCCATTTCAAAGAAATCTAGTTTAAAGAAATCGACTAGTCAAACAACTCAATTTGCAATAGCAAATTACGTTCCTTTTCTACCATATGTAAATACAAATACAGCTAGCTCAACTTCCGAACAATCAATAGTTAGTTCTAATCAGACATATTCTTGCAATATTAAAACGCTGCCAACGTATGCTATTCCTAGTGTTAGTTCGATATTTCCTATTTTCATAAATAATAATAAGCAACTTATATATATATTGGAAATTTTAATGGAAAAATTTTCTGCTATTGATGACAAAAATTCAGAGAGAGATTTAGTATGCATTACCTTATATGAGATTTATTTAAGAGAAATAAAAAATTCTCACTCTTCCATTGAGCGTCAAGATTATGAAAAAAAGGCAAAATCTATTTTGGATAATGAAATAGTATATTATGTATTTGTTTTTGATAACTATTGATTTTTTTTAGTGTCTTATTGATTCATTTAATGGACTTCTTTTATCATATTTAACAGGTTTTTCTGAGGGATTTCAAATATTAAAAGAAAAATCAGACACAAAAATTGATGCTTTTCGTTATTATTGTTCTATTGAAGATACATCTAAAGTAATAGATTTTTTAGCAAAACATGGAGACTCTGAGTCAGAATTATATCTTCTAGCTTTAGGTTATTTTATATCATCTCCTAGAATTTTAGATGATGTTGGTGATTATTTTCACATTGTTCTTAAAAAAATAAAAGAAGAACGATTAATGACTCCTTTAGAAATTATTAAAATATTAAGTTTGAATTCTATTGCGACTATTGGTGTAGTAAGAGAATATTTGATAGAAATTATTGAACAAGAAAGAAAAGAAATAGATAATGTAAGTATATTTCTTATTTTTTGTTATCGTTAATGTGTTTAATATGCATTAGAACTCCAAACTTATCAATACATATCATAATGATACAGAAAATAAAAAAAATAAACTTAATGATTTAATGGAAAGGTAAAAATAGTATTTTTTAATTTTTTTCTTATTTCAAAAAGTGCACAAATTTTACAAGGGATGAAATGTTCTATATGTGAACTTACTCTTGATCTTCCAGTTGTCCATTTTCTATGTAAACACTCGTATCATCAGAGGTATATCATTTATTTTTATACTTAATAATTGTCTTATATAATTAGGTGCATTAATGATTTAGAAGAAATGGAGTATTGTCCTCAATGTTCTAGTAATAATAATATGATTAAAGCAATTAAAAAATCCCAAAGTGAAATAGCTAATAAGCATAATTTTTTTCAATCTCAACTTGAAAATGCAACAGTAATTAATAAACGTAAAAACATTGTATATTGATAATTTTAGGATAAACTAAAGTTTATTTTTGATTTTCTTTCAAGAGGCGCCTTATCTATGGAAGTAAGATAAAATAATCATGAATCTTTTTAATTTTCATTAATGTTACTACATTTTAAAAAAATAGTGTAATCTATCACTGTAAATAGTTTAAAAATTTTAATTGAATTTATAAATCATTATTTTCTATTGTAAGTCCTTTTCGAATTTCTAAAACAGAGTCCTTATTTATTGTTATAAAACGTATTACAGATAATAATATATATAGCTTACCACAATAACAGCATCTAATCCTGCTTGTATTTGCAATTTAACATTTTCAGGGACATTATTGCCTGATCCATATGTTACACAAACTAAACCAGAATCTTTAATTACACGAATTAGACGTGGACACAATACTAATGGATCAGATTTGCAAACAATACCTAACAAATTCCATCTAGTTGCAAATCTAATGGCTTCTTGTAAAGATGCACTTCTAATATCTCTAGTAGATATATTAGCATCTGTAAGAAACATAATCTAAAATAAGTATTAAAAAAATAAATAAATAAATAGATACAAACAGGTATTGAGGGCTTTGTGTTTATTGTTAGTTTAGAGTTAAAATTCAAAAAAAACTAACCTGTTTATAAGATAGAAGTAAGCACACTTCCGGATGAAAACTACTAAATATTATATCTCTATCTTTTTTATGATCATAGACAATCTTTAAAACTTTAAAGTATCACAATTAGTTCTAAAATAACATAAAAATATAATTACCTGTATCAACCCATTTATTTAATTCAATTGCAATATTATCCATTTCTTCGTTTTCTGCTTCATGAAGCATAGGATATTCTAAAACATTGGATTTTAAAATCAAAATAATATATTCTACATACTGCACTCAATATTAAATCCGACATTAGTAGGTATTTCCTAATAAATATTGGATTCAATTATATTAATAAATTAAAAAAAAACAAATACCTTAAAGGCCTCTTCTAATGTCATAAAAGGGCCTTGAATACTTTGTCCACGTGCATTTCCTTTGTAGCCTTTAATTTTAAAATCTCTGGTATATTTAATTCGTTCATATAATTCATTTTGATCTTTAAAATTACTAAAATATTGACTTTTTGAACGTTTTACAGATTCGAATTTTAATTTTGAAGACAAAGGTGAAATTGATTTATCTAAAAATGTAGAAGATTTACTTTGTTTAGTATCCGACAGTGCCAAAAACTAGAATATATGATTAATTATTAATAATGAATCAACATACTTGCTGTAAAGTTAAATTGTGAACTGGAATATCAATACCTAGAAAATATCATATAAATCAATATATCTTCAAAAAAGCTACCTGTTTCTGAAACTAGGAAATCATGATAAATAATTGGAATATAATCTTTCGTTAATTGAACATCAAACTATATAATGGTTGATATCTTAAATAAGAATTAAAAAAAATACTTCTACATAAGATGCTCCTAAAATATTTTATTAGTTTTTTTGATAGCAGAATTATTAAAAAGGGTTACCTAGATTTGCTGCAGAAATAAATGACTATGATATTATTATTATTATAATTTGTTAATTATATAAAATACCTGTAGCGTATTTTCCCCAAGTTGTAAACTTTTTTTTGATGCACGGTTTTCTCCAAGTCCTTAGAAAATCGTTAATTTGATGACTATATCTAAAGAAATTATAAAAATACCTCTATGACCAATTACCTAAAACATGTTATATAATCATTATTTTATAAGTTTATCATACTCTTGTTTTAATTAGTGATTTCCAATATGTAGAATTATTTTCAGTTGTCATATTAGGATGTTTAAATGGAGTAATAACTCTAAATTCAAAGTTTATAGTCCCAATAACAGATAAAGTATTTACTTCTAAAATAGGAATCTTCAATTCTCCATTTAATGACTCTTTTGCTTTGCCAAGATTCTTTTTTATAGTTGATAAAACAGCAACAGCACGTCCAATAGGTACGTCTCTATTTTTACTGTATGTCGGAACTAGTAATGAATTATAATTATGTTCTAATAAAAAAAATAATACCAATATCAAAGAAAAGCTCCATTTTTTCGTAATTAGTAGTAATAAAGATAATAGGTTCAGTTTCTATACGATAATGAGTTGGCAAATCTATAACTGTACTACCCCCATCTGCATTTTTGGCTTTAACAATTAAGGATAAAGGAGTATCTAGTTGAGAAATAGATGCCTCTATAAAAGAAATTTCATTGATTTCTACTGGATTCAATTTTTTCTTTATATCAGTTGAACCTAAAGTAACCTATAAAAAATCAAAAAATAAAGTCTATTAATATATAGTAGTAACTTACAACAATCATTAATTCGTCTTTTAGATAGTCATGATCAAAACTTTTTATTGATGCTACTTTTATTGCAAAATCGTTTTCTGGTAATGGGATTGATGAATTATCTTCCTTGATTTCGTCTTGAGATTCATCATTCTTATCATATATAGTAAATTTATGTACGTTTTTCATATTATCTGGATTTCCATGTATTAAAGCATGTTTTTGGACAAATTTTTGTACATCCGGTGTCAATAAAAGATTAACACAATTCATATGACCTCTAAAAACAGCATGTTCAAGGGCCGTCCACCCAGAAAAATCAACATCATTGATTTTTGCATTTGCAGAAACAAGCAGCTGTAGTATTTCAATAAAGCCTTCTGCTGCTGCTATGAATAAAGATGTCCATCCATAAAGATTTTCTCGTAATTCTGTATTTTGCTTTTGATTTTTTGTTCCATTCAAAAGTATTTTAACGCTGGCTATGTTATTCAGACGAGTAGCAATATGAAGTGGGCTTTCTCCTTCTTTATTTTGATGATTAATATCCATTCCAGATTCTAGCAATTGATATACTATCTCATCGTAATCGAGTTTAACTGCAAGAGCTAAAGCAGAATAAGTGTTGTTACTTTCTGTTTCTTCTTCATATATAATTTTTTTTCCTAAACATTATCAATAAAATATCATTTAAATGTAAATATACCATGACAAAGTGGATCAATTTTTTGATTCATGGTTTGTAACGTTTTTAAAATTTCTATATTACGAATTAAGATAGCCCAATGTAATGGAGTATATCCTTCTGAATCTTTCCATTTAGAATTATTCAAATTATCAGTTTTAGGATCTAATTGGCCCCATTTTACCATATAATCTAATATTAATTGAGTAGTTTTAAGAAGGCCATATTGTACAGCATAATGTAAAGGAAGTCGTTGATATATATCTTGACCTGATAAATATTTATAATGAATTGGTCTAAATTGAGAAAGTAAAAATTCTAATGATTCTGTTTCCTCTATGATTATAGGATCAGAATCACAGGAATTAGAATTTCCAGTATAAATATATAAATTCGTTGTAGTTGGAGCAAGATAAATTGGTTGATCAATATATGGAAGTAATGATGTATTTTTATCTGTACGTTTGAGTGCATTTATTTTGCATCTTCCAATATCTATGACATGTTTATGAATAAGATTTCTATCGTTTATCTCTTCATCTTCTATAAGCACATCTAAATATGGAAAAACTACTTTAATACATGATAGAGATTTAGCAACAAGGCACTGCTGTATTAAATTGATTAGAATATTTGAAAGAGATTTGGATCTTAATTTGTCAATTAAAATTTGAAAATTATCTGCATTATTTTGATAAATAGATGTTTGTATTTCTGTTGCAAGAACTGGAGAAATAACAAAAGAAGAATTGGATGAAATGTCAATAATTGAGTCCATAATATCTCTTTTAAATTCCTTTGAAGAATTTGCGTTATTTAGATATGAAAGATAATTATTAACGTTTTGAAGTAATTCTATTATTGTTGTATCCTCCAAAAACGCTAATATCTAACTATTATATTAAATATAAATTTAAAAGCTATTTTAAATCACTTTAGACTCCATATAACTTGACTTTATTGACATATCAAATTTCTTATCAACTCTGAAGACATTAATTGAAAAATATATACAATTTAAAAACGTTTTACTTTTTTAAAATTTTTGAAAACCCTTTCTTATTCATTTCTGCATACCACAATATTTTTTGAAGATCTGATCGTAAAGAAAGTAATAAGATTAAAAGATCCTCTTTCTCATCACTTCGAAGATTTAGAGATTTATTATTTTCATTAAGTAAATTTAAATGATATTTCTTTACAATTAAACCAATTCGATGAACTATTTGATTTTTCTTTTGGTTAAAGAATGTTTCAACTAATTTTATATTATCATCGAGTACTAAAAAAAATGCTTTATATAAAAATAAGTCATAATTTCTGACAATATATCTATCTTTTTACATGTAAAATCCCTGGAATCTATTGATTTTGAACAAATATTTGTGATTTCTTTTTTTAATCCCTTATAATTAATATATTTTGAGCTAATTCATATTAATCTTTTTATATAAGAGATATTAAAACCTAAATTCTAATACTTGATTTTTAATTAAACTAAAATACATTAGCTCTGAATAAATAGAAAAAGCTTATTATAAACTTCTTTCCAAATTTCATTTTATTTATAATACTTTAAAAATTTATATTCTAAAATTTATTAAAAATATATTTAATTTAGGGTTATGTTTAAATTTCATAACAAAAAAAAACAATACTAAATCTCTCAAATTTCTAAAAACTTTACAACTCTTTTCAACACTTCAAATTCCATAAAAAATTAATTTTATATTTTTAATATTTCTTTTCTTTTAAGAAATCATATAGTAAAAATATTACATTATTCTACATAAACAACTTTAAAATAAAATGTTCTTTTTCTAAGAATATCTATCTGTTTCTAATAACTTGTTCATATTTTATAGCTAAGAAATTAATAAATCATATGATTTTTTATGAGGTTATTTTAATATCGAATTGTGTATATCGATCGGTGGTTACTATGGAAACGTCAATGATAAACAGGTTTTTAACCTGCCTCGACAGGTTAGTAGAGAATAGAAAAAAAACAAGATATTAAGGGATGGCAAATGCCCCTGTTTTAGAGTCTAATAATACGTTTTTTAATGTTGAAAGAGGGGATGAGTCAATAGAATGGGTAACACCGTCTTCTGGAGGGACTTTACCAACGGTTCAGAGTCTTAATTATGAAGACACAGTGAGGATCTTGACAGAGAGAGATCCATCATTAATTGTTAATGAAATGTTACCAGAATGGAAGAAAGAGAATGCAAATATGATGAAAGATATGTTTAATGATATTTTAAGTGCTAAATCGTCAGTAAATAAGATTGATGAGAAGTATTAATGATATTTTTTAAAATATAAAATTTATGTTTTTTAAGTTTTAAGAGTTCATGTAAGAAAGAAGAAGAAAGAGGATCAGTTTTTGAGTTCTGGGATATTAAAAATTTGAATAAAAAGAATTATAAAACGGTTAATTTTTCATCAAAAGATTCGTCTGATTCATTACATAAGTTGAATGCCTTTACTTGTAAAAATAAAGAATCAGTTGGATTGAAAGTAGATAATAGTGTTTTGGCATCTAATGTTTTTGAAAATGATTTAAAGTCATTTCAAAAAGAGTCTCAAGATCGTGAAACGAATAATCAGTTTGCATTTAATTGTAATCTTGAAGATAAAAAAAATGAAATTGAGTCATCTATTTATGAGAATAATAAGAGCAAAAATATGATGCCAGTGACGAAGTCGCCTTTAAAATTATTTCATGATAATTTTGATACATTTACGAATAATAAACTTGCTGCAGCAGTTTTTGAATTAGCAAATCAGGAAACGGATGAAGATGCAAAAACATCTTCTAGTGGTCCTGAAAGAAAAAGAGCTCGAATATGTCATGAACGAACAAATAGTATAACAACTCAAAATTTCTTTAATGAAGCGCAAGAAGTTATGGAACGTATAAGGAATAGGCGTAATCCTGTTGAGAAATCTATTCTTGAGAGTGTTCGTGAAGAAGAAATTGCATATGATTCTAAAAATACAGCTTTGAATGTTCAAAAAGAAAGGGACCCTTCCTTGAAATCTAAAAGAAGTAGCATGAACTCATGTGCTGCTGTTACAAATGAGACACCTACTCGTTCTATGTTTAGTGATTGGTCTTCTGAGCATACAAGTTCTAAAAATACACTTATTTCTCTTTCTGATTCAGTAAAGTGTCATAAAGAAATGGAAGATTTGAATACTATGGAAAGTACAAAACATCAACAAGGAGAAAAAGAAGAGGCTCTTAATTATGCAAAACAAACATGGGGTAAGGAGCCAACAATTTTTCAGAAAACAAAGATTTCTAAGCCTACGTCTTTTGTAAATAAAGAATCTAATGCCAATCGGCTAAATCATAAGCTATTCTCATCTGAAAATTTAAAAGTTATAACTCCACAGGATGTTTCCCAATTTCTAAGTGACAAAATTGGTTCAATGACTTTAGACAAAACAAAAAATACTTGGGTGCAGGATTATCATGATAAAACTGAAGATGTATTTGAAGGAATACAAGATTTTCCGGTATCTCCAGAGTCTTTAGATGAAATACACAAGAAAGATCCTAATATTTTCAAAGATGACGCGCAGAATATTAATGAGAAGCCTAAGGTCTCTTTTACAAAAGAAATATATATTAAAAAATTAGAAGATAAAATGAAAGAATCTTTGAAAAAAAAAGTAGATAAAAATATTCCAGAGACTTCTACTTATCCAAAGAATATAAATTTTAATCAAGAATCAGTGGAAGATTCCTCAAATGAAATAATTGCTGATGATAACTTAATTGGTGTTAATCTTGATTCAGAAGTTGCTGAGAATCATTCTTCAAAATCATTTATGAAAGGGATAAAGCCAGTTTTACAACCATCAATAGATGAAAAATCTCTAATAAATGAAAATTCTGTTGATATATATAAAGATTTATCGGATAGCAAGTTTTTAGGAGACCATCCAGATTTATCTAGTACGACACTCAATTGTAGTTTTTCTATGGCAATACAGAATTTAGTTGTTGTTTTGACTGATATTGAGCCTTATGAACCATTTTGGGAGAAATTTCAACATTTAAATCTTTCTAATAAAAATATAGAATCTTTGATAGGATTGTCCGATTTTTGTCCTAAATTAAATAATCTGGATGTTAGTTATAATAAGCTTACATTTTTGACTGGATGTCCTAAAACTATACGGAATATGAATCTGCAAAATAATAAGTATGTTTCCTTATCTGTAATAGTAGTTTTTGACATTGATAGTTTATCATCTCTTACAGGATTCTCTCATTTGATAAATATCCAGTATTTGAATCTCTCTAATAATCAAATTCAAAGCCTTAAAGGTTTGTATTTTTTAAAAAAAAAAAAGCATATAAAATATTAAGATAAATTAGGCTTGAATGTATTAGTTCATCTTCGGCAATTAGATGTTTCAAATAATAAAATTTCTAGTTTAGATGGAATAGAAAAATTAGATGGTCTTTTGGATCTCTCTCTTTCTCACAATTTACTTTGTGACATAGATCTATCTGATTGTGATCTGTAAGACTGCTTATTAATTAGTAGCTTCATATTAAGAACTATTTAGTCCTAAATTGGAACAATTGAATCTTTGCTGCAATAAGATAAAACGATTTAAAGGTGTAGATAATTTACAGAATTTAACTATTTTGAATTTAGGTATTTGAGGTATTAATATTTTTTTCAATTTAATACAGATAGATAAAAATAGTCTTTCTTCTTTTTATGCTGAGAAAAAAATGTTAAGACTTCGTGTTTTGAAACTTTCTAAGAATTTTTTAAAAAAGTTTGATCCTAAAAATTTCCCAAATCTTCGAATATTATCTTTAGATAACAATAGTCTTCAAGATATCAATGAGATTAGAAGTCTTGGAAAATTGGAAAAATTATCAATAAGAAATCAGAAATTAAGCAAATTGTAAGTAGCATTTTTTTTGGAAAAGGTTTAAATTTTGATTTCTAGAAATCTTGAATTAAATTCATTGATGAATATCAAGAAAATTTGTATATCGTGTAGGTATCTTTTTATATATTAAGTTCCCTAATATTTTAAGTGAATCCTATTTGTTCATTAAATTTTTCTTCTCGACTTTTAACTTTACAATATTTAGAACTAGTAAATGTTCAAATGACAGCTCTTCCTCAATCATTTGCCGAAATGGCTTTAAATATTCGTATGCTTAATCTTAGTCATAATCATTTAAAAGATATTGGTCCATTAAAAGGGATGCCTTTACTCAAGCGATTGTTTATTAATGGAAATCAAATTTCTAAAATAACTGATGTTATTGAAGTATTAAGTTCTTTGAAAGCTTTACGTGATTTTGATATGAGGTATATCTTATCATTTAACAATTCTTTATTTGATGTAATATAGATTAAATCCATGTGTTATAAATTTATATCCCCCATTTTTTTCATTAGATCCGAATAATTCATCAATTTTTTTTGGCCTTCAAATGAAATTATACGATAATACTTGGGTTGAAAAAGATAAAGAATTCGTGAAAACCCTTCCTAAAAAGATACAGCTCAGGCGTAAATTATATCAAGATTTAATTCTTTCATCTTGTCCTCCTTTAAAATGGCTCAATGGGAAAAATATTACAGAGATACATATAAAAAATGCAATCAAGTTCGTTAGTTATATTTCATTCGATACAAATTCTAAAAATAAATAAACCGAACTATAGATAATTCGGATTCACTGTCTAATATTAATGTAAAAATATTTTTTTGATTTCGAGTTTTATAGATATTACTTAGTGATTTAGATATATGTAATAATACATTCACAATAACTGTGTGTGTTTTCAGTCTTTAATACAAATATTGAAAACACTAGTTTTGTATATTTTTTTTTATTAAACATAGTATATCTAATTGATTTAATATACTCTCTAGTTGGATATTCTCGATCCCATTTTTGTGAATCCACTATTTAAGTTTGATTTGTTATATATTTAATATATATAAGGAATTTAATAATTGTATGCTTATAAATAATTAGCTTTTGTATCCTTTATAATAAGAAATCTGAAATGATAAAGAAAAAATATTAAAAAAATCATATGAAAAAGGGAAATAACGTACAACTGTTTTATCTTCGTTTCCAAAATAAACAACATCTGCTATATTTACAAAAAGACCTACTTCAACCACACCAATTATCATTTTTATGTTTTTCTCTAGTATCTCTGGATCTTTAATTCTGCCAAAAGGTGCATCAATAATAAAATTCCCATGATCTGTTATCATGGGACCCGCTTTATATCTACTAGAAAGACGCAATCTTGGCTTTGAAGAACCCAAACGTATAAGATTATTCATAACTCTAGAACAAGCAACAGGGATAACTTCAACAGGAACTCCCTGATGCCATTTCTCGCCTAAAATATGTGATTTTTTACGATAATCCGCAATAATAACTTTCTTTTTAGCACTCGATGCTACTAATTTTTCTTGGAAAAGGCAAGCACCTCCTCCTTTAATACAATTTAAATTTTCGTCTACTTCATCTGCTCCATCAAAAACAATATCTACTGTTGAATATCTATAAAATATGACTAACCCGGCTTTATTTTACAAACAACATACGCATCAACGTCTCCTAAATACAACCCAAAATCTAAAATTAACTGTCTACTTTGGAACCCCGTAGGAATAAATATTATATCTTTTACATCTTTTTGAGCAATTCGTTCAATGGCATATGCAACTGTTGTTCCACTACCGATACCAATTACCTTCATTTCTTCAGAAAAGCACTCGTCTACTGCTTTATAAGCTGCATGTCGTTTTGCTTCTTCAATTTCTGATTTAAATGATTTTTCCCATATATTTTTATATTCTGACATTTTTTAAAAAATAAATTATTTTATTTTTTATAATTTAAAGTCATTAATAATCATGTTATTTAACTGCGTTTTTAAAGTTTCTTCTGTATATTTTTTAATATCTTTTTATTAAGTTTTTTAAAATATTTTTTCAATAAGTTAAACTTTCGATATCATTACTTTATAGAAATCCTAATATAAAAGATCATCTTAATATTATATCCATATTATTTGTTAGACATAGATAGCTATTGAAATATATATAATAATAATATCTGTTTAATTATTCAAAAACTAGTTTAATTGATTATTTTATGTTATAGTAATTGTTAATGAATATTCTCTTATTTTATGATAATAATTAGATGTTTAAGAATAATTTATTTGTATTTGAAAACTTGTAGAATATAAGCTGTTTGTAGTGATTTTGAGTCGATATTTTTATTGATTTATTGATTTTTGTCATAAATATTATTTTCTAAAGTATAAATTATAGCTCTTGGCACTTTTTTAATAGATTTTATGAATTTTTCGTATAAATATGTTATTATAAGATTTGTATTATTTTTGTTTGCTGTAAATTTTTATATAAAATAAATTGTTTCCCAAATTGTTTTTTGGAATTGTTCTTATTATATATTTTTCTTTTAATTTAGTGTTCTAATATTTATATAGTCATCACATTTGTATTTTTTAATTATTATATTTATAACCTTTTTTTAAAAAAAAGGAACTTAATATACCATATCATAATACCTTTTTCTTTCTTTTTGTTAATATCTTTTGTTTTAAATAATTTATCTTATGTTTAATAATATATTTTGTTCGTATTTACTGTAATAATTCTTTTCTTAAAAAAAATATAATATTTGAAACTGTCTCCTCAATATAAATAATCATTCAATTCATTGTTTTTTCATATATTTATGTTTATATATATTTCATTTTTTTTACAATATAAAATATTCTTTTAAATTATGAAAAATGGCTATTTTTTTAAAAAGAACACTTCTCATTCCACTTTTATTTCTATTCGTTTATCATTATCATTTCCTGTATTTCTTCTATATTTCCTAAATTCTATATATTTTTATTGAAGCAGACGCTTGATCACGACAAAATCCTCTTTAAAGAGGATTAATTGAATTAGACAGGTTTAAGAAATGAATTGCTTAAAAAATGGTGAATCATGTACTTCATCAACAATCAGAATTCTAATTTCTACCGACAATCATGTTGGTTTTCTTGAAAAAGACCCCATTCGAGGCAACGATTCGTATATTGCTTTTGAAGAAGTAATGACACAGGCGCGGTTAAATGATGTAAAAGGGATAATGATAGGTTTTTTGTTAACATATGAATAGGTAGATATGGTTATTTTATGTGGAGATCTTTTTCATGAAAATAAACCGTCTCGTAAAGCTATGTATCAAGTGATGCGAACGTTACGTTTAAATTGTTTTGGAGAAAAGCCATTTGAGTTAGAAATTCTTAGTGATCAGTCTTTAATGTCTAAAGATGTGTATGATTTTAATGGGTGTTTTTTTTGTTTATAAATGTTCTAGGTTATTTTGTCATGTAAATGTGGAAGATCCAGAGATAAATGTAGCAATTCCAGTTTTTTCAATTCATGGTAATCATGATGATCCTTCTGGTGTAATTTTCTTTTATTTTTGGGTTCAATTTAATATTTTTAAGGAAGATCGACTTTGTGCTCTGGATATTTTACAAATTTCAGGATTAATCAATTATTTTGGTCGAGTTCCTGAAAATGACAATATTATACTTCGACCTATTCTTTTAAGAAAAGGAAATACGAAATTAGCATTATATGGATTATCTAATGTAAGAGATGAACGACTTTATCGTTCATTTAAACAAGGGAACGTTCGGTTCATGAGACCAGATGTTGAGCAGAATACATGGTTTAATTTGATTGCGGTTCATCAAAATCAGTATGATGCATTATTTTTGAAACATGGATGAATTGATTATTGAATTAGCACATCACATACAGAAACGGGCTATTTACCAGAAAATTTTATTCCTGATTTTTTTGATTTGGTATTATGGGGACATGAACATGAATGCGCAATTGATCCAATATATAATCCTCAGCAAAATTTTTATGTGATTCAGCCAGGATCATCAATAGCTACCAGTCTTTGTTATGGAGAGGCCGTTTCAAAGTGAGTTTTCTTTTACAATGAAGTAATAAAATATTTTAGACATATTGCGATTCTTTCGGTCACTGAACGGTCATTTACTTTAGAAAAGATAAGACTTAAAAGTGTTCGACCATTCGTTATGAAAGACATAAGTTTATGTGAAAATAAAGTTATTCAGCCTAATATAAATAATAAAAGCATGGTTACCACGTTTCTAATGGAAAAAATTCAAGAAGCAATCGAAGAAGCGTTAAATGAATGGAAATCATTTCAAGAACCATATGATATTAAAGAACCACCGTTACCTTTAATACGTTTAAAGGTCTTCTAAAATATATTATTAAGATTTTGCATTTATAAAAAAAATAGGTAGAATATTCTTTGGAATATCAGGTAGAAAATCCTCAAAGATTTTCGAATCGGTTTGTTGGGAAAGTTGCAAATCCTAATGATGTTATTAAATTTTATATGAAGAAAAATACACGTAGAAAAATATTTTAACAATTATCATACGACTTTATTATGTTAATATTGATAGGAAATAAAGGGAACAGAATACTGCATTCTGATGTAGAAATGTCAAATGTAAAATTAGAAAACATAAAAGTTGAAGATTTAGTGAAAGAGTTTCTTAATGTTCAAAGTTTGATTTGTTTACCAGAACATGAACTTGGAGAGGCTGTTACAAGATTTATCGAAAAGGATGACCGAGAAGCACTTAAATGGTTTGTATTTTTGTTTATTTTTATAAAAATTAAATATCATTAGTTTTGTTACTACACATCTTGACAGTCAGGTTAAACTTTTGACTAAAAATCAAGTTACAGAAGAGAATTTAGAAGCAGAAGTAAGAAATTATCTTTAATGATATTTTTTTAAATATATAAAGTTAATAAAACAAAAACAATTGTATGAGGAAAGAGCCAGATTGCAACACGTAATTTATAAAATTGTGTTATATTGTTTAATTTTATTTAGAAAGAAGACGAAAATAAAAATAAAATAACTAATAGTTTTGAAAGTTTAAATAATAAATCATTTTTAGGAAACGATTGCCATGAAAATATAAATATTGAACAAGATTCGGTTTTTGAATCTAATAATTTATATAAAAATATATCTGGAATAGTTAAAGAAAATGTTTGTATATGATTTTCTCATATAAAATTAATAATAAAAATTTATAGGATTTTATAGATGATAAAAATTCTGCTTCGGGGTATGATGATATAATGTATTTGCATAAAGATTTGTTTATTGAAATTTAATATAATATTAGCGTTCCAAATGTACAAAATATTCAATTAAAAGTATATAATATTGATAAAAATTATTCTACTCGAAATTTGAATCATGGAAAATGGAAACCTCAGAGCGCTATATATATAGAAGATGTATATTTTGGATATCATTTATTTATTAACTGACTTCTTTTAGGATATTGATGATTCTTCAGATGATGAATTTGTTCCAAGATTTGGTTTTAAAAAACCAAGATTGATACAAAAATAAATATACAGCTATTTTTATATATTTTGCATGTATACAAACTATGTCAGGATGTATTTTTTATTATCATTTGTTAATTGCATATTATTATCGATGAATTAATATTTAATAGTTATGATCAATTTGTATTGTGTTTTATAATAGAACTGTTCAAAAATATGTTTAAAATATTAAGTGTTCATCATTTTTGAAATGTTATAAGGAATTTTAATGATTTAATTTCTTATTCATTTATATCTTCTAGATCATCTAAAGCTCTTCTAAATTCATTTAAATCCAATTCTTTGTCATCGTCATCTTCTTCTTCGTACATAGCAGGGTCATATTCGAACAATTCTCTTCCACTTAAACCAATAGTTCGTCCAGCTGTTAAATTGGCTTCTTTCTTTTTTCTGTTTTCTATTTCCTCTTGTTCTTTCTTTTTATCTCTCTTTCTCTTCCATTCTGTAAATGTTTCTAATGTTACTGGTGTTAAATTTGGTCCAAGTTTGTGTCTTTCTATTTCAATAAATTGTTCTAATGTAATCACGTCTTCTTCTTTATCTTTTTGCTTATTTTTGAAAACAAATCCAGGTGGAAGGCTATTATATATTTAAGTCTCAGGAAAAATATTAAAATAATAAACCTATGCTTATATTTACAATTATCTCCATCACTGAACTTTTGTTAGTTTTTTTCTATGTTTCATTTTTTCATACTTTGGACAAACCCAGAACCATCCATAAATACCCTTTTCTATTGCCTCTAAAAAGAATTTGCAAACAATATTCGTTGTTGTCTGTTTTTTATATTAAAAAATAGATAAGTTGTATTAGATATCAACCTTTGGATTTCCATGTTTACTTAAAACAACAGATTGAAGTTTTTCATCGTCCCATAAATCAATAGTATCATTCTTTTTATCTATAAGTGATTTGTTTTCATTCAAATGTATTAAACGAGAATCTGTATATATATCTTTTTTCTCTGATCTCTTTTCAACATCAAGATTATGACTAAATTTACACTTTTTCCCTAATTTTATGTATTATTAAACAAAAATTAATATAAAAGTCTTTTAAAACCTTTATCACAAAAACCTTGTTTAAAATATTGACAAAGAATACTTTTTGGATCCACACCAAACGGTACTTTCTGAGGTGGTTGCTTAAATAGCTCCGAAAGCTCCATCTTTCTAGACTCTTCTGCTATCTTTTTTTCTGTCTGCTCTTTTTTTTGCATCTCTTTTTCCTTTGTAATCTTGTTTTTTCCAATGTTTGCTGCTTGAGATTCTATTTGACGGATATGAGCCTGAATTTTGGACGATTTGTTTTTCTAAAATGATTATTTTATTAGAATATAACTTGTTCTACTTGTTAAGATACATTTTTGAGGCCAAAAGTTTTATCTTCCACTAAAAAAATCAGATCATTTTTTAAAAATATGCTTATTTACCAATTTTCTGAGGATTTTTTTTTACTGAAGGTGCTGTCTTTTTCTGAGGCATTGGAAATATTATTTAAAGACATAAAAAACTCTTAAGATAGTACTTTTATATATAAAATCTTTAGTTCTAGTTTTAATCAATTTTTTAGAGGTTCGAAGGATAAGTTTTATGATAAAAATATGTAGATAAATAAGAATTAAATACATGTTTTATATATAACAAACTATTTCTTTTCAGTAATTGAAGACTTAATATCTTTTAAAATTAGTTCTTGGAGTTCAAGATTATGAAGTTCATGATAAAGCGTTTTTTGAATTAATTTTAAGATGAAGTCTGATTCTTGATATAATATTTTATTAAGCCATAATGATTGTTTGGCCATATCCTTGATTTTAGGTATAAGTTTGGAAGAAAATTGTTTCCAAAAATATTGAATAGGTGGCTCACCGTTTAATTTTTCTAAAATATTAGAAATAATTGTGTCTTTATGTATCAAAAAGGTTTCCTTTAGAAAAGAAGGTATTGATTCTTCTAAAGCTTCATTTAAATAGTAAATATTTCTTGAAATATTTACTATATCTGACCATCCTTTTTCAATATTTGTTAATAAAATAGTTGTTGCTTTAGTAGGATCAGTTATAGATAACCGTTTTAATGTTAAATTAATTTCAATACTTTTACAAAAATACTCAACTGCATCTTCTATACTCTTGCTGTTATATTTTTTTAAATTAGAAATCAAAGCATCTTCATTAAGTAAAAAATAGGTCGATATAATAGAAACAAGTAAAATTTTTGATGTATATTTTTTTACAAAAAGAGCATCATATGCCATGGATTCTAGCTCTTCTGAAACAGATGTTACAAACGGAATATACTTTGTAATTATCAAAATATCCTTCTGAATAAATGTTAAGATATACTTTCAATATTCAAGGTTCAAACTAAATTTTGTAAAAGTATTTTCCATTCTTTAATTATCACTGCTATTCTAAGACAATCCTTCCATAATTCTACCTCATTTACATGCGATTTTATTTTTTGATATAAACTCTCTAGACGTTGTAATAAAATAATTGATTCTTGAACTTCTTCAAGTAATTGACTAGTCACATGATTATTTTTTAAGGAAACTAATAAGCATGATGCTGATTCATATTTAGATGTCCATTTTCTATCCATTCTGCACATTATAAGTCTGGTTTAGATTTTTTCTTCGTTTTTTACTCTTCAAATAACGTAACTAATGATTCTGTATATTTTTTTATCCATCCAATATTTTCATTTGAAGTTTCTTTTGTAAATTTTATATGATTTATAAGATCCTCATGGTTCTCTTTTAGCTGAAAATATCTCAATCTTATTTTTAAATTTCAAAAAAGAAAACAAACTTTTTCTTGAATTTGCTCCATGATTTCTTCTAAATCATACTGTACTTTTCTAAGGGGGACATCTATATCAATCATATTATCTGAGGGATTATGTGTCTCCTTAACAATAGTATTTGCATATTTATATACATCAAACATAGGCTGATCCAGTCTTTCATAGTTAATATATTTTTTCGAAGTCATCGTAACAGAAATTTGATAGATCGATCGTCAAAAAAATAAAAAATGAAAATATGGTTAGGTTTTTTAGAAAAGTTTTATAGCGAAGATGACTCGTATTTATGTGATCCGACAGTTAGTAAGATAGGAGGACGTCCGGTGAGTTTTTTTGCGGTCAAAAATGAGTTTAATATGGTTTAGATATGGATTAATTCGAAAGTGATTCCTAAATCTCAAGATTTACAGTGCGGAATCTGCAAAAAGATGATGAGACTTCTTCTACAAGTATTTCTCTTATTTTTTTTTTTTCTAAAATTTTGAGTTATATTGCCCTGAAATAGAAAGTCCTTTTAGCTATCATCGAGTGATATATGTCTTTGTGTGTGAAGATGGATCATGCCAAAGATCAGGATTTAGTAAATCGTATGAAATCTCAAAATGCATATATATATTTATTTATTTATCCGAGATTTAAAGTTATTCGTGTACAGAAAGACAATTCGAAAGATATAGATATAGAAACGAGTCATTTGTGTGTTGTATGTAATATATTAGGGACATACATTTGTTCGAAGTGTAAAACAACAAGATATTGTTCGAAACAACATCAAAAAATACATTGGGAACTTGCATTGCATAAAAATTATTGTGGAACATCGGAAGGATCAAAATGGCCTGTTTTGAAAAAAGCGTGGTGGAATGAAATGGAAATTATTTGTGAAGTAGAACCAGAGGAGACTTTGCCTATAGGAAATGAATTAATACAACATAAATATGGGCCAAATGCAATACCTGATAAGTTTGAAAAGTTTTCAGAAATTAAAGGTGACAAAACATTTTTTCAGTTTCAAAAACGGTTAGGGAGAGCACCAACACAAATATTACGGTAAGATTTGTAAATATTATGGCATGAAGTATTAATATTTGTAGATATATAAGAGCAGAATCGAATGATACAGAAGATAGTCCCATTCTATGGATAAGTTCAGAAGGACAGCTGAATAATTCAGAAATTGCTAAATGTCCATGTGGAGAGAAAAGAACCATTGAGTTTCAAATAATGCCTACGCTTCTTTCTTTTTTAAATATAGATTATTCAGAGAAATATTCTTTGGACTGGGGTGTTTTAAATGTGTATACTTGTGAGAAAAATTGTATGTTAGCAAATAATAATGTTTGCCAAGAACTTCTCTGGAGACAAGAAATTTCAAATGAGATTATTAGTGGAGTATAATGATCAATATATATAATTAGTAGGCATATCGTCGGGTTATATAGAAAAGGATATCAGATGTTTTTGGCTCATTCGTTTTTATCTATATAAAATATTCTGATCTTTGTCTCTTCGCCGGTATTTGTCTTTGATCATCGGGCAGTAATATGAATTAATATTAATTGAAAAAAATTATATAAACTTATCTGCACTGAAAATATTAAATCTGGGAACGAGTGATTCATCTATGACCATAATGCTTGCAACATTCCCGCATCTGTAGCAGTAATTAGGAGCAGACCAAACAGTTACAAGTGATTGATTTTTAAAATGATACTATATGTCATAGTTAATTTAAAATTTTAAATAAAATAAACCAACTTTAAATCCTTCTTGAACCAATTGATGTGCTCTTGCAATTAAATATAAATCATTCACATGATTAAACTGATTTATTTTAGTTTTTTTTTTTAAAAAAAAATATTCGTACTTCAGATGTTACTTTATCTCCAAATAACCAACCTGCACCACGAGGAGAAACAGCCCAAGTTTCTACTTCTATAAACATAAGTATTTTGTCATGATTATGTGAAGTAAGTATACCGTCTGGATCAGACCACATTAAATCACAAAATGCACCTTCATGTGGGATCTCTTGAGCTCTTGTAACAATTCTAATTTGATCTAAGGTTCTTGTTTCTGGACTTAATCCTCCATGAACACAAAGAATTTTTCCATCTATAATAGCTGCAATTGCTAAAAAATCGAAAACCCTACAACAATATTTCCATACATTTGCATTTCCATATTTTGTTTGACATTCGTCTATGAAATAATAGAACAATAAATACTATAAAAAAAGTGGATAATTTATACCATAAAATCCATATACTTGTGTTATCTGTCTACTTTCATGATTTCCTCTTAATAATGTGATTTTATTAGGATAACTAGGAAATTAAATTGAATTTAACGAGATTTGCTCCTTAAAATACCTCGCTTTAAAACACATCAAAAGCGTAAATGTTTCTAGACTAAAATATCCCCGATCCACAAAATCTCCCTTGTTCAAATATAAATTTCTTAATAAATCTCTTTTTTTAATATTTTTACCATAAATATATACTTTGTATTTGGAATCTGTCCTCCTACTCTAAAAAGTTCCAATAAATCATAGAATTGTCCTTTTCATAAGCTTTAATACTTAAATATAAATTCTATCTACCATGTATATCTCCACAGATTGTTACTGGAGTTGAAATCGGTTGAATATTTGATTCTTCCATTAACAACTCCTTGACTATTTCGCATAGTTTCTTCATATCTGTTTCTGGCAAATATTGACATTTCTTTGCCATCTCCAACCATTTCCCAATACTCATTTGTCTTTTATTATAACTTTTTTTTAAAAAAAAAGGGCTATTCTTTCTATTTATATTTTTTAGAGGTTCTCAAGTCTGGAAAGAATTAATGGGTGATAAAGAAAAAAATATATAAAAATGGACTAAAAGAAAGTGTTATGATTCAATAGAATATTGCAAGATAAAATATTAAGGTTTTATAGTGATTAATAATTTTTTTTTAAAAAAATAAAATCATCTATAAAAATCAGGTTGTTTCATATTTATTCCATATTCATGAAGTGCTGCACTTAAATCTTCCATTGTTAGTACAGTTTTTCCTTTTTCCTAAAAATATAAATATCTGTTTTTTTTTTTAATTTAAACAAAATTTTATACCTTTCCATAGCGATTTCTAATACTTCCTGTATATCCTGTTTGATTTGATAGAACAGCACTCATCATAGATGATGATCTAATACATGAATATTGATATGCATCTTGTGCAATATCAGCAATAAATTTTTGTGCTGCTAATGCAAGTAATCGCTTACTTTTTATATTAGATGGATAAATCATTCAATTTTACATACATTCGAATATCATCACATTCAAACCCTGCTATACTTAAATAATAATCCGTTACCGCATCCGGAATCTATCACATTCTTAATTCTATATTATAAACATTCAATATTCACAATCGGTGCATAATCATCCATCATATTAAGGAACTCTCTTAATGTACGGTCTTTTTGTTTTCTGTATGAAGCTGGTATTTCTGTTGATTCTTCCATTTTTTCTGAAACATTTTCTGTATTTACATCCTCCATCTTTATTTCATCATTTCCTGTCTTTTCTTCCTGTATTTCCTTCTCATCTGACATCTTTTGAGTCTTTAAAATATAAAATTAAACAATTTTTATGTATTTATAAATTATCTGCTGAGATTGGTTGTCTAGACAACCTTTGCCAGAGCAACTGTCGTCTTGGCAATTCTTTAAAAGATCTATAATTATATCTTTAAAATACACATGATTTCCTTAATAAATACTTTCTTTAAATGCCAAGAAGTCCTATTAACGTGTTTATTTTGGATATCTTTTTTTTCTGTATTTTTAGTATACTTGATAGAGACTCCGATATCTTGACGAGCTGTGTATAACTTAAGGTTGAGAAGGAAAAAAAAAAGCAGATTAAAGGTTGGTTAAAAGATATAGAAATTTAATAAGATATACTGATTTATAATAAAGGTTTATAAAACTTTAATATATAGTAGTTAGAGTGTCTAATTATTTGAGACTCATGTGTAAAAAGGAGTTTTTATATAAAATTAAGAGTGTTGTATTTTGATAGATAAAGAAAAAAGGTTATATTTAAAGGAATAAACATTTTTTGTTGTTATTTGAATACGGTTGAAGTTTGAAAGAGTGAAAAACGTTTAAAGTGTAAAAATTAGATTATTGTTATTAAATGAATGATATGTCTTGTGTGGCTTCAGGAGCTTCTTTAATAACAGATGAATCTTTTAAAGTAATGAACACTATACATGTTCCTAGAAGATCAGAAGACTTAACTGTTATTGAGGAAGTTCAAGAAAAAAATGAAGAAATCAATTTAGAAAAAAGAGAAAAAAAGACAAACAAAGCGCCTGAATTTCAGGAATCCGAGGATATTAAGGTAGATTCTGAGTTAGCAATAGATCTTACGGTTTCTCCTGTTCCTTCTGGATTTTCTTTAGATGATGTTTTGATGACACCCTGTATTGATGATTATAGCAGTACAAGTGATGATTCAGATGATGTGTTGGAGACACATAGTTTTTCTGATTACCAGCTTGAATATTCGCCTGGCTTTGTCGAGTTGAAGTATGTTTTTCATCTACTTTTTGCTTTTGAATTGATTTTTTTAGACCTTATAAACATCAAGTAGGTGGACATCATACATTGTTTCGGTTTTCAAAACGAGCAGTGTGTAAAGTATTTCTTCTTTTTTTGCTTATATATGCTAATTATATAATCGTAGCCTCTTGTGAAGCGTGAAAATGAATTTTATGAAGCAGTAGAGCATTTACACCAGGATTTACTTGCATTTATGCCTAGGTATATGGGTGTGTTGAATGTAACGTATAAAGATAATTTACATATGGTTTCTCTTGATAAAAATACCTTTCAAACTTCTAAGATGGAAGAGCCGAGTCATGAACAGCTTCAAAAAGAACACACATCTGCTTGTATACATGCAGTAACATCTCTGCCTAAGGTCTCACTTGAGCAAAACATGCATATGTTATCGGCATCGATACAGCAAAATAAAACATCCTCTTATCCTATTTCGAGCCATGTGGAAGGCGAGGAGGGCTTTAGACCACGTTTTCCAACATGGGGAGCAACTATGATTCATCAAAACCTTCAAGAACAAGTTTTACGTGAAGTATTTTCTCCGCGTGAATATAGACAAAACAAAAGTACTCATAGACATCGTATTATTCGACAAAGGACACAAGTTAGGCATAGAGACGATTCGTTTGAGCAAAGGAATTTGTCAGATTCTTTAACACCAAATACTCTTTATGATACAGGACCTATCTCTTCTTTAGATTTTGATGAAAAGTATGCATATTTATCAAAAAGACGGCATTCTAGTGGAAATTTATATGAGGAAAAAGATCCGAAGGGTATGAAGGGCCTTGAAGGTTACTCTCTTGATCATTCTCCACAACTCATTCAATCTCCGGTTATGGATACTAATAGTATCAATATAGAAACAGGGGATCAGACAACTTCTCTTCAATCTTCTAGTAATGATATTTTTTCTATGGTTGATTTAAGCGAATCTTTATTATCTAAAAATGATTCTTTAAAAAATGTAAATTCATCTTGTGATATTCACAAAAATGTTTCATCTTATACAGATGTTGGATTTAACTGGGCACAACGTTGTTATGAATTAGAGTGTGCTAAGCGATTGAAAAAACTACAAAGCCAACAAACAATTTCTGTTACGCCTTTACCGGGGGATTCCGTACATGATACGTTAAATGATTCTGCACGAATCGAAAGATTTATTTTGATAGAGGATCTTACATCTGGGATGAAGCGTCCATGCGTTTTGGATTTAAAAATGGGTACTCGCCAATATGGTGTAGATGCAAGTGAAAAAAAGCGTGTATCTCAAACTAAAAAATGTGCAATGACAACTTCCCGTCAACTAGGTGTGAGGATTTGTGGAATGCAAGTCTGGAACCGAAAAACTAACGCATATTTGTTTCAAGATAAATATTACGGTCGTAATCTTAAGGCAGAAGTAGATTTTCAAGCTACTTTAACGAGATTTTTGCATGATGGTAGAACACAAGAAGAAGGAGGTGGTGTTTTTTATGACAAAATTCCAATAGTATTGAATAAACTTGTAAAATTAGAAAAAATAATTCGAACACTTAAAGGTTATCGTTTTTATGCAAGTAGTTTATTGCTTTTATATGATGGTGGATATTATGAAAGTGATGAAGAGCATTTTACAAATATAAAAAAAGAGCCTGATTTTGACATCGATATTAAAATTGTTGATTTCTCTAATTGTATAATACAAGAGAATCATTTTTCTAGTGAAATTATCTTCCCACCAAAACATCCTAATACATGTGATTATGGCTATATAAAGGGTTTGCGAACTTTAAGGGTGTATTTGCAAAAGTATTTTGATAATTGTTTATCTATTTTAATTAATTATTTTTTAGGATATGGGAAGAGGCTTCAGAAAAATGTTTTATTCAATGTCATGGAAATGATCTTTCTTATTTGAATACAGAGCACATAGAAATTGATCGAGAGAAAAAAAAGAATACTACTGATGAAAGTGATGTATCAACATAATAATTATATTAAGGCTTTGTATTGCTAAAATACTTAATATGTTTATAAAGCATAGATGTTTATTGTGTGTTGTTGCACGATAATATTATATGTAATGCACTTTAGATATTGAACATGTTCATATTCAAAATACTATTTCATTATTAGTTTTAAATGAATGTTTACTATTAAAAGTTTATAACTAATAGTTTAGAGTTATCATTAGCTTTGTTGAATTAGAATATATTTAGTTTTAATTAGTTCTTAAACTTCAGTATTATTCTAGATTTTTGTTTTAGTTAATATATGTAGATCTTAATCAAAAGCTTTGTTTTATTAGATTATTATACCAAAATAAAGTTTCTGCTAAGATCTAATAGTATATAAATACTATGTTTATATTTGCGAAACGTTTATGACCAATGGTGTAGAAACATTATTCATGATCAAGATAATTTCGCAATAGTCATACATGGACAATGAACAAAAATATAAAGGCAATATAAATAGTATTATAATACAAAATTTATAAATAATTTTTCTAAAAAAAAGTTATTTATTTCCGCTCTTTCTTAAAATAAGCTTTTCTCTATCTTTGTCCATTTTCAACTTTGTAATGACTACTTTGCTTGTATTAATACCAATTGGTACTGTAGCTCCATTTGCTTTTTCTTTAACAACCCTCTCAATATGTATAACATATTTCTTTCTATAAACTTGAATAACTTTCCCCTCACGTCCTTTATGGCTAAAATATAAACTTTAATGAAAAAATATTCAATATATTTTACCTTCCACGAGCAACTAAAACTTCGTCATTGATTCGAATAGGTAGTGCTTTAACCTTTTAAAAAGTTAATACATAATATTTCCTTATAGTCCTAATACCTTGTACTTCTCTCTCAATTCTTTTGAGAGAGGAGAAGACATAATAATTCTACGCTTAGAAGATGGAGCTGTAAAATATGCCTACATAGTCAAAAAACACCATTTAAACGTCAGAAAAAAAAATAATACCTTCCTCTGCTTCCTTCTAGACGATGTAACATCTAGATATCATTTGTTAGTGTTGTTTCATACCAAAAAATATGTAGAAAAAAATCATTTTATTTTTATTAAATTATTTATTAAAGCTATCTCTTAAAAATGATCAAAATCCTCTTATAACGCTTTTTTCTACTTGTATTTATTGTGAAATAAGAAATCTTACTTGGTGAAAACTTCATGACGTTGGTTTATTTTTTTGAGAGGTTAGAAATTGTTAATCTTAAAATCTTAAGTCACGATCTAATATTGAACCCTAAAATAAGATAGGGCTTTTATCAGCTTTTTATGATTCAACGTTTAAAAAATAAATGAAAAGTATAAGGGTTATAGATATATTTTTAGAAATGACCATATTGAAATAATAGTTATGATATATTTAAAATAGTTTAGTTATATGAAGTTTAATTTTTATTATTTTTGTGGAATTTGTAGCTTATGGAATGTTTGAAGAGAAAATGATTTGTAGATTAAGAAAATATTATGTAAATTTTTAATGGTATGTCTTATAAAATGTCTTATAAAGTCTATTTTGTTTTTATAGTTGAATTCGAATCTTAAATTTTTTTTAAAGTTTGAATTGTTGAAATTAAGATTAATTTAATAAAATAATTGAAGTTATTTTTAAAATTGCTTAGTTTTTAATACAAATATTAATAATATATATATATATATGAAAAATTATTAAAATTTAAAGAAATTTGTCAGAAAATATCTTTTAACAAAAAACAATAATTATAATAAATTTACTATAATAATTAAATTGAAATTTTCATATTTAAAATACTTATTAGATGCTGTATAGTAATTTTAAAAAAAAATAGTAAAAATACTTAATGTTATATAATGTTCTTAGAATTGTTATATATTGTATAAATATTAAAATATTTTTATAGAATAATTTGATATTAAATTTTCTTAAAAAATTAATAAAATAATATTCATTTTATATATTTTATTGATAGTAACATAACAAAAATTTAAATTTGTTTAAAAATTATGAAATACAATACTACATAAAATTTGTTATGATATTAATATTATTAATTTTAAATTTAATAATATTAATATTGTAGATTTATATATATTTTTAAGATTTAAATTTTATTGAAGAAACATTATAATTATTATCTATATGTAACTATTATAGATTGTAATATTAAATGAATATTTTTTATCAATATTATATTATAAATCAGAGTTATATATATAAAATATAAACTTAAGATATTTTCTATTTAAAATACTTTTTAAAACAATTATGACTAAATATGTCTTATTTTATTACAAGACATATTTTAAATATACGTTAAAAATTATTTATTAATCAAACGAAATTTCATCAATAAGTATTTAACTTTGCTTAATAATCTATAAATAGCTTTAAATATCTAAATTTTCATTATAATTTAATACTCTTCTTGAGCGTCTTTGTTTAACTTTTTGATATTTATAAAAGAGACTAATTGCGTCCTAATATGTTTTAGAAAAAAACAAAGTATAATTGACCTATATTACTTTCAAAACAATAAATAAACAACCGCCAATAACACTGCAATGAAATTTACTAGGAATCCATTTTTTTGCTCCAGGAATTTTCATAATACAACTAAAAAAACATGTAGTATTTTAAATTAAATCATTTTAAATACCTTCCTATTATACTGCTAATTTTTGGAAACATAAGTGTTCCTACTATCATTCTTCCAAAATCAATATCTTCAAATACTACCATTCTTCCTCTTATATCATGATTTTCCTCATTTTCTTGTGTTCTCGTATTCGTTTGCCTTATTGATTGATGTTCTGAAGGATAATAACCTGATATTTCCCTCTGAGGATAAAGTTCCTGTCCAAATCGCCTATGTATTGGAATTATAAAATGCCTGTATATACTATTATAAATAATTCGAATCCATGGTAAAATACAAAGAGTAAAAGTAGGTGATAAAGGTCTTGAGATATCTAAAGCTTGATCACCAAAAAAAATAAGTGGAATAATCGGAATAATAGTATCAAATTGACTAAACTGACTAAATATTAATATAAAAGGAATCGATGGAAGACCAAATGCAAGTTCTTCAATATATTTAGAAATAAATTAAAGATTCATATAAAAATACTCCAAAAATATTCATTATTCATTTCAAATTCCATTATTTTTTGTGCATCTTTTTCTCCACAAATAGTATAAATAGTATGAATTCCATAAAATGCTGCTGAAATTAACGCGGAACTACCAAGTCCTATAAACATTCAAAAATAAATAACTAACATTTTACCATGCTACCGCAAACTATGAATATTGGTACAGATTTTCGTAAAACTTTATCAATTTTTGATAAAAACCAAAATGTAAACGTTGATGAATCCTTTAATCGTAATGGACATTTACATTGCGGACATAAAACCTTTAATTTTTAGTCTGTTTTTAACATAAAAAATAATATACTGGCTTATCTGACAAATCTGTCTTTTGACTTTCGGTTATCCAAGTTAATAAACATTTCTCATGGCCAATCAAACCACATCTACAAGGACTTCTCCATGAACCTTTATCATTTAGGCCTTCTAAAATGTCATCAAAGCATATCCAACATCTTTCAAGGTTTGATGATGTTTTTTTAATGTCCAAAATTTCTGTTAACTCATTTTTCTCATTATCTAGACACTGATCTTTCGGAAAAAGGGAATGTTCACCAACAATAGTATGAGAGAATGTTTCCATGAATGTATTATGTTTATTCTTTCTTTTAAAAAAAACAAAGGTTCAATCATCGTTAACTCAAAAAAAAACTGAGAAATTTGAAGGAAGAAAATAAGGGCTATTTAATAGAAAAATGAATAAATAACATATAAATGAAGACTTTTATATGATATAATGAGTGGTTCTCAAAAAAACAGCGAAATTTCGAATGATTTTGAGGAAGATCTTGATATTTCTTCAGATGAAGAATATAAAGTATCAAAGAATAAGAAAGAACTGGATAAAAATACAGTAAATAAGAATAAAAATACTTTAAGAAAGACATATTTTTGTAATTTTCTGTTCTAATCAAATAAAAGAAAGAAAAACAAGGCAATCTTATTATTCAGAAGATAAAAGAAAAAAAGATTATGAGGAAGAATGTAGAACAATACAGGAGAAGAAAAAAACAGAAAATAATGTTTTGAAAAGCCAAAGATCTAGAGAAAATTTACATTTTGATATTAAGAATTGGGCTAATATAGAGGCAATTGATAAAACATTATTTGAAGATGTTGATGAAATATTTGAAAAGGTTTCATGGCCATTTAAATACATGGAAGATGAGGAATTGAATAATGTTAATGGATTGTATGTTTTTTTTAAATGAGATTCTTTAGAATTATCTGAAATGTTGGTTTAGAATACTGGATGATTATTTAAAAGCATCATTGCCTTTAAAAGTGTATATAGGTACATATGAAGCTTCGAAATTACATATTATTGAGAGATTTTCTTTTTATTCTTTAAAGAAAGCATATCCATTAAAAACGGGATATATTATTCATGCAGGCTTTCCTATATGGGGACTAGATTGGTGTCCAGGACATTTAGAAGGTATTTAAACTTTTTAAATTTAATAAAGGTAATTTAATCACATGATAATAGGAAAACAATATTTGGCTGTTTCAGGACATCCTGATTATGAAACACATTCAACACTTTTGTATGCAACAAAACCTAAAAAATCAGCTATTCAAATTTGGTCATTTCTTCCTGGATCCAATGATGGATTATGTAATAATCCTCAGTTAGAAATATTTATTTTTCATGCATTTGGCTCTGTTTGGGATCTTAAATGGTGTCCTTTAACGTCAAAAATAGATGGAAAACTCGGATTTTTAGCAGCCATATTTGGTGATGGATGTGCAAGAATATTTTCAATTCCTTTATCAAATAAAACAAATGAAACATTATACAGTTAATATATTTTTGTATGTATTATTCTATTAATTTTTTTAGTGAAACTTGAACAAGTTAAATTATCTTTAAAAATTCATGATACCAGATGTACTTGTTTATGTTGGATCTCTTCAAATAGAATTGCTATAGGCGCTTCTAATGGTTTGATAAATAAATAATGATTTTTAAAAATAATCATAACTATTTTAGGTCAAATTTGTATTCTTGATCTTGAAAAAAAAGATCGTCAGTATTGAAAGTATTATTTTATGAGAATAATATTTAATATTTCCTAGCAAACATTCCTATTATATCTTTTTTTGCTCATAGTTCATATATTAGAAATATTGCATCATGTTCACCATCTTATCCGAATTTATTAATTAGTTCGGCATATGATTGTACAGTAAAAATAACTGATATTAGAGACCCTTTAGGTGATATAGCATTTATACAAAGACAAAGAGGTTTTAATTTTTTTATTTTTTTAAATTTTCTTATTAATTTATAGCTATGAATTTTATCCTTCAGTGGTGGGATGAACTTTCATGTATTATTCTCAGTGATAATATGTGTGGCTTACGTTTTATATTTTTCCAAACTTTACAGTCCTCAAACCATATAATATCTCTTGATGGGACTCTTTGGGCAGTTGCAATGAGTCCAGTACATCCATTTGTGGCAGTTGCTGGAGCCGATGGAACAATTTCAATAGTTAACTTTATTAGAAAAACATTTTCAAAATTACGTCAAGTAAGAGAATTTAAAATAAAAACTACTTTAATAATTCATAAAATAGCCTCTTTCTATTCGTAGAATATACCAATTAAGTGTTAATTATCAAGACATGAGCTATCTTTTAGTTGAAAGTTTTAAACCAGAAGTAATTTCTCTTGTGTATTATTTTTTTTAATAACATTTAGAAATATCAAAAAATTAATTCTAATCCTATAATATTTCCTCCAGAAATAGGAATTACAGTTGTAAGTACATATTTTATCATATTTTCTTGATTTAAGTAATAAGGCATCTTGGAATCCTACTAAAAAATATGGTGGTTGGTTAGCAAGTGGTTCTGCATCAGGAATTCTTAGAGTAGAAGATCTTTCATTTTGAATTTTATGATACATAATATTTTATAGTTTTTAATTGAGATAAAATTTATGAATATTTCTATATTTTAACAACTTATATTATTCAATATAATGTAATATAAAAATTTCAATTCAATTTGTTCTGGTTATTAATATATTCTAAAAGACAGAACTCTAGAACATTTTATTGAATTGTAACATTATTTTCAATTCTATTATTTTATCTTTCTATTTCTCATACTTTATCAAAAAAAAATTAATAAAATATGCTATTAACATTTCAATTTTTTTATATTAAACATAATAAAAACAATTTTATGGATAACATATCATAAAAAACCATTATATACAAATTAGCAAAAACATACAGTTAAATAATTTTAAAACATTCAACTAAATAGAAATTTTACAGAATCTTTATAAAATAAATTAAGACATTAACTTTAATTTTTATATTTATTTTAAAACATATTCTTTTAAATATATTTAAATAGAATTTAAATTATTATACTGAAATATATTTGATGTAAAATTTAAAAAACATTATAAAATATTTTAAATTTAATACTTTTTAAACAAAATTAAAATTAAAATAAAATATTTTTTTCAAATAAATTTAAAAAAAACATAATTAAACAATCATTAAATAAGAAGTTTTTTTGATGAATCTATAATGAAACTTATATACACGTTTTTGTTTTATAAAATACTGAGCTAAGATAAACAATAGAAATTTGATTAAAAATAATCTCTATATTTGCAACATTATCATACAATTACAATATTATCTAATAGCTTTATTGACCAATAGAAAAACTGCAATTCATTATTACATAAAACATTCATGTATCAGTGCTACTTTTTATAATATAAAAAAGCTTAAATAATCAACTATAATATTAATTTTTATCTGTAAATGAAGTAATAGTTCTTAACAAAAATTTGAAAAATATATCTTCTATTAAATAAATCTATGGTTTGTAATAGACTTCTTTCTATAATAAAAAGAAAATGACACTACAAATTTGATTTATGCTTTTTCTTAAATTCCAAATTTTAATTATAAAGATCTGATTAATAAATATATCTTTTCATTTAAAATGTAAGTATTTATTTATAACAAATCCTTCAAAAATCCATAAAATTACTAGAAAAGCATATTGTATCTGTATATATTACAAAACTTATCCCATTAAATCATATTTGTATATCAAATTCTTCATAAAATAAACCAACATATAAAAAATATCAATTTTGTTCACAATTAATTCATAAATATATTTAAATAATATTCATCTTAATAAAATACTTTTTCTATCTTTCATTGCTCATAATTATTAAAGTTAGATTCTTAATACATTACTATAGCATTTTCATGATCACGTGATACACAATACTATAAACAAAAATATAATTTTTTACATATAAGAGCTAGGATATATATTGAGCTAATTGAAAATATATGGGTATATTTTTTATTTTTCTTAATTTTCAATAAAATTACTCCAAATATCAATCTAAACCCATTATTAAAATTTTAAAAAAATTCTTAAAAAAAATAAAATATAAGAAAAAAAACATATAAAGATATCATATGTATTACAATAAATATCCTGTACTTTTCTCTTTATTTTTTATATGGCATATTTATAGCTTTTTATGCAAACAGTAATGCATTAAATAGAATACTAAATATAAACAAATATATTTATGCATTAATTTTCTATAAGACAACTCATTTAAACAAAACATCTATCTTTCAAATACATGGGTTTTAAAATGTATTGGATTTATATATTTATATACATTCTACCTATATATTCTGCGTTTTTTAAACAAAATCAAGATGAAAAAAACAACTGCTATGGCAGTTTAATGTGTGGACCTTCAATGACGGGAAGCTGTTGGCAAGCTATAACAAAATATCAAAGCAATAGTTATTATTCAAAATATACAAGTCGAACAGAATCGGATTTTGGACTTGGATCAGGCTGTACAGTTATATATACATGTGATTCAAATGTAAGAAAAAAATATATAAAAAAAGATTTTAAAAATAAATATAGCAATATATGAATGTATCAGGGAAAAATATTAAACAAAAAGCAGAAAATATTATAAAAAGATGTCAAGAAGATCCAGGTATTCCTTGTGGATCTGAATATTTTAATACAGCAAGAGAAAAATGTAGAGTAACAGGTATGTTATTAAAAAATAAAGACTTTTTTTTAATTATAATCAAGTAAATTATTGCGCGTGAGTTTTTTTCAAAATAATATATATTAAAAATTAAATGTGGATATAGAGAATGTAATGATCGAGGGTGAAAAAATGTATTAATATAATCAACACATTAGTTTTTTATCAAGCCGATATTACATAGAATCTTCTTTTTTTTTAAATTAATATACAGATTATATTTCAGCTTGTTTTACAAAATTATAAAAATAAATAGAAATGGTAAGATTCAAAATAATAAATTATACAATAGAAGAAATGTATAAAGGGGTTATAAAATACCCAAATTATATTAAGTACAATTTTAGCATTAAAAATTCCATAAAGCAATAAATTGCTAAATTATTTTAGCAAATGCCCATTTAAAATGCACCCGTAATAGATGAATTGATTGACCATCGAGATTGAGAACCAGTTGAAGGAGAATTAGGGGAAGAATATACCATTGTAGGAAAACCAGACAATCCAGATTTACAGTGTGTTTGATCTAGAACATCATCATACCTTATCATAATATGTTGCTTTTCTATTTTACAAGTGAAAAAACCTCCTCCATTTTGAGAATTTCCAGATATTGCACATGCATCCAATAATTGTTTTGATTGCACAGGTGTATCAGAAAATAAATCATTATACAAACTTAATACTTGATCAATTAAAAAAAGCCTAGTTTTAGAACCATATTGCTCATCAAGACGCAAACAAATAAGTTTACACCGTTGCCGCAATACGTTCTGAGTAACATGATACTGACTATTCCTGTCTATTATACTTAATAAAAATCCACAATATATTATATTGAAAACATACTAGTATTTGAAGGCCAAATATTTGGAAACCGAGAATTTGATAAACTAGGTAGCCATACTTGATCAGAAATATTACGATGACGTGATTCTTGAGAATTTGAAACATGCCGATTCACTAAAAGATGTTAATAATTTTCAATTTTATAAAAAATATACAATTCATTGTTTCTATAAATGGAGAATCTCTACGATATATAGGCTTAGAACGATTAGAAAATCCTCTTGAAGTATCATTTACATGATTTAATATAATTGAATCATTATCATCATCATCTAAGAGCGCTTTACTTCCCATAACCTCACTCAATTCATTAATAGTTGGCGTTTTTCGTAGTTCATCCTTATAAGCCGTAGTACCACTAGGCCTTTGAATAGGAGAAGGCCTTTTGATTGGCTTTGCAATAGAACTAGGTACGATACGTGCAGTATTATCGTCTAAAACTTTGGTCCTATTCTCATGAAGTCCCAGTATACCGTTAGGATTTTTATCTTCCATATGATGATGAAATGGACGAGAAAATGATGTAGGTGTAATAGGTAACGAATGATAACTATTTAAATTTCCAGAAAGAGGTGACGATTCATTTTTGTACATATTAGAAGATACCTTAGGCAACCTTAATGGAGATAAAGAATAATCATACTGCTGATTTGACGGTGTAGATGACAAAGAAAAAATCCCCCCAGAAACATTATTAATGATAGGATGAGATGTTAAAGATTGATATGTGGAATGAGTAGATGATAAATTCTGACTAAAGGTAGTATCAAGACCAGGCGGATGTTGCAAAGTAGAATTTAAATTAGAAGACATATGTGGCGACTTTTGAGAGGTATTTTGGATACTAAATGAAGAATGAGATTGAGGAAATATAATAGAAGAAGATGATAAAGAATTATCTGACTCTTGCTCAGTTTTTAAAGAAAGAAATGATGAGTTTAATGGACTAGAAACAGAAGATCTTGTTTCCTTCATTGACTCTGCCATGCCATAAAAGGTTTCTTGATTTTCAATCTGTGGAGATCGATTTGACGAACTAACTGAAGCCATAACTTCTATCGTCTTTTGTTTTTGATTATCCTTCTTATCATTCCGTATTTTATTTTCATTTTCTTTAATTTCCTTAATCTCTTTAATTTCTTTAACATCTTTAGGTTCTTTAGGTTCTTTAAGTTCTTTAGGTTCTTTAAGTTCTTTAGGTTCTTTAAGTTCTTTAGGTTCTTTAAGTTCTTTAGGTTCTTTAAGTTCTTTAAGTTCTTTAGGTTCTTTAGGTTCTTTAGGTTCTTTAGATTCTTTAATATCTTTGACTTCCTTAGTTTCTTTAAGATCCTTCTCTTTCTTCAATTCTTTCTTTTGCGAATCTTTTTCTGCTTCTTTTCGTTTTCTTTCTTTCTCAGTTTCCTTATTTTGAGGTTGACGACGTTTTTCTTCTTCCAAGGCCTTTTTTTCTGCTTCTCGTTTTAGCCTCAATTCTTCTTTTTTCTTTTTAGCTTCTTCTAGTCTTTTTTCTTCTTCAATACGTAATGCATTTTCTTCTGCAAGACGCTCTGCTACTTTTCTAGCTTTCTCCTGATCTTTTAATTGCTTCTGAAGCCTAAATACATTTAGCCTTTTAAAACTAAATTAATATTAAAATCGAATACTTTTTCTTGTCTTTCTTTCGTTCTTTTTCTTTCGCCTTTTTTAATTCACGTTCTTCTTTAAGACGATTTTCCTCTTCTAATTCTTCTAATAATCTTTGTTGTCTCTCTTCAGCAACTTTTTCCCGATAAGCAGTAAGAACTCTTTGTTCAAACATTCTAGCAGCGAATATTTGAAACATTCTTCTCCCCTCTTCTATTCTTTGTTCCTCATCAAGAGTATTCTAAAACATTAAAGTATATGTAAGATTTATATAAAACAAATACCATTTCATCATCATCACTCTCATCATCATATCTAACCATTATTAATAACATAAAATAATAATATAGTAATCTTACTCTTCATCATCGGAATCAAATTCGGTCGTTTCTATTTCCATAACAGCCTCCTCTTCTCTTTGGATTCGTCTTTCAGCAAGTTGTTCCATCATTTCGATAAATTTTTTCCCATCATTTTTAAGTAAATCATCTGCTACTGTAAAAATCCCCCCCTAATAATTTATTAAAACGCCCAAATAATATTAATACAAGACTCACTTTAACCGCCAAACTATTTCCAAAATTAAAAAAATCAAATCTTGAATCTACATTTTCTGACAATATACTTTCATAATCCCCATCGCTATCAAGAACACCTTCGCTATCATCTAAATCTTCCGAGCGTCCTGTCATGGAATTCTTATGTAATAAAGATAAAGAACTAAACTTTTGCTGTTGATTAGCATATTGTTCCAGCTCTTCATAATATGCATCATATAACATTTCAAGCTCTTCCTCAATCGCAATTCGTTTTCTATCACATACAGAACACGAACACGAATGCTTTTGCTGCTCTTTCATTTTCCTTAAAACTGCCTCTTTTTCAATTTTTACAAGTCCACGACGTTCTTCTTCTCCAAGTTGTAACCAAAATTCTTTAATTCTTTCTCGTTCTTCATGAGTACTAATATTCCATATTTGATCCTTAGACTTTCTAGAAGTAACACGGCATTGTAATGTCGGCTGTGTCATCATATCTGAGACATTAGATGAATGATATGTATCATTTACAACCCCCTTCTTCTTTTTCTTTTTTCTATTCAATGTCTTTCTCTCTAAAGGTCCTATATGATTATCTGCATGTGAAAATGATGGTCCTAACGTCTGTTCTCGATGTATTGGAAATGATATACTGGGAGATGCAGGGTCATATTCTGAGTCTTCCAAAAACCGTCTATCATGATTCTGTTTGCATTCCGATTGCAAAAAATTACCCCCACCCGAACATGATTCACATTTAACTATAGATGATCCTTCTCCTTCTGTCTTTTTCTGCTTTGTACGCTTCTTTTTCTTCTTTTTATTTCGTGATACTATTCCATTCATTTGTAACATTTCTGACACCCTTTCACCCCCTTCTTTTTCTATCTCTTCCTTCTCTACCCTCTCACAAAGACTATGCATCATAATACTCATATATTCTTCTTCTTCTTTAGTACAAGTTATTTCTTTATTCCTTGATTCTTGTGAAAATTTCTCTACTTGTTCCATTAACTTATTTTTTTAAACCTTCAATCGCACGAATAACTAACTTTGTTATTAACCCTTTAATAGGTCCTTTAAACCCACTTTATTCGCACGTTTAGACCTTATTTCTGTGTCTTCAACCAGCTTTATATGTTTTAAAGATTAAGACGTATGTTGTCTGCCGTTCTCGTCCGTACAAAATGTGTCCTTTTTTAGAAGCCAAGATGAATAAAAAAGAATAAGGAAAAATATAAGAAAAATAAAAAGAAAAAGATTCAAAATATAATCAATAAAGAGATTTTAATTGGTCTTTACTGTATAATAAATAGGTTTTTTCTAAAAAAAATAATATAGAAGAGGAATATAGAAGAAATTGAAATTAATAATTTATATGAAAATGAAGAAAGAAATAAGAAAAATGAATGTATTGAGTAATATAAATAAAAATAAATATAAATTTTTTTTAAAAAGTTAATATTCTCGATCCTAAAAAGCTAAAAAAAAATAGATAAATTAAATAATTATACCCTAACAGAGTCATCCATAGGGATTCTGGAAGAACTCTCTCTTGGGGAAAAATCTTTAGAAGATCTTACAGGAGATCTAGTTTGAGAACGATCACGAAGGGGAGATCGATCGTATGAACCAGCTCTGGAATATCTATCATCTTTAAATGCTCGACGACTTGAATAATCATCGCGACGATAATAATTATCCCTATCATCTCTACGGTATCTTGGAGAACGTCGATCATACCTATCATAACCTCTATCATAACCTCTATCGTAACCTCTATCATAAGCTCGATAACGAGGAGATCGATTACGACGGGGAGAACGAGAACGAGGACGAGAAGCATCCTAAAATTTAAAGATTAATGATAATAAAAAAGAAATTATAATGTTTGTATTTTAATACCAAATCTTCACGAAGAACGACTTCAGAACCTTTAAACTCAACGCCATCTAATTTTCGAATAGCAGCTCTGAGATCTTCCTCGGTTTCAAATTCAACAATTCTATAAATATTTTAATATTAAAAGAAGATTTATTGAATCATGTGAATACCCTTTGCCACTGCCATCACGACTACAATCAGCATAAGTGACTTCTCCTGCAGTTCGCATGAAATCCTTTAGATCCTATTGAAAAAAAGCATAAGCATGTATTTCAATTGAATATATCCAGAAACAAATGTGGAGAAAAAAAAGTAGAGCCATCCTTTAACAATCCAAATTCATGGCTTATTTAGTCCCAAAAATGCAGTCATAGAAAACCCATATGCTCAATACCCAGTTCTTTATGAACCAAATATCCAAGAATTTCTCGGAATCATATATATTATAATACCATAATGAGAAGACATCCAATCTCCTTAAACAGATCCAAGCATAAACGCATTGGGACCAAAAGATATTCGACAAAAATAGAAAAGACAAAATTGGCTAACCTGCCAGCTGACATTTTGAGAAAGATTCTCAACAATCACCCTATATGCAGTCCTTCTTGGTCGAGGATAACTTCATCCATATTACATCATTATTCCAAACCAAATATAAAAAATACCGAACTTCCATATCGCGACCTCGAAAATCATCACGACGTTCTCTTCCGCCACGAGCAAATTCAATATTAATTCGTTCTCCTAACATTCTCTTGCCATCTAAAAGCACCTTAACACCTACATAGACAATTTCCATTATTTCTACCAAGATCTTAATCATATTAGTCATTGTATTTAAACAAAATAAGCAAAACATGCCTTGAACTGCATCTTTCGCATCCCGTGAGTTTTTAAACTAAAACAAAACATCCATTAGAGATATTCAGGATATGTCTCAAGAAAGAAACTTCAACGAATGCAAATCCGGACATCAACTTGATTTCTGCTATATCTCCATAACCATAGAAAAAATTTTCAATATCTCGACGATTAACTAACCAATTTTAATTAAAAAAAAAAGCACTTTCATCAAATCCTTACTATTCCTAGGAAGATTTCCTAAGTAAACTCGTGTTTCTGAAGCTGGTCTTGACATTTTTTTGTCTTTCGCAAAAAAATTCGAATATCAAATTTTTACGATAGAAGATTTTAACATACAACGTCACAACGGGTCTTTTATGAGAAAAAGGCATGTTTATAAGAAACAATAAATATACAAGTCAAATAGAAGAATTCATACATTAATATAATTAAATATGAAACATGTATTTTTTTAGTTGAAAAAATGAAGAAATTTAATGAGAAAATATAATTAAGATATATAAATAGATTTTGAAAAATTTATAAATTATAGAATTATCCACGAATAAAAGGGTGTTTAAGCGCCTCATAAGCAGTTAATCTTTTTTCAGGGTCCAAATCTAAACAACGTTCTAAAAGATCGACAAAATTCTTGATTAATTTAGGATCTTCATTTGACATATTACTTAATAAACGAGATCTTAAATCACGTACCGGCTTTGATATGGCAATTATTTTCGAAACATCCTATATAATAAGCAGTCAGTATAAAGAAAAAGAAGTAAATAAAAAAAGATACATTTCCAGTAACTTTATCTTTTTCAGTACTAATAAAATTAAAATGTTGATCAAAATGTATACTACTAAATTGTCCTTTTCTAATAATTTTATGATTGAATTTTCCTCGACATTCCATCATTAATCTAAGCATATGATTATTTGTTCTACCAGGAAAAAGTATCTTTCCAGTATATAATTCATATAATGTACAGCCTATTGACCATATATCTAGCGAATAATCATGTGATAAACCCAAAACTATGTCTTTTGTCAAAAAATTGTAGAGAAAAAAGGAAGATATACTAATTTCCGGTGCACGATAGAATCGACTTACGAGATAAGGAGTAATATTACTATCGGAATCAAAAGATGCTGATCCAAGATCACATATCTTTAAATAATTCCTGGTTTCGTTTACCTAAATTATATGTTAGTAATAAATAGCTAGGAGTTAAGATTTACAAGAATATTATCAGGTTTAAGATCGGTATGAAGAATGTTACACTTTCTTAATAACGAAAGTCCTAAAAATATTTGTTGAGCATAGGCTCTAACTGCTTTTAAGTTTATTCCCACATCATTTCCAAATTTTTTAAGAATTTCACGTAAATTAAGACTATGTTATCATCAAAATTACATAATCAAGATATGTATATTTTATACCTTAACATTTCAAAAACAAGACATAAATGCCCTTTATGTTCAAAATGCCTTTCTAAACGTATAATATGCTTTCGATCATCAGGATCAGCCTCCATTAATTTCTTTAAAAAAACAATCTCTCTCATTCCAGCTTTTCGCCTTAATGAAATATTAATAATCAATAAAATATTGTACAACTCTTACATAGTTTCATTATTTCGTATTAGCTTTATTGCGACCATTTTTCTTGTTTTTGAATCTTCTGCTTTTACAACACCAGAAAACATTCCTTTTCCAAGATTGGATCTTACGGCATATCTACCATCTAAAAGTTCGCCCAATATTACATGATAATACCCCTCTGGATCATCCCAGTTATCCAACAGACGCGCATCAAGTTCACGCGCAGCAAGCATAACAGAATCTTGTGCTTCACTTGAATTTTTTAATTCATGTGTTTGCTCATTTACTGATTTAAACTCTTGAAACATATCATCATCTGCAAACATATCTAATTCATCGTTAACATTTGTTTCATTAATTTTCACTTTGTCATATCTGTTTTCATATCGTGTTAGTGTATTATTTTCATTTTGTTTAGTTTCATCATATACTGCTGCACTAATATCATTATTATTTTTAAAATGTTGTCGTTCTTCATCTAATTTTCCATCAACTATTGGATCATAATCAGCAGCCATTTCTCCATCTTGTACATTACTAATATTGGAAGAATCTTTAGTCAATTGAAAATCAGGCATATCTGCCATTAATGGATGAAAAGAAGCTAATTATATGACTAAAAAAAATAAAAATAAAAAAAAAAAACACAAACCTGATTCATAAACTTTATTATCTGTTTCAGGAGATGGAAAAGCTAAGGTATCTAATTTTGTTTGAGAATCTGGAAATGGGCTATGTTGACCTCTGTATTTAGCAAGAATAGCCTCTCTGTTTTTTCTTCTTTGTTCAATTAATGCCTCTTCATCTATAGAAGACTTTTCAAAGACTTCTTGTTCAAATCTAATATATTAGTTCAATATCTAAAATACTCCTCAAAAACCATGCCCATATGTTCAAAATATAATTCAATCAATATCCATATAATCTTAATGCAAAAATAAAATAAAAAATACGAAATTTAGCACGATTTAATGAGGAAAATATAAAATAAAACTTACATCGGTGATCCATTTTTTTTCCATAATCCATCCTTTTTTTTTTCATCTTTTTCAACATCTACCTTCAAAAACCTTTTCTCCTCCTTGTCCAATTCAGAGTCTCTTTTCTTCTGCTCTGAAATATTCTTTTTTTCCATCCCCGACATTTTAGATTTTCGTGACCTTTTTACATGATGTTTAGAAACATATTGATGCTCCCATTCGTATCCTCTCTTAAATGAATTCTCATCTATATCATGATGCCTCTTTTCTTTACTTCCATGTGCTATAGATATTGAATCTCTGTTTTGAGAAATATAAGGTTTACGCGAATACTTATAGCTTTCTGAATCGCGCAAAAACCAGACCTTTTGTTTTCCTAAAAACTCTTCATTTTTACAAATAGAAGCTATCTGTTCTTCTTCCGTTTCTTTAATTTCTCCCTCGGATAATTCATCATCACTTCCATCTACCATGACACTTAACGTTTAGTCTTCAACCTTTCAATCTCGTTCAAAAAGTGCAAACCAACACTTAACCCACTATCCAATGCTTTTACATGAGATACCTAGTATTTCTTGCACCTAATTAAGCCTTTTTCCACCACAAAATAGCCCTTTTCTAATACTAGATAAAATTTGATGGTTACCGATTCTAAGACTAACGACAGCTTATAAAAATATTTAAAAAAGTTGAGCAGAATTTTTCTAATAAAAATGGTATTTTGAATAAGAAATAATAAAACATATTTATTTCAATAGTCTGGAAGACAAGGAGGAAAATTGAAACCATTAAAAGAACCAAAGAAAAAAAAAAAAGAGCTAGACGAAGTAATTTTTTTTCTAAAAGATTGATTTAAATGTTATTAGGAAGATCTTGCTTTTAAAAAGAAACAAAATGACAACCTAAAGAAAGAACAAGAAGCCCGAAAATTACTTTTGTCGAAAAAAAAATGAATATTGAAAAATTAAGTGATTTTAGGTAAACCAGGCTCACGTATTTTGATCCATGAATCCTCAATTATCCAACCAGTTTTAGAGAATAAAGCCAATCCAATATATGTTTCCATCCATTTTTTTGTTATTTTATAATATGAAGCTTTAATTACTGATACACAACGTTCTTGAATTTGTTCACGACTTAAATCTATTAATCGTTGATATAACCATGGTACTCGCTGACGCAATTTCCACCATGCAATATAATTGTTTTGAATAAGAATCTTTGAAAATTCAAATGGTATATCTTGTGCATCTAATTCCCACTTGTTTTTCATTTCATAAAGTCCTTGAAAGTTTCTTAAACTACATAAATATAGTAGATAACATGTCACCATCTGATTTTGTGCAAATGGTTTTAATAATTTTGGATAAATAACTTCTAATAAATAACAAAGTGCTGGAACATAAGATTCTACATGATTCATATATATTCCAACACGTACAGATGTTTCATATAATCCACAGGTAAAATTATCGATACGTTGACTTGCAGTAATACCTTCACGTAATTGTCCTAAAAAAAAAGAATAAGAAAAAGATGTATAAACTGTATTTTAAAACATACGAAATAAATAAAGACAATGTTGTTGTTCGTTTAATGATAACGTTTGATCGTTTAGAGTTAAGTTTGAAAAAGAATCTTCCAAAGTATCATTATTAACCCTGTCAATTAATGTAGCATACTTTTTTCATGAGTGATTTTTTGTCATAAATTAATACAAACATGTCTTTTTAGTCTTTTGTAAAATATTTCATGTATTTTCGGATCTTTTAATCTAAAAAAATAAATTATTAATTATTTTAAATTATATATTATACCTGTTATCATTTCCTTTACTTATAAGTCCAAAACTATCTAGCCAACGTTTATCTTTTTGATTAGACATGGTAAATGTTTTATTTATAGAAAAAAAAATCGGAATCAAAACGAGCGCATTAAAAAGAATCAAAATATACACTTATTTTTTCTTATAATTAGATATAATAATACATCAATATAATATTTGCAAAATGAAAAGTTTCTGTACCATTGACCATTTATTCGCTAAACAAAAAAAATGATATACTAATTGTACACGCTATTCTTCATAGATTTATGTATGAATTACACTCCAAAGAGATGGCTCTTGTTTTTTCCTCATTTCGATATACGCAAGAGTCCTTTTAAAATATTTTATAACATAATCTTGCATATTTCCTTCTGGTTCCAAAATAGACGATGTACTAGTTACAACAGGAAATTGGCGGGAATTTGGTTCAAATGTCAATGCGTCAAAATTATCAATATTTTGTTTAATCAGATCAATTAAACTATTAAGGAATTTAGGAAGAATCTAATTAATCTTAGTATTAAAAAAATAAATAAAAACACTAACAGATTCGTTTTGATGATCATAATAATAAATATAGCGATTCAAAATTTCAACAAAAAGTTCAGTACCTAAATAAAATAAATAAATGCCATAAAATTTAAATGCAACACTTGTCAAAGGATCAATACAAGCATCAGCTAATTTAAGCGCCTTTTGTAAACATTCTAGTGATCTTGATCCATCATGATAAAGCTAATAAGATATTAAATAAATAAAGCAATAATTAACAGTTTAGTTACATTTTTATCATCATGTTCACCTTTGGCTGGAATATTTGTAACCCACCATAAATGGCTAGCAAAATATACTGCGCGCGTTTGATCAGGTTTTTTAAGCAATTTAGAACCATGTAATGCACATTTTGTGATTAGAGTATCATAATTCTCAGAAGAAAAATTTCTTGTCATTTGCAAAACACCGGCAATAATAACGACTGCTTGATATTGAGCTCTAGATTCAGATAATGATTCTTCATATATTGTAAAAGCTTGCGCGAAAAAATCATATGCAATTTCTTCAAAAGCACCCTGATCCGCTACTTGCCCTGCAATAACAAAATATCGTATGCACAATTCTGCATTTGTTACTTTGGTATATAAATTGCTAATAATTTGGTGAATAAATTTATAAACGGAAGATGCTTTTTGGTTCCAATCATTATCCTAAATAAATTAGGAATTTTAGATATCAATATATTTATATAAGATATACCAAATTTTCTTGTGATTTGTATTTTCTAGCAAGTTTAATAGCTTGCGTTATTAATGGAGGACTCGTATATTTTATACGTTCAGCACCTTCAAAAAAGTTTTTCCTTAATATTTGAAGAAGCTATAGACTTAAGACAATAACTAAAGAAAAGAATGGGCAAACCTTAAATTGAATGTCTGCATTTTCATTATATACAAGATGAACTAATCGAGCAAGCCATCCTTGTTCTTCTAAAGTTTCATCTGTTTCATTATCTTTAGTTCGTCGATTTTGTTGAACATTTCCCACAGGAGATAATTTCATTCCCTCAGTAATTAAAACTCTAACAAGAGAGATTACTCCTTCAAGAATAGAAGGCGTATCAATACAAATTTTGCTTTTTATAAGAGATTGTATTACAGTAGCTGCAACAACTTTTCTTGTATGATATAATTGTGTCTGCAGTAATGGTATATAATTTGGTAAAAAAAGAACTGTAAGAATATATGAATAAGACGATATAGGCGCTAAAAGTAACTTCAAAAAATTGTCTCTAGATTCAGGAGAATGCAAATCTATACTATTGGATTTTAAGCTAAAATATTTAAAAACGAAAAAATATCCTACCTATCAACATATTCCATCATTTTTAACCTAGCATATTTCAAAACTTGATCTATATAGTGAAATTCATATGGATAGCACGTAAGAGCAAGATTACAAAGACTAACAAGTAATGCAGTTATATCTTGAATAGGAAGATCAGGCCGAACCTAAATTATTTTAATAATGAATGTTTTATAAATAATAAAAAACCTTGACTAATTTAATAATTTGCAGCCAAAATAAATCAAATAATTTAACATCGTTAGGAACTACGGAACTTTTATCGTCAATTTCTGTTTTAATAGTACCATTCGTAATATCATAATCTTGTTCTTTAATATCATTAGAGCAATTATTTTCTGCACTAACATCAAGTATCTCCTCATTTAAATTCATAGATGAAAGTTGATCTCCCAAAGCCTCTAATGCTAATTTTTCCTTCTTTACACGCTCATCAAAACTTTCAACTTCTGCTTCTTTTGAAACATATGCTGTTAATCTATCGATAAAATATATCCATATTTGTTTAATGTTAACATGAGGATTCAGCTTCATCGTAACAGATAAAAATTGATCTAAAGTTTGCAAATGAAAATCATCAGTAAACACTTGAATGATCACTTCCATTAAATATTCTTGTGCCAATACATCTCTACATTGAATAATTTGTTCCATAATAGAAGGAAGTATGTTCTGTTATAATAAATTAGCAGTTTCCTTTTCCTTCATAGATATATACCGTTTTATAGATATGAAGATCAATTCCTTCAAGTTGACTTAAACGAACTAAGTTTGTACCCACCAAAATTTTCAATTCTGTTCGTTCTTCTTCTCGCTTAGCTCGCTCTCTCGAATGACCCTGATGTTGAAATCTAACCCATAACTTATTCATTTCAATAAAATTCGTTAAAATAAATGAAATAGAATCGTTCAAATTCCCTTCTGGGCTTTTTTTCAGAAAACATTAGCCTTAAAATCATCTTCCCTAGTGCTTAATACTACCCTGTTGATGCACCAACTGGTAAATGATCTCGAGTTTGACCTGACAAATAATGACGAAGAAATAATCCCCTTTAAAAAAATTATTCCGAGTTTTTATAGATCAAGAACACATACCTAATTGGATGTTGAACACCTCTGGACATTTCCATCATATCTTTCATAATTTCCTTAACTGGAGCATCTTTTATCCCCATATATACACTGTATTTAATAAATTGTTTTGAATACAACTTAAAATAAAAGTCCTTACGTTCCCACTGTAATCATTAAATATAACCTAGGAACAATATTTCCTGCATATTGAACAAGCTCATATACATCTGTTAGATGATGACGGCCTGCCTGATGTGCTTCCAAAAGATAAATTGATAAATACCGTAAAGCATCGAAAACTGCCATATCTGTAATAGATCAATTAGTAAATATTTCTACCAATAAATCCATTGTATCTTTCATTTATATATAATATAGATTATATATATACTGAAGAATATATAGAAAAGATATATGGTCATACAATCCGGTGCATACAACTCGATACAAAATTGTATAATGTCCATATAATATGCATATATTTCGATGAATCAGGATCTAAATACTTACACAATTCGTAATACTGCTTTGGTCCTAAATGATCACTTCTCAACTCTGATAAAATTGTACTTGCATGCTAATTCTCATTAAAAAGTTTTATTGTACTTAATATATACCTTTAACCCATCCATTAACCGGTTTGAATCCAAACAACGTCGCATTTGATGAGTATAGGTTCTAATAGAAGCCAATAACTCATCCAGAGGCTTTCCTTGGTTTTCTTGAAGCGTAGTTGAACCTGAAACCGTAGACATGTCTGATCGAGTTCAATACGTAAATCTCATCGTATGATTAAAAAAATTCAAATATAGAGAAAAAAATAAATTTATAAAGAAAATAAGCATCTGTTAATGAATTGAAAATATATAAATAAATTAAAATGTTTCTAATGTTTTTAATAATATTTTTTTAGTAAAAAATATATACTTTAATTTTATAAAAAGAAAAATATTCTATTTTCAAATCTTTTCAACTTAAAATGTTTAATATAATACTAGATTTATTGCTAATTTACATTTTTTTATTAAAAAATACCATTTATAAAAATTAATTAATCTTTTAAATTAAGATATATTTTTATGGATAAATTGAATAACATGTATCATTTTCTTGATAAAATTGAGATATATATATTATATAAAATCTTTTAAAAAGATATGTAATAAAAAATATCTTTATTTTTTTCAATATCTTATCAAGTTACTCTTAAGAAAACATTAACCCTTTTATTTCTTGGTTTATATTTCTTATAAAAACTTAAAAGAATTTAAATACAATTTTCAAATAGAGACAAGATTTTTTTAAAAAAAAGGATTTTAAAAATGCATTTGAATAGTTTTAAATTGATAAGTTATTTCTTCAACGTTGTTAAAATCTAAACTACCCAAAAAGTCTTTCCTCCACATATGCATTTAATAACAATGATCTATCTTTACGATTAAATCAAAGACCTATGTTATGACACATATTGCAATGACTTGTAATTAACTAATGCAAAATCTCACTATATAATACAAACGGGAACAAAATAACTCCCCAAAATCAAGAACTCTTTCTAAATTCACTGAGTACAGGATAAATAGCCTTTACTCAAAATCAGACCCTCTATATAAAATACTTAAAGACTACCTCAAAAGCCTGATATATTTCTTCCCGAACTTTAGCACCTGTTAAAACGATTTTCCCAGAAACGAAAATCAGCAAAACAATTTTTGGTTTTACCATGCGATAAATCAATCCGGGAAACAATTCTGGTTCATACTAAAGAAATCAACAAATATTCTTAAATTTCAAAGAACGTTTTACCGATGAAAAGGTTCCGTGTGAATACGCAAGTCCCTCCAAACGAATAGGAAATTTAACGTCACATGAACCAACAATATTCTGGATTTTAAAGTCGGTAAACTTGGCGTTGAAACCAAGTTTCTGAATAATTCGAGCATACTTTCGTGATGCCAACTTAGAATCATCCTCCGACTTTGCACCCGTAACTACCATTTTCCCCGAAGCAAAAATAAGTGCAGTTGTTTTCGGCTCTCGTATCCGCATAATAACTGCTGCAAATCGCTGAGATATAATTAAACAATAATCAAAAATAAAGACAAAACGAAAACCTTGGGATTATATTCGGCATTACGCGCATGCAATGCAATCGTTTTTAGATCCAATCGACAATCAAGATTGACAGTAGCAACAATGTTTCTTTAAATAGAAACCAGTTATAAGCTTTCTTCGTTCATACAAGAACGAAGAGAAAATACTCACTGTAATGTAGGCACAATGCCTGATACACCTGCAAACGTATTCGTTGCAGTCTGATTCAACGATGTTAAAACACCATGTTCCATACCCTTCTCATCGCGAGTTCCAGGGTACATCGCACCTGACATTAATATATGACTCGAAGGAAATGATAATGAAGACGGCGCCATAAATGACGCTGCTTCTGCTGCTGATAATGGAACTGTAAGAGGATTCTGCATTCTTCCTCGTACTTATCCACCCCAAACACGAAAAAAATCTCTATCAGGAAAAACACTCGCCAAAATTAAGAACTGTCGATCAAAATTCCAATCAAGGATTCAATCCACAGGTAATATCAGCAGAATTTGTATCACGCTATATAATAGCAGAAATCCTGCTTAATTGTTCTTAATATTTGTTCGAGCACCCTCACCTAAGCTGTTGCCCAAAATCTCGAAAATGGGGGAATCGCCCGTCTTTATATATTCGCGGATCAGGGTTAAACCCTAATTTTCTACTGTAAAATATGTTTTTAAAAATAAAGAATTTAACAAGTCTTAGATTCAACAAGTTTTAGAAATAAAATACATTAGATTTGAGCTTTTATAAATATTTCTTTGATATGAAATGAGAAATTAAGATAAAATAGATGGTATTATTTTTTACTCATACATTAGATTAAATTAAAAACAAAAGAGTTATTTAAAATATGTAAAAAATAAAAATGATATTGAATAGTTTATTTCTACTTTTCAGTATCATCTAGATTACTATTTTGATTTTCCATGATGACGTCATTTTCTAATGCTTCTAATGCAGTTTGAATGTGCAATTTAAATTTAATAACTTCATCCAGCATTCGTATTACTTCTCGATAAAGATCTTCTTTCAAAGTATTTGTAGCATGAACTAACTGATCATATCTAAAAAAATCAATGATTCTATATTAAAATAAAGAGTAAATATACTCTATACTAACTGATTGAGACCGTTGTTCAAGTTGAAGTAGACCATTTTGTGCTGTAATTTTCATCTGCTGCAAATCTCTTTCAAGTTTTTCTATCTCTGCATTGCTTGCAGAACTTTCGACCAACATTGTCTAAAAAAATTAAAATAAATTAATTGAACAATGACAAAAATTACATCTTTTATTTCATTATATTGTTCCATAATTGCAGTGACTCTTGCTTGCAAAATATCAAGCTCATCTCGTGCATCTAATAACCCTTCACAAACTTTATCAAGAACTTCTTGAAGTTGAATAGCTTCATCTTGTTCTTTATGAAGTTTAGATCCAAGATCTTGCCTTAATTTCTGAAGTCTAGGTCGTATGTCATATTTCAAATCACGATTAACAAGCTGATCAGGGCGGATATTTCCATGATTGATTGAAGAATTAATAAAATCTAATTCAAAAGATGCATTATCTGCATAAGGCGCAGTTTCAGGAATAATACCAATCTTATAACCAAGGGAATTATAAGTTGCAATAAGTTTTTCTAACGAATCAATTTTTTTCTGTGCCAAAATTTCCTTTTCAAATGTTTGTTTACTTGATTCTTCCATTTTTCCTGTAACAATTTCTAAATTTTTCACTAATGATTCACGTTCAGCTGTCATTCTATCGACATCTGCTGGTGAAATAGGTTGTGCATCAACTTGAGTTTGCAATTCTGACTTCTCAATACTAAGCTGAGATAACTCCTTTTCTTTATTAAAAAGTTCATTTTTAAGTCTAGCATTCAAATCTATAAATTTCTTTTTCTTATTTTCAAGATATTGAATATATTGATTAAATTTATCTTTATCAGATTGCAAAACCTGTCGCTCCCTATCTAATGCTTCAATAGAAGACATAGACTCTGTTATGTTTTTCATAGCTTGTGAAAGGGATCCATTTTCTTTTTCTATACGTTCAATTACTAATAGAATTTCCTCATTACGCTTATCAAATTCCTGTTCAAGCTCTTTTTCCATTTCACTAAAATCATCATCTCCAGATAAAAAAACACGATATGCTTTAGTAAGATAATCAAAAAATATCTTCTCTGCATGATTATCATTATTATCATCTACATCAATTTCTCCATTAATTAATTTTTCAGTACACTTTCAACATTTAGTTTTTTTCTTAAAAAAAAATTAACATACTGTTATCACCTCTACCATCCAATGCAACATTGATAACATTGATGGCCATGAATGCGGCGATCCAACTGCCATTAACTGTGATCTAGAAATTTGATCTGCAAAAGGGTATCTTAAATCAATTATTATTTTAATAACAAAATAATAGAAACATACTTTAAATTCTTTATACACATTATAACTTCATCATCCATTTTTTTAACGAATTGATAGTTTGGATCAAGTCTATTATATAGCCATTTAAAAATCGCTATAAAATCTTTTTGTGTAGGTTGTTGAAGATTTTTTTGCGTCAACACCTGTGGAAATCCGGAATTTGTGAGATACAAGATAATAGAATGGATACATGTAAGTTGATATTGTTTATCACGAATTGGGCGTGGATCTTTTGAAGGCGCTTGAGACGCTGCTTGAGAAAGAAAACTAATACTAGATGGACGTCCCGATGTATAAACACTTGATCTTCGCGCACTTAACATTGTTAATTTCCAAAACATAAATCCTATAAGTAAACAACCTTGATGGTGCAAGACTCTGTCTAGAATTTCGAAACATTTCTTTTTGAATTCCACTCCCAACATGCCCATTTTCTAAAAAATTCCCACTATTAGAGATACGTTGAAATGCTCTATTCTGCCCAATAGATGATGACAAATGGTTATTTGATCCTTCTAGTCCTAATACTGAACCTCGTATACTTATCCCCTTCTTCATCACAGACGATAGCTGTGGAATTTGAGAATATGCCTGATTCTCAATAACACCAAGAGTCTTCCTCCGGTGAGAACTAAATTTCTCTTGATTCATCTTTAATCTTTTAAATAAGCCTTAAACCTGGCTAATCTCTTATCTTTTTTTTCAAGTCTGCTCGAGAAAGTAAACAACACGTCTCCGTTTCCCAGGTGATAAATCAAATCTATAAAAATTTATAAGTTAATAATAAAGAAATATACATACCAACCAAGCAAATATTATTGTGAAATACAAGGAGTTTTTCAGTAAATAATGATACTTTTTTTTAAAGATTTTTCTAGATTATTTTTTAATAAAGTTGTAAAGAGTTAATATAGATCAATAGAAATGTAGTAGAATTATCTATAATGTTAGTAGAAAAAGAATATATCTTTAATATTTGCTTTTATTTTGAAATAAGGGAATAATAAAAATTTTAAAATAGATTTGATCTGATTTAATTTTATAGTTAAATATAATGTAAAATAAAATTAATTTCCTTGATAAAAAGATTAATCTTTAGAGATTTCTTCATGTTTTTCATTTAAATTATCTTTTAAAGAAAAAGGTTCGCAAAATGTTGTCAATGAATTTTCTGATAATGTTTTATTTGTAGAACAAGTAGGATAGGATGATAAAGTAGAAGAATTGTCTAAATAAGAATCCTTATTTTCTAAAAAATCCTTTTGTTCTGATAAATGTATATTTTTTTTTGAAAAGGAATCATGTGATTGTGAAAAATCAAATTTCTTGTCATAAAACAGTCGTTGAAAAAGTTTTTGAAGAGTTTTTACTTTGATTAAACAAATGCTAATAATAAATAATAACTCTGCTGCCCAAAACAAAGATATAAAGATAACAAATGAAGATATTGGATAATAATAAATTATATGTCTATAAAAAAAAAGACTCAATAGAAAAAAATATAAGAATATCTACCTTATTCCTTGTAATCTGGCAGCAAAAACCAATTTTGAAGAATAAACTTGAACAGCATAAGAAAGTGTTATATTAACTGATTTTAACATAGTTTCATATCCTTTACGATATTTAAATTCTTCTATTAGCGGTATGATCAACCGTTCTTCTTCTTTCGCCATGCCTAAAAGTAATATTGGAAACATAATTAAAACTTTCAATTTTCTTAATAATAAAGAAGAAAATTTTAGAATTGCTGATCTTGAGGATGTAACAAGCATTTTTGTGTTAGAAAATAATTCAATTTTTACCATAAAATTTCCTTAAAAATCAATTTTATAATCACATATATATATAAAATACCTATAGATATATTTATATCTGATAAAGGCATAAGAAGTTCAAGAAAAATATCGTAAAATTGACCATTTACAAACCTTTTCTCTGACGAAAAATCCATAGACGCCCATGTTTTATTATTACTAAATACGTCAAAATCATTAAAATCCTTTAAAGACAAATTTACTCATATTGCAAGTATACTGGTTGACTTATCTCCATATATGGAATAACATGCCAATAAAACAAAAAATAACTTATAACAGAAACAAAAAATGTATATGATAGTACGCTTATTAAAATAATTAATATAATCAATATTTTCCATATCATCTTTAAATTTCTAATTTTTAAAAGAAACATATTAACTAATTTTTATTAATAAATAAATTAATTATATTAAATAATAACCATTAAGTACCCAGAAAATCCAATCATAATTTTTTATAAATTTTAATTTCTTTTATGTAAAAAAAATAAAGCCATCTTATATCGTCATTGATAAGCTTCAGAAATATATTTTTATATATTTAAAAAATAAAACCCTAAGATATAAAAGATTTATTTAAAATACAGGATCCTTTTAATATATGTAATAATTTATTAGAAAGTTATTTTTAATATATACATAAGACATTTTTTAAAAAAATTAAAAATCCCAATTATAATAAAATATTTATGAAATAAATGTAGTGCGTTGCACAAAATTACTGGGAAACAAACCACGCTTAGAGTTTTTCGAATTTAAAACTTCACCTTCCCACCATCCATCTTCCTGCATATCCAATACTAAAAGAACATCATTTTTAACAAAGCTTATTTCTTCAGGAATAGCAGCCATGTAATCATATAATGCACGAACTAAAAAAATTAGGAATTAAATGATTGATTTTATAATTTAAAAATACCATAAAACAATATTCTTTTTCCATCTTTAGTATACTGTGAAGGAGCTAGACCATTATTCATATATGTTTTTTTATCATTGTGAGATAATGGAGAGTTAAAGATCCGTGTATCCTCATTATAATAGTCTCCATATCCACTAGGAATTGATGTGCTATATGGTATATGTTCCGTATGCATATTATATTTGCTTCTAGATATTGCTCTATAACTACTAGGACAAGGCGAAGCACTTCTCGCTCTAGAATATTTATTTATTAAATTACCATCAGCATCCAGTGAAATATCAAAGGCTGATGATACGGGAGGTTGTCGTCTTGAAACACGGTTATAAAAGTGATCGGGACTTTCCGTAGCAGGAAGAAGTGTTAATGGACGTGATATACGATCATCCTGAAACGGTTCCATAGGCCTTCCAATTCTTGATGGATGATATGCACCAGGAGGAGTAGACTTATAAGCAATTGGAGAACGTGATCCTGATCTAGGATAATCGTTTTCTGGAGAAATAGTTCGATATTCTAGCTGAGGACTTGATGCTCCTAAAACACGTCTATAATCCATATATGGTCTTTCAGAAGCTTCTGACAATAGCATATTTTCTGAAGAACCAAGTCTTGTATTGTGATTCTTTCCCTTAGCCATTGACATTACTTCTTTTTCTGAAAACATATTTTCTTTGATGTGACCGTAACAGAAGTCATTATTATTCATTGGCATAGTACCATATTGTAAAGGATATATATCCTTTTCTGATGTACTATAAATATCATTTACCTGTTTAGTATATGCTTGAGTCATATGTTTCATTTTTGTTGCTGGTATAGAGGAAGGAGATGCACTAAGAGGATCTCGCTTAACAAATTTATTAGGTATAGACAAAGCAGGTTTTTGAGGTACTGGTATAGATGAACGAATATTTAAAGGAGGTTTTTGCGGTTCACTAGGGAAATAGTGTCTTCTTCCCATAATCTCAGGATTTTGAATATTATTATCATCAATAGGGTCATGCCATGAGACTCTTGGTTCTTTTTTTGGAGACATTTTAGAAGAAACTTTAAATTGATTAAGCGCAGTCACAATTGGATCTTCAGAACTATGTATCTCCAGCTTTTTCTTTTTTCCATCCGTTTCTATTTTGAATAGATTATTTCCCGCATTTAACATCACATTAGCACGCGGATCAATTGATTCAATTTCAGAATCACTAACTACACCCATGCCTTTAAGTCTTTCAAATAATGGAGATTTAGCTGTATCACAATTCTTTTTAATGCTAGAATTCTTATATGAAAGAGTAGATCGATATCCAGTTTGATTTATTTCATTAGCGGTTTCTTCCATAGATGATAGATAGCCTAATCTTTTATCATTAATATTAAAAGAATTCCTATCTTTTTTCTTAGTTTTAGAAGCCATTGATAAATCTTTCTCATCATGATTCCTATAATTGAATAATGGAGCAGCCACTTGTGTCTCATTACTATGTGGATACGCTGAAGCAGTAGGAGAGAATCTTTTGGTATTTGATGAATCCAATAAGGAATCACTTTTACAAAGTTGAGTAATACCATCAAAAGGCACTTTATTAACATCTGTTTTTAAAGAGGGTTCTGGTTGGCTATTTGAAATAAATGAAGAAATTTTCGGAGATAGATAGACACTATTTTCATTAAATATAGAGCGTTGCATAATAGCATCAGAATGAAACTGAGGATCGCTAACTCGAGAAAATTGAGCTATAGAACATGTCGGATCATTCAAATCCTCAAACCCATTATTATACGGATCTTTAGATTTAGGAGGATCTAGAAATGTCATTACTTAGTATTCACTCGTTATTTCTTACTTGGAATCTCCTGACCAGTTCCTTTAGTCCGAATAAACAACTGTATATCATTTTGAGTATTACAGTTTTTAATTGATTCACGAATTTTTTCACAAGACTATAAATTGATTAAAAATTATAAAAGAGAATAATTTAAAAAATCCCTTGCTATCACTAATACATGTTTCCGATATAATCCCAGAAAATGTCCATAAACTAGATTTGATAAAATCGAGACGCCTTTCCTCAAGATCTTGAAATTTCTAGATAGAATATAAAAATACAAATTATACCAATAACTAACATACATCACATGCGATTTTCCATTCTCGAATCCATTTAATAGATGTTTCTTGAAGTACAGTAATAGCCAATAAATAATCATTGTCTAAATAAAAATAAATTATATTCATTAATAATAAGGATCACTTAACTATTTTGAGCCATTATTTGTGATTTATCCACCTTTTGATTATTTTTCTCTGAACTTTTTCCTAAAAATAAACTCAATTGAGATGCTTGTCCACTCGCTTTGCCACTTTTATCCTCTATTTTTTCCTTACACTTCAAAGTAAAAAAATAAACACAAAAATAATAAAACCCAACCTTCTGAACTTGATTAACCTGTGCTATTTTTATCCTACGAAGTTTTTCTAAATTTGATTGAATCTATTTTATTTATTTTTTTTAGATTTTAAAAAAATCTCACTATACCGCCTTTCTATTTGTACGCATATCACTAGAGAATGCATGCAATGGCTCTTCTAATTCTCCACGGATCTGAAGTGCAACATTAGAATGTTGTTTTGCAATTGTTTCTGTTTCCTTTTGTAAAGTATCAAAACTTTCACGCATTGTCCCAATTTCATGAGATCCTAATGTTCCTCGCACCAAACGGCGCAATCTTCGTGCATATTCTTCTTCTATTGTCGCCCTATAAAACACGAAATTCAGATTAATTCATATTTTCTTTTAAGCTTTCTTCCACTATCACGTGACACTGGTCTCGTGATTCCAATCGCGCCCATATTTTTAACCTCAACTTTTATTTTAACTTACCAATCTTTATAAAACACTCTTATCTCCTCGCAAATATTCTTTGCTTCATTCATTCGACCAAATAGTACATCCACCCCTCGCTCTTCTTTACCCCAAAAATGATTACAGAAATTTAGAATCGTTCCGTCATCTTGCATGATCTCTTTTCTTTCAATTCTTTCTTCTACTTTTTCCTTTCTTTTTAGTGAAAAATCTATACATCGTTCATTTCAATTCCTTTCTTTTCCTTTATTTAAATTTACTTATTTTCCAATCCAAAAAAAATATCCAAAATTTAAAAACACACTTTTCTAAATAACAAATCGTTGTTTACTTTAAATTAACTAATCAATTCCTTAAGAAATACTAATTTAAGGCTCTTTTTTTCTTAAAAAAGATATAAAACCCTCTTTATAATAAAATATTGTAATTCTTAAAAATTTTAAGATGAGTCGTGTTCGAAAATATCTTAAATTCGTGTACCAAATATAATGATCTTTTAAAATATATTAAATTTTATTTAAATGATAAAATTCCTCTCCAATTTCTAGCAAATTCTTCAAATAAACTATTCTATATAGAGATAAGAATACAAGAAAGGTGTATTTCTACTCAATCAAGGGTTAGGGCATTATATTATAGGGACAGGGTATGAGTGTATAGGTTTAGATCATACTAAGATAAGGTTAGGTTATAAGAATATAGGTCATGGTCATACTAATTTAGTGCTAACTCATAAACACAAGGTCTAGGGTATATCATCATATGGTAGGGTATATAAAAGTTAGGGTAAAAAGCAAAGGGTTATTATAAAGGGTTAGGTTAAAATATATCCTTAGGGTTTACACCATACAGGTGTCCAAATGGCACACTCTTTTTTTCTGAATAACCTTCGATTTTAGAAAGTCCTTTAAGAGGGAGAAAAGTATAAAAAGTTCACGAAATGAGTCAAGAATCATTGGCTGGAAATCGTGGAACAAATGTTCAAATGCAAGTTCAAGTATGTCGAGGATCTCCGGGACTGGAAGGACGATACACACAATCAGAACAAAGCTCTCCTCAAGGAATTTCATCCTTACAAACAATTGTAAGAGCGCAAGTTTTTTTCTTATTATCCACTTTAACAAAGGATAATTATGACACTACAGTAATGCAATTGAAAGATGTAAGGATTTGTATTATTTTTTTAAAAAAAATAAATAAGACGTAATGATTAATATTTTTAATAGTTATATAAGGAAAATGGGCCAGATATTTATTTGCATCTTTTGAGACGATTAATTCAATATAATGTGGGGACTATTTTAGGGTTAACAAGAATGCATGAGAATCCAGCAACATATAAATTACTTTCAGAAGAAATTTATTCACTTTCGACAACACCATCAATATCATATCAATTTGGTAATGCAATTTTAGGAGCAGCGTCAGGGATTTTTAATGATTTTGATATGAAGAAGTTCTGCCAATATTTTGATCTTGATGCATTTCAAAAATCTGTTTTAGCATCGAGTCTTTTACAATCGTCGAAAAAAGATTTGCAAGGTAAAGGTTTGTCATTTTTATTTAATTATATAAGACGTGATTTTTACAATTATAAAGCATTAGAAATAATGATTGAAAATATATACGGGGTTATTGAAATTATTAAAGAAGGAAAATATCAATCGAAGCTTACAGATGATGAAATCGTATTATTTTTGAATCAATATTTTCATGAAGAGGCTTTTAGTCTCAATTCACATGAGAAATTTTTATTTGATGCAGTTATTCGTGAAAAATATTCAGAGGTAGAAATGCCTGTTATTATTGAAGAAGCACTTGAGCAATATTTGTACAATAATATTTTTAAATTTAAGATATGTGCTTACATAGTTTAGAAAATTAGACGATAATTTACAAATGATTCTAGATGTATTAAAAATTATAGATTTGGATGTTCCCACTTTTGAAGAAACCCTTAAAGGAGTTTTTTATCGTAATAAAATTTTAGAAAAAATACCTTTCGACAAGTTTTCTTATTTAATATCTGATATTTTATTTATTATGTCTACACCTGGTTTTATTGGATGGGATACAGAAATATTTGGAAAAATAATATTTGAAATAGTATTTTTTTTCTTTAAAATACTTTATTTAATTTATTTTGAAGGTCCCTGAATTAAATGTCGAAGACATAATAAAAACACTGGATAGGCCTACAATTCCAACAAGAAATTATTTTAGGTTAGATATATTTCTTAAAGGAATATCTATAATAATTGAAAATAATAAATCACATTTTCCTTTAAAATTTTTGTGGGCCCCATGGAAATATCCTCATTCTCAACTTCAAATATTGCAATATTTAACAACAATGTCCTGTGATTCTTTCGACCTTTTGTCTTATTCTTGCCAAAAAATTCTTTCTGTTGAAAATTTTCAGGATAATAGTCCTACTATAAAGGCTTTCGCTGCTAATCTGGAATCTCAAATTTGGAATTCTCTTGATTTGATAAAAACTATGGTCATGCTTTTAGATAATCCTAAATCTAATGAAAATGCATCTGCATTCTTGGATAAAGCATCACAATTAGCTCCTGAATTGCTATTTTTGGGCTTAGCTCAGAAACAGGTTGGTTCTTTTATTAAAATTTCGAATAGTTTAATATTATAGAAACCATGGAGTGTAGAACACGTTAAATTAATGGATAAGGGATTTGATATGTTTTTTTCTAGATATTCAAATTATCAATTAGTATTTATTAGACTTTGGCAGGTAAATCCAGAATATATGGGAAGTTCGTTTATTAGATTACATTCAAAAAACCCAACATGCATAAATCAAATTCTAAATATTTCTGAAGATTTGAAAATTAGGGATTTTCTCTTAAAATTACGACCATATTCATTTTCTATTGATTTTGCTGCACAAGCATCAAAACGACAATATTTGAATTTAGAAAAATGGTTGCAAGATAATATTAACGAAAATCATGATTTTTTTATTCGAGCTTGTTTAGATTATTTAAACCTTAAATCATCTTTAGAAAATACTCAACAGTTTTCAGATACTTCATCACAAGCAACTAGATTGCGTATTGAAACAGTTGTTAGTTTCCTAAGAGTTCTTATGAATAAGTAGTTATTTACTTTTAATTTTAATTTTTATTTAACATCTATTTTAGTTCAATGTCAGCTGCTAATAGCGAACTTTTTAGATCAGTTCAAACTATTTGTTTGCAAGTATATCCTAGATTAATGAATATTGGTCAGGGAAGAGATGAAATTATTACTTCAAATAATGAGATAAATACTTTTTCTAAAGATGTTGAACAACAACAAGAAGTCTATTATCAGCGCCTTTATAAGGGTGATCTTAGTATTAGTGATTGTATTATTTTATTACAGAAATTAAAGGTCTCAGAAAATCCTAGAGATCAGGATCTTTTTGCATGTATGCTTCATAGTTTATTTGATGAATATCGATTTTTTCCTGAATATCCGACTAACGCTTTAGCAATTACAGCAATACTATTTGGTAGTCTTATTCAATATCAATTATTATCATATATTCCTCTCGGAATTGCGCTTCGTTATGTGCTAGATGCTATACAACAGCCTCCAAATTCTAATATGTTTAATTTTGGAGTTCAAGCTTTAATTCAATTTCAATCAAGAATTGCAGAATGGCCACAATATGTATCACATATTTTAAGGATAACGCATTTGCGCATTTTTCATCCGGAACTTGTGCAAAATATTCGTAATTCTTTGAATGCAGCAAGACATACTTATTTGGGGGGTAATTCTAATTTAATAGCTGAATCTTCTCAAACTCAACAATATTTACCTTTTGTATCTTTACGACTTAGTAAACCTTTGCGAGATGCATCGTTTTTTGGAGACCCATCAGAATCTGTACAAGATAAGATTTTATTTATTATTAATAACATGTCTCATGGGAACTTGGATCAAAAAACAGAAGAACTTCGTGAATGTTTATTAGAACGATACTATAGTTGGTTTTCGAAACATCTTGTTAAAAGAGCCAGTACTGAGCCTAACTATCATTCTTTATATTTTCAACTTTTAAATACTTTAAATATTGATTTTCTTAAACATCAAGTCCTTCATGAAACATATGCAAATATTATTCTTCTTTTAAATTCTGAAAAAACTATGCTTTCTACTATGGAAAGAAGCTTTTTAAAAAATCTTGGTTCTTGGCTAGGAGGAATAACATTATCTCAAAATAAACCTATTAAGCATAATAATATCGCATTTAAAGAACTGCTATTAGAGGGATATGATTCTAAGAGATTAATGGTCGTTCTTCCGTTTACTTGCAAAGTTCTTGAACAGGCTGCAAATTCAAAAGTATTTAAGCCCCCTAATGCCTGGCTAATGGGTATATTGAAATTGCTGGTTGAACTTTATGAATCAGCAGATATAAAGCTGAATTTAAAGTTTGAAATAGAAGTATTATGTAAAAAACTAGATTTAGATATCAAATTTTTAGAATCAACTTCTATACTTAAAGGAAAAGCTTTAAAGGTTGAAGGTGAAAAAATGAATGAAAATGAAACATATCAGAATCAGGATAAACCATCTAAGAAAACAAGCGCGGAAGCAACTTACTTTCACAATAATCTTATGAATACCAATATTGTAGTACCTAATTTATCTAATCATTTTGTTATTAATCAAGGTGTTACAATGTTTATGAATGCAACTAGTTTAAAGAGAGTACTTCAAATCGCAATTGATAGAGCTATTCGAGAAGTATTTGATTGATAATATTATAATATCATTACTAACTTAATTTAGATAATTGGACCCGTTGTAGAACGCTCTGTAACTATTGCTGGAATTTCTACAAAAGAATTAATTATAAAGGATTTTGCTACTGATCCTAGTGAAGAAAAGATGAAGAATGCTGCTCATATAATGGTTCAAAATTTGGCTAGTAGTTTAGCATTAGTAACATGCAAAGAAGCTTTACGCATTAGTATAACTACTAATTTGCGCAACATTCTTTTACAGAATGGAATAAATAATCAACAATTTCCTGAGCAGGCGGCCATGTTGATTGTCTCTGATAATCTCGATCTAGCTTGCTCTATTATAGAAAAAGCCGCAATGGAAAGAGCAATTCCGGAAATAAATGAGAATTTGT